TAAAATACAAACCTCAAAATATTTAGATCCTTTTATTTGAATTGTGTGACAGTCAGTTAAAACATAATCATCTAATTGCTCTTGACTGTCTTTTATAAAATCTAAAAGCCAGACAAACAAAGTTAAAATATACGGTTCAATAGCTTGTCGGCAGTGCAAATGAAAATGAAACAGTGATGATTTCCTTCTTACATAAAAAATTTATATCTCGTTACCATTGAATAGAAGAACTTGAGAAGTTCCTTTACATACAAAGTCATCAATCAACATTGAGGGTAATCCTTGGTATGTTGTAAAAACTTCAGAATTTAACCAATCAATCACACAAATCTCATCTTCTTCATGGCAAAACAGAAAAAGTTTTCCCTGAGAGTTCTATAACAAAAAGAATAAAAAATTTACACCTTTCCCCTAAAAATACTGCATAATGTAAATTTGATTGTTGATATTCCAAAACAAAGAAAATGCAGGAACACCAAGTGCACAAAAATGAAGAGCAAAAAATTTTAAATTTGTTGGGACATGTTTGCAAACTTCACATTACCTCAAAAGTTTGTATACTTTGACAGCATGAGAATGGAATTGCTACATGTTTACTGTACTTTCCATCAATAAATTCTACTATTTGCTTGTGTGTGGTAGCAACAAGTACTTTAAAAGAACAATTTGGAAGATTTACTTGATCAAAACTTATAATTGCAACACAAGTGATAATAGAAACATAGAGATATGGGATTAGTTTATCATTCCTGGATACCCAAGCCTGTCCCTCATTATCAACTGTTAAAAATAATCCAACATAGTCCCTTTCTGATTTTTCATGACAATCATTCCATTTCGAGCACAGTTAGTGTCCCACCATAATATTTCAGAGGTTGAAGAGGTTTCATGTTTGTAACACAAGTCGATTGAAAACTTTGAAATATTTTCAGCTGATGATTCAAAATTCAGTGAATAATACTTCTCTGTTTTAAAGAAAAATATCTGCTGTTCAACGATCCAAACCATTTGTGGTCCATTTTCAATGGTGAATGGTACATTTGAAATTTTAATTTCCTCTCCCAAAATTTTTGGTATTGCAAAGTTATGCCTTAAGCACCATTTAAAATTCAAGTCACAGGAGAAAAAATAACAACAAAAGTCACTCTCTACAACCAGGTAAGGCAGATATATACCACAGGCGTCATCATGTACAATCTTGCATCCTAGACAAGTAAAGACGTCTTTTTGCTTACTATTATTCAACAATTCAAGAGTTTGTTCAGTCCTTCTGATTATAGAAAAGCTTTCTGAACTCTGTTTATACTGGTATTCTGAGCAATAAATGGACAGTTGTTCTTTTATTTCGACGCGAATAACCAAAATAGACGAATTGAACGACAAAATTTTATTCCTCATGCCCAAGACAAGAAAGGTTTATAATTGTCGGACGAAACTCGGGCATGTTCGGATATTTACGGCAGTTCCATCCAACATGGTTCCAACGTTTAGAAGAAAATAAAAATGTGTTTTTTAAAATCTAAAGAAAAAAAGTTTTGAAAATGGAGTTGGACGATGAAATTAAGAAAGAAGCCTGCAGTGGTTTAAGAAAAGAACTCAAAGATTGTTTAATGTCCAGCGAATGTGTTATAAAGGTTTAATCACTCTTTATTTGACTTACTGACCCTATGTCTTACTGTCTTACAATGACAGAGTAAGGATAGGTGTTTTTAGTTAGGTAGGGTGAGAAGCCACCGCCTGCTGTATGTTTGATATCAACTGTATTAAGTGTGTTGTAAATGGTAGCACAATCTTGCATAAGACTGGAAAATTAATATCCACTTTTTATCAAATGCACATGAATTTCAAATGAGCAGAAGTTTTGACTCAAACGTTATTTTTTTAACGAAATTCAACAGTATGGTCACACTCCTAAGAATTGTCTTTCTAATGAAGCGCCAGGGGTGACAAATGAATGTAGATTAACACAGCAAGCATTTTTTGAATGCAAGCGATCATTGGTGAGTTCTGATGTTCCCTTCTTGATAAATAATTTTAAGTTTAATATTGTAGATATCCAAACTTCTTTGAAGCATCCTTTATTATTCAATCATCTTTCCCTTCTCTTTGAAGAAACACCAATATTATTGATAAAATTTTATGTTCTTCCATTTTTAGCTGGATTTCAGGAATCGCTTCAGGGGAAGGAAAGGATACTAAATTTTGTGAACAAAAACGGTTCTCACAGTCACAGAATTTTACACAATTAACTGCACAATTTATGCAGTTACTAGACAGCGTGATTATCCACGAAAATTCACATAATTATTATTACTGGCATATTCTACCCAATCATTTAGTCCTGCTATGTAAAATTAAATTTTTCTGTGCTAATTCACTTTAAAAGCAATAGATTTCTAAAGAAATTACCAACATCATAATGTTCTGAAATTTACGTTGCAGGATTAAAATTTTATGGGTAGCTAATAGCTACAATACTGAATCGCCTACCCTTTTTGTCTGAATCGCTACAATACTGAATCGCCTACCCTTTTTGTCTGAATCGCCTCATTGGACCGAACATGAAAACATAGATAATGTTTTAATGCTGCTAATAAATAATGAGGTCAGGGACGTGAGAAAAAATTCATATCTTAGTTTTACTGCTGTGTTACAAAGGCAAATTTGTTAATCTTAGCTCAGCTGGAGGTTTTGCAGACTGGACCCTGAAAGCTGAAGACTTGTCATCAATCCGATTCGTTAAAATATTGGAAAAAAGTCGTCGAGTGTAGAATTTATTGGATGATTTTCTAACTATTAAAATCTCAACTGAAAGACAATATTTTCAATTATATATTTGTTTTGAAAAACAAACGATAATCATAGAGCAAGCTAAAGGACAGAGTACCATGAATTAACACATTGAAATCATCACTTTCTTCCTGATCCTCCGCTGTTTTACATTTAATTTCAATAAATTCCATTTTGTGTGATAATGATTTCTATAGACTGTAGTGTGTATAGTGTCACTTTTTTTTGAGGAGAGGGGAAGGGATACCAGGTCAGTGGAGAATACCCTGTACTTTAGATGTGATCATATGAAAGAAATATCAGATGTTTCATCCAAATAGCCTAGCGAAAGATGAGCACATTGATAATAAATTTATCTTTATCATAAAATAAATATTATTTGATAAGGAAATTGAATGTTTAATTGTTGCTGTGTGTACGAAAACAGCTGTGTTGCGCTGTTAAAATATGTATATTTTGCATTTAAATATTCATAAAAAATCTCATTTTACTAATCGTTTTGCTGCAAATTCTTAAATTAAATTTATGTCATTTGCATATTCGCTCAAAACGACGAACAGCAGAAATCCGTATTAGTTACTTGTATATATTTTGAAAGTGTTCAACTGAAGCTATGTTATATTCTCGTCCGTCAGTTTGTCATCTCTTTTGATAACAACGAAACAATTTAATTTTTTTTGACCAATGGAAAACATTATTTTCGAGTGGAAAGAATGCTTCCTCAAAATAACCTCATTAGAGTTTTTCAGTATTCTTTCTCATTGATTTAAATATCGGCTATAACTATTGTCTCAACGCGCTCTTGAAACACCATTAACACTTGAAATGTAAACTTTACTGCAGCTGAACAAAACTATGACCTATTTACAATCTTTTTATTCTCAGTTGTTCTCAGAGGATGGAAGACCTCCTGTAGATAGTTTCAATTAAAACTCGTGGCTTAAACGTGCTTTATTCAAAATAGCGTTTGTTCTTGCAAATCATCTTTGATAGCTGCAGTTTTTTTCGAAAATGGGAAACGTGAAATGTGAGAGAAATGATGAAATAGATTCACTTCTTCACTTTACCTCACTTGCAAGTGGTTTCATTCATTCCGTACTTAAGAAACCTTTAAAATCCAAGCGAAAAGTAAACCACCGTAAATTTTTGCAGAAACAAATGGGTAAAAATTCCATTTATAGAAACATCTTTATACACAACCAGGAAGAAAATAAAGAAGTGAAAAGCGACAAAGTTTTTGAATATGAAGATTCAACTGATTCAGTGAAAGAGAGACAGGTTGAACAATCTTTGAGGCAACTTTTTAATCCTAATATATGGATGACCACTCCAAAATGCAAAGAACAACATTACACTTACTCATTACGTCTTCGAAAGTTTCCTGAATCATTTTGGAAAGAACCGATGGAGTACTGTAATCAAGAGCTAACTGCGCAATGCCAAGACGTGTTTGATTTACTGGGAGTAGAATTTGATGAATTCCTGGAAAAATTACAAGAAAACTCAGACTCTACTTCTACATCCTCTGGAGAATGTCTGTCCGATTTGTCATCGTTTTCGCCGATTACAGTGCAACAATCAGGCAAATCAATTATGTGCAATTCTGAACATGAAAATCTTTGGAATCTTCACAAAGACATTGCGAATTTTACACAGTGAGAATAATTATTGAACACTAAGATGAACTTAAATCATACCAAAGAATGAAAATTAAAAGTACAAGCCATAAGTTGTTTTACTAAGAAAAGTAATTTAGTTTAGATAGTAGATGAATTGCAGTGGGAGTGAAAAAATGAAGTATAAGCGTTGGTGTTACAGGAGTTGGTTCGCACGATCTTAATTGCCATTTACACACGCTTTGCCAGTTCACCTGGCTATTCATATTTGATAAGCTATTTAAGGCACGTTTAATTATTTTTATCAAGAAATCAACATTAACATACACTACGACAAATGATAAAATGCAATTACTGCAAATGCGTAACAATACATATTCCCAACATCTGCTATTACCCCCAATCAAAACATATTGTTTGTGTGTCATTTTTAAAATTTGCCGAATATACATATTTTAAAATCGCGTTATACAAAAGTATTGACTCCCACATTGAATTGAACAAAACTATGGATGGTTCTCAACGTTTTTATACACAGGAAGACGAAAGTAGGTATGAATTTATAGTGATGCATGACATGGATCGAGCAAGGAAATTAACACACTCAAATATACAATCAAAACTAGCGATTAACAATCTATTGCATAAAACCAAGTGCTTCTTTTGTATAAGCTTACATATATCTTAAAACAAGGATAAATAGCTAGCACAAGGTTGCACTATAAGGAGGCAAATTACATGTATACAGCACATATGTATTTTTATGTTTATCAATGGATTTTTATGACTCCGCATCAAATCATTCTGGTTGATTTGAGTTGGCTTCAGATACATTTGTTAAGAGCTGTGATGATGTATCATGTTGATATGAAGCATCATACTTGCTTGAAACCAAATCACAAGAAAAATTATTTTGAGTCCAAGGAGTATTGTAGCAGTTGGCTATTGAAAAATCTGTTGATGAGTCAATTACTTGAATGATTTCATTGGAAGACATGACATCACTTTCTGTTTTCAAGCCAAAACTTGATTTCTCATCTGCAAAACACAGAAAATTTGCATGATAAATGGGCAAATTATAAATTAATGTGATCATATGCATAAACATATCAAACCTTCAATGTTTGATTGTGATTTGCACAACATTGATTTATCTGATTTCTTTAAATCCACTGAAGATTTTTGACTTTCCACATCTGGTTTATTGCTTCGTGATAACATCTTTTCACGCTGATATTTTTTTAGCAATTGTACAACAGAAGGTGCTTCAAATAACTCCTACAAAATAAAAAAAATTCAAAAACTCTTTAATAACTTTTCAGCTACAGTAAGCTGCACCCCACAAAAAAACATTTTATTATGAAACATTAATATTAACATAACTAAACTAAGCCCCACAATAGAGGAATAATATCACAATCATTTATTTCATCACCATTTGTTTTTCAGCAAGAACATCTTGCAACATATTTGAATACTTTTGCTCCAACAAATACTTATCATCTATAACTACTTCTTGAGAATGCATCTAATAAAGCAAAACAGAAAGTTAACCTTCTGGTTGAATATAGATGGAATCAACACTAAAAACCATTTGCTTGCAATGAAAGGTGTGTTTGTGTGAATGAGTGGAGAGGGGGTGAAATCTAAATGAAACAGCTACATATATTGGTTTTATGAGGATATTTAGTATATGTACAGTTGTGAGTATAGTCATCAATATTTTTAACATTTAATTGAATGAAATGTTATATCAGTGGGCACAGAAATTATTGAGTTCAAGGACAGGGCCATATGTGCATAAAAGGTAATGACTAGAGGCAATTCTCATTTTAAATGAGAATCTAATACAAATGACGATTACCAAATTAAATATGAAACAGATATTTATAGAAAATTTCGAGAACAAATCCTAATCGTCGACATAAACTGAGCAGGACAAAGCAATGGTCTAGTTGAAGAACACTATGAATGAAAAATTGAATAGAGCTGCGCGCCGCGTTAATGAACTCATACATTTAAATTTTCCTTGGCATTTCTTTTCTTCTTTTTGTAGTTTTGTTTGTACGTTTTGTTTCGATGTTTACGGCACAATAGTACTTTGGAACCAACACTGATTTCACTACAACCATCGACTTTACAATGCTTTAAGGGAGTGGTGTGTTTTTCGGCCATAGCACAACCACTGAGTACAACGAGAAAAATTAACTTCGTGTTCGACCGTTACCTCGTGTTTAACATAATAACACATGCCATTAATGCTGGCCACGTGTTTCCAAAGTGTTTGCATTTGTAGAATATGAAAGAGTGCTTGAGACGTGTGACGAGTTACGACATAGGGAGGGACAAGTGTGAAATGTTAACCTTATTATGTATGGGAAACCTATCGGAAAACCCCTCTACTAAGCCATAATATTACAAAAGCATTATTACGTAAAGTCGTAAATACGCATTTGAATATCATAATTATGTTGGTGAGAAGAGTGTAAGAACAAAATAATGGTCTGTGTGGTCATCATAGCTCATAAAATAACTTTATTTCGTTGTAATTGTACAAGCACAGCAAGCCAACATTGATTTTGTTCTCAATTTGTAGTATAATTTTATCAATAAAATAAATTTCCCAAATATCGAAAAAATGACGTAATGAACTAATTCAAACTTTACATGTACGCGAATATCTTCCGGTGTAGCGGTTCATTATAAGAATAGAAACATGTGACAAAATGTTGTTAGTAGACGACTTATCCTGTGCTTAATGGTTAACCACTGTGTAAATTGTACGATGGATGTTTCTTTCAAAGTTTTATTTATAATATCATTCTCTGTCAATGTGTGCATTATGATGAGCATACTGTTACCACGATTACTGGGTATTCTAATGAAGTTGCTTTTCAACTCTCGACTTTATGGTCGTTACAACGTAACTGAACAAGAACACCCCGCTTTTTACAGACGATTGTAAGTATACAGGTTAAAATTTGCTTATATTTTGAGGATTGTTAAAGAAATCGAGCAATGAAAAAGCTCGATTTTTATTTCTAAGTTTTCAATCATATTGGTAAGAACATTATTTTTTTAAAAAGTTTGAAAATTATTAACTTAATCATGTTAAAAGATACTATTTTGTCTTAGCTTTTTTAAGAGAATTTACTTCACAATTGAAACTCGAAACTACATTTGCATTTGCGTTCGTTGTGTTCCGCAGTACGTTTTCCTTTTACAATTTCATCCTATTTAGAAAAATGGTACAGGGTCGTTCAATAAACCTGAAATTTAGACATGAGAAATTTCTTTCGCGTTGAATACAATCAGTCATATGACAAATTAAAACAATAAAAATTTCGTTTTGGAATGACTGTTCACTGTTGTATCTGAAACACGTCTGAGAGGGAAGTTTATTCGTGGGAAGTTGAAACATGATTAACTTTGACTTCGTATTAAGAACATCCGCTCAAAGTCAATGTATGTCAACACCTTCTCAACAGAGTTAACACTATCGAAGTTTTACAAAATGAGAATTTTGCGATTGTGAAATAAACATTATTAATGAACAGATTGACAATAGTTGTCTTAACGCTTAACATATGGCCTGAGTTTTCCGCGTTGTCAAAAGGAAGTCGACTTAAACAAATGTTTCTTTATTATGTTCGTACACATAGATACCTGTGGCTGCATTGTTGTATTGAACAAAATTAAGACACTTGAAGTTCTTCGCTAGCCAGCAATTGACAATTAAGGTTAACTCTCGCTACCGGAAACTGTTTGAAGATTATAGACAGAAAATGAATTGTTTACTTATAAAAATTTCTTATCTCGATCAGCACGACATCATATGGAAATAATGAACAAATTGATTTGATTTGATCTTCCTTACACGTGACAAACACAACTATTTGGAAAAATACAAACTGTGAATAACTTAGGCTCGCAACGACTTAAGTCTGCTTCTGAAAATGGATGATTTTTGACAATGCTTTTCTCTTTTTTTTAGAATTTTCGACATATTGATAAACACTTTTTCCTTATTTGCTGGAATTATTTTACTATTTACTAGTAATGTACTGCAAGATCCACTTTTGCACACAAATGAAACTTTGAAGATAATAGTGTCATCTTCTCTTGGTTGGCAACTTTTTAAAATTCTACAAAATATCTTTGATCCAGATAAAACTGCAAAGCACTCCAACATTTCCAACGTTCTCCGTTTGGTGACTGTTTTCACAAATGCTTCAACTTTAACATATGAACAAAATACACTTTTATCAATGTTGGGGCTTGTTGTTGAGCCACATACAATATTTCTCAGAATAGAGAAACTTTGTAGGATCCTTAAACTACGCGAATCCAGTTCAATGTACTTTGCTTTCACTGTGGCTTCTTTTTTAACTGCGGTACTATTACGTGCAATTTTCCCACTGGCAATGATCGTTGTGGCATCCAAATTTCATCTGAATGAAATCATGTACATGGATTATATACCTCTGGCTATATTCTTTCTTTCATTGGTATTTTTTACGGCAGCCAATGCTTGGTTGATTAAAATATCCTATGGAATCAGTCGAAGGTCGTACTTGAAAAGACTATGGCTGAAAAGCAATAAATGTTTATTTGCAACAGAAACGGCAATTCCTGATTTCATTCACAATAATTTGTGGACAGGAAAAGGTAAATCTTGCTGTATGGTCGCCATTAATCCAAATCACGACTCACAATGAGAAAAATTTCATAGAGATAACGTGTTTTCAAGTACTCCGAAAAAACACAAAAAGGCAAAGTTTGCTCGTGAGATAGATAGACGTGGATTTTATAATATGTTCTTATAATGAAAACGCTTATCGCCTTTTTATGAAAATTTGCGATTTAAAAATTAGGTATTATGAAATGAGTATGAAATGAGTAAAAATCATAACACGCATGTCTGTAAATGCGTTCATTGTTGTTTTTCTAAACAAAAAACATTACTTGACTTTCTAAGGCTGTAATCAGGCAACGAAATTTAATTGTTGATTATACTGTAAATAGTTTAAATCGTTAATATATGCAGTTTTGTGCTAATGCAAGATGTTCATGCTTTTGTGATTCTTCCCAACAGTGCAACAACTTAAAAAAAAGACCTTTGAAAGATGTTTAAAGGTTTCGGGGAAACAGTTCTCTTTTGACAACTTTACCATTTGGTGCAGTGCATGCAAGAAACTGCAAAGCTTTGACAACAATGAAATTTGGTTGAACTGCATGAAATAAATTAGCAAAAATGTATAGACTAACTGCACACACATCACACATACGAGTTCATAACTAAAATAACTATATAATTGATCTCCAACAATAAATCCAACTACTAATAATGTTTTGTTATGTAAGATGTAGTTCTTCCATATAGAAAATAAAGTTAACAACGCTATTTCCAGAAGACATAACTCATAATTTTCGAGGCTTCTTTGATTTGCACAATTCTTTAGTTGAAAGGCATCTCGTTGGCAATGAATCTAAACTTTAAACAAACCAGGATGTCCCATTATTTGCATTACGATACGTACGCTGTCCATCAATACAAGACTGATATTGACTTCGATGAACATAGAAATTACTTTCGTTTTCTGAAGAGTTTTTTTGATATTGTTCGACGAATGCTTTTCTTTTTACTTTTCGATCCATTATCTTTGTTTTCATCATTGACGGTCTTTTCTTTCATCTTTTTGTCATGATTATGCCTTTTTCCTTTTCCAACCGCAGGTTTCGTTTCTTTTTCATTCTCATTTAATAATTCAATTTGATCGAAATCGACAGGTTTTTCTTTCTCCTTACGATGTTTGGAAATATTATCTTGTTGTTCGGTATTTTCGTTCTCGATATTGTTTTCTACAAGTATAAAATCATGAGTGTTAGCCATTATACGCAGAGGCAACTTTACTATTTGATTGGCAACTTTACTAGATGTTCGATAAAACGTTAAGATAAAAACATGTTATTTTCTTCAAAACCAACTACTCTTAAATGACAAGACATTTAAATTGTGGTTTAAATTTTTTAAGGACGAGCAAGTTATGAGATTATTGTCGTGTAGGAAAGATTAATCATCAAATTTTAGGGTTGCAAGCAATCTCTAGGAAGTTACTGAACAAAAGCATTCGCCCAAGTCAGCTGAAGTCCGCAATATCATTTGATAAAGTATTCTTTCATATCAGACCTTCAATATGGCTAACGTGAAAAACACCAATGATGATGAGTCACGACACAAAGTTAGCTACAGAAAAAATGAGAACCTTGTTGCTGAATAAAAATTGCCCACAAGAGAGTTCTTTGAAAGTTTCCTACTTTCGAACATTTACCATCATTTTGTGGGAAGTCTGTGTATAAATTACTTACATCTTGTTTAGGAGATTAATACAAGAAACAAAAAAGGCACCAATGTACAGCTCTACATTATTGTCTGCATGTGGTTATGATTTATTTATATGAATGTGAACAGATGTGTTGCTTGTTAAAATTGAGAATGTCTTATTTATGAATTCAAGAATCCTTGTCTAGGCTATTGTTTTTTTATTCTGACGTCAGTGTACTTTAAAACTGTATACACGAACTGACTGCGAAGAATTGATAACTAGGAAGGCAGCAAATGAATGCAGTTCTTCATGTTTTTCTGAATACAATCATTAGTTGTTACAACAATGAATGACGTTTCTAAATGTTATTAGTTACACTTATGTTTGCTCACCTTTTCCTGAACTTGTTTCAGCCATGACATGCGCGCTAGCTTTTCCCTTCTTGTCTTGTAAAGTAGAATATTCCTCGCCAAGAAGTTCACTGGTTTGTTTTTCCTTATCTTTTGTGTAGTTGTTTCGCCCCATGCCCCGTAGCTTTATTCCCTTATCTTTGTGTATTTATTTCCTTGCTCCCATGCCTAGCTTTTATTTTATCTTTGTGTAGTTATTTCCTTGTTCCATCCCCTTTTTTTTATCTTTTGTAGTTATTTCCTCGTCCCATCCCCATTCCCTTATCTTTTATTTCCTCTCCATGTCTGCTTTATTTCCTTATCTTTTGATTATTTCCATGTCCTTTTTATTTTATCTTTATTTCCTTGTTCCATGCCCATAGCTTTATTTCCTTATCTTTTGATGATTTTGTTCCATGCCCATTTTATTTCCTTATCTTTTGATATTCCTTGTCCCATGTCCCTAGCTTTTATTTCCTTATCTTTTGTATTTATTTGTCTCATGCCTAGCTTTTATTTCCTTATCTTTTTTTATTTCCTTGCTCCCATGCCCGCTAGCTTTTATTTCCTTTTCTTTTGTGAAAGGATTCCTCCACAGTCTATGGCTGGTCTTTCTTCTAAAGCCTGTATCGCTTTTCCTTTCTAGTGTGGAATCATTTTCCATAATGACTTCATTTTTGTATGTCCTTCTTTTGTTCTGCTAATTTTTGAACTTGACAAGGAGCATTTGTTGGTGATACAGAGTGTTTTCTTAGTTTAAACCCTTGTCTTATTTCTTTTAACAAATTATCAATAATACATTCTTCTTCCTGTACAGGTGGCTTTGGTTTTCCTTTTATTTTATTTCCTCCATTTTTTCAGCTTCTTTCTTTTTCTTTCTCGTTCTGCTTGTTTTGCTTCTTGTTTACGACGAATTTCGTTTTCCTTATCAAGAAAAAAGACAATAGTGAGATGTCAAAAACCACAAATAAAAATGTGCCGACTGTATAATAACGTAAGATCTATTCATAATTCCTATCTTTTATTTGGTCTAAGATACTCCACATTTTCTCCGACGCTAATGTTATAACAAAATGACTTTATGTTGAAACATGATAGGTGGGAAATGTTCCGATGACCCTTTTACGCTAAAGTAACCAAAATATTTTTTCATACAAAATTTAAAAGCAAAACAAAAAAAATTTAACATCAAAAACCTTTTCCAAATTGTAGACATTATGCTTTACCTCCTTTGCTTTGTCAAGATGATTACAAAATGTTTTAAAAACGTTCAGAAGATCTTCAAGTTTGAACCTTGATTCATCTTCACAAAAATATTCTGCCAATTCATGTCTTAAATCGTTCAATTTTTTCAATTTTTCATCAATTTTTTCAATTTCTTTAAAGGCATCCTTAATTAAAAAAGAATGAAAATGATAACTTGCTTCTCCTAAAACTTTCTCACTCTTACGAAAGTTTAATTGAAAAAAGAAAACTATTTTACCTTAATAAACGAGTCTAACTGTTTTTTCACATCATCATCTCCTTTCTCCATTGATTTTTGCAACGAATTAATATTCTTTCGTAATGTAGATAATTCACCCGAGAGATTATCAAGATTTAACCTGAAATTGATGAAAGTTTTTACAATTCTGTTACATCAGGTGCCATTCTAAGGATCTCAATTTTCCAAAATGGGTAATTCTATTTAAAAAATGGGTAGTTCTAAAACCTAAATTAAAGTTTTGGACTTTACAGAAAGTATGCACGTAGAATTACCTAAACATGAAAATGACACCCCCTGTAAACAGGACCTGGACACCCCTTGAAGAAGGACGTCAGATTCAGGCATGGGAAGTTCTAAATTTTTCTAAGGATGGCCCTTGTGTCACATAAATAAAGTTGCACATTTTATTGATGGCAAATGAATTTGTTGTACAAAAAAAAAAGAAGCAGAGTTATTTTCATTTAAGCAGATGAAACAGTTATTAATTAGTCAAAGCCTTCTGCCTTCGTCAAGCTCCACTTTAAACAAATACTTACTTTGAGGCATCATTCAAATACTTCATATTATCTGAAAACGATAAAACTCTTGAACGTTTCTCTTCTGCTACCTATAAAAAGAAGGACAACGACACTCACTAATATGAAACAATTTAAAGAAGCAATCTATTGCTTGTATAAGAATGAAATCTTTAGTGAAAAACTTGGAGAGTTACCAGTTAAAACACAGTGTAAATTAAAACAGATGAATTACCTCAACAAGGAAATGCATCAAATTCATCCGTGGTTTGTTCGCCTTAGTGTCCACAAGTTTTGTCAGTGAATCAATCTTGAATCCAATAGCATTCCCAGCTCGTCTTCCCTGAGTAATAATAATAAATATGTAAATGAACAATTTCACTGAAAAAACTTTTCTAATTCTACGGTGAATACATATAGCAGACAATCAACAGTAATCCCACTCGTCAAATGAATCGTCCTTTTTAACACAATCTTCAGCAGTTACAAGTTCATGTCATGTATTTACCGAATTCAAGAAGTTTCCAATCGTCAAGATAAGATGAAGTATTTCGGGTAAAACGTCGTTCTTCAAAATATCTAAACGTCGAGAAATCTAAATTATAAAAAACGCATTAAGCTTGATCACGGCAATGGTAAATATTACCTACCTTCAGTAGCTTGAAGTAAAATATCAATTTTTTCATTCAACATATCCACAGTCGATTTAAATTCTTCTTTGGCAATCATTCCTTCTAACCGAAGTTTATAATGACGTACGACAATCAAAGCAAGAAGAAATTTCTCCGCATTTCCTAATTTTTCCTTATCACCTTTGAACTCCTTGAGCATAGCAACCTGAAAAAATATTAATAAAATCAATGTAGCATTGATGATACCATTGAACAATAAAATGGTTTGGATAATTTCATAAATGGAAGCAGGGAAAAAGACGAAAAAATTTTAACAAAAACACCGTATTATAAATTTCTACGATCACATGCAAAGTACATACAGTAGTTGTATCAGGTAAAATCTTAAGAAATCCCTTTAGAGCATCAGGATCAAATGCTTTGCTATCCCCATTCTTTATGCTTTCAATGATTTTATCGATTGGTCTGAAACAAAATAAATTTTCCATATTCAACGTATTTCATGTACATTAAAAACACTTTATTAAAAATAAACTATGTATGGTACAGTTAGAAATTATGTACGGCACAATTAAACAAAATGTTTGCTACAATTAGAAAGTATGTATTGTACAATTAGAAGCAATGTATTGTACAATTAGAAAGTATGTATTGTACAATTAGAAAGTATGTATTGTATAATTAGAAGCAATGTATGATACAATTAGAAACTACTTACGCTTCATTATTTTTTTGTTATTATTCAAAATTGCGTTAGTGTTGAAAATCACAAACGAAGCTTGGTTCTGTTTTTAATTATTATTCACGGAAAATTTCGTTATTTCCAAAACTTTCATGAATCAAATACCTTTTAAATTGTTTGAGAAATATATTTATGTTCAAGCTCTGTTTCGGATCAAGAAGACTTATCTAAAAATGAAACACGTAAAAAATTGTAAACAATAAGTGAAATATTTCTTAGACGAGGACCATAATAACATAGAAAAGATAAATTTGAACAGGATGAGATGAAAAGTCTCGCTTCTTGTAAACACAATATAAACTTACCACTTTTGGTTCTTTTTTCGCTTCTTCTTTTTTAACAGGAGCAGTTTTTGTTTTTTGACTGAATAATTCTTCGCTTAGCTCAAATTTGGCTTGTATTGGGGCAATCTTTCCAACTCTAATCCAGATGTTCTTGTAGTTTTTATTTACTAGCATTGGTGGTATTTTTGCCCATTGTAATGTACGCATTTTGGCTTTAGGTTGCACTAATGGTGCTGTACTTGATGTGGTAGACGAATTAAAAGCTCCAGGAGTACCAAACATTACAGTAGGAACAGGTGGTACCCCAGGTGCTCCAGGAATAGGAGGAAGTGGAACTCCTTTTGCTCCAGGTAATGGTGGTGGAGGTGGAACACCACCTGCTCCTGGTAATGGTGGTGGAGGTGGAACACCACCTGCTCCTGGTAATGGTGGTGGAGGTGGAACACCACCTGCTCCAGGTAATGGTGGTGGAGGTGGAACACCACCTACTCCAGGTAATGGTGGTGGAGGTGGAACACCACCTGCTCCTGGTAATGGTGGTGGAGGTGGAACACCACCTACTCCAGGTAATGGTGGTGGAGGTGGAACACCACCTGCTCCTGGTAATGGTGGTGGAGGTGGAACACCACCTGCTCCAGGTAATGGTGGTGGAGGAGGAACACCACCTGCTCCAGGCAATGGTGGTGGAGGTGGAACACCACCTGCTCCAGGCAATGGTGGTGGAGATGGGATGGTTCCAGTTTTCGTTGATGAGTGAGAGGAGTTTTCTGGGTTGTTTGAAAGTGGTTCCGAAGCATCATGCATCCCTGAATGCGAAGATGAAGATGGCACAACAGGCATGGAAGAAATAGATAATGAAGTCTGTGTGACAACATCATGTTTTTCAGGAACACCTGAAGAATTATTTTCTGATGGATTATTTGTCAATTTTAGTTTAAGATCCGTTGACGTATACTTGTCTTTCGTCAATGGTTTTTCTTGAATGGAAGATTTCTTTACTGAAACTTGAATATTTGATATTAGATCTTCATTGATTCTTATGTTATTCAAATTTCGAACATCGTCCATAAGTGAAATCTTTGTGATAAAATTTTCAATTATCAACCACTTTTGATCTGTTTCCTTACACTCATGATCTAGTGTTAATAGCGATTGAAGAATGTTCAAAAAATTCATTGCGTAAGGTTTTGAGGATATCTAGAAACAAAAGAGACGTAACATTTTATAAATAAAACATTTTGAAAATGTTTCAAGGTCAATATTTATACAGAACCTTTTGAAATAATGCTTGAAAGACGTCGTTATGACTGTTTAAATTTACTCCAGTGTTAAGATCATCTTCATCGTTTAGACGCTGCTCTTCAAACACATCAATCTGCACAAGTAAATCTTCGTCTTCTTCGTTTCTATAAAACACAAATCAACAGTCTGAGGGTGAAAATTTTGTTCAGTACAATTACAGCACAGTCGTTTCGCTGTGATACTCACTTAAGCTCATTGAGATGTTCCAATAATCCAATACCTGAAAACAAAACCAAAACAGAAGAGTTCATTTCTTTATTTTTATATTGTTAAATGAAAAAAGAGGACGAATTGTCATTGAGACTGAATATAAAACAAGAGTGATGTTCATGCCGGTTAAACTTACCTATAAATTCGTTTCTTACTTTCACTCGTTGCTGAAAGTTATCCGTCGATAAAATAATGGCATTAACGAAGGCAACACATGAACTGATATAGGGCATAATTTCTAAATGTTTTAATTCATTGACAACGACACTGAAGCGATAGCGTTGACCTTTCACAGACTACATAAGAGAAATAATGAAAATGTTTACGTAAAGAATCAACGAATAATGGAAGAAATAGAAATAACTATCGTAAGATTTTGCAGGATGTCATTCGTGAACATCACGCAAAAACTTTTTTAAGGCTACAGAGTAAATGTGAAATATTTACACGATAGTTTTCAAGTGCATCAAGTGCAAGCTCGTATCCTCTTGAACAATATAAACATAACGCTGACAGCAATTCAACCACTTGTTTCTTCACCATGGTGTTCTCAGTGGAAAGAACTAAAAATAGCGTAGAAATAAAAATAAACACGCTAATCAACTATAACTAATGTGAATTTTTTTTGTATCAACATCACGAAATTTTGTCAATGGTACATCTCGTTTGGGGAATCGTTGCTTGCATTTCATAATTATCATCCAACGTACGTACATTAGGGTGATTAGGGTGATTTGCAATATTTTCGAGCAAAAAAAGGCAGATTTAGAACTTCATTCACTTAATCCAAATAATGCTAAATTTCGAAAATCTTATTGTTTTGATCATTTCAAAACGTAAGAGAATAGTGCGATATGAAACAACCATGGCAAGGATACAATTTTCATGCAGGGCGCGGTGTAGGTAAAATGAACATCTAATTTAACTTCAAACATCTGGATTAACTTTCAACCTTCATAAAATCATAGGGAATTGGTGATCATTACAATTTCCTTAGTTTTAACATCGTCTTTTCCCGGAAGTCACGAACTTTCTCATTTTGGATTCCGGGGAGTGCTGGGGTCAACCGTCAGCACAAGGGGTCATGTGATCATGTGCAATGTCAAGTGACTCAGTCATGTTGTGAAATACGGATTATCAAGCTCACCTAAGTCACCATTGCGTGCAATATGAAAATTGTAAAATTGTATACATCACCAGTCTATAATCTACCGAGGTTTTAACATTTTGCCCGTATGAAAGTTGGCTTTATACCACACACACACATCAATATGGTTTGCATTTCAATATGTATTTAAATTCCTGCACAGCACAAAAGTAAACATGACATAATTTGTAAAATTCATACATACAAACAAAGTATCATAAATGATTTCTATTTCACTGGTTTATTATGATTTGGAAAACCATCAAAATAAATGCAGTAATATCTATAGGCTATAGGCTTCCACTGTGCTCCTATTTACAAGTTGTCGCTCGATTGTTTCTTTGGCAAGCTAATGATAAAGAATTGTATGCGGCCTAGTAAACAGTATATATCTTGCTTCTGCATTCACCAACTATCGACCCATTAACACCAAAGTTTGAACGCTAATTTCGCGAAAAAATCCTTGGCAAGTCTGTTCGTGATATGCGTGAAATAAATCAACGATTTATTATTTTATAATAAAATATAAACCAGATGGGCAGAAACAGTTTATGCTTCAATCAAACTAATTGAATGACATTCAAACATTTAACAACGTGACCTTAGACTACAAATACCTGTTGTGAGCTCCCTAGTAAAGTTTTCACTTTGAATCATGTAGTCGAGTCCAGCTTTTGAGTTCATTACTGCTTTAATACATTGCACCGCTTCCAGCTGAATGAAAGCGTCGACAAAACTACAAATAGTTTTGTCGCTAAGCCTTTCCAAAGACAGAAATAAAGCCTCTAGTCCCCCGAGATTTAAGAACTCTTGAAGCCAATCCGCACTTGCTTTCTTTATTCTTGATTTAATTCCAGAGTAATTTTGAACTGTTGGTTTCGTTATAAGACGTATACATAACTCAGGCTCAGCCGCCGCTAGGGATTCTGTGTCTACCTTGTTGGCTTCTTCAGACTTGCTATTGACAGCTTTCTTTTTTAAACTTGCCCAAATCTTTTTTGTACTCATATTGTTTACAATATACTGTCTACGTTTGAACTCCGAACTACAAAATAAAATAGTTTTAAAATTGCCAACCTGTCTTATGACAATGACACAATATACCTTCAAGTGTCTTTGTGGAATAAGTGTGTACAGAATACATGTCTATAAATATCACCCACTCAAATGGAATTTCCGCCAATTGACACGACAGTACACGTTTTGTCGCAGGACCGACTATACTATACCATTTCAATGTTATTTTGCAAAACATTTTCAAATTATTTACATATTCAAGCTTTTAAAATATAAATCACAAAGAATTATCAATGTTTATCGACCGATTCCTGGATTAAAACGTATCAATAGCCAATATTATCACTGGGTCGATTGTTATTCATTGTGAAAGTTCTTAGAAAGGACAAAGCAGACAATTCATAATCAAAATAATTGGGTCAGTGGTGTCAAACATATACCTTATATTTGATTGATCATTGTATCAAAAATGCTGAAACGACAATCTGGGATCTACTATGGTGGTAGAGCATGTGCGGAGCCTAATTTCGTGGAAATTCAAGTGATGATAAGAAATTAATTTGGTAAAAACCTAATTTGGTATTAGGACCAATGAGCCAATTAACGACTTATTTAGCACGTATGTGTTCAGAGTATCATTCGCCTTAGGAATGTCATAAGTTCATTATAGAAAGATTGCGGTTTGTATTTAACACACCTAGGACGTTAATTTGGCATGAGAAAATGACGAGTGTTTAGCACGTACGTGTTTAGTGTATCATTCTTTGGAAGGCTGGTTGTCTTATGGAAACCTTTCATATTTTTACATGTTATACCCTTACCTATATTCTTATATATGCTCTTACTTAGTTCACTGTACGCTTTACACATATCCTAACCCCTTACGTTTTCCCTTATCCAAGCACGCACCTTTTACCCTTGCCTTAACTCATAGAGTCAACATAGTGAGCTAAATAAACATAGACAACCATGGGAGAACAGGAGAATATTTTTGTGGGTGCAGTTTATAATTACCTGCGGATGTTAATGATTAATATTGCTATTCATGATGGTCATATCTTACAATAGAATAGATTCAGAGGCAGAAGGGCAGCACAAAGTAAAATTTCCTCGTTACAAAACCTTAGCTATAATCCCATCGGAGAAAATTTAACAATTCATGATGGAAAAAATGGGACAAATAGTGTGTTAACACTCAGCCACAAGCCAGCGAATTTTGAAAACATAAAATCTGTCAAATGAAAGATATTCTTTATCAACTTTGTGCAGTAAATTTTTTCATCAATTGTTATATCAAACAATAGATTCTTTTATAGCTTCAAAGTATCCGTACCACAGCGGCAGTTGTTTGTGCCGCCATTTTATGAAACGAGGAATGTTACTAGAAGCAAGAAATTAAGCCCCTTCGCCACTGTGTCGGGGAATTCTAAAATATTTTTGTTCTTACTGTGTTTTTGCTAATTTTAACCATTGAACAACACTTTCCGGTGTTACTGAAATACAAACATTAAAGAACAGAAAGATTTCTTTTGTTGCATTTTATTCATAAGCATTGTTCCAGATTGAAAGTGAAAAATAATAAGAGTTAATTCGAAAACTTTTACTGAAACATTAAAAATCTAAATATGACAACATTTTCTATAAATTATCCAATATCAAATTAACGCCTCCCCCTTAAAGCGTGAGTTTTTATTAAACGTCTCCCTCTAACAAACGCCCGTCTCTAACAGACACTTCACACACAGATACCAATATAATCTTATTAAAGTGGTCATCGACAGATCTCAGAAACTGTATATTAAGTCTTAGTTTTGTTTTCATTTGATCACATCAAGAGATAGAAATAATATCAGCATCATTTCAGCACCTCTTTAACTAACGCAACCTAACCCCACCCCCCGTATAACAGCTTATGCTCGTCATTCCTATTGCTCAAAAAATTTTATTGACTGGCTGCCATCATGGTTATCACATGCACGTAATAACATATGGCACATTTGTAATAAGCATGGCACAAAAAATTTTAATGAAGTGGCGCCCTTCTGTATATTTCTTATTCTGTACAAACGCATTTCATTTTTCTGAACGTCGTGTATAAATACAAAATAATTTGATCAAAATGAGGGATTTGTAAAGTAAACTTCAACAATCAATATATACATGTGCATGAGTGAGAAAGAGTTAGAGGTTAAAATTATCAAAACATTACACCACTATTACTACACTCGCTTGATATTATTTTCTTCGATTTATGAAGATTTACTGAACTCGTAGAATGCACTAATAAGATCACAAATGTTTTAACAGAAACAATTTTATGACCTCATTTTTCAGTTCTTATTCCATAATTTGTCAGTCCTCCACAATAACAATGCACGAAAGAATTAATCATATTGAACAAACATGTAGCTATGTTGTTCACTACACAAATAAATTTTAAGAAAGAAATTCAAGCAAAATACCTGTTTGTACCGTTCTTTAGACAATATCGATTAGTGCAAGTTACAAATTTCTTGACAACTTAATTTAGCAATGATTATAAAGTTTGATATTAAAAATATGATAATAAACGTCGCTATATATTGTTGACTATGACATAGTGCTGCCTTATTAACAAATCAAATTGTACATTTAACTAGAATGACGTCATTTTACACAACAATCATTGAGAAAAACGCATAAAATTGAGTAAGATAACACGAAAGTTTGTATAAACACCTGCTTATCAGCACCGGTAAAACGCAGCAATTCAAATTTTCTTAAAAAACACCTTGAACACATCAGGATAATAATCCTTAGATTTGTTGATTAAAAAGCTTTCTTATCATTTGGATACTTGTCATAAAAGGACGTTGATTTTCTTGTGATGCTTCTTTCCACCTGAGGAATTATAAAACATTTAAAATTTCAAATGCAAAAAAAAAACCGCGTCAGAAATTGATGGAAAGTAATTGTAAAACCTTCGACGAACTTCTTTCCATCGAGTTATGTGTTGTTTAAGGAGGTCCGAAGAAGAAGCTGGACAATTCTGTTGCAAAAACTGAAACGTTAAGTTAAGGAATATCATTATCACAAACTAATCTGACATCCACACGAGTACATTAGTTGGGTACAAAGGCACACCAGAGAGCACACAGGCAGACGTTGATTACATTTTGAAATAAATAATTTTTAATTCTTTACAATGGTAACCCTTAATAGGCTATTTAGACTACGAGCAAGCCATTGAGCCGTGCTATTGATCCTTATTCATTTTGGATAGAAAACTGAAATAGATTTATTAAACTAAAACTATTAGCTCATTAACTGCACACTCTCATCTTACTTCATGACGTAAAAAAGCGGGACGGTCGCACGAAGTTTGTATAGCGTTATCCTTTAGATGGTAATTTTTTCAAACATGTAAAAAAGTGATTATATTTTCTTTACGAAAATGAAACTTTGTAATTCTAGAACCAATATTGTATTTTATTGATTGTCCAGTTTGAATCCTAGATTTTTTTACGAGATTTTTGAAGCGTTCAAACATTACTATCAAGTACATAGATAGCGCTGTTTGGCTTTCGTGCAGTTGACAACAGTTTTCTTACGCAACAATAATGTTAAACGAGTGAAATCCAAAACAAAATGATTGTGTGGCTGTGATTCTTTCATTTCTATCTTAGAATTAGTCATTTCAGCGGTCATTTTTATAATACACCGTGAACACAAGCACTCTGTTACAAAATTCCACGACAGAGCTTTTCACAATGCTTTTAAATTTAAAAATTTGCTTTTGAAAATTATTTTACTCACATCTGATTTCCAAGTTTCCGCGCGAGTTTGAGGAAGAGGTGTCGGTATACAAGATGGTAAACCAACGTTAACAGGGACTGGAAGACTATAGGTGTTTATAAATTGAAGAAAAGTACTCTTTACTCATTTAGTCAAGCTCAGACAACAGAAATAAAACAACAAAAAATTGTAAAGTGTTGCAAATAAATTTTTTGTTTAAATATAAATATCAAAGCCCAGCAAAGTGCTTTTGCTGGGCTTTGATATTTATATTTAAACTTCGCTTTCCGCCCGGTATATCCCTGGTCAAAATTTTTTGTTGTTAAATTTTGCAAAAAGTAAAAATCGTGTTTTTCTTTTCATTGTTAAATGATTACGGAGTAAGTGATAGTTATAGATATTTTAATACAACATCAACCAACCAGAATTAAGTGAAAGGAAATCAATAGAAAGTAAGAGAATTTTGTGTATGAAAATAAATACTCTGTAAGCAAAGAACGGATAAACCACAAAACAAAGAAAGTTTGTATAACTACGTACATACAGTCTGTGTTTGATATTTTTACCTATAAAGAGCTTCGGAATTCACTTCACCTACCTACAATAAGTTTATAATGATAACAAAATAAAATCTTTTTCACAACATAAATTTAATACATGAACAAATGCCAAAAATAAATAGCTGATAAAAAACATACCATTGTGGTGAGATTTTCAACATTTGAATCTTTCACAGATTCATGTGGTTTATTTTTCATCCATGCACGGGCTAATGTATACAAGGATGTGCCTTTGTGAAATTTTGCAAAATCCACACTGCGATCAAACAACTTGCAAATATGCCTAAATGAAAAAGTGACTTTAGCTTAAAGCATCTCTGAAAAAAATTTTTTTAGGGCAACTATTTTGTTTTGTTTGAAGATAGGAATGAAGCTTTCCGTACAACTATGTAAAATAATTTCAACACAAAATACCACATACGTACGTTGCTGTGTTTTTATCCATGATTTGATGGAAAGTTAAATGTAAAAAAGAGAAAAACTCAACTAACAATCAAACAATTTGAATTTATAAACAATGAAATTTTCAATGAGGATTTAACAATAACATAAATGGAACTAACGTTGTTGTGGAGCATCCATCATCTGAGTTTCTAAAATGAAGAAAGATGGCTTATAGGCAAACTACTGATCAATAAGGTCTTGACAAAGTCTAGCTGTTTGTAATTGTTTGTCTTTGGGTCAATATAGCAGCTGTTATTTGCATGGTGATCTTGCATTGAGATTTTAACAAATCACAATTCAGAAAGGGATGTCTTAAGAGCAGTCCATTTTGCTGAATTTAATCAATCATATCCTTAGTTATCTGTTATAAAACTAGGCAAAATTTTGTAATCATTTTCACTGTTTTAGTTTAGAACCATACCTATGATGTAAATTTGAAACATAAACAATATATATTTTGATGAAAAAGATATATATTACAATATTTTAAAGGAGATATTAATTTCCATTTGATAGCTAGCTCCATATATTTTCTAAATTTTCAGATAACCTGATGAACTACAATATATTCTGTTAATATCCAAGTAAGTATTAAAATAATTTTGTGTTAACATTACGTACCAGAATCTTGAGATGGATTTTCACGTTTAATTCTTTTTCTTGGTGGTTTGTTTCCTAAAAAACAGGGCATTTACTCGTCAACCTTACTTGATAATAATACCAAATAACACAAAGAAAAATAACAAAATGTAATTTCTTCAAATTTGTTTATCTACCTGATGTAGTTGTTCTTCATTTTACAAAACAATTTCCCCAAAAAGAAGAGATTTATATTCATTTTTCATCCAACATTATATTGTGGTATAGTAATCAAATTACCTTTTACGTGGAGTTGATGGTTGTTGCATGGGCATATAGCTAAATATTCAAGAAAAGTATTGCATCATTGAGAAGAATGAAATGTATGAGGCTGGTTTTGAGTCATTTTATCATTCTTTATTAAGATAAATCAAGCAAAAAGTTTTCCTATCTGTTTTACACAATTAGCAAAACTTGGGCTTATGAAATTTTAATCAATGAATTTACATGATTTGTAATTTTGATGGTGCTAACTTTCTATAAATAATTCAGTTAGTAAAAAGTATTCTTATAAAAACTGTTGACTAATAGGAATAAGCATAACAAATTTGTGCAAGTCAAAACTTTGTTACATGTATAAAAAAGTTGTTATGAATGATCTTCAACTTACCTGTTTTCTCCTCTGACATCTTGAATAAGTGGAGTACTAGTAAGAATAGTTTAAAACATCGATGTTTAATGACTGAACATGAAGAGAGAAGGAGAACAGGGAAGAATGGTAAAACATTCAAATATGACTGATAATACAATCACTACCTGTACGTATCTTGTTTTTCTGATAATTTTTTCAACAAGTCGTCCAAAGCGCTCCTTGTGTCTGCTAAACGTCCGGCCATAAGTTTTGCGTTTCAAAGTATACTACTTTACATTTCGTTCGTTCGATTTTGTTGATTTTTTATTTGGGTTATCTTCTGATCTACTCATCTTACTAATATAAATTAAAAATTTTGCTGTAAAAATTTATTTTAAACTCCTATTGGTCAATAAATAGCGGGACGTATGATGTATTTCATTGGTTATTGAAAAACTCGTTCCCAGTCCACATTTACCAACTTTTAAATGCTCATAAATTTTAGTAAATTTCTTTCTTCCTGCTTTAAGAATCCAGTGGATCACGGCAGTTGGGACAATTTTCTTCGAGAAATGGAGAAAGGTCAAAGACTTTTGTCCAAGGCTTCTTCGTCGAGCCGTTAGTAGTTTTTTTATGATAAGCCAAGCGATGAGGTAGTTTTACATGGAAAGGCGCGAGATAAAGAAAGACCTCTCCACAAACATGAATCACGAGGCAGCAATGGATGGTTTTCTTGAAAAAATTGGTTTGTTTAGAAAACCTATTGCTAAGGACGGATCATGCTTGTTCAGAGCTGTTGCAGAGCAAGTATGTGTAGATTGAATCGTTTGAAACTATGATAGCAGAAAATGCCTTCATTTTTTTGCCAATTTTATTTTAAGTTTTGCTATATTGTTTCAAATTTAACGCTCAATACTTCAAATTTAGAATTTTTTTACCATGTTCAACACTTTCAAATCAAAGCGATCTATTCCAGTGAAATGTATTTGTTTTGATTTGATATTTATATTCCACCTAATGAATTTGGAAATTATCATAAGATGGGACAATAATGGAGCGTTTTTTCCTCAACATTATAACATATAAGGAATAAATATAGAATTCATTTGGTCACGTATGAAAAGTGTTAGAAATGCCTTTTTATCTTTGGTTACAATGGAGAAAGATTGGTTATGATTCATACATACAATATTAATATGAAATGAGTGATTTGTAGGTAGCAAATCATCTTTGACTTGCATTCACATTCAAAAGATTTCTCCTGATGACTTTCTTGTTTTTGATAATCTATTTGTATTCATTTAAAATTATTTGTATCAAAGGTATTTAACTGCCAGGCAGAACATACAAGAGTAAGAGGAGAATGTATTGAATTCATGAACAAGAATAAAGAAAGATTTGAAGCGGTAATGTTCAGCAGTTTTCAAAACTGTAATGTAATTTGCCATGCTGACTTGATCTTTTATGCTAATTTTTATTAGTTTGTGGAGGGGCCTTTTGACCACCATTTGTTCAACTTAAGAAGTCAAAAGGTTCATATATTAATCTTCCAAATTTTGTTTTTATAATCTGCATGCAATACATTACCAACTGCTGCTTTATCTATTGTTGAATTATTATCTAGCAATGGGCAGGCCAAGTTGAAATACAAGCCCTCTCTTTGATGTATAAGTAAGCATTTCTGTGGTTAAGAGATATCTATTGTTAATTGTTTGTATTTAATATTTTTAGAACAAAATCTATCATTCTTTCCTGCATAGGTGTGATTTTTTGGTATACAAGGATGTGAACACAGGTCCAATAAAAGCAACTGAAAATAATTTTGAAAAAAAGGTAAATGTTTCCAACATAAGACATTGAATTACAAAATATACAAAATGAAATACATTAATATTGATGAATAGGCAATTTATTAAGTAACCATTAAGAATTTTTAATTTTTAGATAATTCTTTGTTACTCCAATGGAAATCATTATGATAGTATATTCCCACACTCATATAAAAGCAATCTTGGGTTTTGTCAGTGTACGTAAATTTTTTTAACACTTATATTATTGATACAATACATTTGAGAAAAGATAATTTTCCTTTTACCTTCAGCTATAGTTTTTGAGTTACTATATGGAAAAGTTTTCCCATTTTTGATGGAAGCTCATCCTGAAAAGAAGGCAATCAATTCCAACTTGGTTGAAAGAAATGATCAAGGTTGTGATGGTAAATTGGCAAATGATCAGGCCACTGGTAATAAAGAAGAAAATGATGGATGGACAACTGTGAAGAGTAAGAAACAAGGTGAGATGAAATTAAAATGGAATAAAAGATACTTGATGATGATAGTTTGTTTGTGTTTATAACTTTTTGATATTAGGAAAAACATCAATTAAAATCAAAAGAATGCAGAGCAAAACTCTTCTGATCAGTCATCTCCATTATCTTCTAAACTGTATTGGGAAATGATGAGGTCTATGGACACAGAGAATTACAGAAATATTGCATTGGAAATCTGGGAGCAAAGAAAGAAAGGTGATTTGTATTCTATGTGTTTGCTTTGCTTTTATTTTTACATTTAATATTGAATGTTCATATATCTTTGTAATGAGAATTATTAAATTTTCATCAATGTAGAACAACAACATAAAGATCAATCTGTTGCTGCAAGTATTCAATTTAGGAAAAATGAACGATGCCAGGTGCAGAAAAAATACTTTATAGAAATATAATGCATGTGTGCACATCAGTGTTAAATTATGAAATATTTTCCAGGTTCGACATCCTCAAGATGAAAAACTATATTGGGCTGTAATTGATGATGTTTTAGATGAAAAATGCAAGGTCAGTTTGACTAAAATTTTTAACACAGGAAATGTTTATCGAATCATGTATTATTCAATTATGCACATTGGTTGTAAATACGTAATTAAAAACTAAAACTGTTTTTATCAAATTATTTCTGCAGATTTGGATACCAGAGCTTAAAGAAAGGTATTTTATGATAAGTAATTTTGTGAAAATTTGTTTATCAAGATTCTGGGTTAGTATGTTAAAGCGTTTGGATTGTCTTGTTAAAATTATTGTTTCAATATTTATGTAGAAAAGTCGTCTCATTCTCCCGTCTTAAACCAAAAGAACAGCACTCAAATTATCGAGAATTATCGGGCTATTATCGTAAACAAGAGAGTAACGACGAAACTACTCGTATGTTTCATAAAAATATACCCAAATATTTACATTTTATTGATTCTTCTCAAAGATTACACACGACTAATCTCGTTGTTTTCATTAAAGGTGTCTCAGATGATCAGAAAACTAACAAACGACGAAAATCGAACAGAAATAAAAAGGTTCATGTGCTGGCATGTGTATGGTTCTAGAGAAAAAAACATTGAAATGTTTGATCAAGAATTAAATTTTGTCTTTAGGTCGAGACAAATGAAACCCAACAAGAAACGTCCATACAGGTGAAGACAGTAAGTACGTGGGTAAAAAAAATGCAGTTCTTGTTACCAAAAATTTTTTTTTTTTGATAGCAGGAAGATGGTTCTGGACGGCAAAAAGGAGAAAAAAACAGACGACGTAAAAGCAATAACAATTTTGTTCGTGCCAAAGATAACAGAAGAGATTTTAATCAAATACAAAATGATGTTGTTTCTCAGGTGAAACAACATTTACTTAAAAAGGCAAACTGTTTTTTTATTTCTAACGATCAATATTCAATTACGCATGCAGCTTGTTTTCAGAAATATTTTATTTTCAAAGGAACGAGGATCGTATGAAGTAAATGCTTTTCCAGCTCTTCCCACTAAAGACGAGCATCCTACCCCAGTATGATTTAAATGGCATTTCTTACTATAATTTTAGTCCACAGTTATATATGTTAATTTCTGATGTTAATCGAGTTATATTTCATAATAAAACTTTACGACCAACATCTTTTATCACAGGATAAAGAAGGTGACGAGTTTTCTAACAGTAGCCATGATCCTGCTGCATTTTGGAGGAAACGAAGAGAAGTTGGGCAAATTGAGAAAACAGCAGAATTAAAGACAACCATGGAGTCTAAATTGGATAAGATCAAAGATAATGTACCACATAATGACATTTGTAAAAATGATATTGTAAAGAACGAAGCAAAAAGCATTGTAAATGAATCATCTAAACCATCTCTTGAGAATTCAACTTTGCGTGGAATTTCCTTGGAACCATCATCATCCAGCATCCCGGAAATATCCTCTAGCATCCCGGAAATATCCTCTAGCATCCAAGAAATATCCTCCAGCACCATAGAAGACTCTCACAAACACAAACAAGAATCGCTAGAAGCGGCAACTGAAAACCACCTTGACGACGACGACGAAGATAACAATCATAAATTTCCTGATCATGGAAATAGGACGAAAGAAGAAAAAAAACACGTAAATTGGAAAGATTTGCAGAACAATGAAGACAACCACGTAGTTAATGACAAAATCGCTCAAAACAAAACTAAAGAAACCAATGAAATGAACAAGACCGTTTTAACAGACGAAAAAGCTGTGTTGAAAGACACTGTTATTGAAATTGAGCAGGAAAACGTCGCAGGAAATAATTCGTTGAATAAGATTGAATTTTATGAAAATCAAGAAAACGTCAATCATCAGACGAACTTTGAGGTCATTTCAAATCCTATCAATGAAGATAATCAGGTGCAAAGCACACCTCTGACAGAAAAAGTACTTTCCTGTAAGTATTTCAATGATAGTAGGCATGTAGAAATTACTATACCTACACGAGTGATAAATATTTTGACCAGTTTGTACAAATTAAATTATCAGTTGTAGGACATGATTCGGGAGAGAACATTGTTGAGAATGGTACAACTGTTGATTATGAAGAAAAGGTGTGTACCTGTTCAGTATAAAATCCACCACACCCATTGATAACCAACTGAATATTATGATGGGTTATATTTTTATGATATATTTGTTGATAGGAAGAACAAGGATCCTTGACACCACATATGTCCAACTACACGTCACCAAACAGGAATTCCCCGTCATTTTATAATGATCATACAGGCATGGAAACATCTAATATCGATATTCAACCTATCTTTGCACCAACAATACACAATGAAATTCTTAATGGTAATATATCATATTCAAGAGATATCGAGGGTAAAGATCTTCCACAAGGTTTGTGTGTGTGTGCACTCACTGTTTTAGGTTTATCTTAGTTCTAAGTATTATTTTATAACAACTGTAACAATTTCGAGATGATACAGCCAATCAAAGAAAGGAAGCGACGATAAAATTTGTGTTTTCCTTGAATTTCACACTCCTTAATTAAAGAAATTATCGTATTGCACCTCAAGAAGTGGCTTTATAAGTTGAACAAATTTTTGTGCAATTTTTAGTACTTACTATTGAAGTATTGGTGATATTTTCATTTCAAGGATGACTGGCCTCTCGCTAATGTTGTGCACGTTATTTTTTTAGATATGGAGGTTCTGCGATATTTTTACAACTATGGAATTTATGTAAGCATTTCTATTATTTCTATTCCAATGATGAGCTCGATTTTTATCGAATGTTTAATTGAAATTTATAACATTTCTCGACCTTTTACTTGTCAAGATTCAATCACACAGTTATCTTTGCCTGATTAACAATAGGCTTAAAGATAAAAGCTTCAGCTTTGCTCAACCATCACCACCAAGTGCTTTGAATCAAATCCCTATCAATAGTCTTGTCGATACAATTTTTTATCAGTTATTTCCTATTAACTTCCTTGCGTTAGGCGTATCGATTTTTCAGTGGCAGCGTGTTTCCGGGCAATACTCCTATGAGTCCCGTCTATCCTATGGTTAACCCCAACGCGGTATATGCAATGCAACAGCCCTATCAAAATCGAGCCATGGTAATTCCTCAGAACGTGTATCAACAAATGCAGGTCTGTACATCTGTTTCAAAAACCTTCATTTAAGTAAAGGGTAAATTCGTCAGAATTTCTTGTGTTTTATGTAGCAACCAACGCATGAGGACAACCAGCAATCAATTGCAGGTGACGACACTCATGAAAGAAATGAGAGTCCTGGGTTCAAACCAAATATCTCAATACACCAATCAGCAGGCTCGTACCATCCTATGCAACAAGCGCCACAACATCATATGTTTAGCTATGGCCAGATTTTTTCCACGGCTGGTCGTCCAGTTTATCCTGCTTATAACATTTACCCTCCGCGAGCACCCTTCTCTAGATACCCGGCAAACAAAATGGGATTCAATCGTCCATCAAATCGGAAGTACAACAATAGATATTTCAGAAATGACAACCATTCCAATGTTAAATTACACAATCTTCAAACTGGCTATGGTCACGTTAAAGACACATAGTAATCGACACAAACTCAACAGTTGTAGTTGAAGATTAACATTTATTTTATTGGAAACCAATTTAAACCAAGCATTTCATTTCCATAAATTCTCATTGTGTAATTTTTTTATCTGTTACAGCAGTGTAGATTTTTTTATTTCTTGTTTCATGTTGCCGTGTATCTCTAGACGATAACTTTTTAGCTTATGCAATGGAAGCGAAGGCGAACTCCCATTATCGTACTGCCCAAATTGACCCAAAACAAGGCGTGCATAGTCATTGTAGCAACGCAGTAACTTTTGTGTGAGAAAAATTCATGGCAAACTGTGCAAAATATAGATGTATTTTTTAACACTCGGTCATAACACTAGTTGAAACATCGGTCATAACACTAGTTGAAACATCGGTCATGACACTAGTTGAAACATCGGTCAGCCAGTTGAAACATCGGTAATATCAACATCGGTCATTCATCGAAATTCAAAATTAATGCCCAGTATATGGGTTGTCTGAATGTTGACACATCGAAGCCGAGATGAAACATCGGTCATGGCTCAGCCACAATAGAGCTTGAGTTATCACCAATTACCACAACATTTCTTTTTCATTTGTAACAAACATTCAATCATAAAATAGTAAAATATTTCTTCAGCTCAATATGATTTGCACAATACTCATATTTTCAAAATTGGTAAAACTAGTTAAATCACAAACATTTTACTATTTGGGAAGCAATTGATGCAAGACCGAATATTGATGTCAATTTAAAATCAACAAAGAAAAAATTAATAAATTTACCATGTTGTGCTTTAGTCACCCACAACCAGAACTTATTTCTCTTTATGTTTTCCTTATCAACTTTGGACCAATTTTGCCTTTGAAGAGACAGAGCCAGGGTAAGAAAATATATTTTCGTTAAACAATGCAAATTAAATTTTTCCTTGTACTGAATAGGTTTTATTTCAATATGTTGCTGTACTGTCAAACTTATTGATTAAGTTTTAGTAAGTTCCAACACGTAACAACTGCATACAGTATATAATATACAGCTTAGAGAGTTATTAAATATGTAGTTACTTAAATTTTGTAAAATGTTCACACAAAATTAAGAAAATATATTGTTAAACAATGCAAATTAAATTTTATATGAAGGAGCAGTTTATTTCAACAGTCTATATATGAGGGATTATAGTCTATATCAGGTTACGAGGGATCAAATATGTAGCAACAGTCTATATATGAGGGGTCATCAGTCTACATACGGGGAGCAACAGGCTATATACGAGAGATCATCAGTCTACATACGGGGGAGCAACAGTCTATATATGAGGGGTCATCAGTCTACATACGGGGAGCAACAGGCTATATATGAGGGATCATCAGTCTACATACGGGGGAGCAACAGGCTATATATGTATGGGAAAAATATAAATACTTTCTAAGCAATATTTATATAAATAACTATAAATTACGTTCAAAAACGTAACAGGGAAACCGCGAAGATCCCATAATATAATATACTCGTATTTGTACTAGTATGAATAAAAATTATCATTTCACTTTTAAAAATGCGTATCAAAATAATTTTATGCAGCAATTGCGTTATTTGGAAGAAAATAAAATTCCCGCAAATATGCCAGTACTGAGAAGAAAAGCAATAAACAAAGCCGTCCTTGTTGCTTTATCATTGGATTGATCAAGAATGTCGTTTCTATCAACGCTTTCGTCACCAAATTTCATATCATTTTTCACATCTTGTTTAATTTTATCACCGAAGTGATTGGCTCGATTTCTGAACGATTCCCAAGAAGAGCCCTCAAAGTTTCCTATACAATGTAATAAATTCTCGTTCATAATTTCCCATTTTCTGTCAAAAGTTTAGCATAAACTGAACATGTCTGCTCGCTTTAGATTCTTCGTAAATTGGGCAGTATCAAGATAGGATCAAATTGTTGATTCGGAAATCCGAATGTTCAATTGAATATAAGATAAAAATCAAAAATAAAAGAGGCTAGTGTGTATGTGTTTAAGTTGTCGAAACGACTGCAAACTCACATTGGCAGGCTATTACGCATATGAAGGAAAAAAGATGACGACTTTTTAAACGTAATCTATATGCCCCTCGTTATATGTGAAACATAGCATCTCCCTTGTTCTTACGTATGACATAAAGGCTCTCTCCTTCTGGGCATAGTTATATAAAATACGTAATTCGTAGATGAATGAAAAAAAAACTACGTATGCATCACACAACAAATTAGGCTACCTTTTCTGGCATTATTTTTATCCAGACCATTCACAGAGCCCTTAAGGTCTTCATCCAGTTCTGCCAAGGCAGTAATTAAAGCTCTTTGTTTTTCTGTTAAGTATCTAGAACATTTAGTACAAACTTAAACTTATATTCACTTCATTTATTGTTATATCATCTAATTTTCACTTCTTCATGTCATATTTATTATATATTAAATTGTACAACTGTAAAGATATTGTATGTAAAGCAGAATTAAGTTTTATTCGCCAAAAATAAATTGTTTTTAATCTAGTTGAAAAGTCATCAGATGACTGATATTCAAAGATTACATCAGTTTACCTTGGAATATTGATGGAAAAATGAACAAAATGATCACCCTTCCCAATACTGTTTAATCTTTGAATTCCCTTTCCTGAAAGACGAACTTTCTGTTGTGATTGAGTTCCAGTAGGGATCTATATAATACACAAGATCGTTAACTAATAGCTTACTAAATTGTTGTTACTAGATTTTAAAAAAAAACGTAAGGTTTCACTACCTTAATATCTACATCGCCATGTAATCCTGGAACTCTAATTGAACCTCCCAAAATTGCCTTAAGATAAATTTATGACAATGAGAAAGACAAATATTTTATTTACGTCATCGTGTCATGCAAAAAGTAAAAGGGACAAAAATTTATTTAGATGAGTTGAGTTGGAAAATTTACACCCACCAAGGTTATCTTTCATGTCAATTTATGCTACTGAATATGTTATTGCACAGAATATGTTAAATATAGCATAAAAATTGGGAAGGGGGTCTTATTTAACTTGACATTCAAACGAGGATGCAAAGAAAATCAAACTTTATCACAACATAGATAAATGATTGAGTTCATAAATTTTGCTAGAATATTATAGTGAACGGTACACACATAAAGACATGTCAAATGATTAATAAATTTAAACTTTATAACATGATTCTTACTTGAGTATAGCTAATTGATACGGTAGAATGGACATTCGCTCCATCACGCTCAAACAGTTTACTATTATCCACCTAAAGTAATTCAATTCACTTAAAAATTACAATTCAAACATTTAACTGCGTTTGCATGTTAATTTAGATTACAAAGTTTACCTTAAATGTTATAAATATTTCATTTCCACCCATTGGCATTCTTACAGTCTGACCATTCTCAATTCCTATGAAGGTTAACGAAAATTATGAGTTTTTGCAGAAGCATTTCCATTTCGTGGCACATGTTTTATCAAAATAAAGCTGAATCACCGAACTGAAAATCACGCAACTGGAATATCAACTATAGCCAAGTAACGCAACTGGACTATCACTATGATATGAGAGTCAGTTTTTAATAGAAAATTGTCACACACAAATTATCAATAAAAAGGTAGCTACATCCAGGTACGTTTTGAGTTCAATTAAGAAACCCCATTTGTGAGCACTAGAAAGGACTGGACACCAATAACAAATAAATCATCAATAACATGAGCCTGCAATGGTGCAACCAAAAGATAATTTAAGTATTCAACTCACCTGCAGGAACAGGTACAGTTATCTTCCGTGTTTCCATAATGCTTCCAGCTCCATTACATTTTCTACATGGAATCTTTATAACATATCCACTTCCACCACAACGACGACAAGTGGATCGCATGTGAAAGAAGCCCGTACTTATAGTCTCCTAGAAATACATGCAATGCTAAGATTTAAAATAATTCAGGTTTGCAGACTTCAAGTACACAAGACAGCATTTTACATATAAAACATACTCACTAGAACTAGTACAGTCTTTAAAACATACCTCACCAGAACCATTACATATGAAACATACTCACTAGAACTAGTACAGGCTTTAAAACATACCTCACCAGAACTATTACATATAAAACATACTCACTAGAACTAGTACAGGCTTTAAAACATACCTCACCAGAACTATTACATATAAAACATACTCACTAGAACTAGTACAGGCTTTAAAACATACCTCACCAGAACCATTACATATAAAACATACTCACTAGAACTAGTACAGGCTTTAAAACATACCTCACCAGAACCATTACATATGAAACATACTCACTAGAACTAGTACAGGCTTTAAAACATACCTCACCAGAACTATTACATATAAAACATACTCACTAGAACTAGTACAGTCTTTAAAACATACCTCACCAGAACCATTACATATGAAACATACTCACTAGAACTAGTACAGTCTTTAAAACATACCTCACCAGAACCATTACATATGAAACATACTCACTAGAACTAGTACAGTCTTTAAAACATACCTCACCAGAACCATTACATATAAAATATACTCACTAGAACTAGTACAGGCTTTAAAACATACCTCACCAGAACCATTACATATGAAACATACTCACTAGAACTAGTACAGGCTTTAAAACATACCTCACTAGAACCATTACATATAAAACATACTCACTAGAAGTAGTACAGGCTTTAAAACATACCTCACCAGAACCATTACATATAAAACATACTCACTAGAACTAGTACAGGCTTTAAAACATACCTCACCAGAACCATTACATATGAAACATACTCACTAGAACTAGTACAGTTTTTAAAACATACCTCACCAGAACCATTACATGCAGGGCATTTAGAAAGAGAGGTTCCAGGCTCAGCTCCAGAGCCATTACAATGATTACATGTCACTCTTGTTCGAACAGGCATTTCTTTATTGACTCCTTTTACAGCTTCCATAAAGCTCAATCTGAGTGAATACTGAATAAATATAAATTGTATCACATTCAATGATGGTTATGATAACACAGCTCAATGTCATGGCTATAGCTGGTTTAATAAAATGTACAATGAGAAACCTTTTGATAAAAAGTTTCATTTAGCCATGATAAACAAATGCATTCAAACTAATCTCACAATTTGAATCTCAATTATCATATGATCAATTTTTATTATACAAATAACCCTAACCAAACCCTCTCTTTACCGAGACCCTCCCTACCAAGACCACCTCAGTACCAAACCCTCTCCACCAAGACCCCTCCCTACCAAGACCACCTCAGTACCAAACCCTCTCCCTACCGAGAGCACCTCACTACCAAACCCTCTCTCTACCAAGACCCCCTCCTTCCCTTGAAGTATATTTGACAAAATAAATTAAAGTAATTAAACCTGTGCTGTTTCTTGAAACCCTCTAGAAGAGAAATTTGCTCCAGTTGCTCCAAATGGCCCTGTATTGCCACCAAAAAATGATTTGAGAATATCTTCAGGATTCATTCCTCCAAAAGAACCACCTCCACTAAATGGATTGCCAGCACCACTACCTACAATCAAACAACAAAATACATATAAAACAACGTAAAAAAAAAAGTAAAGAAATTTGCACAGTAAAAAAAGGACACAAAATTACCAGAAAAGTTACTCTGTCCATAATTATCATATGTTCTTCGCTTGTTTTCATCACTTAATACCTACACCAATAAAGAAAAGAAAATGAATATAATTGTATTTAACATGGTACAGTAAACAACAGACAATCAAGGCAAAAACAAAGTTGATTTCATACCTCATATGCTTCGCTGATTTCCTGAAATTTCTCTGCAGCACTTGCTGATTTATTAGTGTCAGGATGGTATTTCTTTGCAAGCTTTGATGTTGTGAAGTTAAAAATTACAATTACTCATCATAATTTTATAAAACAAACAATTTGTTCAACTCCTCAAACCAAAAAGTACAAAAAGCACTTAAAAAAAATTCTATGCGCAGTTAAAATTCTGTTTTGGGGGTACTTTTAGGAAGAAAAGTTTGAAGTTTGTGTAAATAAAATATTTCACAAAAATCAAATGCCGTTTCTTCACCAAACATAATCAACAATTGAAAGGAATGAAACAACATTTATGATTTTATGGAAGAAATGTACACAGCTTGCATTGTGTCTTTCACATAACTAAATAATGGCAAAAGTGACCTTTAATAAAAATAGACATACATCAAAGTAAGCTTTCTTTATCTCTTTTGCTGAAGCACTTCTTGATATCCCAAGTATTTTATAAAAGTCTTTCTGACAAATTTGCACTGAAAATAGTTTTCAAAAACACAATATAGTAACATCATGAAATATTTTAGTTAAAATGATAAAAAATATGTAGCAAAAAAATCTGTTTAAATGATATCAAAAATGAAAACTGTTGTGCAGTAATAAGCTTCCTTACACTAGTTCAATTAATATTAACAAAAATAACAACACTGCAAAGACAAGTAAGTAATATGAATTCATAAGTATATACCCCAATATATGGGATATGTAGACACATCAAATACTTAATATCATTATGTCAAATCATTTGCATTAAATTCATTGTATTTTAGATTCTTAAAATGCTAGTTTGAAGGTGATAACATATATTTTCATAAAGAACTGCATTCACTGATTTAATAATCTTTAAAAATTCACAATTTGATTTACCACAAGGTATAAATCCAATCTATGTCATACATAGAGGTAGCTACAATAACAAGGCATTTACAAGTCCTTGTGGCCTGATGATGACAACAAACTAGATATCCAAGAATTGTACAAAGTTAAAAAAAAACACTGCCTTTTGACTTGAGCTTTGAATGCAATGTGGTACATATTTTTTTCAATAACAAGTTATTCAACCCGTTTCTGTGATGGAAAACTTTACAGAATTCCAACATAAACATTCATCAAATTCAACAATCAAGTTTTAAGCAAAATTAACCTAATTGTGTTGTAAATTTCCACCCCAACAGTCACATACCTAAAACTGGCCTGTCCTTTAAAATACTCTGTTGTGTCTTTTACAAACACTGCAACCGGTTTTATGCTTTTAAACTTAAAACTTACGTGATGTATGAAAATGCTTCAAACTCCAGCGGTTTCTTATATCATCAAAATTCCTGAAGTATTCGACTGAAAAAATATATAATATGTGCTTGAATTTAATTAATACATAAATTAATCATGTCATGTATAAAAAGCTTACAAATGCTTTGAAAGAAATGGTAATTTACCGGCAACTTACGTTTTTGTTTTGAAGCTAAAACTGCATGTAATGGTCTATGTATTGATGATCTATATGTTGTAGAAAGAAGTGACAAACACCTCGTGCAAGTTTGAAATGTTTTCGACGCCATTTTTTAAAAGCATGCTGTGAGGTGAGACGTCACGGGCACTGGGCACTAGTACGTCTTCGTTGAAGACGTAGCCGTAGTTGTCGAAGATGATTATCAGTGAATCCAGTGATGAAAATGTGAAATCCAATGCGATCCACGGTTGAAATTACAGACACTGACAAAAACACGTATTTTGTCAAATTTTGTCATTTCTGCAATAGGATTGTGTTATATCTTTCATAGCAGTTGTGTGAACTTGGGTACAAATGTAAAAGTAAAAAGATCGAGCAATGCAGCACTTCATTTTTGTAGAGATTGCAATTGATAAGATATCACAGATACTATTATTTTATTTGCTTAGAATTCAAATTCTCATTTTAACATTTCCTTGAGTAAAAAAGCTAAACAATCCAAAAAAGGTGTTAGTTGGGAGAGTATGCCAGTAAGATGACTTTCCTTTTCTGGCAGGCCCAGGCAGATTAATGTCAATTGCGGTAAAGCGTTTTGCATTTTTGCTTGTGTTGTCTAAAAGCACTCCATCAATCTCAACCTGCCAGCAAAACTTAAACAAGGCAAGTCATCTATAGAAAATGGGAATAATCAGATGATCAACACACATATATACATACAACTGATACGACATTTCCGCAACAAATTATAGTGATGTTTAACATTTGCACAACTCTTACATCATATAGTATTAAACATATGGTCATTGTGATTAATGACAGGGAAAACAAAGAAAAAATTTACATTTCGCGTCACGATGTTAAGTACAATGCACCTTGAGGTACTTTGTGGCAACTATATGCACATGAATGTATTATAATCTCATATTTCAAATCAAAGCGTGGTATAGCTTCTAGAACAAGCTAGAGAAATGAATGGCTCAGTCAACTTCTTAATTTTCACGTGAGTTGAATTCTTAAGGCAAGATTAAAAGAACAAGTATAATAACATCGTACAATGTCAACAATATCGGCATTCACGTCATCGCTGGTGTTCAATGTTGCCATAACATTACTCCTGCTTCTTCTATTTTGTATTATACGTCCACGCTTTGACTTTGTGTATCAGCCAAATTTCAAGTTATTAACAGAATTCATGAGCAGCAAAGTCTCGACGAAAAAAACTGCTTTGCTGAATAAATTGAAGCTTCCATCCTCCTTATTTTGTTGGCTTACAATCTCATTCAAAGTAGATGTTGATGAACTATACGATTTGGTTGGATTTGATGCCTTCATTTATTTACGATTTTTGCGTTTGTGTTTGCGAATTGCAGTATTTTCATTACCTTACACCGCCGCAGTTATTATTCCAGTCAATGTCTCTGGTGAAAGTGAACTTAGTGGTATGGATGCATTAACATTGGGAAACATATCTGAACAGTCAAGCAAACTCTGGACACATTTGGTTGGCCTGTGGCTTTTCTCTTTTCTTGTTTATTATATGCTGTATACAGAGTGGAAGATGTATGTCCACTATCGTCAAAAATTTCTCAAAGAAAACAGAGAAAATAATTTCACACTACTCGTGACACAACTTTCTCCAAAGGTAAAAATGAAATTGAGAATTTGAGATGCCACATGAATAATTTTACATGCCGATGTTCTGTCCGGTGATATATCAATAATGAACGAGATGTAAACTGATGACGTCTTTATTCGAACGATTCGAAATGCATGCACGACGTCATACGTTACGTATTGAACTCATAATAAAATACAAAACTTATGACGTCTTTATTCGAACGATTCGAAATGCATGCGTGTGGTCATACGTTACATGTTCAACTCATAATAAAATACCCAACAGTCTCTGTAAACTGACACAAGTTTTTTCTATCAACAGATTTTTTCAATTCATCATGTTCCACATAACGAGGAATTAAAGAAACTAGTGAATAAAATTTTTCCAGATCAGGTATTAAGTATAAGTAGTTGAAGCAAAAATTGTGGTATGGTGACGGGAATAATTTATGTTTTTGAAGATAGCGTTTTGTGATGTCATTGAAAATACGGAAGATTGGCAGAAATTACTGACGAAACATGATGAACTTGTTTTAAAATACGAACACGCTCAGGTAAATTAAGACTGTAATTTTTGACTGTATACATAACGACGAAATTAAAGGCTTATTTTTTCTTGTTTTTATGTGGTTAGGCCGTACTTAAAGAAACGGATGAGAGGCCTGAGCATCGCCTTAAACCATTTATTGGATCCAAAGTAGACTCGATTGATTATTATGAAGAAGAGTTGAAGGTATATGTAGGAATGGGGGATCTTTGAGAGAGCTACTTTATTGAATAAAATTACTTTGGATTTCAGAATCTTCAGGATGATCTAATATCTCATGAGATCGATGAAAAACGACCGTCTTTACGAGCTGCCATCGTTACATTTAAAACACTTCGTGATGCATGTATTGCTTCACAAGTATTATGGCAAGCAAAACCATATCATACTATGATCCAACCTGCTCCTGAATATCGCAATATTATCTGGGAAAATTTAGGATTATCTTTGTTTTTCGGGTTCGACCTTCATTTTCAATACAAAAATGTTTTTTCTTATGGAATCGGGAATATTTTGATGAATCGTAACATCAGAAATAAGTATCTTATAATTATACGTGAAAATATAATCTCTTAATATTTTCCCCTTTTTTGATAAATTCAATCATAATGAAAACATTTTTTTCATCTTTCCAAGATGGTTACGTTGGGTGATTATTACCGTTCTCTTGTTCTTTCTTGTCGTATTTTGGATGATTCCTGTTTCGTTTGTTCAATCTCTTGTCACACTAGAAAGTCTTCAAAAGAAAATATCATTTCTTAATTTTGGTAATATTCATTTATAAATTTGCATGGAATGTGTAGAAATATTCAGTGTAATTAGTATTGCATCTCATCCTACAACAAAAATCACTTTTCAATTTTGTGTTCGCGTAACATTATGAAAAATTGGTTCAATTAAATGAAACTTGATTTAAAGCACGCAGAAAATGTTGACTTTAAGAAAACTATGATCGTAGGTTTCAGGTGCATTTTTTCGGGGAAATTATTTTATCTTTTATTTATCAGTGAACGATTTGAATCCAGCCGCCTTGGGCTTAATTGAAGGAGTTCTTTCCACGTTAGCATTTGTTGTATTTTTTGCTATTCTGCCAAAGGTACGACACTTATAGTTGTAAGATGATTTTCCTGTAGGTTATTTTTGAAAGTTGACATTTACAGTTTTTACACATATTTTACGCTTTCCTTTTAAGATTATGAGGTTCTTATCTAAGCAACAAGGTTTACTGTCATTTAGTGAGGTGGAGTCATCGATGATTGAAAAACTTTATGTATTCACGGTTTGTAAGATGACATAAAGCATCATAAAAACCAGTTTTGTTTCTTCTTTTTAATGTAAATATATTTTTAGATTGTCAACAAATTTCTGGGATCAGTTTTAGCTGGAGCCTTCTTCGATAGAGTTCAAGGAATTCTTGATCATCCAACAACGATCCCAAGACTTCTAGCAATGTCTCTGCCATCGGTTGCATCGTTTTTTATCAACTTTGTCATTCTACAATCACTAACTGGTCATGCAACATCTTTGCTTCGTATTTTGCCTTTTGTTATTGGCAATGTGAAGAAAATATGGTAAAGATGAGTCCGTGAAAAGGATTTTTTTCGCTTGGTAGTAATGCAAAGTAGTCCTAAGTACTGAAAGTACTATACTCAATAGTAAATTAATGACAAATAGTACACACTAAGCGTTTCCAGCACTTATAGAAACGGAAAATTTTTTTCACATAGTTAAAAGTTCATCACTGGACGTAAAATTGACATAGCTACCGCGGTTTTCGACTGGATGTTCATGTTTTATGTTAAGTTTTGTGAAACTTTTTATATTTTCTGAATGCATTACTTCTTTTAAGGTTTGCCAAAACGGAACGAGATAAAAAAATGTTATGGAATCCACCACCACCACCTTATGGAGAAATGGTATTTAAAATTTCTCATCATTAATTAAAATTTACAACAAACTGTAGTACTGTTTTGTTATAGTACTCCGGAGATCTGTTCGTTTTCATTATTGGGGTCAGTTATTGTATACAAGCACCAATAGTTGTCCCATTTGTTGCTTTCTACTTTGGTTTTGGTTATATTACGCGTTTTTACTCCTTGGTTTATGTCATGAAACCTCAATTCAATGCTGGAGGGAAAATGTGGATTCCTGTATTTAACAGGTAAAATATGGAATTCAGAATAAAGATGAGAGAATTATAAAGTTTGATTACCGAACAACTACAAATTTTTTGTTGCTTTTTGTTCAAAATAATTTCTTCAATGCTCGTAATATGACTAATTTTCATTATTTTTGCATAGAATGGTGTTTGCTGTTATTGTTTTTCAAATTCTCATGATTGGAGTTTTTGCACTTAAGAAAAATGCACTTGTTTCATCTCTCTCAATTCCCCCGCTGTTTATCACCATAGTATTTTACATATTCATGAATATGTATTGGAGACCAATTTCCACTTACATGGAGTTGGAAGATGCTTTGACATCAGAGACAAAAGTTGACGAAAATTTCTTACAGGTGTAACATTCCGACTATTACATCAACACATTTATATTTGTTCTTAACACAATGTACTCAATATTGTATTTTAGACGGCTCACGAGAAATACATTCGCAATAAAAATATTCCATCTTTGTATGCTCTGAGTACAGATGACGTCACTGAAGATTTGAAGCGAGATGAAGGCAACGAAGATGAACGTGAGAATGCCTTAGGGAATGAAGTCGAGGAAAATCAATTTGAAGATACTGGCTCAGTTTCTGACTTGAGCAAATTTGTTTGAAAGACGATAAGAATAGATGACTGATGTAAAAATAAAAAATGGAATCGTAAAGCTTAAAAAACAGCAAAGTAATCAATAAAAATTTTGATGGAAAAATACTAAAACTTTTTTTGTAAGTCTACGAGTCATGTAGGGAAGGGATGGTGGTGGGCATTGCTGTCATATTATCATCAGTTGTTCTGCTTTTCATAATTTCATTATCATTTCAGCAGTAAGGGGTAGTATGCCTCGTGAGTCGTGAATAAAAGGCTCGACTGACACTTTTGAGACAATAATTTGAAAACCGAGCCAGACATTGTGGCGGTGAGTATTTTGTTTTATTATTCCGTGCTAATAATTTCACAGCTGTTGAACGCGAAGAATGTAAATAGAACTGTTTATATGATCCAGCTCTTTCTTTTTTAGGGTCGATTAATTATTCAATTCATTTTCGCATAACTAATTAACAAAGAATGTCGCAAACATCGCGAGATTTGCATATGCTGTGGAGTTATATTGAAATATACCAACAACAATCCAGTGTGTTGTAAACAATAAATTTTATACCTTCTCGAATGACAGTGCCACACCTGCCTCGGTCCATAAATATCTGATCATCTCAAGGCTCTAAGACACAAACACACATCGATCTTCGTCTTGCCTGTTCGGTCCAGTGAATCAGAAAGATGAACAACAGTACAGCATCTACTACGAAAGCGCCAGAGTCAGATGGGAATAATGATAGTGTTGCAGCATTTCTATCTTCGTTTATATTTAATGCAGTTATTGCATTGATAATAATCTTAGTGTTCTCGTATCTTCGTCCAAAACATGAGAAGATATACCAACCCTATTTTAAACTGCTGACAGAGTTTCTTCATGATAAAATCCCAGAGAAGAGGCTATCATTGCTAAAAAAGCTCACATTATCCTCGTCTTTTTTGCATGGTTGACTCCTGCCTTCAAATTAAACGACAACGAGTTGTACGAGGTCGTTGGTTTCGATGCGTTTGTTTACTTAAGATTCATCCGTCTTTGCTTTAAAATCTTGGCATTCTCTCTTCCCTACGCTGCGATAGTTTTGATTCCAATCAATATCGTCGACGGTGAAGGTCTAACTGGCTTGGATAGACTTACTTTGGGAAACATATCCGATGAATCCGATAAACTATGGGCCCATTTGATCGGCGTTTGGATGTTCTCATTAATTCTGTACTACTTTATGTATGTTGAGTGGAAGGTTTACGTGAAATATCGTCAAATATATCTCAAAGAAAACAGTAAACAACATTTCTCAGTGTTGGTCACCCAGCTGCCCCAAGAGGTATATAAAAATATCGAATTTTTGCCAATAGCTAAACATGCTAATGCCAATAAATGTTAATTTAAACTTTTTCAACTTATCTATGCATAATCAATTGTGCATGAATTCAAAAAACCTTCTTATAAACTGCCTATTAATTCCGTTAATGCTGAAATTTTTGCTTCATATTTTATTTAGTAACTTGATACGTTGTATTAACCTTAGTTTCTGGCTTTTTCTAAACGCCCACAAACCACGACTGCAGTTATTTTATTGCGAGCGTTTTGATTGAATTTGCATTGTTTCAAGTGCATTAACTGTCGCAATCCTTATACTTGCCATGATTTTAGAAGGAGTTAGATTTCTCATATGTTTACACGTCTTTTATTCAATAAACAGATCATTTATAGTGTCCAACAAATCGAAGGTTTCTTGTCTTTCTTCAAACTTCTGGAAATTCCAGTTGGACATTAAGTAGTAATTAGCTCAGCTTGGTATGTTCTTTATCAAAACTCACAAAAAAATCAAAAGACATTGTTTTTAGTTTCCTCGTTGTTATTCCTCTTTGTATGAAGACACGTGCTTCTAAGCTTGAATACCAACATTTTAACGCCTTCATTTGCGACTAAAAAAAGCAACTAATCAATTTCTCACATATTTCCGTCCCCAGCGCAGTCTAGTTTCTCCTTTTATACTACATTAACAGGACTTAATATTCTTTTACGGTTATTTTTTTCAGATAGACAGTGATGATAAGTTAAAAAACTTTGTGGATCAACTCTTTCCTGAAAAGGTAACAGGCCTTATAGTTAGTGAAAGCAACGGAATTTTGTTGAAAGAAAATTACATAATGCCAAGTTTATGTCTAAAGCAATTTTACTAAGACTTTACTCGTTAAAGCAATTTAAAATTCTAAAACAAAGCTTTCACCATCTTGTTTTTGTTCAACAAGGACTGCTTACGTAGTTTTTTCTTATTATCATAAAAATATGTGCACCGAAGATTCACTGATGGAACGGAAAAATTACGATGAAATCCAAAAGTTTTGCGAAAATAGCATTCAAGTGAAATCATTTTCCAGAATTTCGATTGTAACTAATTTTAACTGTTTTTTTTCTCAAGTATAACTGTATGTTCTTGTACTCTATATGATTGAAACTTCGTATTAAAGGTAGCACATTCTCACATTATCCGGGATCTCGATGAGTATAGGCAACTGGTTCAGAAACACGATCAAATGGTCTTAAAACTTGAACATGCTCAGGTAAAATTAAAAACAACTGGTTTGTATGGAGTTCAGGATGGTGTTCATTGACTGACGTTTAAAAAAATCTTTCTTCCAGGCTGTATTTGAAGAAAAAGGGGAAAGACCAGAACATAAGTTAAAACCAATCATTGGCGAGAAAGTGGACTCAATAAATTATTTTGACGAACAATTAAGGGTGTGTTAATATTTAAGTTTTCTTGCATTTTAAGCTCGCCTGGGTATTGTGTTGCGTTTAAAGAAAGTCTGTATGTATTTTTTACCATTAGGAAACCCAACAAGAATTAGAGAAGGTCAATTTCGCCGAAAGTATACTTTTAGACTCTGCTATCGTTACATTTAAAAGTATTCGTGATGCAAGAATTGCAAGTGAGGTTTTATGGCAAGCTATCCCATACAACACGTTTGTTCAGCCTGCACCAGAACCACACGATGTCATATGGAGTAACCTGGATATCTCAGTTCTTAAAAAGTAAACGTGTTTTGATCTTTAGTCTGGAGTATCGTAGCCAGCGCGATTTTTACTCCAGCTACGCAATTATTTTTGTGTTTACTGACCATGAGAGCAGTAGATTTTTAAAGAAATGAATGATAGAAATTCTTCAGAATTTACATAGCGGGAGTAAATCTGCAGGCCGGCTTCGCTACTTTTTATCTTTCAAATAATAGTTTAAACTTTCAACCAGTGCTCTAGAAGTGGGGGGGGCGCTTGGGGGAGGAGCCCCTCTTCTACCTTTGAAATGGGTAATTTTAAAAGGGCACTGTTGACAAAAACGTCAAGAGAGCCCTCCATCTGATAAATTTAGTTCTACAGCACTGCTTTCAACGTCAAGTCGTCGTTGTTACACTTTGTCATATACATTATCAAAAGATGATAATAAAAGTATATGATTTTTTCTGTTTAGTCATACTTCGGTTCATGTTTAATCTGTTGGTTGTTTTAATTCCTATTTTCTCTCATCAATTTGAATTTCTGTTTTATAGATGGATCCGTTGGACAATAATATCTGTGTGTTTATTTTTTCTCGTGATTTTCTGGACAATTCCTGTTGCATTTGTTTCTGCGTTGGTATCGTTACAAAGTCTTCAGGAAAAGGTGGAATTCCTAGAATTTGGTACGAAATTTGTTTATTTCAAAGATAAATTCTCTGTGATTCTTAGCGTCATACTGTATGTTATGTTTTACATATGGTTAATTGTAAACGAAACCTAAATTAATTTGCTTTTGATTCCTTTCAGTTAACGATTTTCCAACTGCTCTGAAGGGAATTATTGAGGGTGTTCTATCCACAATTGCATTGGTGATTTTCTTTGCCATCTTACCAATGGTAGGTCTTTAGAGTATGGAGCTTCACAAAGATAAATTTTGATAAATTTGGACCAATTTTGGTAAAAAAAAAGGAAAAAGTAATGGAAACTGCAATATGATATTTTCTTTATGTAGTTGATGGCGTTTATGTCTAAGAAAGAAGGTGTGATAACAAACAGCGGAGTACAGAAATCTGTGATTGGAAAGATGTTTATTTTCATAGTATGCAATTAAAACAATCAAAACATACGAATTAAAAACAAAACATGTTTATCTCCATATAATTTTTTTGCTGTAGTGTTAAAGATATTTCTGTTGTATTTTTTTTAGATTGTGAATAAGTTTCTGATTCTGGTCTTATCTGGCGCGTTTTTGAATCAAATTCAGAAAATTATTGATGATCCAGGATCACTACCTTCGTTACTGGCTGAGTCGTTGCCAGCAATGGCTTTATTTTTCACGAACTTTGCTATGTTACAAGCGTTGATGGGTCATGCTCTACGTTTACTTCGTATTGCCCCTCTCATTATTGTCAGCATCAAAACAAAATGGTTAGTAGCAGAAAGAACACGTTCTCTTTACATATGAATTGCACTAAATGAATTGTGCTCTTTTCAAAAGAAAGTAGGATCTCTGTTTTTCTCATTTTAGCAATTTTTACATGAAAAAATCTTCAGCCTGAATGTTATAGTGGTAATTGTACTATCAAAATCGCTTATAAACTTACATATTTGTAGGTTAGCAAAGACTCCCAGAGAATTGAAGAATGTTTGGGCTCCCCCATCTCCCAATTATGGCGTAATGGTAAGTCAATTCATACCATAGTTTATGTTTCATTTCAAAAGATGAAAATGCGTGTGGAGCATTCCTTATTCGTGTCTTTTAAAGATCCAATCAAATTTTCTTAATTTGGCTCACATTTTCAACATGAACCATTAAGCGCTTGTCTTGTATACTTCAGTAAAAGTCATCCTTTCATTTATGTTTAGTATCCAAACGATCTGTACATCTTTATAATTGGAGTTGCTTATTGTATCCAAGCACCATATGTTATTCCATTTGTTATGCTATATTTTGGATTTGGCTATCTTGTTCATTTCTATTCCTTCGTCTACGTAATGCGCCCTCCATTCCATGCAGGAGGAAGCATGTGGCCAAAAGTTTTTAACAGGTAAGACAAGGGTATGGGTACTAGATAGAGGTTAACAAGAAAACATTAATTCCATTATGGCTGCTTCCCTATAACGTTCTTTAATGGTCGAATATGTTAATCAAAAAAACATTGACACATGCGCAGTAAGTTTAACCATGGTATTAAATGTTCTTTTTTCAGGATGCTTCTTGCTATTGTTGTTTTCCAAATATTAATGATTGGTGTGTTTGGTTTGAAGAAAAATCCAGAAGTTTCAGCGTTATCATTACCGCCCATTTTTCTTACGATTATCTTTAAAATTGTTATAATGATGTATTTTGAACGAGTGGCCAAACCAATGGAACTAGATGACCACAAAGATGAAGAAAGTGAAAACAAAGAACAGAATATGGACGACAAAAATGATGATGCTGTTGACGACAAGTTCATAAAGGTATTCTTTCGTGCATGAGTTAATTAATTTAATGGTACATAATTTAAGTGTTTCATTCGTTGCTAAATTGAACTCAGCAAAATTCTTTGGTTTTAAATCAACACTGATCTTCATGTGTCAACTACGTGCTTGATTGTAAAAGCACAAATTTTTAGTCCATATCTTCACTTAAAACAAAAATAATAATTTTCAGCCTTCTTTTCAATTATTTTTTCGGCAGGATGCTCATGATTTCTTCATCCCTACCACAACGGTACCATGTTTATTTTCTTTGAGTACTGATGATCCATCTGAAGGTGATGAACCAGAAAAGGATGATTTGAAAACAACAAAGTTAGTTGAAGGAGAAAACTCTCTTGATACCACTCCAATGTAGCCGGTTTAGTTAAACTTTTGTGATTTTAAATTTCTGCTTATATATTTGCTATAAGGGGGGTTCGTATTAGCTATGTAGCATTTCAATTTAGACATTCTAGGTATATTTAGAGATTTAAGTAGTTCCTTAGTACATTTCACATATATTAGTTGCTTTATCGTGTTTTTAAAAGTATACAACATAATATATATCATTCAGGTTAAAGTAATTTATAGGTTAACTTGTTCTACATTTATAATATCTACGTGTGTATGTTTATAATCTTGACTTTCATTTAAAAGGTGTGCTTGCTGCGTAAATTTTGTTTGCCAACTTCTGGAGTTTCCATAGTTTGTTTTCTCATTTGTTAAGGAATCTATACGTGTAATATGTAACATACGCTCTTTCCCACAGATATTCAATCGCACATCAAACAATTTCATACGTAATTACGCAATCATTCCGTTTTTAGTGATCAAAATTCCGAATTTGTCGAGGATTGATAACGATCATGCATATTGTGGTACAACAATGATCAGCGAAGAACTACATATATTATATAATTATATATTGTAATATTTATTAGAGATGACTTTCATGAATTAGTGAGGAAATGGGGATAGATTTAAATTGTGTTTTGTAATTTTGATTATTTCAGTTATAGTCATAAACTTCACACGGAAGTATCCTTTAGCATCGCATACGTCATGTATCACGTGACACGAAACGTTTTTATTTCATGCTTGCACAATATTTATCACGAGGTTTGCATAAGAACTGAATTGGTTCTTTTCTAACTATAATTTACTATTTTTGTAATGAAATACTTCTATACTTGAAAAATGGTTTGTGTACACTTATTATATGAACGAAAAAATAACGAAAATTTTCCAACAGTGTAAAGTGTGAGTTGTACGGTATACCAAAGCCAAACATTTTTTATATTTTAATACAAAAACTGTCAATTATATGATGTTTATCTTTCTCAACAATGAATTTCAATCGTGCGAATAATCTTTTCGTTTGACATTGTCCCCAATTCATTCATATTCAATTGTTGTATGATGGCGTCATGTCGATTTCATCTGTCCTTTTGTAAGTAAAAACATTTAAAAAGGCCAACACAACTTTTTAAGGACGCATAGAATATTTGCACGTCGAAGTTGATGAAACAAAGATTTTCAAGAGTCATGGTAAAATTGGTAATATTTCGTTATGATTTGAAGAAGGATTCCGGTGAAATCGATCGGGCTGCCATTTTTGGTAGTGCGGTCAGTGTCCACACATTTATATCAATATAACCACAAGACATTTCCCGCTGTGGTTCCAACAAAACATACCGCATCACCGGTATAGCGCAACTTAACTTCAATATAAAAGTCTTGCTACTGATCTTTGTAATCTACAACAAAACAATAATTGACTAATAACAAAAACATTGCACTGATACTAACACGTTTTTCCTCACAACTCTAGGGTGAAAATTCTTCCCAGGAAAAGACGAAAACCAGGTGTAAAATCTGATGCAATCTTTCGAGGTTTCAATGATTTTCCCATTCTTCCAAATCCAGGCCAGTTTATACGTTCATTCCAGCAACCAATGAAATTTCGTGTTAAATGTTAACAAGCAGTTTTATCGCAAACATTGAAAATGTGCGGATATATGGATGGAGAAAATGATGTCGGTAAAAATGTAAAACATATTTTATACGACAAAACAATAAACAATGTTCATTTTTTACTCATCTATGTATTGTTAAATAGATTTCGGTGAACACAGAATCGTAAGGGAATGTGTGTATACTTACGGCTAAAAGCTGTGTATAAAGTATACATCTTGATGCACGAGATATCACAATCTAAAATGAAAACTTAAAATCACCTGTCAATATGCCAACACAATTATCATTGTAAAATAATGTGTCAATCATGTTGGACTACGATCTCAAGAAATAAGCGTCAAATGAAAAACATTTATACATTTATTTTTAAAACGTTAGGGATAATTACATTAACCATGCAGTGTCATTTTTCACAAAAGAAAATTGCTAGAGTTGTCTGACACAGCTCGTAATATTTGGAATGAACACATAAAGAACACCTGCATTTTAATAGTTTCTATTTAACTCTCACTCAACGTTTTGTTCTTTGCATTCCTTCATTGTACCTTATGTATGGTCTTTGTGTGATTCTTCCATTTGACATTATGTTTATGGCTGAACTGCATGAACTGCAGGGTATGCCCTGTAACTAGATCCTCTATTGGGCACATTTAGTTTGTTGGACCTGGGTTATGTTTATAAGTAAAACGTCAGTTGCCGGGATTATTAAATCTACGATTTCATTTGGATTTGGAGGATGAATAAAAGATTTGTTTGATTTTCACTTTAGTGAGAATAAAGCTTTCTAAAACTTCAACGCATTTAGAGATATTCTTACGAATAACCTCAAATTCAACATGTACTGTACATATATGCATTATTTCGGTTTATGAGTATGATCAAACAGTCATGAGCATTGAACTTTCAATAATTCAATCATCAAAGAAATAATTTAAATTTACAAACGTACATAGTGATACTTATTAAGATACAGAAGTCAACTTTATACAGCAACTTCATAGGAGCACAACGTCTAAAATAAAAAGTCCATGTTAATTTTGATTGACTAGCAAACCATTTAAAAGAAGACATCTTTCAAAGTTCAACTTTTATTTTATATTGTTTCTTCTGAAATATTCATGGTGGCTGGGATTCTCTAGTTTTTATTTTATATTGTTTCTTCTGAAATATTCAAGGTGGCTGGGATTCTCTAGTTTTTATTTTATATTGTTTCTTCTGAAATATTCATGGTGGCTGGGATTCTCTAGTTTTTATTTTATATTGTCTCTTCTGAAATATTCAAGGTGGCTGGGATTCTCTAGTTTTTATTTTATATTGTTTCTTCTGAAATATTCATGGTGGGTGGGATTCTCTAGTTTTTATTTTATATTGTTTCTTCTGAAATATTCATGGTGGCTGGGATTCTCTAGTTTTTATTTTATATTGTTTCTTCTGAAATATTCATGGTGGCTGGGATTCTCTAGTTTTTATTTTATATTGTTTCTTCTGAAATATTCATGGTGGGTGGGATTCTCTAGTTTTATTTTATATTGTTTCTTCTGAAATATTCATGGTGGGTGGGATTCTCTAGTTTTTATTTTATATTGTTTCTTCTGAAATATTCATGGTGGCTGGGATTCTCTAGTTTTTATTTTATATTGTTTCTTCTGAAATATTCATGGTGGCTGGGATTCTCTAGTTTTTATTTTATATTGTTTCTTCTGAAATATTCAAGGTGGCTGGGATTCTCTAGTTTTTATTTTATATTGTTTCTTCTGAAATATTCAAGGTGGCTGGGATTCTCTAGTTTTTATTTTATATTGTTTCTTCTGAAATATTCATGGTGGGTGGGATTCTCTAGTTTTTATTTTATATTGTTTCTTCTGAAATATTCAAGGTGGGTGGGATTCTCTAGTTTTTATTTTATATTGTTTCTTCTGAAATATTCAAGGTGGGTGGGATTCTCTAGTTTTATTTTATATTGTTTCTTCTGAAATATTCAAGGTGGGTGGGATTCTCTAGTTTTTATTTTATATTGTTTCTTCTGAAATATTCAAGGTGGCTGGGATTCTCTAGTTTTTATTTTATATTGTTTCTTCTGAAATATTCAAGGTGGCTGGGATTCTCTAGTTTTTATTTTATATTGTTTCTTCTGAAATATTCATGGTGGCTGGGATTCTCTAGTTTTTATTTTATATTGTTTCTTCTGAAATATTCATGGTGGGTGGGATTCTCTAGTTTTTATTTTATATTGTTTCTTCTGAAATATTCATGGTGGCTGGGATTCTCTAGTTTTTATTTTATATTGTTTCTTCTGAAATATTCATGGTGGCTGGGATTCTCTAGTTTTTATTTTATATTGTTTCTTCTGAAATATTCAAGGTGGCTGGGATTCTCTAGTTTTTATTTTATATTGTTTCTTCTGAAATATTCAAGGTGGCTGGGATTCTCTAGTTTTTATTTTATATTGTTTCTTCTGAAATATTCATGGTGGGTGGGATTCTCTAGTTTTTATTTTATATTGTTTCTTCTGAAATATTCAAGGTGGGTGGGATTCTCTAGTTTTTATTTTATATTGTTTCTTCTGAAATATTCAAGGTGGGTGGGATTCTCTAGTTTTTATTTTATATTGTTTCTTCTGAAATATTCATGGTGGCTGGGATTCTCTAGTTTTTATTTTATATTGTTTCTTCTGAAATATTCAAGGTGGGTGGGATTCTCTAGTTTTTATTTTATATTGTTTCTTCTGAAATATTCAAGGTGGGTGGGATTCTCTAGTTTTTATTTTATATTGTTTCTTCTGAAATATTCAAGGTGGGTGGGATTCTCTAGTTTTTATTTTATATTGTTTCTTCTGAAATATTCAAGGTGGCTGGGATTCTCTAGTTTTTATTTTATATTGTTTCTTCTGAAATATTCAAGGTGGGTGGGATTCTCTAGTTTTTATTTTATATTGTTTCTTCTGAAATATTCATGGTGGCTGGGATTCTCTAGTTTTTATTTTATATTGTCTCTTCTGAAATATTCATGGTGGCTGGGATTCTCTAGTTTTTATTTTATATTGTTTCTTCTGAAATATTCAAGGTGGGTGGGATTCTCTAGTTTTTATTTTATATTGTTTCTTCTGAAATATTCATGGTGGCTGGGATTCTCTAGTTTTTATTTTATATTGTTTCTTCTGAAATATTCAAGGTGGGTGGGATTCTCTAGTTTTTATTTTATATTGTTTCTTCTGAAATATTCAAGGTGGCTGGGATTCTCTAGTTTTTATTTTATATTGTTTCTTCTGAAATATTCATGGTGGGTGGGATTCTCTAGTTTTTATTTTATATTGTTTCTTCTGAAATATTCAAGGTGGGTGGGATTCTCTAGTTTTTATTTTATATTGTTTCTTCTGAAATATTCAAGGTGGGTGGGATTCTCTAGTTTTTATTTTATATTGTTTCTTCTGAAATATTCATGGTGGCTGGGATTCTCTAGTTTTTATTTTATATTGTTTCTTCTGAAATATTCAAGGTGGGTGGGATTCTCTAGTTTTTATTTTATATTGTTTCTTCTGAAATATTCAAGGTGGGTGGGATTCTCTAGTTTTATTTTATATTGTTTCTTCTGAAATATTCAAGGTGGGTGGGATTCTCTAGTTTTATTTTATATTGTTTCTTCTGAAATATTCATGGTGGCTGGGATTCTCTAGTTTTTATTTTATATTGTTTCTTCTGAAATATTCATGGTGGCTGGGATTCTCTAGTTTTATTTTATATTGTTTCTTCTGAAATATTCAAGGTGGGTGGGATTCTCTAGTTTTTATTTTATATTGTTTCTTCTGAAATATTCATGGTGGCTGGGATTCTCTAGTTTTATTTTATATTGTTTCTTCTGAAATATTCAAGGTGGGTGGGATTCTCTAGTTTTTATTTTATATTGTTTCTTCTGAAATATTCATGGTGGGTGGGATTCTCTAGTTTTTATTTTATATTGTTTCTTCTGAAATATTCATGGTGGCTGGGATTCTCTAGTTTTTATTTTATATTGTTTCTTCTGAAATATTCAAGGTGGGTGGGATTCTCTAGTTTTTATTTTATATTGTTTCTTCTGAAATATTCATGGTGGCTGGGATTCTCTAGTTTTATTTTATATTGTTTCTTCTGAAATATTCAAGGTGGGGGATTCTCTAGTTTTTATTTTATATTGTTTCTTCTGAAATATTCATGGTGGCTGGGATTCTCTAGTTTTTATTTTATATTGTCTCTTCTGAAATATTCATGGTGGCTGGGATTCTCTAGTTTTTATTTTATATTGTCTCTTCTGAAATATTCAAGGTGGGTGGGATTCTCTAGTTTTTATTTTATATTGTTTCTTCTGAAATATTCATGGTGGCTGGGATTCTCTAGTTTTTATTTTATATTGTTTCTTCTGAAATATTCATGGTGGGTGGGATTCTCTAGTTTTTATTTTATATTGTTTCTTCTGAAATATTCATGGTGGGTGGGATTCTCTAGTTTTTATTTTATATTGTTTCTTCTGAAATATTCAAGGTGGCTGGGATTCTCTAGTTTTTATTTTATATTGTTTCTTCTGAAATATTCATGGTGGGTGGGATTCTCTAGTTTTTATTTTATATTGTTTCTTCTGAAATATTCATGGTGGGTGGGATTCTCTAGTTTTTACAAGCTTTACAAAAATAATTACATAAGGCGTTTCAAACGATAAAACATTTGCAGCTATTCAAAGAACCATTTTGAATTTTAATGCAATTTACAAGACCTTACGAATGGCTTTATAGAAAGTTCGGAACAATCTTATATTCTATATAAGAGGATGAAATATAAAGGCTATAAATAATACCCCAACACTACAAATGTCATATCACATTAAACACTGATAAATAAATTGTTTTCAACTCATGCGATGTACACAAATCATTTGGAAATAATGAAATTTACTGTCATTTGATTTCTAAATTTTCATATTCATCAACACATGTTAAAAATTCTATTATACTAACTTCAATCGAGTTACATTTTCCATGAAAAATAACTTTTGATGCAAAATCTTTGTATGAGAAAGCTGTGCAGTGTACTGATTTAAAATCACTCTACGAAAAAGTCGTAAGTGAAAGCTGAGTAAGCGAAATCTTTGGATAAAGTGTATTTAAAATTTCTGTATGGGAAAAGCCGTGTATGAGAAAAACTGTCTATGTGAAAGCTTTGTTGTTGACCTAAAAGCTGTGTTGTTAAAATCTCTGTATGTGAAAGCTTTGTGTTGTTGACGCAAAAGCTGTGTTGTTAAAATCTCTGTATGTGAAAGCTTTGTGTTGTTGATGCAAAAGCTGTGTTGTTAAAATCTCTGTATGTGAAAGCTTTGTGTTGTTGATGCAAAAGCTGTGTTGTTAAAATCTCTGTATGTGAAAGCTTTGTGTTGTTGATGCAAAAGCTGTGTTGTTAAAATCTCTGTATGTGAAAGCTTTGTGTTGTTGACCCAAAAGCTGTGTTGTTAAAATCTCTGTATGTGAAAGCTTTGTGTGTGAAAGCTGTGCGTGCAAAAACTTAAATTTGTATTTATAATCTGGGTGTGTGAAATATATGTGTATATTCCAGGAACTATGAACTAGCTGTTAATTTAATATCAAACAAGACTTCAATGAGGAAATCTCATTAAAGCAGGACAACACATCACACGTTATTTTAACATAGAGAAACTCAGTTTTAAAAGACTTCATTCGACAATAGATTCTGTTTTTCACTATCGGGTGTCGATTCAGATAATTGTAGCCCGTTATTCGTTTTGCTTTCGTCCTCTTCGTGATCATTTACCAAAAGATCAGGAATATGTTGATTTCTTTTGTATTTCTGAAATGTTTCCTGAATAAAACAAAAAAAAATTAGTTGTGAGACACAACTTTACATTCATTATACTCAAGAGATAATTACCAAAATCAATTCGGGGCTAAGATCTCGTACTTTCATTGCAGATGTAAACGTCAAAGTAGCTGATTGTTTCGAAAACGCTTTTGTCACAAAATACCAAAATATTACACAAATCACTAATAGAGGTACTATCAAAAGTGGTATGATTGCTTGCTGCTTTAAACTAAACAGACCAATCATAAAGACTAGAAATACAACAATGGACACCATCATTCTAAAGAGAAAAGAAAATACTTTAAATTATAAACAGACAAAGAATGCAAACATAAGTTTAATTCTGTATTGAGCATGTATTTTTATGATGATATTTAGTGATATTTTTAAGGATGAAAGAACGACTATTTGGTAGAAAAACTTCATATAACTAACCGGTGAAACACAATTGGCCACATTTCACCATCTCCTTCCCATTTAGGAACGTAAACAAACAACAATTGATTCATCCATGTGACATAACCGAAACCAAAATACAACACTGCAAATGGTATAACTAATGGAGCGAGCACTGAGTAAGCAAGAGCAATGGTAAACACGAGCAAGATTTCTGCATACTGTGAAAAAATTACCAAGACATTGTTAGTATAATATGGGCTATCAAACAAATTTCATTTTTTTTCTTGTAACTCAAATAATGGTTAATTTAATAACGATTTCATGTATACTTAATTACCTCAGTAGAATACCACATTTCTGGAGGTTCCCAGGATTCTTTATCTTCAATTGAACTTTTCACAAGACTGTATAAATTATTGCATTGAATGAAAATCTAATTTCATGATAGTCAGAACCGAAATTTCAATAAAAGTTCATGTTTTGTTTTCTATGGTTTTCTCAACAAATAACCTTAAAATGTCAAAATTAGCTGATAAATGAAAAAACTTACAATTTTCTCTTGAAGTTAATGAGAATCAAAGGAACAATTCTCAGCAACTGCATTCCATAAATAGTAGTTGCTCGTAACATAATAAAATTAATAAAGAAATTTGCTGCTGAGGGCATTTCTTTAGCCATCACATTTGAATATCTGATGGATGATCCAAAATCTTAGTAAGCCTGTTTAACATTGAGCTTCCAAGAATGTAGATTACAAATTGATTAAGAACCTGAAAATATGTTGACTTCTATGTTATCGCATTACAGTTTGTTAATTTTTTATCAAATTATTAAGAAAAGCAAGATTGCAAACAAACCTTGAATACAAACAATTTTTTCAAAACATCATTCTGAATTGAACTATAAGTTCGAGTTCCTTTTACATACGATAAAAATGCCTGAATCTACAAAACATTACAAAACAAGAAAATAATTAAAAGAATAAAACAAAAGAGACATAACATTATGATTGACAGAGCTCTTATCTCTCATCATACCATTGGCAAGAGTGCAAAAAATGCTACCACAACAACAGTTGATAAAAAACCAGAGATAAATCCGGTAACAACTGGACCAAGTTTTTCCACTATAAAAAAGTTTTGTACAATGTAATAAAAGGGAAGTCAGGCATTTATGAAAAAAATCGACATATGTAACATTCTCACAATTTTTTAAGAAGGGCACTTCTTTCTCTAAATTTTCAAAAGAAACCATGGCAGATGCTACTCCAACTGGGACTGCCCAGAAAAAAATTAATAAAAACTGAACAGCAGTGTCCATCACGATCGAAATGATACACCTGTGATTAAAGAATATAGTAAAGTGTTACAACTTGAAACTTGTGCAATAAAAAAACTCATTTTACTTACCTTATTCGTCTGTCCCTTTTTAAATTACTCCAAATAATGTCATCATGCCCAGGACAAATTCTAGCAAGCATTTTATCTGGGTAATGATCCCAGGCAAGTCCATCTCCAGCAACTGCTGCATCGAGAATTGACTTATAGGCAACAAAGCAATACGGTAATTTTTCATGTGAAATGCTGCTTTCATTTTTAAATTTCATCTCCAGATTCTGCATGAAAAAAAAATTAAACATAAATAAGATAGCCATGCCAGGAACATCCAAGATATTCTAGCATTGAATTAAAATATGTCAAAATGTGATACCTGGATTTCTTTTTCATAAAATGATATGCTATCAACTAATTTACCAGTCAAGCCAAACATATCCGTTTTGTGTTCTGGCCTTTGGCCTGTCTTCACAAGTTCTGACTAAAATCACACCCAAACATGATTTGGTTCCAAAACATCAGTAGACCAATGAAACAAAAATTGCAATGTTTTAAGGAGATGTTGTTGAGCTCCTGCCCTACCTTATTTGCAGCAAGATTTTTTTGAGCACCTTCATGCAATTCAACCAGTTTAATCCACTCCACATCATCTTCAAGAACATATACATCCAATGTCTAAATTAATAAACATGAAGAATTGTTGTAATCAATATTTTACTATAGCTTTTCAAAAATGACAACACCTACCTGATCGGGAAAACGATCCATGACATAAGTTTTCATTTTCTCTTGATTGCAAAGCTATGTTTTGCGTAAAACGAAATATTTAGTAATGATATATGATAATATTATATGCAGCAAACATGACATTACCTCTTTGGGTATATCCTGCAACATGACCAAATATTTATTGGGGTATTTTTCTCCATCACTTAAGCTCAGCTGTCGAAATCTTTGATAGGCTACACACTCATGATACAGAAAGTAAAATATCAGGATTGTGTACATCCAAACACCAAAGAAATGAGTCCATAGTAGATCAGATTTGGCCTCCACATTTCCCATGGTGAGGCGATCTAAACCAGCTACGGTTGGATCAGTACGTGAAACTCCACCGTATAAATTCGCAGGTATTGTAACGACAAAACCATAAGGTAAAATAATGAGACTGAATATAAAGCACAAACGCAAAACACGCAGGAACATCAATGCATCAAGTCCGAGCAATCTCAGAATTGTCTCATCTTCAAGTTTCAATGACGGTATCACCCAACCAAACAAACTACTTGGCAGCGTTCCGATTGAAGAGTCATAGCCATTTAGAAGCAGTCGAGGGGTAAACACACGAGGAAATTTGTTACGAAGAAGTGAAAATATCAACAACAAAACCAGTAGAATAACTGTATTGGTCACACCTGTAACAATAAGAGCTTTGGCTGTTACCTCTTTGGCTTTGCCATTTAGTGTTGCATTATTGATTGCTTGCGTATTGTTAGCAAACAATTTAGAAGTTAGATCTTTCAATGACATAATTAAATCTTTGATATTTAGTTTTGTAAGTTACGTTCCTTGCGATCTTTTTTGTTTAATTAATGAAAATATCGCCAAGAAACTATCAAGAAAATGATTTCCAGTCATTTCATGCTCATTTGCTTCTATATATTGGCATATTACTCAAGTCCTTATTACATCATAAAATATTCACGAGATACGGTTGACTAATCGACATGTTCCTGAAGTAACTAAGCTGTAAGCAACTTGCTCATGAAGAGGGTCGGGATACTCGGGCACTAGAACTAAAGATGAAACTAACCTACTGAAGAGTTGACGGCTTTCCCATTGAGCTTTCCACGGCTAAAAAATTATTTACTGGACTCCATGACTCCAATAATTTACTGGACTCCAATAATACGTTGCAATAAGGTGTGAATTATACATTTGCATGACTATCAAATGGTGAGAGTAAAACTACATGAGCTGCACTAAGAATCATCATGTTAATTAAATTAATCCAATTAAGTATGAATGTCAAAGTTCAATAATTCTTATAAAGGCCCGTTCACACAATACGATTGTTTCGGTTCCCACTTTTGATTGCTTGTTCAGACGGTCCGATAGTTTCGTTGAGAGCAGCCCTTTGTTCATCCACTAAATTTATTGATATATTTACGTATTTTTAATCTTGTTTTTAAGTCTTTTTCAAATCTATTTTCTCGCACGAAATCAAATTTGGGAAGTATGAAGAGTGAAACATCTGAGAGCAGTCGGCTTCCTCTCTATCTTGTCGGATGAAAATAGAGCAAGTTCTATTTCCATCCTATTTATGAAACTGACGATTTCGACTGTCGGAGGCTCGCTTTATATGTGTTCACACGATCCGTTATTTAGGATGCGATAAAGTAGGATCCTACAAATCAGGTCGTGTTAACGTGCCTTTAATTTATACTTCTATCTAAATCCAATGTTCACGACCGTTCTCTCAAGAATCTTCACAAATTTTCTCTTCAGACGTTCCAAGATCTTTCTCGGACGTATTACACTCATTGTCGATAGACTTTTCACGATCATTTTCAACAGAAATTTGGCAATCTTTTTCACCAGAATTCATATCATCTTTAACTTCGGATTCCTCAAAAGGACTACAACCAATATTATCCCAAATAATATCTTCAGGGTTAGGCACAGCGGGAAGGAAGTCTTCGTCGGGACAAATGGACGAAAATATCTTTTTTGCCTAAATGAAAAAGTTCATTTCGTGTTTAAATTCAAAAAATATGGACATCAACTTATGGAGCGACACAACTAACTAACAGCACAGTTGAATAATAAATAAATATATAAATAGATCAAATTTACTTAAATTTCTGCGTCAATCTTGTCTTCAATGTTATGTATTAAAAAATATCTATTTTTCACACTCGTTAGACTTTTATTTCGTAGCTCATTAAGACCACATCAGTTTCAAATACTGACCTCATTGATAGCATCTTCAAAATCCGGCTGCAATGACGGTAGTGATGTAATTTTCACATTGGAGGAATGGTATCAGTAGAAGAAGAAACACCTGTTTCCATGTTAAAATATAAAGACCAAAGTACAAATGGTTTTTCTTCAACATTGTTAACACCACCTAGAAAAAATGTACAATTCTATAATGAAGCAGAGTCACCGTTCTATATCCTCGTAGATAATGGATATTTGTATTTGTTTGAGATATCAAAGCTTTTTCTTTTTACTTGTTTTTCCTTAAATAACCAACCATTATAAAAAACCCAATAATGAATAAAAACACAACGTTTTTCCCTAAACGTTTAGAACTATTATAAGCCAGCCATTCAATCAAAAACGGAACAAAATAATTTTACCTGCACGAGTTTGAAATAAATCATTAACATAAGGTCGAAGATCTTGTGTAGCATCTAAGACAGTCTCCGTCGTTAAATGAACAACATATAAAGATTGAGGAGATGCCATTGATGACGGTGGTAGTTCAATTAGACGCAACGGATTGGAATCATTCGACATGGTCAATAAACTAATGCTTTCCTGTTCTGCTGGTTTTAAAGATTTATTTGTTATAAGTATAGCCCGTGATATCGTGCTGCTGCTTGAAATGTTAAAACATTCAGGAGCATAAGATCTCTCCATAATTAACCATTTCGTATTGAGACGCTGACCATCATCAGAAATAACTGCAACACATTTCTTCTTGTTCTCATTCAACACCAACGACTTTACGCTCTTACGTAAACAGTAGATTCCCCCAAATACAGCACACATACGGCAGAAGGCCTGAGGAAGTTCTCCAGTACCATATAGGGACCATAAAAATGGACTGTTTCCATAGCGACCTAAAGACTTTAGAAACTTTTGGGTCGCCTTCAAACCACAAAGTGTGAGAGCATTTTCAGCGACCCCAGCAATTGAGTGGAGGACGATATGCTGAAGATTTTCACTGAGTTTACGAGAAATTAAAAATTCTTTAAAAGGTTTGTTCACATATGGTTCATACTGGTCATTGTGATCTTCATAATTCAAACAAAATGTCATGAATCTCATCAATGCGCGCTTTTCAAGGACATTTATTAATTTACTGCTAAAAACATCGGATCTTGAACATGGAACTTCTTCTATGCCTTCATCTGTTTTGGTTAAAATACGACTGATGATTTTAAACTCTGCATAATGAGAAATGTTCGCATTAATCAAAGTTTCGACAAGCAATCCTCTTGCAAAAAGAATCTTAGGAGACAAGTCAAGGTTGAATTTTCGACTTTTTTCTACGAGTTCTGCGTATGTCGAGTTTTCATTTAAATTCTTTTCTTTTCTCATATGTCGTTGACCTACACTACCGATATCATTGGAATGTTCCTTTGAGGATTTTTCTGTTTCCCCAGCACAAAAATCCAACGCGTCTTTTGATGAATCTGAGTCATTATCAATGACTTTTGATGAATCTGAGTCATTGTCAATGACTTTTGATTCACTAACTTGTTTATCTTCATAACCACTAATCACATCAGCACAAGAATTTTCTGAATACTGCTCGACCTTGATTTTTCTTCATTGAACAAGTCATCCTCACATTGTTCATTCTTTGTATCTTCAATACAGTCATCAATATCGTCTTTTTTATTCATCACATCCTCTTGGTTAGTAATGAAAGATTTTTTTTCAACATTGTATTCTTTGGCAGATGAAACGATTGGTGATTCTTCAGGATTGTTAGTAAATCCAACTGCACCATCACACAAGACTTCATTGACTTTACCTGAGGCATTTTCTTCATGTCCAGTGACTTTATTAGAATTATCTTTGACTTCATTTGTATTGTCTGTGACTTTGTTTGTGTTGTCTGCAACTTCGTTCGTTATTTCCTTAGCTTTGCTATCATTTCCAGTGTTTTGGTTAGAACTGCTAAAGAGAAGTTGTTATGTTCACACAGCTAATTGAACATTCAAATATTGGAGAATTCAGGGTAAAAAAAACAAAGAATACCTTAGAAACGATTGGACTTCAACATTATGGATCACTTTGCCATCAGATGGAACATAAATTATTTCTTCAACAGCTTTATCACAAACCTCAACAATCTGTTTTTCCTACAGTTTATTTAGTCCACATTCACTCAAAAACAAAAGACATTACAAAAAAATAATACAAGATATGAAAAAGAAATAATATTTTATAAATCTAAAAAAAACATGATTGCTCAGAAAGAAACACAATTTAACAGTAAAACTTCAGACTCTGTGTCATCATCCACTCATTAATCATATTTGAGAAAAGCACAACCAAATATGAAAAATGGTTTTACCAGTTTCTGATTCCTCACAGTTTCAATCCATTTCTGCAAACTTTCAAAACCCAAACAAGCCCAATATCCAGAATAATAGTCATTTCTAAAAATTCATTTCATTCATCTTCTAAGTTCTATAAGTTATTGTGTAAATCATTTTCTTTTTATCATGATAAATTTCAAACCTGTCTAAATGAAGTACTTTATATCCAATACGAGCAAGTGCAGCTGCAACAATTGATTCTGGCATTCCTAAAGTCAATTAGTCTGTTTAGGCAGTTAAGTCAAATTATATAAATATATTAACTTTAATAACTTAGACGATGAACATGAAATATCATATTAAATTTCAGTTACACAGAATTTCGACCTTATTTTTGGCTTTATTGGTGATCGAAATTAAAAGGTGATGATATTTAAACAATATCTAATTAAGAAGGAGTAAATACGAACCTGTTCCTAAAATTATTGCATCGTAATCGGAAGGTAATTCGTCCGCCATATTGTAATCAAGCGAAATGATTAATGAGGACTACTTCATGTAAGAGACAGTTTGTACTGTTGAACATCTTGTGACAGGGTCAAGACAACTCAAATGAAACTCGGCTTTGAAATTTCTATTTTTTTCACGTGCTTGTGAGTTCAATGATGTGAAGTTGGCTGTGAGCAAATTACTGTGTTGGAATGACACAGAAAGCGTACCTCAACAACAATCTTCCCTACTGCAAGATTCCATTAGCGGTACTCCCTACATTACAGACTGTACCATTCGCAGCGATTAAATTTGTATACCACGGTATAATGTGTATGCACCCAAAAAACTTTCATTTATAAATTCATTTTCCATTAAAACAATGGTATAACCTTTTCTCAAATTAATCGCAATAAAATTTGCGAGTTTAATCCAATTAAAATAGCCCTCATTATTGTTCGATATAATTAAAATTTCATAAAGATGTTTCGTAAAATGTTTCAATTACAGCGGCTCTTTGAACATGTGAGGCAGTTGGCTCGTTATTGTTTTTGACATTATTCGTTTTTATTGTGATTTTTTTAGCCAAACGCGAGTCAGTCGTTTCACGAGTGCAGAGAAAGAGGAGAAAAGCTGCAAATAATGAATTTGCGGATATAATGTAGAATACATATCGAAAATCACCAGTAACGTCAAACAGCCAGCCTAAACAATAAAAAAAAAACAAACAAATATTGAAGTTGAACATATTTCTTACTGGTGATTTTACACATCTACCGTTGTTGACATTAAAAATGACACGTCAATACGTTTTCTGACATCTATACATTAGAATGATTACCTAGAAATGGAGGCCATGGTAGTATAGCAAAAGCCATGACAAAACTGACAAACCCATATGCTTCGTTTACACAGTAGTCAAATGTCATTTCAACAACAAGTACTGGATATAACGCCCACCATGTTCCTTCCACTAGTCCTATTAGCATCATATACGCCATGATGAGTGCAAACGACTGAGCAAAGGAACAAGATATGGTTAATAAACCAAACAAGATACATCCAGTAAGACTTATCCACTTTACTTTTCTGTGTCTTAATGCTTTGTCACTAACAGGACCAGCCAAAAATGTTCCCACCAACGACATCGATCCTTTTCCAATGAGAAACCACTTAGCTTTTGATAGAGAGTATCCCAACGAAATTCCATAGCGCACCTATAGAAGAACGAATTAGGAATAGAATTTAAACGATACTTATACAAAAAACAACAATCATACCATAAATACATGCGGTATCGTCAAAGATGAAACGAATAAAACTATTGCAACCAAACTAAACGTAAATGATTTATCTTGAAGAAACTCCATATAAACGTGCTTTGCCATTTTCTTTTCATCTTGTGACGTCATGGTTGTGACGTTGCGTCCACCAACAATTCCATACAAGAGAAACAATGGGCAGAGTCCCAGCAAGATGAGCAACGTATAATGAAAACCAAAAACATGAAAAATTATTGGAAGAATGCATGACATCACTCCACTTCCAAGAGCACCTGCGCTGTAACGAGTTCCAACAGCAAACCCATATCTTTTATTAAAGTAATCTCGAAGAGTTATTATTGATAAGGTAGATGTAAAACTTGTGGATATGCCAAATGGAAGAGAGAACGTGAAAAATACATAGTTCATATTTGGCGCGAAAAGCGTTAAAACAAAAGACAAGCTATAAAGTACACTAGATATGAAAATACACCAGCGAAATCCATAGCGATGATAAGCTTGAACAACGATAGGTGCTAGGGAGAATACTAGAAATAAGATAATCGAGCCAAGCCAGCCTAAAAAAAAGTAGTTAAGAAGTATTAACACGAGACTTTCACTTTTCTAAACATTACAGATGCCAGTTCATATCGTCTTCAATATTGACAAATCAACTCAGTTACGTAGAGCTTTCCAGAGTTACCTCTGAAACTGATTTTAAAACATTTATCTACCATTTTGACTTCAATGTGTTACCACCTTTCCAGGCAGATCAAGTCCATAGTCCATAAGAGAAAATCTATTCTTAGTTCGTGTTGCTTTCAATATACCATGCATAGTTTTGTAAATGTCTATTAAGGAAACGTTGCGTTTCATCGCAATCAGAAAGTAATATGGCTATTTATTGTAAGGCGAATCTTAGACGATAAACTTATATATATATGCCGATTCTATGTATGTCATAGAAATTATTGCTATGTGGTATTTATAATCATACATAAAGATTTGTATATTTCATGCTTTCATTTGTCGAACACCTATACTATACATAATGTACAAACGTATTATATTACCTCCTTTCGTATTATCCTCTTTGTAAAGATCAACAAACACAGCTACAATAATTCCAACAGAATCGCACAAGCCGATGAAAAAGAAAGAAACAATAGAATTGACTACTAGATAAAACCAAGAGTAACGACTATCTTTATTAAAACTAGACATATCAATTTGCCTGACAGGTTTCTCCTGACTAAACCAGACCTCACAATCAGTGGATTTTTAGTAACATGATGCACAGTAATCGACAAATTCTATTAGGTATACAGTGGCCAAGGTTAAGGTGTGATGGTCTTGTGATAACAATAACAATGAGTGAAAAATACCGATATTTTATAAATTGCCCAATGTTACATAGTTTTCACGACGAAGCCATCTGTTATGGGGACAATTCAGTCGCGTTTATATTAAAAAATCTTATGTTTATAATAAAGAATGTATATTTTCAATGATATCCAAAATAAAAGGAACTGGAGCATTAGGTCAATCAGTTATCTATAAGACTATAACAGGTCAAAGCGTTTTGTCGTAATAATAGTGTTCGCGTATTTGCGTTGCTTTTGTAAACTAACACGAGACCACTGCACGAGACCGCTTACTAAGCGGGTAAATGTGTCAGCCTAGAATATGATGTGTTGAAAATTTGTTGAGCGTTTGCACAGCAAATTTCAATTGCAAACTTGTATAAATCAAACAAGAAACTGTGACTAACTTAAAAAAGGGCATAATAAAAATAATCGGCACAAAAAAAGATTAGTCTAGTCATGAGAAATACCTCAAGTAATAACCTTGACCTTCTGTACAAACGCCAATGAAGAATTTTCGGTAATAAGGTAAATGTCTTTCGCCTCGCTAGCTTGGGTGGGTAATGTAATCTCCGAGTGTCCGTGTAAAGTAAGACATAAAAACGGTTATCACCAACGATAATTTTAATTTTAAAAAAACAATGTACTCCTTTGAGTTAATCTGCTACCAATGTCATACTGTTGTTTCATACATAGGTTTCGCCCCTAATTTTACAGGATTTTCATCTAAAACATCAACGTTTTCACAATCCAAATGCAACATGTTTTGTTTTTCAAGTTGACCTTTTTGACGCAATGATAGTTCATTTTCAACATGTACCTTAGAGCTAGCCACCATTAGTAGAAACGAAAGTAAACAGATCACGCTTGCAGAATAAAATACGTAATTGAAGTTATTTGTTACGTCAAATATCCATCCTAAAAAACAATAAAAACTTTCATTAAGGCAAGTAAAAATTCTTTCCAGGATATTTTGTTAAGTAAATCATAATAAATAATATTTCACAAAGCAATAATGATGCAAATTGCAAAATGAAACTCGTTTCTTTTAAATTGATATAAAACATGGCTAAAACACCTGTGCTGGATGGTGTAATGCCCACAACTTAATCCTGGATCATAAACTTCGATCAAACTTTCCGAGGGTGTCAATAAAAAGATTTAGCAACAAAATTGTTCATTAAAGATTGATTTTGATGTTTTACTAATTAGAATTTGGGAAATATGGATGATTGGTAACTCGCAGTATAACTGTTGTTAAAAACGCTTTTTAAAATTTAGGCAATCTAAGTGTACGACAATTTTCTTTAAAGTAAACATGTTTTGGCATGCGTATGCCATCTTCAGTACAAGGAATGATTATGATATCTATTTACAGTTATATTTATATTATTTAAGTGAGAGTGTATCGAATTACTACATGATGGAATTATTTACAAGTTGAATATCGTGCTGATGTGATGTATTTGTTTATTGATGTTCAGTTTGAGTTTTTTTTATGTAGAGCGCTTCCTTTAGTTTCAAAGAGAAAGAAGAGTTAGCGGTGTCTAGGATGCGAAAAAAAGAATGATCGTATTTGGTTTTACATTGTGGTGAAGTGTGAAGGTGTTTGTAAATGTGTGAGTTTTTGTCAGAATGATTGTATTTGGTTTACATTGTGGTGAAGTGTGAAGGTGTTTGTAAATGTGTGAGTTTTTGTCAGAATGATTGTATTTGGTTTAAATTGTGGTGAAGTGTGGAGGTGTTTGTAAATGTGTGAGTTTTTGTCAGAATGATTGTTTTTGGTTTTACATTCTGGTGAAGTGTGCAGGTGTTTGTAAATGTGGTTTTAGAATGTTTGGTTTTATTGTAGTGAAGTGTGAAGGTGTTTGTAAATGTGTGAGTTTTTGTCAGAATGATTGTATTTGGTTTACATTGTGGTGAAGTGTGGAGGTGTTTGTAAATGTGTGAGTTTTTGTCAGAATGATTGTTTTTGGTTTTACATTCTGGTGAAGTGTGCAGGTGTTTGTAAATGTGTGAGTTTTTGTCAGAATGTTTGTGTTTGGTTTTACATTGTGGTGAAGTGTGGAGGTGTTTGTAAATGTGCTCGTGTGTAAATGTGAACGTACTATTTTACAGACGCTACGTCTACGATATCTTCTGTACATTCAACAAAGAAAAACGATGTCATACTATTTCTTAACTATTTAAATCTACAACACACAAATATTCCCTTCACTATAGAGAAAAAACAAAACAAAAAGTTATCCTTCTTAGACATACTCATCACTAAAAACACAACTTCGGACAAATGCATAACTTCAATCTTCCACAAAAAAACCCACACCGGACTTCTAATGAACTTTCTTAGTTTTACATCAGGCAATTACAAAACGGGACTAATTAAAACTCTCCTTGAACGCATTTACAAAATTAACAATACATCAAACGGCTACTAAAATGACTTAAACGCACTAATTGAAACTTTAAAACGCAATTCGTTCCCTTCCCTTTCATAGATAAAGTTATCAAATCTTTCAACGACAAGAAACAGCCAGACGCACTAACATCAAATGAATCCAATGAAACGAAAACCAACACTCACTAGTTTAAACTTCCTTATATTGACTCCCACTCACACACTACCCAACAAAAACAACGAGACTCAACAAAACGCTTTTGTATTGACCTATACATTGAACTTGTTTACTCCTCCTTTAAAATAAAAAACATTTTTAGTTTAAAGACACAATTCCCTCCTTACTCAAATCATGCGTAGTATACGAATTCTCATGTGCGGGATGTAATTCCCGTTATATTGGTAAGACAACTCACCATATCTTCACACCCATCAAAAAGCACACACATTCTGACAAAAACTCACATATTTACAAACACCTCCACACTTCATCACAATGTAAAACCAAATACAATCATTCTTGTTTTTGCATCCTAGACAGCGCTAACTTTTCTTTCTCTTTAAAACTAAAGGAAGCGCACTACATAAAAAAACTCAAACTGAACCTCAATATTCTTTATACATCACATCAGCACAATATTCAACTTTTAAATAATTCCATCATCTAGCAATTCGATACACTCTCACTTAAATAATATAAATGTAACTGTAAATAGATAAGTAGATATCATAATCATTCCTTGTACTGAAGATGGCATAAGTATGCCGAAACATGTTTACTATAAAAAAAAAGTTATCGTATATATGAAATGCCTAATATATATAGTGCTTTTTAAAAACATATTCCAATAAATCTTTCAACTTAATACGGCATGACTAGTTGACATGTTGATTTTTCAATTTTGTTATTTCTAGTGTACATATCATACCTAAAAAAGGAGTTCCGGCAAGTGTAAATACTGCACCAGCAAGGCATAGGAATGAGAATGCTTCATTATAATGATAACCTCCGGTAATTTCAACAACAAAAAGACTCAATGAGACCCAGCAGATTCCCTCGACAATACCAATTAATACCATATAGCCAATCAACAAGTAAAAAGAACGAATAAAAGAGCAAGCAAAGTTCAACAGACCAAAGGATGTTACAACAACTTCCATGATAAGCTTGACTTTACCATGTTTCAAAGCAATGTCACCAACACGTCCAGATATAAATCGCGCTATCACAGTTGATATTCCTCTAACTATTAGCAGCCATTTTGCTTTCGATAATGAATAACCTAACGTTACACCGTAACGAACCTATATTGAAAGGAGAATGTAATATGTAAAGTTAATATGCAGTTACTCTTCTTTTTCAGGCTAGTGAAACAGCTCATGATTTTTAATTCATCTCAATTTAATCTCACTTTAGTTAACATAAATGTTCGCTTAACAAGAGTAAACTATAGCCATGCATGACAAATCAACACAACTTTTTTTCTTTCTTTCTAGACGTTAAAAAATACAAAGATTTTGGAATTTTCCTTTAAATCTTCTTTAATTTATGCTGAAGTCTTTTCCTAAGCATATGTTTCGCTAGCGATATAAAAATGAGCGAGGAAACAAAGCAATATTTATAGCATATTTTCCAGAGGTTGGGGAAAATAAAATAAAAGGAATTTTCTTTTCAACTTTACGCTAATGTCAAATTGCTGTGCTTGTGAACATGCTTATGTCGATGACATAATCATTGCATTCTCACACATATCATTGCATTCTTTTATCCTTACTTGGCTTATCATTATGTGGCTAGTGAAAAAGCAGCTTTTATGTTACGTTCTTGCGTATTTTTGTCACATGCTTTGTTGACTGTCTTTCTTTGTTTTCATTTGTCCTGATGCCCGATTTACACGTGTGACGCAAGCTTAAGTCTTGTCAAGTATAATAAAATGCTGTGTTGTGTAAATTTTAGGGAATTACCATCATTCAATTTTTTAGAATCGATTGTATTGACAGTGAACACAAAAAATTTACATTGCCAAACCAAATTTTCAGGCTGACTACTTCACCACTGCATTTGAAAAAAACATTAAGTTTTATACTTACCATGTAAATCAGTGGAACAAAACAAATTAGAAAGTAAATCGCTACTGCCATCAAATTCAATGCAAAAGACTTGTCTTGGAGAAACTCTCTCCAAAGACTGAAAACTGATGCCCTGATGTTTTTGTCAGAAGAAGATCTTGTTTGATGACGAGCAACCATACCAAAAACAATTGGAACGGGAGAAAAGATTAATAGAGAGAGAAATGTCATCTTATATCCAAGATCTGAAAGAATTATTGGCAAAATAAATGACAACACAATTGTACCAACAGCATTGGCAGTGTACCGCAGACCAACAGCCAGACCAAAGTGTTTGTTGAAATATTCTCGCTGAGTGACAACAGATAAAGTTGACACAAAACTTATAGACAAACCAAAAGGAACAGAAAAACCAAAAAGGACAAGATAAAAATTGTTTAGGAATGGCGTAATAGACATAGAGAAACAAAACAACAAGCTTGCAATGAACATGCACCAACGAAATGAAATGCGTTCGTGGACATAAACTACCAAAGGAGATAATCCCATAGCTAGAAAATAAATCATTGATCCAATCCATCCTAAAAATAATAGAAAAAATTTAATTTGTTGACAGATTATCAACTGCACCCCCACCCACACACACACACACAAACATAACCTAAACACTTCTCCCAAAACCTATTCACAAATAACTATGAGTTATTCTTAATTGTCTACTAAAGGTCCCAATCAACAGTGAATTACAAAGTAAAGTTACAATACTATTTGTTTAAACCTCCTTTGGCATTTGTTTCATTCAAACGTTCAATAAATACAGCAACCAAAATCCCAATTGAATCTGTAAGACCAATAAAGAAAAATGAAGCAACAAGAGTTATTGCCAGATAAAACCATGAATAAGGTCCATCTTTGCGAATTGCAGTCATCTAAAAATAAATACATATCTACAGATTTCTTGAAGGTTCACTGTCTCTAAGCACTTTCTTGTGTGTCCCTCGCAGTCATTTGATCAAAAAACAACTTGTTGATCTTCACATATTTGCAATGAATTTAGATTCGTTCATTGATAGCAACCGATAGGAGCTAATGTCTATATCTTCCAAGTTTACAGTTGAGTAAAGCAGGTCATGCCGTTTAAAAGAAATCAAGATTTTGCAGTTTGCACGGTTTTGTTCGTTGGTATTGCTATAATATTGTTGGTAATTTATAATATTGATTTCAGTGGCAAAAAAATCTCCCGCAGTCGAGGTGTGCAATCGACTGAGACACTATAATAATGGAAAAGTGCATTAAAACGTGAAATTCAATAAACTTAAAATAACCTGCAAAATTGACCAAATACTGGACAGATCCTGAGTTACTGCACCAACTCGTCAAATCAATTTAAAAACTCAATTTATTTGTTGTATCATTTCAGTATTTCACCAATCTTGAAATGAAATTCAGGCTTTACAGCCCATTACAGCCTTTTAGGCAACTTCAGGGAAATGTGTTATTTACTGAATGAATCACACAGCCTTGTCGTAAACTATTATTACTGTGTCGTTATGAAATATTACAATCAATTTTCAATAATTTATCTCCACTTCAACCTACGGCATTCCAAACAAAAGACAGATAATGCAGCTTACGTGTGTGACTCAATGATCCACATCACGCCATTTTCGCCAATGTCTGTGACGTCCGCTTGATGACGTCAGGCACGAAATAAATATGATCAATTTTGGTAACTTGACTCTGACCATAGTATAGGAATATACAGTTGGGCCACTTCGCTCTGCACTGGCTGCGTTTGCCATATCGTCAATCCTATTGGTCACACAATGCAATTTACTGGCTGCCAATATGTTAATCACATGCATAATAAGATATGCGTGGCACGAAAAAATTCAATGGAGTGGCTCTACTGTATGTTCTCTATACTGTGGTTTGACTGATACGACAACTTTCTGATATGCAAAGTCAATTTTGGGTTGTTATGATAAATTTATAGCCTTAACCTTACCTAAATAGTTTCAAGCTTGTACAGTTATTGAAAATTAATCTCAGTTTCGATTCAATACTACTTTGGTGTCTGTATTAGGCAATACATAAATACAAATCATTGTTTCAATAAACAGTAGATCCATTTTTCTTGCTATTCTGTACCACCTTATTCTGTGTCAACAGAGTTCTCCAACAAAAACTCCATGATACCATAACATTCTATTTTTCAGTAGAAAGTTCTATACTAGTTTACATAATATAATAGAAATTACAGAGTGAAGTTTGTCAAAAAATCACAACTTGACATTACAATTAACTTGCTTTTCATATAATGAAAATAACATCATTTTACTAATGGTCTATTTCGTTCTGAATCATCTGTACATGACATTTCTTTGTATTTTTTGACTTCTTCCATGTAAGCTTTCCATGCGTTTGATTTTTCATCAGTTTGTTCTTCTGGGTTTTCATCTTCCTGCAAAAGACAACAAACATGGGTGATTTACAACCCTGATTAAAAAGTTTACTCTCAATTCAAGTAGGTATGTGCACAATATTAAAAAGTGTAATGAAATTTCTCACTCAAACATATGATTACTTTTAAACATACTATACTGGTAAATGTATAATTGAGGAAATGAAAATAACCCACATCAATATGATAATGATAAATATTATTTTTAAATACATCATTGCAATTTTAAGATGAAGAACTGTCAAAAATGGCTCTTCAACTATATTAAAGTTGAAGACTGAGTCTTCAACTTGATTAAAGAATACCCATCCACTCACTACCCACTCCTATAATATGCCTTGTTCTTAATATTTAGTTCTTTATATTGACCACTAAATGATACTAGACAAATAACAATTGTCAACTAAATGATCTTTTAGTTTAACTTTAATGTTATGTTTTACTATGTATGCAGTATCCTCAAATTTTTAAGGGTGCCTTTAAAAATGGACGGGTATTATATAATCGCTCTAAATCCTCACACATGATATGTATCAAATCTTTCTCACCTTTTTTTTATCTTTTTCTTGTTTTTTCTTCTTCGCATTCAGTTGTTTCGAACATCCTGGCATTCTTCCTACAGGGATTTTTCGCTTTCCCTAAAGTCAGATTCACTAACATCTGTTAGATTCAATCAATCCATCAAACAGTATGTTACCTGGAACTGCTGTTCGTCATTTCTTATTCTTTTCTTTCCATAATTTTGGTACAATGCAGAGTGTCAAAATTTTAACTCACACCTGTAACAATAAATTGGCTGTTTTTCGCTTGTCTGATTCAATTTTACGAGGAGGCTCTTGCTTTTTACTAGCGTCTTCTTCTTGCTGTTTCAATTTCTGTTTATAAACTTCCATAAAACTACCGTCATTCTCAAATGAATTCAACATACAGCGTGAACTCGAATCTTCGTCCGACGCCATATTGGTTTATTGCAACGTCACCGAACGAGCCTTGAGCGAGCGAGCGAGACAGCAAGACTGTTTCGGTTCATTGAATTATAAGATTTTTAGTTCTATGATAAGCTCCGAAATCATATTACGGTCAATATTGTCGATGACACACCTTGCATTTTTACTTTTATGCCATGAACAGTCAAATGGTACGACAATTTCTAGTACTAGAGTCTCGTCAAACATACTAAGCTGTTTTAATTAAACTGCAGATTAGTACAAGGCAAAAAATGGAATTTCATTAGATTTGTTAGTAATGAATATATAGCTAGCCATTTCGGCAGAAATAAAAAAATAAGATGGAAGTTTATTGCCATATTATTGTTGACAATCCTTGAATAAATCAATGTTTACGTAAATATCACAATCATTAGTAAAGACCAGTAATAGTATACATATAACATAGTCTAAACCATAACAACAGCTTTCCCAAAGTTTCCGCCTGTAAACAACTCAACAAATGCTTTTGGAAGATTTTCAAATCCTTTTGTGACATGTTCTTTGACCTTTATTTTACCCTAAAAAACATCACAAACAAATGTTAGACTATTTTTCATGCCTATTTTCACATTTTTAATTCGTCATTGAGTAATTGCTTAGAAAAAGAACAGCTTCCTGTTTTAATTTTAATTAAGTCGAGGTAAGTTATGTTTGTTTTCAGCTGGAAAAATTTAAGTTTGACAGAGTACTTCATAATCATTTATTAAAGTCTCATAACCTCTTTGATCCACTTGACCAATTCTACACTTCTTGCTGACCATTCTGACTGACACGTAAAAATATTGAAGGCTTGAATTTTTACTACGCTCTTAATCATCTGCCATAAAAACTCTTCAACTGTAAAAAAAATTTAAAAAATTGAGCGAAAAAAGCTGACAATGATTAACATGATGGAGGCAATAATCAGAAACTTCAGTATTAGATAACGTACTAAGTACAGGCTCGTTGGTGTTATATGTAGAAACAGATCCAACTACTGCTACACGACCAAACTGTTTCATCAATTTTATTATCTTTGAAAAGCCTGGACCACCCACCTAATTATAAAAAATATCTAGTTAAAGGTATATTTGTGCATTGTCGTTTCAAAGATTTGAAATGAAGTAAACTAGAACAAACATTTTCAAAAAACATATCAATTCCATCAGGACAAAGTTTCTTAAGTTCATCTTCAACTGATGTTACAGTCTTGTAATTAAATGCTTCATCAAAACCTAGACTTTTAAGAAAAGCAACTTTTTCATCTGAACCAGCACTACCAATAACACGACATCCTTTAATCTTGCAATTTGACCAACAATTGAACCAACTGCTCCAGCTGCACTGTTAACATAAAGTGTTTCACCTTCTTTTGGTTCGAGGACATTCATTAAACAAATATATGCAGTTAATCTATAACAAAAATATTCGTGATACAAAACCACTGCTGGTTAGTTCTGTTTAACTTTCACACTATGAACGTTCGTTTCTGTATATCTATACGTAATTTATGTAATGATTAATCATTATAAACCAAATATTTTTGAGATTTCTGCTCATTCCATTTATATGTGTCTATACATAACAGCATTTTAAATCTATACAATGTGCTTTTTCTGAAGAAAAAACTTTACTAATCAAACTGCTTTTAAAAGCAAAAATATTCAAGAATGAGAGTTGCAATTTATTTTCATCAACCCTTGACTGATTCACCACCTACAATCTAGAATAAACGCTCGTAAAATTGTTTTAAGACTGTCGCCGGATTGAATAAAAAATGCGTTTCCTTACTTCATACTTATGAAAACGCTAGAGGCTTATGAACAAAAGTTATCACAAATTTCTTTGTGTTAATTTATACCCTGGCATCCCAGCTGCTCCAAGACCAACAGAGGTAGGAAGATCTTGAAGAAAATCCATTTTTGTTAATTTCTTGCCAGATATGACTGCATGAGACCTACAATCCATGGGACCAACTACACGAGTTCCATTTGGAAAGCAGCTATCTTTACTCTGTATAACACTAAAGAGCATGAAGAGTACTTTAGTAACAATGAAATAAGCAAGAAAGTGTTATGCTGTGCACAATATGATTTTTTAAGTTCACATTTTTTATAACACAGACAGCTACCAAAGGAGCTTTTATTTTCGCATCATATGAGCCTGAGGTCACGTTTTGTGGATCTGGATTGACATATGTTATAAAAATGCTTGTAACTGCTTAAACAACTATAATGAATGCAATCTTCATTGATGATGATTTTTACAAATGAGGTCGAGTGGTCACCCAAATTTTAACATGTTACAACGTAGCCAGTGTCAGTCTGCAGGTTTGGGTTCCCGATTCGCAATTTTCATTAAAAATTTCATTAGAAATCGATTGTTATTGTGAGTAAGCACTGCATGTGTCACTGGTTGCTATATTGTAACATACAAGTTAACGTCACTGGTTGCTATATTGTAACATACAAGTTAACCACGTGTAAGCTACGTCACTGGTTGTTATGTTGTAATATACAAGTTAACCATGTGTAAGCTACATCATTGGTTGTTATGTTGTAATATACAAGTTAACCACGTGTAAGCTACATCACTGGTTGCTATATTGTAACACACAAGTTAACCACGTGTAAGCTACGTCACTGGTTCTTACGTAGTAACCATTGGTTGTTACACACGAATAAACTTTATGCATATAAATCATTAAGAGATAATTCATACTTACTGTCCAGCTACAAAAAAATTCGTCAAAACATCCCCTTCTTTTAAGGCATCAGCAAATGGTCTGAAAAATATGAAATAAATACGATAAACCTTATAATGTCTAAAATTCAATAAATTTGTAGCTATTTCACCTCATGTAAGGATCCAAGCTGAGACATTCTACTTCAACTAGAACTTCTATATATAGAAACAATACATGATCATTATTCACAATAACAACAGTCTGATAGTTTATCAAATTTTTAACTTAAAACATGAGCAAACCTTATCTGACGCAGCTACATATATCGCACTCAAAAACATTGTTCATTTTTGATAAAAGCAAGTAAGAAAAATAGGGAAAAATTACACTATGAAAATACTGCTATATTACTAGACCAGACTGCAGTGGAGCCAGGTGCCACTTCTGTGTATATATTTATCTATTTCCAGGCTTTAAATATAAAGCAAATTATAACTTTTTATGTGTTTGCAGAAGGTGTTCAGTGGCGTAACTTGGGTATCAAGATTGGTGGGGGTGTAGGGAGTCAACTTGTACAACAAAAGGGCGTGGCATTAATTTTTCCGACCAAAGAGCGTGGTGAAGTTGTCTATATGAATACAGCATTATACAGCATGTATCGACGATTTTAAGGGCTTTTATTGTGTTTTTGCCATCATGCTATGCAAATAGTTTAAAAGATTTTAAACAAATTGGCAACATAATTGGAAAATTTAATCTTCGAGCATTTTGGGAGCTCAAGATCGATGATTATTGTCGTGAATGTGACATTAAAAAAACTAGTGCGAGAGCCCATATGTGATGTCATTAATGCATTAATGCAATTTATTCATAATCTCCTGAAAAGCAGAGCATTTTTTCATTACACACATATGTGACAGCTTGTCTTGTGGATGTAAAAAAATGCGTCATATAGACATAACAAGATGCTGTTATTGAACATGAAAACTGAAGCAGTAAACGTAACTTTGTCTCTATTGAACGTTATCAATGCATTATTGGAATTGCTATCATTCCAATGATTGCCTTTTTTGACCAGCAAATGTTGTTATAGCAAAAACAATGTTTTATATAAAATTGTTTTGAAATTTTTGTCATTAATGTTTGACCTTACACTTTGCTGAAAAATTTAGTGCTTCATAAAAAAATCATAATATATATTTTTTGGGAGTGAGCCACCCCTCATCAACCCTTCCAGGATTTATGCCTGTCGGAACTTAAGTAAATAAGTAAAAGATAATTGTTTGATACTAGGAACTAATGAAACAATGGAAATAGGAACTTATGTTAAACTTATGTCACAACGTTACAACAAGTACTAACGAACATAAAGGACAAAGAACAACCCAACGAACGACAAGGTGCAGTTTACAAAATAAACTGCTCCGACTGCCACGCCTCCTATATCGGGGAAACAGGCAGGAACTTAAACATAAGACTTACTGAACACAAACGAGCTACTAAGAAACAAGACAAAACAAATCACATTGCCGAACATCACCGAATCACAAAGCACAACACTGACTGGGACTATAGACAACGGCTTACACAAGTACACAATTGACACCCACACATTTCCTGTACACACAATACAATGACGTAAGAACCATATAACAAATACGGCTAACCTGACGTTCTCCTCGTTTGACTCAGAAGATGACTACCGCTAAGGTTGTCGAAACGTCAGTTAACAACAACAAAAACAGTCCTTCTCCAACCTAGACTATACCAACCTGGACGATCTACATTTACAAACATTTATTAGCTATGACACGTTGAAAGTCAGGGTTCTTCTGTCGCTGCTGTGAATGTAAAAGCTTGAAATGTTTAAGATTATCCGCGATGTGGAATAGCTATATTGAGTAAAATTGAGAATTGTGTGTCATCTGCGCGTACAGTAGAATAGTATACAGTCCCAAAAACGAATCGGCAGACGCATAACTGATTTGTGCTAACGCGCAAAGGAGAAAATTGCTACAACGCCTCTGATTGTGTTTAAGAAATGTGTGAGTTATTCAAGCCTTTAGACTGTTTAATATGAGGAATATATGCGTTGCAAGGTGTTTTCAAGGTGCTGTCTTTCAAGTACACTTCAAATCAACTCCAACTGAATACATAATCAATATGTCTTATTGTTGTCAGGTGTTTTGTGGATGCAAACGTTAGAGCGTCGCGAGCGAGAATTTGAAGTGTCTTCACAAAAATGTTTTGACTAGCTGAAATTTTAAATGAATGGGAGGACAGCAGTATTCCCTACAGCCTGCATGATTTAGAGCCATACTCCCTTATTTGAAGCTGTTTAACGCATCCTAATAAACCTGTTTACTGAAGTAAAGTAAACAATTACTAGTGCTTCACAAAGGCATTTTAAATATAACATACCTCCATCGTTAAGGGCAGGTAATTCTTCTTCAACAAGTTCCAAGTCACTCACTGTTGGCAGTTTATGGAACTTGTGAGCGTAAATATATTTCTTTCCTTTCATGTTATAAGGTATTGTATATTATAAGATAGATGAAATGACTCAACGTCACCGTTTAAAAAAAATAAGGAAAATTAGCAGGACCACTTCACTCTGTTCGCTGGGCAACTCACTGATGCATATTTAAAGATAACTGGTCTTTTCATCGTTCCTATTGGTCAAAAATGCATGCATTAAGTACTTTGGTAAAAAACTATGGTGATCAAGTGGATAACGCATTCATGTATAAAATATAGTAATTGAAGACGGAAGTTGGCTCATCTGATTATGACCTTCGTGGGGGGTATCGGTCCACTTTACTATACTTTTGTATTACAAGTATTACTTTTGTATTACTTTTGTATTACACAGTTTTGCGTTTTTATTTGCTCTATAAACTTTTGATTCGAGCAAAATTTTTGTGAAAGGGACAGAACAACCGGCAAAGATATTTTAATCCTAAAAAGTTTGTCTTCTTGGCTTTATATGGCAGAAAATTGAGATGGTACAAGGTCGACCTGCATTGTTTTGAAACAAACTGGAGATTATATGATGATGCTGCTTCTTAAAAAATGTAGAAATATTACAGAATCCTACTACTGCTACCAAAATTTCATCTGCAATGACGTTTATGGAAGATTGCTGTTAAGATATGCTCTCCTATTCTTCCTGTAATTAGTAAATAATTAAGTCAAGTGTAACTAACTAAATGATTATTTTAAGAGATACTCATGTGCAATAATCACAATATTTTTTATAGTTCCTAATAGCTATCCGTTGATTGTAAATTAACCATATTTAGTAAAGAAACAAATATATCCATACGTAATATCTTGTATAAATAGAAGTAGTTTAACCATTTTTAAGATAGATCGTAGACCATAACAGTTATCTGTAATATCTCTATTTGTTGGTGTAAGTCAATATGTACTAAAGAAGGTAGATGGCTACATCACAAAACCTAACAATTGCTACAAATTTACTTATTTAACAACACTTTGTTATTCACATCGCTAATATCATAATAATTTCAAATTACGTCTTTATTATATCAGTGAAGAAACAAAACAAATCGACATAGTAAAATAATCAGAAAAACATTTTGATGAACAATAGTAAGTTGAAAACGGTATCATCAAACTCTACGAGATGTACATCATCAAAATATGCGAATTAAAGTACCTCTGTTGTCATTAAGCGAAGCAAAGTTTTCAACCAGTTCCTATGTGAACAACTTCAATATCGATGAATATGTTGAAGATATGAATACCTTTGTTCTTACTTTGTTGTAAATTTGTAATTTAAGTATTCATCTTCTAAAAATGCTTCGCACGGCTGAAATTGTCATCGTCACCTTCAACTTTCAAATTTCAATACAACTTGCCATCTTATTTTTCAGTCGTTATAAAGCCAAAAAAACAGAGCTTCAGGGTTGAAACTCTCTACCGGTTTTCCTCTACATGTCATAAAAATTTTGCCGTAATCAGAAGTTTGTAAAGGAATAAAAACGCGAAAACTGTGTTTTTGTAATACAAAAATATAGCAAATTATCGATCTTCCGGCTTCAATTTTCGCAAGAGATGCGTTATCCAGTCTAATATACATATCAGTGGGTTGTATGTGGTACAGTGGTACATGCCCAACCGTCATGGAACTGGAGTATGGACTGTGGAATGTTGACTGTAAAATAGTTTTATCATAAACCGGGACAGTAGATCCTTCTTTATTTCAAGGGAATTGGGGGAGAGTGAAACTTAACTATTTCAATCTCAAAGCTTGTCCTAAAACGTTTTCAATTTTATCTAGTGTAAATTTTAAAACATGAAAGGAAAGAAATATATTTACGCTCACAAGTTTGAAGGACTTCCCAAACTGACTGATTTGGAACTTGTCGAAGAAGAATTACCTCCTCTCAAAGATGGAGGTATGCCGTATGTACCATAGAAACAACTGTTTTGATAGTTATCATTATTTCATATTCGATCTACATGTAATTTTGTGCACGTACATTTGTTGATTCATTTATAAATTTTAATTGGCGACACGCGTAGCTTATCCCAAACCTTTGTAATTTTTATTGCCTTTCTAAAACAGTGCCAAAATGTAAAATGTTTTATCTTTGCTTTCCATACTCAGAATGCCAAAATGTCGGATGCATTTCAAATTATATATATTTCACTATAAACATACAAATATTGCTGTCATTGCAGTGGTACCCATTCACACCTTCTCATCATTTATGGCAGAATATGAACTCAGTAAATTTGCTTAGCAGGACTATTTAGGTTTGATAGTAATGCCACTGGACTAATGCATGACAGCATAAAGACTTTCTGTATGGAAATGAGCTTTTACTCTCCAGCTTTAAGTTAATTTATGAGAATAATTTACTCACTGTAAAATGCAATGCTAATCTAGCTTATTCTTCATTTTCAATATATGATTCATGTTATGCTATTTATGTAGATGTTTTGGTGAAAGTTCAATGTCTTAGCCTGGATCCTTACATGAGGTAAAAAATACTCTTATGAAATGTAAATTTTATATATTTGTTTATTGTTAATTGCTGTCATTTATTTATAAAATGATGATAATTTAGGCCTTATGCTGTTGAGAATTTAAAAGAAGGCGATGTAATGATGAATTTCTTTGTTGCTGGACAGTAGGTGTTAAAGATTTTTCATTTTCTGTGTAAATTCATGTCTACCTTTATTACATATGTTTTAGCGTGATTGACAGCAAACATGAATCCTTTTCAAATGGCACTCTTGTGTGTGGGCCTTTTGGTTGGACAACTCATGCAGTCATACAAGGAAAGAATCTTACAAAAATGGATTATCTTCAAGATCTTTCTGCATCTGCTGGCCTTGGAGCAGCAGGGATGCCTGGGTAAGCATATGCAACATGTAGACACCAAATAACATGGTTACAAAATGTTGAAGATGCCTGTATTTTTTATATCAGTATGAAACAGTCAACACTTACTGAGAATTTTTCATTTATCAATTATATGGCTTGGATATATATACCTCCTCTTTGTTTTGTAGGTTCTAGCCCGGTTGTTTTAAACTTGGCGAAATCTTATGTGAAGAATAATTGACACCATAAAATAGTACAGTGCTCTCGTAGCTATCAGCACTGTATTTGTAGCTCCCATATTTAACACATTCTACATTTAGGATTAGCCCTTGATGCTGATAACATATTTGGTATCTTCTCAACTATGGTGCTATTCTAAACCATGCAAACTAGTGAATCATGTTTTGTTACATCTTGGAAAATTCCCAGAGGCATATTTACATCGCAAAACAAAATGAAAATTTAATGAATTAAATTTAATAGTCAGCTCATGTTGTCCATGTTTTAACATTGTCCTTTGGAGTTTTTACTGACAGCTTACCTAAAACAAACAAATTTCATGTCGTTATTATGTCCATAGTCAGGTTGGTGTACTCCAAATAAAAAATAACATTGAAACAATACTTACTCTTTCTTAGTTTAACAGCCTATTTTGGAGTTTTGAATGTCCTCGAACCAAAAGAAGGTGAAACACTTTATGTTAACAGTGCAGCTGGAGCAGTTGGTTCAATTGTTGGTCAAATTGCAAAAATTAAAGGATGTCGTGTTATTGGTAGTGCTGGTTCAGATGAAAAAGTTGCTTTTCTTAAAAGTCTAGGTTTTGATGAAGCATTTAATTACAAGACTGTAACATCAGTTGAAGATGAACTTAAGAAACTTTGTCCTGATGGAATTGATATGTTTTTTGAAAATGTTAGTTTTATCATTTGTGATTAGGAAACCATGCAGTCGATTTAGATAGTTTTAAGATTCATTTATAACATTCAGGTTGGTGGCCCAGAATTCTCCAAGGTGATAAAGCTGTTGAGAATGGATGGTAGAGCAGCAGTTTGTGGAGCTATTTCACAATACAACTCTACAGAACCTGTTTTTAGTATGAAGATTTAAGTATTTTTAAATATCAGTAAACAAAATGATAATTTTATAACAAGTTATCTTTTCAAACAATCAAGCGATTGTCTTTCTTTTCTTAAATCTTTTTACAGTTGAAGAGTTTATGATGCCTCTTATTAAGAATCGCATAAAAATTCAAGGTCTGCACGTCCACAAATATTTTGAGGAATGGCCTTCAGGAAGAATTGAACTTGTTAAATGGATAAAGGAGGTGAGTCATCGATAGAGAAATATTGCTACGGATCTTTGTATTGCTAGCTGGCTTTTCACAAACTGAGCAATTGACAATCGCCTCGAAAATTATGTATTTCAGGGTAAAATCAAGATAAAAGAACATGTTACGAAAGGATTTGAAAATCTTCCAAAAGCATTTATTGAGTTGTTTACAGGCGGAAACTTTGGGAAAGCTGTTGTTATGGTTTAGAATATATACTGCATATGGAATTGATGTCTACAATAATTTAATGATTTTTTAGAATTGGTAACAATGAATTAAATAGAAACCGATGGTTTAAATAAATAGGATATTTTTTTGCATGAATTTCTATAGTATTTTTTTTATGAGCATATAATATGAAGATGTGTTGAAAAATTAGGAATTTTTTTGACGTAAAGAATGATGCGAGGTTTTCATTGTCGGAGGTTTTTAGATTTTAATAATCTTCTCCTCTTACAAGCTACCCCTCGTGACTTTCACATTTTCCTGCATCTGCAATATGGACATGCAATCCATGACGTGCATCGTTGTTATGAAACTTTCAGATGACTCTTGAGCGCAAATTGTGTGTAGCAAAATCGGTCACTTTTCATAAAGATATTGAAACGCCTGTGCAAGGGCTATGTCAATGTTTTTTTGTGGGTAGTCTGTATAAAATAAACTGAGTGAATCGAACTGTGACTAACAATCGTGTCGTACATTAGATATTTTGTTTTACGTTCGTATTATTGAAGGAGTTTTTTAGCTTTCTAGTGATATGTTGTTGATTTCATGACAATCAGCAGAAATGATCGAGTCCCACGTACGGTGTTACACAAAAAATTACAAGTCAAAGTTGCTTTTTTCCCTCATTGGGAATGGTGAATACTATCAGTTTAAGATTGTTTAGCGTATGAATCATGAATTATGATATAATACATGGAAAAACCCGTTGTTTTATATAAAGCAAAAACGATAAAACTCGTGTGGTGATCGATCTCGTGTTTACGCTGATCTGCTCTCGACTTCTCGCAAATATCTCCTCGGTTTGCATAAGCCTGTGCAAACCCAGTAAACATCTCTTATTTCTCCATTGTCTCAACTGGAAGTGAAACCTTTTAACTGCACTCAATTCCCAGCGGCGGAAAAATGGAATTTAAATTTTATTCTAAGGGAACTCGATTAAATCTGATTATATTATAATGTAATGAAAAAAATAATTGGAAAGCTAAAGAGCTAAATTACAATGTAAGCGTTAAACACAGTATCAAGTGCAACATTAAATATTTATGTTCGGTTCACTTTTTTGTACACACTTTATAACATTTGAAATTCCTTTCTGCTACGCTTCCCCCATGTACGTACCTATTTTTTCCACTTTGCAACTTGAAAAATACAGGTACGTACGTACAAGTGGGTGGCCTTGCCAATATTATAATACTTATGCTAGGTTTTGTCCTACAAATCTAATATATATATACAATCATAAGTATTATAGCTAGATGCTACCTAAACTACATGAAGTAAAAACGTGAATCATATCAAAAATAACTGACTATAATGAACAGAAATCAGCACTGTATTAAACAAAAGTTTCCATAAAATTCAACATCCTCCACAACCACCCAACCTCCAAGAATGAACCAATAGTAAGAAAATTTATATTTATTTGAAATACTTAATGCATGTTTTGAGAACTTGGTTCTCATTTCAATGCAGTCTTAACTTAACTTAAGCACACTTTGTATTACATATGCAGGATTTTACTTTAATTACAAAATGTGCTAAGATTATCAAGTGAAATGAAATTTGGTGCAAAAGTATTCCAAAATAGGTGGCAGAAGTCTATTTTGGAATACGTGGACGTTTTTGAATAACTTCCTCCTAAATTAGAGAGCGAGGGAACTCTCTAACTTAGTTAGAAATTGCAAATACTCAATTATGTACATTTTTGTGTATTAGTGTGTTTAGATACAATTTTCTGTGGATATTCATACTTTTGGCAAAATCAAAACCTTCAATTGATCATCTGCAAACACTGAGTTGAAGTGAAAGATTTTGTCTTTCTAAAATATGTTTTCTTTAAATGATAGTACTTAGTCTAAATACGAGTAAAATAATCGGTTACACTTACCGTAAGAAACGTTAAATGACCATGATAAGGCAACGTGTACGCCGTTCTAAAATAGACACAAGCAACAAAATTTTTAAATTTAATGAATGATGGAAACACTTACAGCCCTGAATACCACTTCTTGCATCGTCTTGTCCTCCGCATCTAAAAGATACTAAACATCAAGTTAGTGGTTTGACGAAACAAACAAACAAACGAAGAAACAAACAAACACATACCGCAGTGCTAATCTCCAACTGTTGCCATGTGAGAAAAACTGTAATCGAATAATAATAAAATACAATGATAAACTGTTGAAGTTCATGTATTTCGTAAAACCAGTGTTTGCAGAAGATCTGTTAAAATTTTTGTCGAAACTCGTATTACAATGATTGGCAAAAAACAGCTGTAAACTGCAAATATTTACAGCGAAGGCTTACTTTGATGTCAACATGAAATTGCTGTCTGATATTTGAAATAACTTTATCAGAAAATGTTCGTTTTCACTCTGTTTTAACTGCAATAAAACACTGCTATAACATCCCTCAATGTTATAACAATGCCAGTCATAAATAAAAAGTGACTGAATATTTAAAGCCGACAGTTTGACCGATACGATAACACTTCAAGTTTAAGTAGATTAAATACAATTTTAAGATTTTGCAATACTCTGCCAGCGCATTGCAATTTCTTTTTGTAACTTTAATAAGTCAATTATAAATTGACTGTAAGATGTTACGTGAAAGATACCAACATTTGAACGTTCACAAGAAGCACCTCCATATTAATATCAACATACATGTTAACTGATTCTTGCTAAATTCTATAACATTATTCAATGGTATAAAAGAGCTAGACAGTTAACATGCTGGCAACACATCCCTTTATTCCCAAATCGTTCAACTGCTGTTAACGTCGGTAGTTGGATATACAAATGGACTTTGAATTATAAAATGGAAGCATTATTTCATAGAGGTATAATTCTCTGCTGGTCAGTCCAGGAAGAATTGACATCGATGGTGAGGAAGGATGTTTTGTGTCGAAAGATAAACTATTTCTTCCATTTGAAACATCTTGATAAAGACTTTGTATAGTCTAGAAATAAAGAATAATGGTGATATCGTCTGTATTTCATACAGATATTTCTTGGTACTTTAATGTGGCATTTTGATCAAATATTTTAGAATGTATGTTAAACGTCATAGTTTTTGTTTTGTTTATCTGTTTTATAAAAAGAGTTTTTGTGATATCATTAACTGTGCTGTCATCTTTCCTCTTTATCTTCTGCGATTCTTATCCGTAGATTATGGTCTTTTTAAATATTTGGTTCAAAACTGACTTTCTGAAATGATGGTTGTATTTGAAAAGGAGTTGTGTTGTCCTTTGTTTGAACTGTCTTGCAAATACTCATGAATGGAAAATTGGAAATACCACAGTAAAAGTATTAATTTAAAAATTGAAGAAAGTTTGACATAACCACAAACATAAACAAAACAATAAGTAATGCTAATAAACTATAATGCAATGAATAAAATAAAATTCCCCTTCTTTGTTTTTCAAGTCTCACGAGAATAAAACTAAAGTTTTCTCGCTTATGCTTATTTTACGAATGGATCCAGGCCTTGATGACCCTAGTTTTTAACTATAAACCATAGGGCTTTACAATCTTAATTACTTTATAAATACCTACTTTTAGTAAAACGGTTTAAATTCTTTCATTTATACAACGTAAACCTTACCACGACATTTTATAATCATCATCCATGTTCCGAAACCAAAATCTTCCGAACGATCATCAATTATCATTATTCAACTTCATTTGGTATTGACACAAAACTTCTCGATCTTCTCTTCAACCACATTAAAAACCGTGGATTGATTACACTCACATACATCCGATCTCTTTAAAATACACTGAGCCTGTATCACTTGCTCTAACGTCACTACCAAGAACTTTCCCAAACTTTTCATCAACACGTCAAAAATCTCGACTTCTAGAGCTAGACATTCTCACTCGATAAACATCAATCTAAAAACTGCATGCAGACTAGTTGATCAAAAATATTTAATTCCTATCCACCTACATGATAATAGTCTATGATTGGTTCTAAGTACAAAGAAAAACAATGCATTACAAAAATGATAATCTAAAGAGTGAGAGATATTATTTCATTAATCAAATTTGAAAACAAATTCATATAGGTGGTGTGCAACTATTCTCCTGGGAGTGACAGAACAATGAAAAGTTGTTTATATTGGATTACATTTGCAATGTAAATCATTATTGTAAATAAGGAAAATGCTTTGTTAAAATCATCGAACATGACGATCATGACGTAACATGTACACCAAAGACTCAACTTAGTAAATTTCGTGGTTATACAGCAGAGCCACGCCTTGCAAAACCTGAGTTTTATACATTTTACGGAGCGCGCATGCGCATCGGCTAACCCAATAAAATGAAAAAATAAATTTGTTTGCATGAAAAACGACATGCTGAGGATATTCTCTAGAATTCGAAGTATTCCTTTTTGTAATGTGAGCGAATTAAGAGAAAAATTTGTGTGCAAACGGTATTACAATATGAAAGGAAAGAAATATATTTACGCTCACAAGTTTGAAGGACTTCCCAAAGTGACTGATTTGGAACTTGTCGAAGAGGAGATTCCTAGCATAAAGATTGGCGGTTAGTGTGTTTTAATTGTGCATGATGTGTTATATTGATGTGGGGATATGTGTGATGAAGGGAGAATGACATTAATTTCAATTTTATATTTTACGAAATTGTTCACCACTGATATGCTAATTTATATTATAGAGGTTTTGATCGAGGTACAAGCTTTGAGCGTTGATCCATATATGAGGTTCATCATTATCAATAAAATGTCAATAAACACTTAAACAGTGAGATGATTTTATAATTGCATCTACATATTGATTGGTGTGTTCAAATAATGCATTCTAATTAGGTAACAATTACATTACCATCTCCATGATTTCTATGAGGTAATTTAAATGCATTCTAATTAGGTAACAATTACATTACCATCTCCATGATTTCTATGAGGTAATTTATATAGTTGAGAAGGAAATCAAGAGCAACTACCCAAATATTTTAGAAGAATTATACTAGTATTCATGAAGAAATTAGTGGCAGTTTTCCTGAATTTTTTGTGTATCTATTGCAAATTTGATTGCAAGTTGAGTAGCCAATCAAATGAAAGCATTTGCAATAGAATACTAGAGTAGTATGATTCTGCTAGTAATGTTTAACCACGTAATTTTATAGACCATACACACCTGTGATATGTAATATTGGAGATGACATGATTAATTACTTTGTAGCAGGCAAGTAAGTAAATGCTACTTTTTGTAAATGCCCATGAAATATTTCAAACGAATCAACAAATACGAGCGAGCTTCTTGTTCATATTATTGATTATTGATATAGAGTGATTGATAGTAAAGATTTATTATTTCCAATTGGTACCAAAGTATCTGGAGCAATGGGATGTAGAACTCATGCAATTATGAAAGGAAAAAAACTTACAAATTTGAACTTTCTTGATGATCTGCCTTTATCATATGGTGTTGGAGTTGCGGGTTTAGCTGGGTTAGTTTTTCCCTGAATTGCATTTAATATTCCCATACAGAATTTTTTTCGTATCATGTTTTGGTTTAAAGAACTGTACCATAGTTAATACATTAGTACTACATAACTGCACTATGGATATCACATTAGAGTTAATTGAATAATGATGGTACTTTTGTTATAGAAATTGATATTGAGCTTAATGTTCATAAACTTGATTATTTACTCAACTTGCCAAATGATGGTAAAGTTTAACATTTAAACCATTCAAAGCATACAAATACTTCTTTATCATGTTCATTGTTAGTTTAACAGCCTATTTTGGAGTTTTGAATGTCCTTGAACCAAAAGAAGGTGAAACACTTTATGTTAACAGTGCAGCTGGAGCAGTTGGTTCAATTGTTGGTCAAATTGCAAAGATTAAAGGATGTCGTGTTATTGGTAGTGCCGGTTCTGATGAAAAAGTTGCTTTTCTTAAAAGTCTAGGTTTTGATGAAGCATTTAATTACAAGACTGTAACATCAGTTGAAGATGAACTTAAGAAACTTTGTCCTGATGGAATTGATATGTTTTTTGAAAATGTTAGTTTTCAATTACGTTGTGCGATTTGAATAAGACTGCACGCCAAGGATTGTTTTATTTTGTGTGAAACGTTTGGTTCCTGTCCCTTCTATAGCGACACTGACTGAAAGAAGACAGTAAAAACTGGTTTCAAGTTAGTTTCTCCCAAAGCTAAATCCACAATAGTTTCATTTTTTACGAAAGTTGAAAACTGTGACGTACTCAGTCTGTTAATTTAGTACAATTTTTTCTTTGTGAAAACAATAAATTAAAAAAAATCAATAATGGTAATGAATTGAGCTTTGCCTAGCATGACTAAAACTTGCAGGATGGTTTCGCTTATGTTTTAAAATAAACTGCGCAATTTCACATTTTCTAATGTCCTCGAAATGAGCTTGGTCTTCCAATTCATATTTCCTGCTAAAACACCTATATAGTTATTTAATATCGTTTGGTTGTAACAAAGAAACTAAAAGTTATCTCAAACTTCCAGGTTGGAGGTCCAGGATTTTCCAAAATCATAAATCATTTAATGAACAGAAGTGGTCGCGTCGCTGTGTGTGGGGCCATATCCACGTATCATGAAAAAAAACCAGGTTTTGGTGAGTAAAATGTCGTTCCTTTATAGTAAGGATATTTTCATGGTTGTTGAGACAAAAGAAATTTAAAAGTAAAGCTTCAATATCGTTACCATATACCAGTTGTTCTAAGTTAAATTATTCATGATGTTTTCATCGTAGTTTGAAATACACGACAAGGCTCGTCCCTGAAAATTCATTGTTTAGTAGGCAAATTTAAACTATTTTATGTTTGTATTGTAAACAATTATTTAGTTGAGGACACTCTTTGGTCATTGGTGGGGAAACAAATAAAAATTCGAGGATTTAATGTGATGGAATTTTCTCAAGACTTTGAAACGGCATGTCAACAAATTGTTCACTGGATCAAAGAAGTTTGTACAAAATATGTCCTACTTACTCTATCTTACCTTTAAAGATCTATATGTACCTATTAGCTACACCATATCCCTATTATAAAAACATAGTCCTGAGATGAGAGAGCACTTGATACGACATTAACTTTTTGTCGTCTCAGATTTTGTTCTTTTTATTTTAGGGCAAAATTATTGTAAAAGAACACATAACGTATGGCTTTGACGGATTTCCAAAAGCTTTTGTAGACCTGTTTACTGGAGATAACTTTGGAAAATCTGTTGTAATCGTTGAAAATTCATCAAAATTGTGATTCTCCAATTGTGCTGACCAAAGCAATATGATTGAATATGAAATGATTAAACTCAATGTGCTATACTATTTTATTGAACATTTTCTTGAGGGTGATAAATTAAAATCTCATCAAGTCAGAAATCGAATGCTGGATGTGGGCGTGCAAAAATGTTATGTTGTCAAACCTTTAATGATTACATGATTTACATTGACATAACAAACAATAATTTCTACACATTATTTTTCAATGCTTCTGTATGTGTATACGTTTATCAAAGTCAATTTAAATTACAAAATTATAATAATAGATGTTTATGGTCAAGATATCTTGCTAAGAATTCTAGCCAAGATGTCAAGTCAGAACGATGTAGACTAGTAGTTATTCTTCGACACTATCTTTTGTTTTCTTTGACTAACGCAGCTTGCAATTTCCGTTTCTTATGTGAAAGCTCAGTTTTGTTAAATCAGTTTGCGTGCGAGCCATTTTTTAGTTTTTCCAGCTCTCTTTCTAATCTTTTATTACTTTCCTGTAGCTGGACGTTTGCTGTTCTTAGTTCTTGGTGAACAAATTCAAGTTGCTCAAATATTACTTTGAAATTGGTTATTTCTACTTCTAATGTCTTTTTCTTCGTTATCAAATCACACGCATTTTGTTTTATGAGACACAGTTCACTCTCATTCTTCTTTAGCAATGCAACAGCTACATTTTTTTCGTTCTTTGTAGCGTTATACTCTTGAAGTAGACTTGAATGTTCCAGTACCTTATCAGAAAGTTCGTTTTTCAATTTTCTTATTTCCATCTTCATATCGTCATTGCTCTTTTGAAAAAGTTCCTTTTCTTCAACCAACAGCGATATTTTGGAGTTTAATTCTTCTTTCACGCTTTCTAATTCTTTTATGGTTGCTTTTGCAGATAATAGTTCCAAGAGTGTGCTTCCAAGTTGATTTTGTTGTTTTCTCATTTTCTCTTCCAAGGAGACTTTAATTTTCTCAAGTTCTTGAAACTGTATGTTTAAAACAAGCAATTGGTCTTTCTCATACTTCACACAGATATTGAGTTGATTTTTTTGATTTTGAAGTTCATCAACACGAGCCTCCAATGTTCGAATTTCATTATTCTTACTTTCAAACTCCAAGTCACGTGGTTCATTTTTTTGTTGCAATGAATTGCGATCATTATGAAGATTTTTCTCCTCTTCAATTTTGGAAATGTCATTATTTACATGAGATATTTTCAAAGATAACGTTTTGTTACTTGAGTGAGACTTTTTCAAAGTTTTGCTCCATTCTCTCATCTTTTCCATAATTTGGATTTGATTTTCAAGATACTGTTTTACTTCCTTTGCAACATCTAGTTGACATTTTAAATCGTCAATTATTTTAAAATTTTTCTTATCTTCATTATTTATGGATGCGATCGTGTTTTTCAGTTCTTTAACAACTGTACTCATTTTTTGGTTTGCATTAAAAAGTTTTTCCTTCTCTAAAGTTGTTTCATTCAGCTTAGATTCAGCATTCATCGGAGTTTCCTCGACTATTTTCATATCGTTGAGTAGTCCTGTTTTTCTTTCATTATTATCATTATTCGTAACAACATTTATCTTTGACTCGTTTTCTATTTTATCCAATGTTATTTCCATAGAGCCAATTTTTTGTTTATACAAAGTTTCTCTAGTTGTAGAAGTCGCCAACTCACATGTAAAATAGTTCATTCTTTCATTTAACTTTGTAATTTTGCACTGAAGATCTTGTTCACTGCATTTTTTCCTTTGTTAAGTTATTTGTCAGTGCCTTTTCCTGCTTTAATAATTCACCTGCTCGTTCCAACTTTTCTTCACTCTTCTTTTTAATGATTAAACAATCATCTAAAGTATTCTTTAGTTTGGCAAAGTTTTCTATCAACTGAACGTTTACTCTAGTCTTCTCCTTTAAAGCTTGTTTCGCATCATCTATTTCCCCATCTTTTGCCTTTAAATATGACTTCAAATCTTCAATTGTAGAAATAAATGCATCAAGTTTATTTTGAAGATTGCATACTTCACGTTCGAGCATCTCTTTTTTCAATTGAAGAGTAGAACATTTGTCAGATTCCTCAGCAACTCGTTTTTCAAGAAGATTAGAATATTCAGTGTAGGACTTGAGATCAGTTTCCAAGACTGATAACCGAACTTCCTTTTTCAAAGCCATCTCATGCATTTCTTTTTTTTCTTCGTCAAGTTTTGCAAAATTTTCCTTCAAGTGTTTCATTTCTTTATTCTTAGCTTCAACTTCCTGTTCTAGTAAAGCAAGCTTTTCTACGAAATTTACGTTCTCTATCTTGTATAATTCAACAGATTCTTGAATTTTTGTTTTTTCTTCATTTAGTGCATTAAAACGTTGATTTAACGTCTCTAACTTCTCCTTAGTTGCATCAAATTTTAACATAATTACACCATACTTGATTTTTAACTCCTCATTTTCATGTTTGCTAAGATTTTTCTGTTCCTCCAGAGTTGATATCTCTTTGTGGAGTATTTTATTGCGTTGTTTGACTCTTTCCATCTCTTCACAAGATGCGAGAAGCTCAGTTCTTTCATTTTCCAACTCAACAATAACTTTCTCATGTTTATCTCGTATTTTTTCGACTTTTGACTTTTCTTCATTCAATAACTCGCAGCGTTCTATCAAACTTTTCTGTTTCTCACAGATATCATGCCTTTCTTGTTGGAGTGTCACTTTCTTGGAGTCAAGTTCAATGTTTACTTTCTTTACTTCATGTAATTCAGTTTTTATTCCTTTCATTGTTTTCAACAATTGCGCGCTTTCATTCTTCAAAGATGATAATTTAGTTGTCATTTCTTCAACAACTTTGCGTTCATTTCAGTTCTTTCTTTAAATTTTCAAATTCTTTTGTTCGACAATCTTTCCAATTTTTTAGTCCATCATTCTCCTCGCTGAGCTTTGTATTTTCTTCAATCAAACGAGCTTGATCTTTGGCCAAATTTTCTATTTCTTTATTCTGACCTACACTAGCATCACATAGTGCTTTATTTTCAATAGTCAATTTTTCGAGATCATTTTGAAATGATTCGTTGCAGCTCAAGCAACATCTTAATGAAAAATCCATTTCTCTCAAAGTCTTATCTAGAGCTAGCATGTAATTGTCGACACTTTTGGACCAAGAACTATCATGTATTTCAAATGAATGTGATGACAAAGTAAAATAAACATCGTTTCCATTTTCTTGTTTTATACAACGAGAATTTTCATGAAAGTTTTCGATCATTTCTTTGCCGGTTGTACAAATCTTTTGAAGAGCATCGTAAACTTCATTTGATTTGCGTTTTGTCTTTTCGAGATCTGCAGTAACTGAAAAAAATTCTTTGTTTTTCTGACGTAGTTCACTCGATAACTTGTGTACTTCGTGTCTCAGTTTTTGTATGATTACTTCTCCTTGTTGAAGTTTGTTGAGTACTGATGTATTTTTACAGTTCACTTTCGTATCTATCATATCACGTATTTTGAGCTGAAGTTTATCATTCTTCATTTTTACTTCATTTTCGATCTTTTTCATGTTTATCACCATATCACATTTGAGATCTTGCAATTCTGATTTGAAGTTTGTCGTGCTATTTGCAATGGTCCTGGCAATCTGTTTACACAAGAGGATTGTTTTCTTCAAATGAAATATTTCTTGCTGCTTTTGAACAAGAGATTCATTTTTAATCTCTAACATGTCAAGAGTTTCTTGATAACAGATTTCCAGTCGTGTGGTTTCATTTGACAAATAAAAACAGATTGTTGTAAGGTTACTTTTTCATTGATAAACTCTTGTTCTTGGGTAGTAAACTTCTCTATTGTTTCATTTTGAACTTGAATTTCTCGTTGAAAGTTTGCGTTTTTATCGCTTGTGTCCGACAGTTGTTTTTCATAATTTGTGATTCTTTCTTCCAGTTCAGATCTCAAGCTTTCTGATAAACTTAATTCGCTCTTCAGTTGTTGTAATGCACTGTCACAAGTATTCATGTCAAATTCAAGCTTGGACTGCAATTCCTTGATTTTTAACTCAAGTGTTTCTATTTTCTCTTTTTCATCATCAATTGTTTCTGACATCTCTTTTTCAAGTTGTTCTCTGTTTCTTTGTTCATTATTTACTTCATTTTTTAAATCTTTAATATTCTCCAACAGAAATAAAACCTTTTTGTTTTCTTTCTCACATTGTTTGTCTGAAATTTCCTTGTCCTTTTCCAATTCCTTTGCTTTTGTTTTCATGACAGAACAATCTTTATGTAATTTAATCTAAACAAAAGAATATGCATGGTTAAATATACAAGAGGATGCACTAAAATAAATAAAGAAGAGATAAATTACTGACTTTTTCATTGAACAACGTTTCTTTCATTTTGGATTTCTACAAGTTGATCATGGATTTTGACAAGTTCTTCTTGCTTTAAAGACAATTTGCTTTTTAACTCGTTCACTTGAATATTTAATTGTTCAATGTGATCATCTTTTGATTTGATATTTATTAACATATTCTCTAAGTCATACTCTTTTGTCTTAGCTAATTTGGTCAACGTAACATTTCCCTCACGTTCCTCAGCCAAAATATCACTTGTAAATTTCAGTAAAGTAACCTGCTCTTGCAAAGCTTTCTCCAAGTCAGACGTTTTTTTCGTTGTGATTTCTAATTTCTTTTCAACTTCCTCTTTTTGAGCTGTTGTTTCAACAATTGTGCTTCTTAACTTTTTGATAATTTCTTCAGATTGCCGTAGTTTTAACATTACGTCATCTATCCGCTCGTTTTCAGATTTTAGTTCAGAGATTTTCTCGTCCATTTCTTGGATTGACTCTTTCAGTTGTCCGATAGTTATTCTAGCCTTATCTGTTTCAGAAAATAAGAACATAACATTATCCATCAAAAAATTTGTCTTTTCAAACAAAGACATGTTATCGAACATTTGACTTTCACTTGCGACCACAGTGCCACTTAGGCTAGCTTCATTGTTCTTTGACAAAAACGAGTCTTCGCCACAATCTTGCACAGAGTAGAAATTTCATCATCAAGTGTTTTTCTTTCCATTTCCATAGTTGATCTAAGTTGCTTGGTATCTTCCAACTTGGAATCTTGCATCACAATCTTCTTTTTGTAACAATCACGTTCTTCTAGTAATTTATGATATGCAAGTGTCAAATCTTTGATGTTTCTATGTATCGCTCTGATGAGATTACATGTATTTATCCCTTCTTTGGAAGAAAATTGAAAATGCTTCGACGGACTGTTGGGATCAACAATACTTTTTAATTCTTCAACTAAATTATAAACGACTTTTGCTTCAGATGTAATGTTTTCCTTCTCCTTGGTGGCTTCAAAGAGTAGATGACGGTGTTGCTCAATGTTCTTTCTCATTTTTTCGTTTGTTGTATTAAGTTGTTTGTTTACTTTGTTCTTTTGACTCACTTCATCATCTTTTAAGTTTAAACTCTCATTAAGACATTTATTTTCATTTTTCAAGTCTTCAACATCTTTCCTCAAGGCAGAGTTATTCTTTTTTACTTCACAAAAATCAATTTCCAAGCAATCTTTGCAGTTGTTCATTTCAACTAAAAGTTCATTAACAAGTTTTAGTTGTGTTTCATTTTTTCTTAGCTTTTCATCTTTTTCACTTAATTCCATTGACATTTGTTTAATATTTACTTTATCGTTTTTCATTTGTTCCTTTAGTGCTGCTTGCTGATCGGTCAAGAAGCCTATTTCCAGCCTGGCACGAACATCATTTTCTTTAAGTTGAGAAAGTTCACATAGTGCCTTGTTAACATGGTCTTTCGACTCCATAAATCTTTCATCAATTTCTAAAAGCAACTCTTGCTTCTCTATACAACTTGTCTTTAGCATGTGAATCGTGTTTTCACATTTTAATATATTTCCTGATAAACTACCAATTCGTTTACTGTCATTTTTCTTTTGCTTTTGCAAATCTTCAACTTGAGCTCTTCTTATGTTTAGTGTGGATTTGGATTGCTTCTCTTGCCGATAAAGTTGCTTGATTGTTTCTTCAAGACCTAAACAGTAATTTTTCATCATCTGATTTGCTAACTCGATGCAATCAATTTGTTTATCAAGCTCAGAAAGTTTCATACACAGCTTCGATATTTTTTGCTTCTGTATAGCATCATCATGATTAGGTTTCTTGCTTTCTTCAAGTAATATTTTCTTACGATGCTCAATTATTTCAGACAAATATAAACGCTCAAGTTGATCTCCATTTATTGTCTGAGGTAGCTCTTCATTCAAGATGTTTTCCTTTTTGTTAAGTTTTTGTAATATTTCTTCCAAGATATTAAGTTCAATTTCTCTCTCTTTATTCGACTGATCAAGTTTTTTCAAACAATCATTCAAATCATTTTCTTTTTCATAGAAAAGCTGTTGCAATGATTTTTGCGATAACTCCAAACTCACAATTTCCTGTTCAAGAGAACCCAATAGCTCTTCGTTTTCAAGAGACGTTTTCTTTAACACACTCATTTCTTTGACAAGCTGCTTTTCTTTGATAGAGCAGGTTTTTAATCTTACACCAAGAGATGAACATAGCTTTAAAAATGTTTCAAAACTTTTATCAACAACAATATGTAAATTATGCATCTTTTTGTTGCATGCTGTTTCGTCTTTGGTAGAGGAAATCGAGGGCAATTTGAGAGATGTTGGCGGACCAGTGACAAAAATACCACTGTCAAGTAGTTCATCATCTGGAGTCATCTGGAACAAGTTTTTTTCTGAGCCCTCAGCGTAGTCATCTACATTATCTTCTGAGGCCACACCACTGTCATCTACAATATCTTCAGTAAACTCTACATGATAACCATTTATGTAATTAACAGATTCGTTAAGTTTTGATGTGAGTTCTTCTATTTCATCTTCTATGGAGTTCACGTCATCTTCTAAATTTTCTTTTTCCCTTCGTAGTAATTCACACTGATATTGATGTTCATCACGTCCATGTCTTACTGATTCTAGATTAATTTTTAATTCGAATATTTCGGCTTGAAATTGCTCCATTTCAGAATTAATGTCATGTAATTCATTTTGTAATTTCCCAGCTACAACTGTAAGATTCTCATTTTTTTCTCTCAGCATCTGAGTTTCCATGCATTCATTCTGGTAAAGCTTGTTGATGTTTGTGTTCTCTTTCTTTAATTCTACGATATGCAGAAGTCGATCTTCTTTTTCTTTTAGTAAAAATTCTTCACGTTCCCACAAATGTTTGTTGCACTCAATAATCTTTTCAAATATCTCAAGAGTTGTTAATTCTTCGTCACTTGAAGTATCTGAACGGAAATTAACAGCAAACAACTTTCTTAAAGCAATGTTTACTGCCTCTTTTTCTTGCTTAATGTGGCTTAATATTACCAAGAATTCTTTCTTCTCCTCTTCAATATTTTCAAGGTTAACAGTGGTATATTCCTTCATCCGATTCAAATCATTTCTTTGATGCAGTTCTTTAACTTTTGTTTCGTCGTTTTCAATTTTGCAATTTTTTATCCTAAACGTTTCCTGATAAAGAATTTTCAAGTCGCCCAACTTCTGCTTCAACTCATGTATGACATTGGTCGCCTCGCTACAATATTTGTTTGAATGCTCAAGTTGTTGATTTAGTTTTGCTTTTTCGGTTTGAATGCATTTTTTCCTCGTTATTTCTTTCTCCATTGTTAATTCTTGGCGTTTTAAGTCTTGCATTAGTTCTTCTATTTTTCTATTATGTTCGTTTTTATCAATCTCATATTTTTTATTTAAATTCTCAATTACTTCATTCTTTGCTTCCAGCTCTTTAATTTTGATTTGATGAAATCTATCTCGACACGCTGAATCCTTCATTGATTTTTCAAATTCCGCAATATATTTGTCTTTCCTTATAATAGTTTCTTTTAAGCAACTAACTTCAAAGCAGCTGGCTTTAAATCTTTCACAGGCCATGGTCAATTCTCTCTGCATCTTTTGCAGCTCCTGCGATATTTTCAAGTCTTCCTCGACCTGTGACGTTTTCCATGTTTCCAAGTTTGCCTCTGCATTTAATAAAGATTCTGCAAGTTCAGTAACTTTACAAAGCGCTTCATCACGACTAAATAACAGAACAGAATATTCATCCTGCAACTCCTCGTACTTATTATTAAGTTCATCGTACAATATTTTATGCGCGTTGAACTTTTTTTTGAGATCAAAATACTCAGATTTCAAAGATTTCAAGTCGAGTTCAGATGCGACCATGAAATCCTTTATTGATGTCAGTTGGTTGTAAATTTCTAAATTCAATGTTTCTTTGACTTTCTCAAAATTATGACGATCTTCTTCATGTTCTTCTTCTTTTCTTTCAAAATACGATCCATTTTCTTCTTGCTGTTTACATGAACTTCCATCGCTTTTTTAGCAGCTTTCAATTCCCTTGAAATTGACCCGACTTTAACAAGCAAATCATGTTTTTGAATCTCCAGAGAATTTTTCAAGTTTAAAGAATTTTCATTGCAAACTTCTAAATCATGAATGTACGAATCCTTCAGCTCGATCTCCTTTTCAAAAATTTGATTTTTTAATACTTTTCTATCATTTTCTGCTGTTAATTTCTTTGTTTTCGACTTCAGCGCTTTGATCTTAGTTTCCAGTTTCATCTTTGTGTTTGCCAAAAATCTTAGTTCCTCGTCCTTTATTAGTAGCAGTTTCTTGCTTTGTAGAGTTGAGTTTGAAAAACATTTCTTTAATTTGTTCACCTTATCTTCCCAATAATGCAACTGTTTGCGATACTTTAATGTCTCACCTTTTTGATTTTCAAGTAAGACCGCTATCTCTTGATACGAAATATTCGCTTTTTCTAATTTCTCTTCATTTTTTCTGGTGTCATCGCAAACATTCGTTAGCTTTTCCTTTAATTCTTCACATTCTTTAACAAGTTCTTCAATGCAAGCAAGCTGTTTTGTCTTTTCAATGTTATTATTTTTTTTTAATTCTTCTTTGTGAGATTGTGTTGAAGATAACTCACGTTCAAGGTGCTTTTTATTTCCACCAAATGACTGTTATCCACCACCAGATTGTCATAAGCCTTTTGAAACGTTTCAAAAGATTTATTGAATTTTTCTTAATTTTATATTTTTCATTAGCTGCCATCTTAGCAAACGTTTCTATCACTAATTTAAGTTTTTGAATTTTTTTCTCAAATCTGTCACAATCCTTCACGTAAGCAAGTTCTTTATTTTTCAAACTCTCCTTTAAACTTTGCACTAATAATTTCGAATTCGCTAGCTCATTGCGAAGACAGCTGTTGTCATTTTCAATTTTTTCAGCTTGACCTTGAATTTCAGCAATTTTTAAATCCAGATCTTTCAATGATGATGTAATTCGTTCCTTTTTGACATGGAGATTGACCAGTTGTTCATCTTTCTTTGACACGTCATTTTGAAGCAAGGATATCTCAAGAAGCGATTGCTCATACTTTAAATTGATAGCATCAATACCCTCCTCTAAACTTACGACTTTCTTTGACTTGTCATCCAGCTGCATTTTTAAGTCATTGTACTTTTCATTGAGTTCACATCTTTCATGATTCATTGTACAAATTGTATTTTGAAACTCTCCCACTTTCGATGAGAAATTGGATTTCAATTCAGCAATGTGTAATTCAAACCATTGAGAAGTCAGTTTGCTTTCTTGGTAAAGTTGCGAAAAATGCTGTTCATCTTTATTGACTCTGATAAGTTCATCTTCGAGAGTTTCAATTTTTATTTTCATTGAATTGTTGCTTGTGTGCAACGTGTCAACATCAGAAGCCATTTTCCCAATGTTTATTTCAGCTTTCAACAACTTTTCCGTCTTCTCATTTCTCGAGTTTTGCAAATCGCGTATTTCATTCAAGCGTTGATTACTTAGGTCTTTCTCGGACAATATTTGAAGTTCAAGATACTTCTCCTTTTCAATCAGAGAATCGATTTCTTTATGAAGTATATTGTTGCTTTTCTGTTTATCACTTAATTCTTTTTCTAAACGTTGAATAATCCCCTCGCACTTAAGCAATTCATAATTTCGTTTTTCTTTCAAAAGACAAGCAGTATCACGTGCGAGTTGTACATCTTCGATCTCTTGTGAGAGAATTTGTATTTTTTCTTTTAAGATCTGATTCTCACGATTACGATGATGAATTTCTCTTCCATCTTTATATAGCCATCACTTAATTCGTCAATTTCCAACCTTAATACTTTTTCTAATTCTCTGAGTTTAACATTTCTTTCATTTGCAAGAGTCAATTGATCATTTAATTTAACGCTCTTACTTCTTATCTCGCATAAATTCATCGAAAATAATTCTTTTTCTTCGTTCCAAGATTTTTCTTTATCCTTCAACTCATCTTGAAAAGCACTGTTTTCACCCTGCACTGAACAAAGAACATCTTTCGCTTTTTGATTAGCACCTTTCAGTTCATCAAGCTCAAACAAGAGATCTTCATTTTCATTCTCAAGGTCGTTTATTTCTTCTTTAATTTTTTGCAAACTTTCTTGAAGATCATTTTGTGCTTTATTCAATCTACAATTATCTTCATTCTTTCCTTTGATCTCATCTTTTAGCTGATTAATTTCGTTATCTTTTTCTTGAGTTTTTGATTTCAATTCAGAAATAACCCCATTCTTATCATTTTTTACCTTTTCTATTTCTTCATTATGAAAAGAAACCAGGTCGATAAGACTATTTTTTTCTGATAACAATTTTTCATTTTTCTCAGAAAGTGTTTTAACATCGATCAATCCTTCTTCTTTCAAACGAGTGAGCTTCTCGACTGAAGCCAAAAGTTCTTCCTTTAAAGACTTAAATTGCTCAATCGTCTCCTTACATTCACTGATCCTCTGCTTCAAGTTTTCAATTTCATTTTCTTTCTGCATAACTTTCCGTGACTTTGAATCTACCTCTTCTTGTAAACAATGATTTTTTTGTTTCTCGTTTTTCAATAGTTTTCTGTTTCTTCTTTTTCCATTTTCAATGCTACTTCCTGCTTTACGAGATTTTGAAGTCTTGTGTAATTATCTTGCAGTCGAAGATTTTGACTCTGAAGTCTTTCCTGTTCTTGGCGACTGTCAATAAGACTCATTTCTGCATTTAGTTTGATTTCATTGACATTCGACAATTTCCTTCGAAGTTCTTTAATTTCAATACTTTTTAATTCACCACTACTTTGGGGTTCGCTCAATTTGTCATACAAAATCTTTATGTCATTTTTAATTACCTGGTTTAATGCAGCAGGATTTTGCAAAGTTAAGATTTTGTCGACATTCTCAGCATGTTCTTGCAAACGTATATTTTCATCTTTCAATGTGTTTATTTCCACAGTAAGATTATTGATCTCATCAAATTTCTTTTTTACGTTTTCATCTAGTTGATGTTTTATCTCTTCTAGAAACTTGTTCTCGTCTTCCAGTTCCACTATTCTATTTTCTAAATTCTCACAAAAGTGGTTCATTTTTTCAATGTTTTCATTTGCATTTAGCACGTCGTTTGCAAGATCTTGATTTTCATTTTTCAAAACACCAATATTCTTCGTTAATGTGTCTTTTGTTATTTTTAACGCGTCTGCTAGATCATCTCTCTCTTTAACTACTTTAATATATGACGCATCTGCTTCCTTCCTGTTTTCTTTCTCGTTGTGTAATTCATCTGTGTACTTCAATTCCTTCTGTTTAAGCATCTGGATTTCATTCTCTAATATCATAATCTTATCGTATTGGACTGTAGCATCGATTCTTTCTTTTTCTATAACAGTGTTCAAATCATTGATTTTAATTTCTTTCTTCTGCAATTTATCCTTTAAGTCATTTTGCTGATTAGTGAGTAAAGATATGGATTCATTCAACTGGTTGATATTTTCTTTGTGTTTTCTCAATATCTTGTCTTTTCCAGTCAATTCTGTTTGTAAATCAATGACTATATTTTTCTCTTTCTCCATCTGCTGGATTTTTGTATTTAAATCGTCAGCTTTTTTTCTTAGGCGAGTATTTTCCCCGATAGCTTTTTTTAGCGATGCTTTTATTTGGTCATTTTCGTTTATAGTTTTCTCTACGTTTCCTTTCATTTCTTCAAGCTCACGATACAACTTTGATTCATTTTCCTCGATTTTTTTCAAAGCACATTGACGTGATGCTAGCTCATTCTCTAATAAAGCATTTTTTCTACAAAGAGTTTCATTTTCTGAAGTTTGACTAGTCTCCAGAGATTCTATGATATCCTCAAGATTGCTCTTTTCTTGGAAAAGTTTATTCGCTTTTTCTTTGAGTCGAATATTTTCCCTTGCCAATCTTTCATTCTCTTCGGTCAATTCCGCCACGCTCTCTTGGCAAACAACATATTCTTTTTTCCACTTTTTGCATTCCCCGGTACTTTCATTCAAAAGGCCTTGTGAAACGTCATAATTGTCTTGCAAGGACTTCAGTTCTTGACGCAATTGCTCAAACTCCTGTCCAACACTACTTACTTTATCCTGAAGGGAGCTGTTATTTTCCTTAATTGGAAATTTTCAGACATGATTTCACTGTTCTCTTTTTCTAATCTCGTGTTTTCTTCTAAAACGTTCCCTAATGTCTGCAAGGATTTCCCTATCCGCTCTTTCTCTATGGATAATTTTTCAACCTCAATTTCTTTTTCAGAATTATCAACAGATAGTTTATCAACTTCAGTACGTAGTTCCTCTACATTAGCTCTCAAAATTGCATCGTTTGATTTTAACCTTTTAATAACGCCTTGTAATACTTCATTTTCTTTTTCCAAACATGACATTTTTTCAGCTATTTTGGATTTTTTGTCGTTTAGATCTTTATCAAAATCAGCTAATTGCACTTTAAATTTATTTCGCTCCTCTTTAATTTCAAGACTCATCTTTTTCCATCGCTCTGCCTTTCCAAAAGCACTGCTTAATTGGATCTCTAAATCATTGTTTTTATCAGTTTTCTCATCAAGCTTCTTGCTAACGATTTCTAACTTTTTCTTGAGCTCTGCTAATTTATGAAAACTTGCACTCTCATTTTCTTTCAAGGTTTCTAGCAGCATTTTCAAAGATTCATTTTCTTGCTTCAGACTTGATTGCATCCCCAAACTGTTTTCAAGGGAACATTTTTTAATCTCCACTTCCCTTTGAAGTTCGCTTTTCTCAACTACCAGTAGACTAATTTCATCATTGCATCCTCTCAAAGAATTGTTTAGCTCTATATTTAGCTCTTTGAACTGAGATAGTTCCTCTGTTTGATTTTCGTAATCCTTTTTGATTTTTATAAGCAATTCTTCATTTTTTCTCAATTCATGTTGACAATCCTGATAATGAATCGTTGTATCTTTATAATTTGCATTAATAAGTTTATTTTCCTCTCTAAGCTGGTGCATTTCTTTCCTTGTTTTATTCAACTCATTAAGAGACATTTCTCTCAAACCTTCAACTTCATTAATACAATTCTGAAGTTCTTCCACTTTACTCTCGTGGCACAAAACGATGGAGGATTTTTCATTCACAATTTGTCGTAATTCATCCATCAATTTATCTTTCTTTTCCAACATGTCATGCATGTTTTGTATTTCATCGGAAAGTGTACTTATTTTTAAGAGCAATTTATTGTTTTCGTCTTCAAGTTTCCGTAAATTAATCAAAAGATGTTCTTTTGTACCAGACACTGCCTCAAGTTCCTTTTTAGTTTCCTCAAAACATTCATCATTTTTTTTACTCTTGTAATTCAATTTTTTAATGACTTCTTCCATACATTTGACTTCATCTTGTAACTTCTCCTTCTCTTTCGTTTCTCTATCTAATGTTTCTTCGCTTATTTTCAATCTGTCAAAATGCTCTTTATTCCGAATGTTTAAATCGTGCACGATTCGTCCAAGCGACTGAACTTCTTCTTCTAATCTTTTTTCCTTGCTTGTTTCTTTTTCTAACTGAAGCTTTGAATTCTTACTATATTCTCGTAATTCCACTATTTCCTTTTCAAGTGTTTCTCTTTCTTCAACAAAATCTCGTAATTTTGTTTTTGTGTCATTTATCTTGCTTTCCAATGCTTGTTTTTCATCTGAAAGTAGAACAACTTTCATTTTCAGATTTTCAATCTCCTTTCGAAATTCTTCAATTTCCCCCTCCAACTTCTGGACTTTCTCCTCTTTTTCAATCTTATGTTCATTTAACTTTGTGTTACATGTTTCAACTTCAATACATCTGTTTTGCTTTTCGTTCAATTCTATTTTGAGTGTTTCCACATCGGAAGTCAACTTTTTTAATTGTTCTTCCATTTGAGTTTTTTCTTCATTCATCCTCCAATTTTTGTTGCGAAACTTATCTATTTCCATTCTTAAGGAAGTATTTTCCTTTCTCAAAATTTCAATATTTGTGGCGTAATTTTCCATTTTATTTTCTAACAATTTATTCCTGTTCTTCTCCTCGATGGCAGCTTCATTACTCACGAAAACTTCTTCCTTTAGTGTCTTCACTAATTTTTTGGCGTCCTCATGCAGTTGAATAAGATTTGAAATTTCCAAGTCTTTTTTCCTGATAGACAGTTGAAGATTTTCAAAATCTTCTTTTCTGTCGGTGTCATCTTTGATTTTATTTTGCAGCTGTTTTTTACAGGCTTCCAACTCTTTTTCCAGACATTCTCTTTTCTCTTCACCTGCTTTAATTACTCTCTCACGATTTTTCATTTCATACTGAAACTTTTCTTGCTGCATTCCAAACATACGCGACAAGCCTGCTACTTCGTGCTCAAAATCACTAACCTTATCGTTGAGACATCTTTTCTCATTTTCCAGATGCTTAAGATGATCCTCGAGGGTTGAGATGTTGTTTTGAAGGTGACAAACGTTTGTTTCAACATCTTTAGCTTCTTTTTCTACACAACAAATGTAAAAAGAATTCTATGGTATCGAAAGATTGAGGCAAAACAATAGATTAATAACAACCTTAAAACACTCAATTTATGGGTTATGTAGCTACACTGATAGTTGATTTTAGATATATATCCACGTAGGTAAGACAAAATATTTGACATTGTGCCCAATATACTACATTTAGGATTTTTTTCATTCTTATATGACATCATGTAGTTTTGATCAAAATTATCGTGATGGCTTGAATAAACGTAAAAATGTTTGGCGAAATTCCGTAGCCAGACCTTCCTACAAATTAATATTAGATGCCCAAATCTCCTAAAGTTTCCAAGATAACAACATACACCCAAGTGTCGTTGTATGCACAACTTCTAAATTCGATTTTTTACAAAGTTTTTGTTACATGATTTAACTGAATGAACAACAAAAATCAGATTACAATAATTCAGAGTGCAAGCATTGCTTGCAGAATACATTTACACACAAAAATTTTTAACATCGTCATCACTTGAATTTCTATGAACTTGTATATTTAATGATGAGAGGAGCTATTTAGTGGAACATTATTACAGCTGGCACATTTTTCCTGCGCAGAACAATGTAAAATTGCAAAATATGGAAAATAGCAACTCAGTAGAAATTTATAAGTTTTGCTATTTCTGTCCATACTTGCATTTCTCTATGCATCTAGCATCCAAAAATAGATGCACACACGCAGACAAACTTAAATAATGCAGTATAGATACAAATGTTTCCTTTCACAAATTTTCCCACATAAATAATTTCAGCTTTATGAAGACAAATTTAGTAATTCCCAGACAATCTTGGATCTTTTGCGTTCACAAATAATAAATATTCATACATCTCTTTTACGACTGTTTTATCAATTGTAAACTCCGTCACAATCTTATACATTTATGAATAGAATGAAATTACGAAGCTACAAAACATCATATCATTATTTTATTACTAGCTTACATATAAAGCATTAAGTGCTGCCACTGATGAGAGTCACTGGCTTGACCAACAAGACGTTACTTACAAAACACATTGGTTTACTATTTCCTTTTCTACCAACAAAACATTAAAACTGTAAATATCATAAACTCTTGGTACGTATACATGTTTGCAATACTAATCGTCCATGTTGATGTAGTTAAGAGAAGAGCAATTTTTCGTTTTGTTTACTGATGAATCAACATTCTTAGCGTTAGTCAAAAAGAAATGTATGATTGTATGTATGTATTGTGTATTGTTGTTGTGGATGCTTATTATTTGAGAATTTTATTAGAGATTTGAAATAAGTCGTTTTAAAGGTTGTGATCTGCGTAATGGATTTTAAGATTTTAATGTTAATACATTGCCTGTACTCGATAATGTAGGTGATATATTATGTTTATAATAACGACATTAATAAAGTCGAAAGATCTAAGATTTTTTAAATGCTGTTTTTATGAAGCGTTATGTTAGCTGAATGCATATTGCAGTACTGTTTTTTGAATGTGAGCCGTATATATGTTCTCTTGAAAATATATGCCACAACACAAATAAGAGCCAAGTTTGATGTTTATATTATGTCAGTGCTATTCTAAAACTTTGATACCAATTTCTCACTGACACTGCCTGCTTCATTTGCCATGTAACTTTTGTGAAAATACTCATTAAAGTATATTTATTAGTGGACTTAACAAGTGTCCCTGAAATTTCATCAACAAAATACTTAGTCACCATCAATTTTTTAATGTATTTTGGTAGAGATCCCAAATTTTAAAGATTGTCGTGTTTTCAGCTGTAAGCTTTTATGTCTATATCTTGCTCACTCTTTCACGGCTCACTCGCTGTATAAATATTGTGATAAAAATCATCCGTGTAATATTTCGTGACATATGAGTGGGTGGGGATATGTCAGGGGTCTCTCTCTCTCTTTATATATATACATGAGTTTATGAATGCATTTTGTGTAAATGTATTTCAGCGCCTGTGTGTATGTACAACGTCTAGATATGAGTGCAAGAAATTTCAACTTTAACAAACGTGAAATTGAGGTACCGTTGAACAACAAACGTGAAAAGAACAAAGGCAACAAATTGTGGAGAAGAAGGGTAAAAAACAACGGACGAGTTCCACTTCTTGGAGACGAAATGCTTCAAAACACAGAAGACGAAGAAATAAGAAAAGATAAAAATAAGATATTTGCCGCACAAGAAAAACACTTTGACGTTATGATGACAGAACCGGATGTGCAAAAAAATTCTAAGCAAGATAAAGTTCTCGTTTTTCCTCAGTCTAATGAAGGAAATCGAAGAAATGCAATATGCGATGTTTTAGAGAAACAATGTGTCGAACGAGTTTACACTAAAGAAACCAATCTTTCAGAAAGGAGAGACTGTTTACGAATTGAACATGCTTTGCGTGAGTTTTTTCTGCTTTAAAAGAAAAAATGATAGATTTAATTTACGTATAATTTACGTCAAAATGTAATTTCAGTTCAGTGGGAGACCTAGCGTATGTTTAGTGGGAGACTTAGCGTATGTTTAGTGGGAGACTTAGCGTATAATTACATTTTAAAGTATATTAAACGCAGTAGATTGGAAAACTCTGGCATTTCATAACCAATTGTGTTGTCATAAAATTATTTTAACGTATATTCGACACACAATGAAATAAATGTCTTATATTAAATCCACCTTTGGTTTGTTGACTTAACTAAAATAATCTTCGTTTGTTTTAATCGGTTATCATTGAAATAAGATTGAGTTTGTACACGATAAAAGACAAAAACTTACATATTTTTAAAAACCCCACAGTAGCTTATAACATCAACAAAAGAAAACGAAAAGTCAACGCTTGAAAAGTTTCCAGTATGATTGTATGTACATATCAATTTTTAAGCTTCATGTAATTATGTAGATGACGCACATGTATTTAATAAAATTTTCAGCTAAACGGGAATGAGTAAAATTCACTCAATATTTTCATTAAATGTGCTCAGTTAAAAGTCGTTCATATAAATGTTGATATTAGACCCAATCATTAGAAACTTAAAAAAAGAATTTCACCTTTCATAAGATTGACAATCTGTTCTTGAAGATTATTCGTAGTATCCTCAAGAGTTGTTACGTGGTGTTCTCCACTTTCAATCTTCAAATTTAGATCTTTAATAATCTTATCTTTTTCATTGAAGATATGTTGACAGGATTCGCATGCGCTGGCACGCGAAACAGAATTAACCAGATCTTCACAACCATCCATTACGCAGACTATATTTTCTGTCGATCTTCCATGTTGGGTAATACCATAGGATGGGACAAACTTCAAACCAAACCACAACCCAAAAAACTTTTCTTTCTTTTGAGTTTCAATAAAATGGTTTTCAGAAACTAGTATGTATTTGTATGGATAATTTAACGTCAGTAGAAATAAGTATCTGCAAATGTTATATAAACATGTTGTAGTCAACAAGATTTATTGTAGTTACAACTTTGATGCTCATAAAATCTGTTTCCACGGCAACGTTATATTTAATGATTTATTGCGTCGCATTTGTCTTAATCCATTTGTTATTAAATTAAATTAGATGAGCTATGGACACAGCCAAAATTATTACAAAATTCATGTTAAAGAAGCGGTAAAATGCCGCAAAAAAACATGAATATAATTTGTTACTAAAAGACGTGCAACTGGTACATAAAATAATGGTGAAAATATCTCGCAAAGTTACGGATCATCAAAGATTGAGCTTTAAATTTATGTAGAAAAACGTATTAAAGAGTAACTCCTTAAGCCCAAGCATGACATACATTGGAACGGATAGATTTTCGTTCAGTAACAAAATTAGATTTAAGTGGTTCAAATCCCGCTTTGTTATATGACTACTTTTAAGTTGAACATATTTGTTTCAATCGAGCAAGAAACAGTTTTCAGCTCAAAAGAAGCAATATCAAGAGTAATGTATAAATGCAGTAGGTAAACATAGTTAAGATCTTAGTCTAGACCATATTTTCATAAGTATATCGTATTACGTCCCGCCATACATAATGACATAACTAGTTCCCATGCCTCGACATGCAACACTAGCAGACTTTACAACTTTACAGATAAATGAATTTTGTTTGAAACAAGAAAATTTTTGTTCAATGGGAAAAGTTTTCCGTAAATTTCCAAGTTGTCCTTTATTCTGACAAAAAGCAAAATAGTCAGTGCAGTCTTTGTTGGTGATTTGTGGAGAAGGCAATTAAGTAACGATAAACATTGATTCACCAACAATGAATTAAAAAGAATAAACCGTATTCACATTCACTGCAAACTTAATTTAGTTTATCACACGCGCTCTCCAAATACGAAAAGAGTTCATTGCGTATAAGCTTAGTATAACTTCCACAGTTAGATCATGTAATTTCTCACATGTTATAACTGCAAACGTGGTGGCTACATAAAGTGAACTATTCACTTACACGATATTTTCTAATTACCAATGTTTACTTTTTACGACCAGTTGCCAATGGCATGTGATGAGGAAAGTTTTTTGGCAAAGGAACTTTAAGAATGGCTCGTTTATATTCAGCTGGATTATCATCGCCTGCCTTGCGTTTTCTTGACCTTGTGTTAGATTCAATTGTGCATCCAACAAACTTTGCAAAGTTCATAAATCTACAAATAAAGAAAAATAATTTACATCCAGATATGTCTGCAATGTGAAATAATTAAAAATACATTGATGAAACTGCGTGGAGACAATGGTTTGTAACAATACCCACTTCTGTAACGACATTTTTAAATCCTTACGAATCAACAAACAGTCAATTGTATTTCCATCAATGATCAAGGACATCACGACTATATAACACACTAATTTATCTTTCAATCGTTTCGGAATACATCTGTGAAAAACGGGGAAAGTTGAGAAAATTATAGAAGAATTTTAATTTTGAATCACAAGCCATATATTTCAACCGCGCTTTTATGTCTACAACAACAATTTTCATAAAATAACAAACCTAACGTTCTTCTGCTGAAGAGAAAATAACGAGAATATTTTACTCTTTATTCTCGTCGGTAAATCTGGTAAGGGATCTATTGAAAGAAAATAAAAACTATTTGTGGACTTTCATTAATCTTCCTACACAAATAATTCATAGATAAAATGAATAAGTATGTAATGTATAGTTATTGAATTTATGAATGTTGAAACGTCTACCATCTACAACCATGGTAGCTGTATTAGTTTTAGTTTCATGTAAAATAAAATTATAAATTCCTTCATTTTTTTATTTTTTGTAAGTTGACCTAATGAAACAAAAGTAATGGCACCAACGAGATAGAAAGAAATACAGCAGATAAAGTATAAAGGATCTACAAAATTTACTGTAGACAGATTGACAAGAAAATCTCCAAAAGTTATTTTGTAGCCATGTGAACAAGAACTTCTAAATTCAATTGATTACATCACTCACAATTACACCCAAAATAATACAAAAGTATAAGTACCTTTAACTCTTAATGATTTGTAGTTGAGATGATAACATCGTAACAGATAAGAAAAATACAGCAAAAACGATGTTTTTAATATTCGTTCCTCTTCATTAAATGGTAAGACATCAAAGTGCGAAAATACATACTCTGGAAATCTGAAAATATTAATTTAAAACTTTATAAAATTGTCTTGGTAACAAATGCACATATCTAAACAACATAAACAATACGACAAACATGTAAGTTACAATCATACATACTTCAAAATTATTTGTAGAAAGATTAAAGCCATGCATATTCCTTTAGGAACTAGAAATCATACATATTACAATGAAGGAAAACAAATGTTCTTTAGTTACTTATTTTCTTTGTGCCAAACATCCTTCTCTGATTTGAGATTAGTTAGAATCTCCATGACAGGCAATTTTAAAGCATCTAAATCTTCATTACTTAATACTAGTCACACATCAAGGAGATTTAACATTAAAATAATGTTGTTAAATAGAGAACTAAATTCTTTCTCAAAAACAGTTCATATCAATGTACATATGAAATGTTAAAATCATATAATAAACAAAAAGGATACAACTAGATAATGGATAAATCATAGCTGGACTTTTAGCATCTTTGTTGAATTGAGGTAATATGTCATATTCAATAGTTTGTAAAGAAGGCTTCGCTTCTTCATGTTCCTCCACATTCTTCATGTGATTAAAGACTTTAGAAACAGATTTTTCAAGATCATCAGAGTCAATCTTATTTCTTATTCTTGACATCATTGCTTTTTTCTTTTTTTTACTCCCAAATGCCTCCACTAGTAGATTATTCTGAAATATTGAAAATAACCAGTATACAATAGCTTGCTAGAAGATAGAATATACAGGCTGCCACAGTGTTAACTTACATTAAGAGCTGGACACTAAGTCTGCCAATTAGTATAAACAAAAATATAATACAGATTTATCTACCTTTTCCATATATGAAATGTTAGATTGCATTTCAGGTTCATCTTTTTCATCAGCTAAACATCACAAAACAATAGAATAAAAATGATGTGAAGCTTCATTCCTATTGTTACAAATTACCCACTGTAAATTTTAGGTTGTAAAGTCACCATTGTTGAATTATACACATCCAATGTAGAACTTTTCTTATTGAAAACTCCAACCAAGTACCTGAAAGAAATTCATACAAAACATAAACAGATATAACAAAATAGAAATTCAAACATGTCCTGCCTTTCCATGGTAGAAATATTTACATCACATACCTGCACATGGTATTTGATTTTGCAGCCATACCAAAATTACTTCCAGAATATTTCATTTTACTGCTCTCTGCAACCTAAAAATGTGTAAAATTACAAAAAAAATGTAAAGGACTATAGAGATATTCTTCACCATGAGAGGAAGACAAGAAATTTTTTCAATAAATAAAAACATAAACAATAATATGACGGGAGCAAACACATCAATATAACAAACCAAAATCTTCCTATGCTTTTTTCTTTCATCCTGAGTGTCTGAACTCTTATAAAGCGTCAACTTCAATTGATCATTACATTCTTTGTTTACATCGCCATTAGTAAATTTAACTGTAGAATATTTAGAATACAAAAAATGTAAAAGGATTGGTTAAACTACAGAATTTTACTGCACTGAGTTATAGTGTTAGGGTTTGGGTTAAAGTGAAGTTTATATTATATGTGTATGAGTGGACGGGTATTCTGTATCGTTCCAAAGGATTTATATAAAACATATGTTTGCACAAGATCTGAACACCAGGGTTTCATGATAAAAAGAAATTATTGGTAGTTTTCGCTATTTCCATTCACGGAGATTATAAAAACATATGTTGTAGACTTCACTTCAGTTACACTAGCTAAATCTCACGTGGAACAAAAATGTTGACTTTGTGAAGTGGAGTACCATTTAGTAATATTAACCATAAATAATTAGCTATATTTATTTCCTCACCTAAAAGAGGATCAACTGACGCTTCTCCGTTCAATACATTAACAACAGCAGTCTTCATTATAGTTCTTCGTTGTAGTTAATTTTTTTAATCTACATATTTTTTAAAATTTACTATCAGAAAAATTTTAACTTTGCCAGCATCCGCTGTGTAATTGTGTTTATCTGTAGGCTCATATTATTTGAAGAAGATTTGAGATTTGAGAGCGGATTGTTGACGATTGAGATTGGACTTAGGATAAACACCGTGGCGCACAAGTACAATATGTTTTCTGCTTGACTATCCAAATGGAAGAACATTCGCCTACATTACACGAATAGCTTTAGTCTCTTGAGTTTGAACGATGCAAAAAGTTTCAAACGATCAAAGGCTTAACATCGTGATCAAAGCATTTTACAATGAAAACTTTCATATTACGAGGCCTACACTTTAAGACTAGTTGACTATTCCATGTAACTTATACTTCGTTACTTCGTCAATAAAAGACAGAATTTACCGTTCTTTCTACAACGTTAAGCTGACTATTTTTCCTGGTCAACATTTGTATAATTGATGTCATGATTAAAATTTTTTATTATAATTGGCTCCTTAGGAGCTTGTCCCCTTTCTCAAAGACAATAAGTAATCCTTCAATGCGTTTGAATATGAAAATAGGCTGAATAGGCTGCGTTTACACTATACCAGATTTGCTCATCACGACATCTTCATTTGCTTTAAAGGGGTAACTGCTGGGAGTAAAAGCTTATTAAGCTGATAGATTTAGTCTATTTGATTGTGTTTCTGACGTTGAACAATTTCACTGCCATTTAATATAAAGAATATTCAACCTACTACGATAGCAATCCAGTATAGTGTAAACGGGGCCTTAATGTCGTTATGAAAAGTAACGTTGCATGATGTTGTCGATTAAGATGATGAAATTAGAATTTTGTCCAATTCATTGAATCTTGCAGTCATGTCTTGTTAGAGGAGTGAGTTTAAGGGCGTTTTGGTTGACGTCATCAACATATAAATGCCCAAAATCATAATATTTATGACATTTAATTAATGAGTAATTTACGTAATATCACAGAAAAATGGTCAATTGCCACTTGCATTTTATGTATATTAACGAAGGGAGAGCATAGTCCTTTTGTTTGGCAACAATAAGTTTTGTTTTTAAAAATTAGATTTGATGGACATTGGGTAATTTGTTCAAGTACGAACAATGAATGTCAAGCAATCTTGTGAAAGAAATACATATAATGGCATGCTCAACAACATGTATAAAGATACTATTCACTTCAAGCGTTGCCACATATAAACCAAAAGGCGTCGTGGAAAGCAGATGTTGCTCATGAGATGGAAGAAGACTATACATATAGGCGATAAGTATAAAGATTTATGATTGTGCAAAGCAAAATAAAGTTGTTGCCTTCAACTGTCATTGATGACAATTTACCGAAAGACGTCTCTTTGATCATGATGTTAAGCCTTTGATCGTTTAAAAGTTTTTGTTGCATCGTTCAAACTCAACTGAATAAAGCTATTCGTGCGACGTAGGTCAATGTTCTACCATTTGGATAGTCAAACAAAAAACATATTGTAATTTGCTCATTCTAAAAGATTAACATCATATGCAGAGTTATTCATTATGAAATCTCGTAACATGTGTTTCGTATTTTCTTATATTGTAGATTCCACATGGATGGAGTTGTGAAAGTCCCTTTACCACCTGTGTCATTCACTTCAATTACTCTTACTAGTTTGTCATTGCTCATGTGTCATGGTGATTCATGGCCAAGAATGTTCATTTGTAGTTTGGATTCTTTGTGGATGTCAGTTGTTTGTTCATATAATGATGATGGGCCCCATTGTTATATGAGCCCACCTAAAGGTGGTCAACTGATTTTCACAGAAGATCAATTCTGCACTAAGCATTCTTTGAGTGATGATATAACTGGGGTATTGAAGTGATCCCTTTTCCTTCGCTTGAACTCCATAAGTGTGCGTTGTAGATTGTAATATATCGAAATGGCGTTTCACGATACCATTAGCTACTTTACTGATTGATGATGCTGGTAACTTCGTGCATGGAATGGCGTAAACGTGTTGAATGGACTTCGCATAACGGCATATGTACGTTTGATCTTAAACATTGAAATGATTGGACTAAGAAACAGAATACATTCTACGAAAATGGAAAACAAGCGAGTGGAAAAACACGATCCATGTCTTGTGGTTTGTAAGTTGAGTAGATAAGTGTTGTATGAGTAACTGCATGAGATAGTTAAAAAAGGATCCTGATGGTCTATTTTTATAATTTGAACCTTAATCATATAAAACACACAAATTAAAAACATTTCAATGAAAGATCTCACTTGCTGTGAGAAAATAGCTGGCTTTCACTCGCTACTTTTTACGTATTTAAGGTTTATAAAAAAAAATTGCAATGCTGCAAGTAGGATTCATCAAATTTATAAGATAAAAACTGTTACGATAAATTTGCATGTCTTACACGTAAAAACTGCGCGATTGAAAAAAAAAGAAGAGACCTACTAAGTCGCCTAGATCAGACTGGCCATGAAAACGCTTGGAAATCAGGTACTAATGTTTTGTTCTTTTCAAGATATATTTAATTTCTTTTTTTGTTCATTAATTTTGCTGACGTTTATAACGTGTTTTCTTATAGAGTGCTATGTCTGTGAGCTTACTAACTGGACAATGAATTAATGAGCAACAGAAGCAACAGAAGCACCAAGAGACAAGTGTCCTTCTTGAAAGATTTACATTTGCGACTTTGGTTATGCATGTTTATCAGTATAACACATATCCAAATTCAACCGTTAAAAATTTCCGTAAAACTAAATTTTCACAGTTGTTAAATTTTCTGACAAAACACACGAGTGAAAGCCAGCAATATTAACAAAGGTCTTGATGAAGCGACATCCAAAATGATTTTTTATGCAAATCATGACGTCACTTTGGTCATTTCATTTTTTATTGTTATAGACAGGTGAATGGTCAGGTCGTTCGTATTGAATGATTTTTCATATGATTTATATATGCCTGCTATTAGTTTTCATTTTTCGTCTACTTATTAAAATTTGTCGTAACAGTCTGTGCTCTTTCATTTTTTGTTCTCTACCGAGTTTTGCGTTTCTTTTGTTTGAACACAAAAAAATTGAAGTGTCAAAAGGGTAGCCATCCCGCTTTTCTTGTTGCTCTGTAAATTTAAATTGGTATACGACTGTAACGTACGAACAGACTACGCTGCATGTTGAAGTAGATCATCGGGATCATTGAAAACAACAAAAATATGAAAAATCTTTAAAACTACAAAAATTTAAAGAAATTTTTCTAAGTTTTTTATCTTTTCTTTTATTGGAGGGTTTTTTACCGGATCTGCCGGTTTTCCCTCCCATTTCGTTTTGTTTTGAGAAAAAACAGTGTCCAAGTTGGGGCCAAGCGAAGTGATTTGTCATAACATTTATTATAGCTATCATGAATATTCACGTTTCTTTTTTATTTCTTGGCCTTTGGGACATCTCCCAAAACACTGCGTTAATTAAATTCAACGGCATGCATTGAAAAAGTTAGGTACGCAAAGCGTACATGTTGGTAGCCTTCAAGTATATAGCTACTGAATAAAGTAGATTTTTAATCAACATAGTTATTTAATATTATTTACGTCAAACTATTTCAAGATTAAACAATGCTCTTTAGTGTTATATGACCAAGTACTTTCCTAACCCTGGAATCCGATATTACCAAGTAATTGCAACTGCTGGAATCCGATACTACAATACTTATATTGAAAAAAGTCTACAAAGAAGAAAGTCATTAAAATGCTTGATGCATCTCCACAAAATGACAGTTGGTGTATGTCGATTTGTGTTCGTATATTTCTGTTTGTGTTCGTGTACTTCTCTTTGTGTTCGTGTACTTCTGTTTGTGTTCGTGTACTTCTGTTTGTGGTCGTGTACTTCTGTTTGTGTTCGTGTACTTCTGTTTGTGTTCGTGTACTTCTATTTGTGTTCGTGTACTTCTGTTTGTGTTCGTGTGCTTCTATTTGTAGACCACCGTAAATAAATGATATTCAACAGTAGTTCATAAGACAAAATATTAGAATAAATTTGATGCCATTTTAAGGCAACCCTAGTAAATACAATTTTACTAATGGAAATTCAATAAAAACACATCGCTTTTAATTCATCAAAATCTCTATTTGATATTTTTACTTGCATGTTTTCATACTGTTTACAACTTTGCTGTACTTAAGTTATTCTTCTATCTATTCTGTACGTAAACATTTGCCTAAAATATTGCAGGATAAAAGATAAATAATTTTTTGTAGTTATCCATACTATAGAGATGAAACAAAATATCATTTGATATCAACGTCACGAATACGAAAATACAATACAAATATTTCATTATATTCTTACAATATTGAAATATCTGCTTTAATTAATGTAAAAATTTTACATAGCAAACAAATTACACTTTCATGATCACTTTCAAGGGAGTCTTTATACATTGAAAGCGTATTTACGAATTTGAATGTTTTATTAAATGTGAGATAGGAGATGTTAATCATAAATGAAGTTTTTAATAACACATTCAAATTACAAAACACATCTCTTTCAAATTGGGAAAATTTTGTCCACATAAAGTTTTCTTTAATAAAACTACACAATTTAAAATCATAGGATGTGTCACTTCTTTTTCATGTTCCAGTTCCTTAATCATTTGATTTTATTTGTTTGTACCATATAGCGTAATACTCCACTTGACTAGGTAACCAGCAGGCGTACTTTTAAGTCTATATTCATCTGATTCCTTGAAACCTTCACTGAGTTTCTCTGGATTTTGTTCAGTTTCTTTAAGTGGAATCTCATCTCTCATGTAGTCTTCTTTGTATCTACCATGATGAACTTCGTCGTGAATAAAATCATACGCTCCAGGGATGAAATCTCTCGCTCGATTGGCCTTTCTTTCATCCAATATTTTCCTATAACGATCTTCATTGTCCTGTATATCATTGTTATAATGGTTGGCATCTTGATCTCGTACGTACAGAGTCCATACACCAAACGGATTTTCACCCCACAGTTGGACAGTCATAAATGTCCAATCTTTCAATCCTTTCGTAGAGCTATCATATCTCCTGGGGGTAAGAAGATTACTTGTGGTACCGCGAGGAGAAACTATGGTTATATTGAGATCACCACGACGACGATGACGTATAGTAACCGTGACGTCAACATGCTCTACTTTCTTCACTTCGTTAGATTGGCCTCGACAACCTCTGGTTTTGAGATGAACAACTGCTTGACCTCGTTTAGGTATTGGAACATTTTTTTGCTTTCCAAGAATTCTACAAACATGCTGCGGAGCGACATACTTCCACTTTAATCCAGCTTGAACCATGGCAAGAGCATCCATTCTACCAAAACCAAACTTATGATTAAATTCAAACCCAGCGCCATTTCTTCTCCAACCCTCGTCTAATGGACTTGTCTTTTTAGAAGTATGGACGACAATATGTTGAACATCTCGCCACGTCAGATTTGGATTTGCTTCAAGCAAAAGAGCAATTATTCCAGCAGCTAGTGGAGCGGCAGATGATGTTCCACGAAATGTCTCCTCACATTGATGATGTAATCCAGTTGTAATAAGTTTATCTCCTGTATATATTGAACCACGATGACTGTCAGCTGTGAAAACAACTGCTATAGTTGAAGCACACTTTTCATCATAATACGTGGATAAGCCATGATCACTGATAGCACCAATGGATAGAGTATAAATACTAGTTGTGTATCCATCACAGTCACAATCATCACCAACTAAACCACCATTGCCAGTCGCCCACACGTAAATGTTTCCTTTTCCTAAAACACATATACAGCATAGTTAAAGTAAATAACCCTACAATGATATTTCAATAATCAATATAATCATCATTAATAGATTTTAACCATTCTCTCAAGTTGCCAATTCTCTCAATTACGACGAGACATTTTAACGTTTTTCAAAAAAGAAGACTAAAGCAGCGTTTTTTACTTTTTAGGTGAAGCATTGTGACTGTGTGTCCTAGTTTTTTGGAAGCAATCATTATGAGAATCTAATGACAATCTTACGACACAAACCAACCTTTTCTACCACGCTCAGCTCCTTTAACGAAAGCTTTCTTTGCCAATCTTCCAGGTCGTCCAAATGTTTTACCGTCATCTTTAGGACCCCAAGAACAAGAATATATATCAATGTAATCATTTCTAAATCCTAAAGATTTTGCTTCCAAGGAATCAGTGGCTTTTCCATCCAACATTCTCACTGCTCCGATACTTGCTCCAAATGCCACACCAACTCCACAAATGCTGTTATTTGCAACGGCAGCAATCTCACCAGAACATTTAGTACCGTGAGCATTATAAGGATCGCTATCACGAGGAAATGGGTCTGGATCTTCACCATTAAAATCATAACTTGCATGCGGGTCATAATTTGTTTTAATATCAGGATGGGTATGGTCTAAAATAGACAAAATGAATTATATAAACGTTTTAATTACGTTTTTGAAGCTACTTCTCCTGTGATCTTCTCATATTTAAGTACTGTAGACTGCGTTTTGAGCGGTTTAGTCGTTTGCCCTCAAAGTCGCGCATCGCGCTTGTACAGATGGTTATTGTACATATAGTATTCAATATTGAAAAGGTATACTACCCATTTTATGCAATCATTTACGGCTTTTTCGAGTAAAATACTTTCCTTCAATAAATGTCAAGATAAGAAATCTTTGATGAACAACAAAATATGTAATTACTAAAACTAAGTGATTATTTGAGAGGAAACATATATTAAAGATCATAAAAATTCCTGCCAATATTAAATCATTATGTGTTTTCCATATTCATACTATTTCGTTGTAACGCAACGCCAGTACATTATGCTAGAAAATTGTCATGTTTTAACACAAATTGTTTGCTTTATTTAAAAGTTTTTTTTCTACTGAAAGACTGTGTATTATTTTTGATTGAATTAATTTTAACGTTTATAACTTATAAGTCTTCATATAAGTCTGGGGTTTTCCAACTCATGAACCTTTGAGAGGCAGAATTTTTGACAAAATATTTTTAAAAATAGGAGTAAGAATAAATGAATTTGTACTTAAAAATTAAAACAATAGCGGCTTAAAACATAACGGATCTCGTATTTGTACAAATATATTAAATTTTACTTGAGAAATTTCGCCCAAAACGACTACTTGTCGTTTGGTGATGAAGCTCAATATTTAAAATTACTTTAAGATTGTCAGACTGTCTGATTTAAAGAAATGTTAATGAGAAATTTTATGGATTCACAATAAAGCATCTATGAACAACTAAACTTTTTCATGAAACGCACCAGCGAAGTTTTGGCAAAATCACCAAGGTGAAACATTTGGTGTCGATAAGAATTGTCAATAAATTGAACATTTTTTGAAGTATACAATATTATCAGTAAAACATAAAAAATTACATCCAATAGAATTATATTTTAACAGTCAATGCTGTGATCTTTTTATTTAATCAGGACTTACACTAATATTTACGAACGGGCATAGACAATAATGTTGTAGGCCATTGCATTTAAGATCCACATGTTTGATCAACAGCAATTTACTGCGATTTACATGTAGTTAAAAAATATGAAACAACTTCCCTTTAAGAAACGATAATCTAGGCGGAAGTTGTTCTGAAACGAATACTTTTCACCCGTTTTACGTTTATATTAACATGACAAAATTGTGATGCGCATTGTTTCAACTATCAAGAATAGTATTAATTAAATTTCTCTGTAAAACGTGTATATATTTATCCGTTGAAAGATGTCATCAAAAATTGTGAAATTTTTGCCATTTGTTGTAGTCTTCGGCAATCTTACTATCGACTAGTAAAAAAGACAAATGAAAAAGAATAATTGAATTTTCACAGATACTTTACCTAAGCCATCATCAAGAACTGCAATTTTGACGCCTTTACCAGTGTACCCAAGTTCCCAAACTGGCCATATACGTAGATCATAGCCTTTAAGACCGCTGTTAAATTTACCAGTATTACGAATATACCATTGATATTCGAGTTTAGGATCATTAAAAGTAAGCGAGCGCTTCACTCGGTGTAAGATTAACTGTCGTTCAAACCACTTTACGTGTGGGTGATCTGAGAGACGACGATGGATAAGTTCAACATGGCGACGACTGGCTCTCTTAGCAAGATGTTTTCTAGGACCATCGTACACAAACTCGTAAAATCTTTTCTCATGTATAACACCTTTATTCTTAAAACCATTGTCCCTCGCTACTATGTCAGGATCAGCACCTTCTTCAAGTTCCACAGCCCAAATATCGGAATACTCTTTACCTTCATCGTCATCAAAAAATCGCTCGCTTTGAGTATCTTTTGAAGAGTCCGTTCGACTATTAATAACAATCAATAGACAAAATAACTTTAATAACAGCACTTTACACGGCATTATATAAGTTATGTACTTTAGAGCTAGCCGTTCCTATACTATGGAAAGCTAGCAAGAGTACAAACGCAAGTAAATTATACAGTTTCAGCTGTGTTCCTTTTCAGTCTGTTTATAAAAGTGTTCATTTGCATTCTGTCGGGCATTGAATACATTAGTCTCAGTGAGTGGGCAGTGTACCGAATGATGAATTATGATGAAACTTTAACTTCTTTTCCTTATTTTCTCTTTTTTAAACAGCACCAAATGAAATATGTGATTCAAAATTAGTAAAATTTCCAGCACTGCTTTTTGAAACGTTATAAGGTTATATCTTAGAAATTACATGTTTATTGTCAAGGATTCTTGAGTGAGATAATCTGCCCATAACATAAAAATACGTCTCGTTCTATGATTTGTTCATCAATGTGCAGCTGCATCATAAGATATTACTCTCTTACAATGACAACTGACACATGTAGGAGTAAGCAAAACTGTAGGTGGAAAATACATAGTCAATAATTAGCCTAAATATAAATTTGATATTGTGTTGTGTTAATTCAAGTGCTATAAATTAATTTGTGCGAACAACTTTAATTTCAAGTCACGGTACGTTTCATAGTCAAACATTTGTAATATGAATGTTTATAATTGTCAGTGTTTTGGTTTTTTTTAAAGGTTATAATCTGACGAAATGGTTCGATAATGGATTTCAAATCCATCATTATTTCTTTGAGACTCAGAGTTCAAATAAAAAATCGAAGAAACACTGAAATTGAACTTGTATATATGCAGTGCTTTAGAACTAAATTTATCAGATGGGGGGCTCACTTGACAAAGCTGAAGCCATGAAATTATGAAAAATTACCCATTTCAAAGGTGGAAGGGGGGCTTCTCCCCCAAGCGCCCCCCACTTCTACAGCACTGTATATATGTTCATCTTTCAATTGTACATCACAAAGGAAAATGTGACAAATTATAAGCCGATTTTAGATTGCATGGAAACCATAACGATCATCAAACGTCATGACTGGTTTATTAAATACTTCATTGTCGTATTTCCAATCAAAGCGACGATATTAAACTATATTATAAACTATATAAATATTTACACAGCTTGGAAAGCCCTGCTTTAGTAATACAGAATTTTACATGATTTCCATCTATATAGTTCACCAGGAGATATACACATTAAGCTTTGAGTTGAGTTGCGGTAGAATTTAGACTTAAACCAACAAGATCTTTTGAAAAGAGGAATGAAGAGTTTGGGCCATTTTGTAGAGCTTGTAAAAGTAGTTTCTGGCCAATACGTGCTTATGAAGAACTTTGCCAATAAACATTCGACCATATGCCTAAAAAAGACGACAGACATAATTTGCAATATATTAATCTTTGGAAAAGTTTTTGTAAGGAAAAGTTTTAATGCTGAAGTGGATCATGAGTACATTTTAGCAAAATAAGGATTGAAAAAGACCTTAAGTCAGTGTTGTTTTTTATATACATGGTAACACAAGACATAAGAAAACTTTGTGAACAAGTGATGACAACAAAGTTCGTAAATAAATACCATAACCAATATTTTTAATTTTGAAAACAGACTGGTTGGTTATGTCAAAAACTTCAACAAATAGAAAATATAGTGACGATGTTTAACGTGCATGCAAGTAACATTTGAATCTTTCAATAGATGTTTTAACAAAATGCATTAAAAAGATAAATGCATTCAAATTTGCATATTTGAGTGAAACGCTTTTTCCGCTTTTTTGTTGCACATTGAAGTAACATCAATACTTGCACAGGGATTCAAAACAAATAGCTATATTATCACACATTGTTTCAGTTTCAAAGACAACCTACCAATAACAAAACTTTTAGGATCTTTTAAAATGTAAATATACTCAAGAATAACCGACGTTATTTCATTCGTCAGCGAAACAAACCTCGTTAACATTCTCTAACTTCTCGTGGGCCGAAGCTTCTTCTTTCGTAAGTAAAATACAGTTCCATGGCGACCACTCCTCCCGTTTATTCCATCGAATAAAGACTAAATCATAAAGATCGTCTTGTGCACTTAGTGCACTCTGTGAACTCCAGATATTGTCCACAAGATAACGTAGATCAGTCTCCTACATGAAAAAATATCGTAAATTAAACAAAACAAACAACATTCTTATTTATTGTGATATTTTCTCAGCTGCACACACACAGAAATTCTGTTATTAACATCCTGCTTAAAATGTGGACAGGTGAAAATGTTATGTTTACAGATATCCAGGTGTTCAGGAATTCTATGTATGCATCATACATTTGAACAGTATGTATTCACTACTCAGTAATTAAGACACGGTACGCTCACAAAAAATAGGTTTCCAATAGAAAATGTGTGTCCCATTATCCTTTACAACAGACTGTGTATTCCTACGTAGAAGTATGTGGGCCCTCCGCAAAAGATGTGTGTTCTCAGCAAGATAATCAACGTGTGTTCTATGGAACACAAAATTTTACATGCTCGACAATTTGTACCTGAAGGAGAAATGCAATTTTTGATCCATCTTTAAACAACTGTTCAGATTGACGAAGATTCTCCAAAATCATGACATATCGTGAAAAATCTTCACGTAAACGAGCGTCATTATCAAGAACTTGACAGCGATGACATTTGCCAACATTTCTGAATATAAATACAATGTTTCATTAACAGAGAATTTATTTAGAACAGTTAATATTAACAGAGCCGAGGGGTTAACCGAAAATATCTTTTTTTACGTGCTTTTCTATACGTATCAAAAACTTCATAAGCCAAAAAAAAATCCGATAGTTTCCGTTTTTTTCCTTTTAAAACCGCACGAAAAGAGTCTCTTTTGAAAACATGTCAAGAAAAAAGATAAGAAACATGTTTGCAGTGCAAAGTTTGTGCCAGAAAGCAAAAACATTGTAAAATACCCTGAACGCGTTGGCTTACAGTGAATTGTTGCTACACAGTTAAGTAGCTCGTAGGTGCACGCAGATAGTTAAAACCAAACAGTTATATATTTTATAAGTAAGATGCTTCACCTTGAATTTGCTCCAATCTGAAACTCGGTGGAAGAAAGATATTGTTGACAACTTGGACAATGATAAGTTTTCTTTCTAAGAGTCAATGGATCTTGTGGAACCTGAGGTCACATTGAAAAAAATTGAAAAAAATGAGCAACAATTCAAAATTGTGTTCCAACATTCAAAGTTGTGTGAATATTGATAAAAAAACGGAACAATTCCGTGTATTGATTGCAGTACATCAGCCAGCGTATCTTATCTTTTTCATGTAAACAGTTCTTAAGCTAAAAATTCACTCACTTTGAGCAATTTCGCAGCTTCAGGATTAAATAATGGCGTCTTGCAATATTGTAGGAAAAGAGTTAGGATTCGCTGACGTAAACCTAAAGAGGTTTCATCACATATGAAACTGGATTGTTGCTCTTTACTAAAAAAAACTTAAATCTTTTGAAATAAATGTTCGGTGTTTCACACACAAAGGATTTCATCACGTTTAAACAGATCTGTTCTTTTTTGTGATAGAAAAGTTTTAAGAGTATTTATAATCATCCTCAAAATTAATAAACGTATGTATACCTTCCACATTTGACTGTTTTACGCCTCTCATCAAAAGATCAGCTTCACGATCAATAAGTTCAATAATCTCCTCAGTTAGTTTACAATCATGTTCTTTCACAGTATGTTTAACCGTCAATAAAATATCCAATCTTTCATCTTGTGTCAAGTACTTCATACTTAAACTATTGAAAATGTCACGTAATTCTTGTGCTCGTATGGTACCAGGTGTATCCATTTCTGTGATCTTGCCATCAAATGCTTTCCAACGCTTTGGCGATGCAGCCTAAATATTCCTTACATTTCAATATACATTTACATATGAATGCTTATACACACATATGACACTGCAACATCTGTAAATAGGTCAAAAACAATTTTGAAATTGACGTTTACATCGAGGACATGCTACAGTAGAAATAGTCAGGTCATTAAGAAATGTTTATCAAGAGTGAAACCATTGCTATATGATAGTCAAACGCACTTAAAACCATGCATTTGTTTCAATCAATATAGAATATTTGTTGTTTAAGTAATCGCTATATAGTCGTTCAGATGTGCGTAGGTAACTTTATCTCACCTTGTTGAGAAATTGTTTATCTCGTTTTTCTTTGTTATCAAAATTTGCCTTCAGTTTATGTCTTCCAATGGATGCAAGTAAATAAGCTTCTTGTTCAAGTAATAAGGCCAGAGCTGCTTTTCTTTCGGCACCACTTGTCATTTCATTGATCTTTGCTGTTTCTTCCCTTTTCCATTCTACATGACACAAGAAACAAGTGAAGAATATGATTTACAAGATTTGAAGCCATCTGATTTTGTAAGACAAAAAAAAAGAAGAAAAATCTCGGCATTGAAACTTCAATTGTGTTGCGAAATCCTTGTTTTGCACAAGTAATTTGATGCTTGAAAATTAGTCTATTTGTGAAAACCAAAATCGATAGTTTCAATTTTCACAAGACGATAAACACAAAAATAAACTAACTTTCCAATGCAGAATAGAGCAAGTCAAAATCTGTTTTACTGCTCGGATTCAATCGTCTTTCCCAATCACGTTTCATTCTGTCTGCTTTTTCTTTTTTCCTCTTCTCACTTTCCTGTGAAAAATTTCAACACTTTTCATACAAATAATGGTTTTGAAATTTCTCTGTTGTGGTCTTATAACTTTGGTAATGTTTTTGGCGCGTTATCGATTTTCAATTTTATAATTCTCGTACATGTTTACAAAATTATTTAACCTGTCTCTCCCAGTTATAACGATTGTCTCTGTCTTTACGTAAATTTTCAACATATCTCTTAGCCAACCATATACGCCAATGACATTGCAAGAAAATAACCTAAAAATGATAAATATATGAAAAAGTAAAGTACATCATGATAAACAAAGATAAACTGATGTAGTTCTGTATAAACTAAATATTTTATTACGATATCATGATATAAAATATACTAATGAGATATAGCTACCAACAGATTTTCTTGTAGCTAAGTAATGTTCACTAAAACAAGTGTATTGTTTAACCGTGTAAAAAATACAAAAGTGATCTAGTATATTAATAAAAGATCTATAAATTTTGAAACATGGTTTAATAACATATATGGGACACTTCATCATTGCAAGAGGCAGTTTTCCTAGGCAGGGCTCTGGTCCTGGGTAAACTAGAACTTAATATTTATGTATTTCAATGCGTGCAAATCTAATTGTCACGAGAAAAATTAAAATTAGTATTTGTGATTAAAAATGAAGAAAATTATGATTTTTACCTTTTCTAAGATATTTTTGTGATGTTCGTCTGCTGTTATGTAAGTTGACGTCGTTTTTATTTTATCTTCACAATTTGACACGTAACAGCCTTTTTTCGTCTGAAATATAAATATTTATGTTCGTGACAAATTCTTGTTCTTTGAGTACCACAAAATAAAGTAATGATTTGTACAAGATAAGTTATGAACACGGAGCCTCCTAGATGAGGTGGAAATCGCTTAAGCTGAAGTCATTTTATAAACAGAGATTGAGCATTTCTCAGAAATGTACCAAGTTCATGTCATCACAAAGATGCCGTAAATGCTTCACTTAGCACAGCGGCGCTTTTTTAATTTTCCGATTTTGAATGAGACGCTTATGCGAGAGCGGCGTTTAAGTGGGAACGATGCTTATGAAATATTCTTATTGCCCCAACAGAGAGCGGCGCTAAATTGAGCATTTGCAGTATTTATAAATCATGTAGAGATGATGTCAGTGGAACAGAATTTTTCACTCAAATGCAAATTTCATATATGTTTTGACAGGAGACATTGAAAATGTCTACAATACACAAATTCCTGTAAACAAAACTTTACCATTTGTGTACAAGTTGTGTTGGTTGTTTGCTGATGTTGATTCTTCATTATTACTGTTTGAGTATCCCGATTAAATCTCTTTACCTAAATCACATAACCTTGCAATTAATAATGGATAAAACAACATTGTCCTAGCTCAATAGGTAGTGCTACGGTACATTAAATACAGCTACGGTACAATAGGTACAGCTAGGGCACAATAGATACAGCTAGGGTACAGTAGGTACAGTTAGGGTGCAATAATTACAGCTAGGGTACATTACGTATGCATGTTTGATATAGCTTTAGTTAAACTTTTTTTGAATTCAATGGTTGTTAATGTGGATGTGCAATGCATGTTTTGTTTTACATGAATACATTGATTGTATATGATTATTTTCATTTGCACATCCTTCATATAACTACAAGGAATGCTAATTTCTCTAAGCTATGTTTGAAGTGATTTTCAGTGCAATATTTTAAATTTCTCTCCTTGTCATTTTTTTATATAAAAAAATGATAATGACATACAGAAGGAGGTAATCGTTTCTTTGGCACAGTTTGTGCTGATGCATTGTGGTATTCAACTCCAGTTAAACGATGACGAAATCCACCTAAAAATGGTTTCTTGGTTTTTTCTCTCACAACTTTAACTTCAACTTCATTTTTTAAGCCTTCAAATTCTATAAACCATGAAAAATATGATTTAAGCCAGACTCTTTTAAATGATGAGGTGAAAATATGTAGATGTATCATAAAGATGAAATAAAATGTAAGTGGGATAAGGATGGATACTGGATGAGTAAGATGTGATGATCAATTTCAAACAGCTACTTATCTTATGCAAAAATGATCACTAAATATGATCAAAATAAATATTACCAGAATCAATTTGTACCATCAGCACATCTGGCATTTTAGACTGATTGTTTTCTTTTGCAGATGTTAATACAGCATCATTTAGCAATTTTAAAGGAACATTAACAGGATCCACTGAATGTACTTCAAGATGAATGGTAGTTTGATCAGAATTAACATTAAGATCAAGCAATTTAGAATCATTTTCAACAGGATTTCCTAAAACAGATATGGTTCATGAAATAAGATCATGAAAAATAAGATGTAGCACAAGTAAAATATATAAAACTACCATCATGTAGAAAGAGAATTGACGTTGATGATTGAATACATTGTGATTCTACCATTTTCTTTAGTTCAATCAATGGCTTGTCCATTGGATATGAAACAGTTTTCACAGCTCCTTCAGGCATGAACACTAACTTTACTAAAAATCATGAGCGAAATAGATTTAGTAAAATACTGTAAGTAAAATGGCAATTTTACAGAATCAGGACAGGTACTGCTAGGTTTGAGCTGTGCAGCTCTACAAACACTCTATAGCTTAAAAACCCCAAAACAGAAGTTCTTATTTTCTCTCAAGCCATGTGAGAAGACACATTCAAATAAATTTTTAAAGAAAAAATGAGTAGTTTTAAACCGAGAGAAAAAATAAATGTTACAATAGAACATTAAACATTATCATACAAGATGCATCAAGCGTAGATAAAATTTTTTCCTTCGTTTCCGTTTCATTAGTATTTTCAGATTCTTGCTTATCAATATTATCCATCACAGCTAAAGTAATATTCAAAAATAATTTTATATTTCTCACAGATCTTTCACACTTTAGTTGTTTGGATCTGTTACTATGGCAACAACATGGCACGCACGTAAACTAAAGGTTTTATTTTCAATTTATTTTATTCTAGTTTTATGTATATTTTATTACTTTTTTATAGCCAAATAAATATTTTATCGGTAAAATCACATTTTGGAAGAGACAAAGGGGTGTTGTTGGTTGTGGGTGAGGTTGTATCATTTAACGAAGTCATTTATTTTCAAAAAACTATATTTTCAAAATTTTTCGTTCCGCTAAAGTTAGAAAATAAAAATCCGTGACAACTACGACTACGATACAATAAATGAATGATCTACGATCTGCGTTTGAGACAAAGAAAAGCAAAAGTCAAAACAAAAGAAGGTCAACTGTGTATCATTCGCCCGCGAATAGGCACGACGTACACACGAACTTTCTTTACTGTTCAATCAAGATTAACTTTTAAATGCTTTAAAAATAATCTATCGTATTTTGTTTATCTTTTGAAAAACATTGAATATTCAAAATGCGAGCTCGAAGCAATTCAATAGCAATGTTAGATTGGTATCATGCTTTGCTATCAGAAACAATCTTGGACTGTCAGGTATTTAGTTTTTAAATTAAAAGTGATGAAATAAGAACAATTTATTTAGTATAACTTATTATAATATAGCATGCTCATTCGACAATTTGTCAAAGAAAAGAAGAATTTTGTGAACAGCCGTTTTAATGGAATCACATTTAAAATAACATTTAGATCATTCAAACAATAATAAATTCTAAAAGTATAAAATATGAAAGAAACTTTCAATCAACGAAAAGAAAATTTAGATGAAAGTCCAAAGTATAACTGTATTGTTTGGTACAATGGTCACGATTTTTCTACAATATCGTAGTCTTGATTTTTTTTCAGAGTAAAAGTACTCTACTTCCCTGTTGGCATTGAGACATCGCGGACAATAGGAGAGTTAGGGTGTGGGTGGTCACCTCCCCCTTTGTATTTTTTCAAAAAGTATTTTAATCCCACAAAAATACACTGTAACATTTTCATTTCAGAGGTTTATATCTTAAATACAGTAATAAGCACATAAATTATCTAAACGTGGCAACTCGGATTTTTTTATAACAATTCTTTATGTTATTTTTATTGTTGGAAAAGCATAAAGATTGTTAGTGGAAGCAGATTAAAGTTGAAAAACTGATATAAACAAAACTTTTCATTTGGCAGGATCCAGTTTCTGGTTTACTTCCACCTTCTGGGGGTTTGAGGAAGTTTGGGTCACATGATTATCCTGGAGATGCATGGGTCCGAGATAATGTTTACGGTAGTTTGAGTATGTGGGGCTTGGCTCTAGCTTATAGCAAGAGTGCAGATTATGATGATGAAAAAGCAAAAGCATTTGAGTTAAAACAAGTAAGTCATTTGAAAATCTTATTTGAAAAAATAGATAAGTGCTTCTATTGAGCAGGAGGTTAATTTTTAATTTTTGCTACCATTTATTTTTTTGTGCATAATTTTTGAAGTATTTTGTTTTGTTCTTTAGAGTGTAGTGAAGCTGATGAGAGGTTTATTAATGAGTATGATGCAACAGGTAGTGTTCACAAGAGTTAAAAACTATAAAAATCATGGCATTATAGGTATAACCTAATTGAAATATGGATAATATGATTTTCAGATGTAATTGTTTATTTACTAATTATTATCAATTTATATTACTGGCTTATAGCTAAACTACTTTGCATTCTCTTTAGGTTCAAAAGGTTGAAAAATTTAAGAAAACACAATCAAAAGATGATGCTCTTCATGCAAAGTATAATTACAGTAAGTCCAGTTTTCATGTAGCATTGTTGCGATATGTTAAGATGTGATACAATTTAATTGTTAAAAATTTATTAATGTAACTCATCATCTTTAAATACTCACTTGTAGCATTGTTTAATCGCTCAAATTTATCATCGGACAGTACAAAATGAAAAAAAATACAAAGCACAATATATTGTACAAAATTTTAAGCTTTTTTCTTGATAAATGTAATCAAGAATATAATTGTGGTTTCAAAGATTTTCATCAAATGTTATTTTTTGGCTACAGGAACTGGTGAAACAGTTGTCAGTGACTATGATTGGGGACACTTACAAATTGATGCAACATCACTTTATCTGCTTGTCTTGGCTCAAATGACAGCATCAGGTTTTTAATTATGATATTTAAATTGTCCTTACTAATATTTTATTATCATTATTTTATCATTTATCATGTTGTGCACTTAGGTTTACAGATAATCTTTACACTTGACGAGGTTTCATTCATTCAAAATTTGGTATTTTATATTGAAGAAGCTTATCGCACCCCAGTAAGTGGCTTTGTAACCCCTATGCATGTTCACTATGTACTATATTAGCTTAATCTTTGTTTATTTGAGTAAAAAAAAATTAACGATTGAAAAAAACAATTTGAGAATAAGAAAACAATCACCATCATATATTCCTCACCATCATATAATTCACACCATCATATAATTCACACCATCATATAATTCACACCATCATATAATTCACACCATCATATAATTCACCCATCATATAATTCACACCATCATATAATTCACACCATCATATAATTCACACCATCATATAATTCACACCATCATATAATTCACACCTTCATATAATCCTCACCATCATATAATTCACACCATCATATAATTCACACCATCATATAATTCACCATCATATAATTCACACCATCATATAATTCACACATATAATTCACACCATCATATAATTCACACCATCATATAATTCACACCATCATATAATTCACACCATCATATAATTCACACCATCATATATAATTCACACCATCATATAACACCATTATATAATTCACACCATCATATAATTCACCATCATATAATTCACCACCATAATTCACACCATATAATTCACACCATCATATAATCCTCACCATCATATAATCCTCACCATCATATAATCCTCACCATCATATAATCCTCACCATCATATAATTCTCACCATCATATAATTCACACCATCATGTAATCCTCCCATCATATAATTCACACCATCATATAATTCTCAATATCATCCATCCAATAATGATCTTCGTCGATGAAAACATTTATAAGGTGCAGAATTAAACTTACCTTGAGTAAATATTACATGTACAATAAAATAAACCAAATCATTATGAGAAGATGACCATTTGATGAACAAACAAACAAAAAGCAATTTTTTGCTCTGAAAGTACAACCTTTCTGCTCACGCTAATAAAATGGCGTTTCACGAAATCTAGGATTATGGCATATGGGAAAGAGGAGACAAACTGAATCATGGCCAACCAGAGCTTAATGCTAGTTCGATTGGAATGGCAAAGGTAATGTAATGTGATGAGAGACTATATTGTTCACATTGAAAATTTTTTTTGTGTATACTAGAAAGGGCTTTGAAATTATTGTCTTTTTGCTTAAGGCTGCATTAGAAGCATTGGATGGTCTAGACTTATTTGGGTCACGTGGTAGTCTTCAGTCTGTTATTCATGTTCTTCCTGATGAAATCCAAAGATGCAAGGTGTAATAGTCATTACCGCTGACCACTGACCACAGCGTTCTTTTACTAAATAGTAGCACAAAATATTACTATATTTTAGTAGTGAACATTTTATTTTAACTATATTGTATTTAGGCAATTCTTCAATCAATGTTGCCGCGCGAATCTAGCTCCAAGGTTAGATCATCTCAAAATGATTTTTCTTTCTTTAATTGTGTGTTTGTTTGCTTACTTATTTGTTCTAGGTAGAAGAAAACATTACGCAAATTTTCTACATGGTCAATTTTTTGTAGGAAATTGCAGCATCTGTGCTGAGTGTAATCAGTTTTCCTGCTTTTGCTGTTGAAGATGCTGAACTGGTTAATTTAACAAGATCCATTATCATTGATAAACTGCAGGTCATATGACTATAAGATTAACTTTTATAATCACTCGTGAAGTTCATGCTAAAATCAGGAATTATTTTGAAAATATTCCATGTGTTTATAAGTAAGGTTTTCACAACAAATAAGCAGGGAGAAAAATTACTTATTATCCTAATGCTTCATTTGAAACAGTGCGGCGCATTAAATTTCCTCTAACCTGCAAGAGCAACGCCATCATACAATTGAGTAAATTGAACGGCAGTTTTAATTTCGTAGTAAATATGTTATCAAATGTTTTTTTGTATGTTGTCGTAGGGTATGTATGGATGTAGACGATTCTTAAGGGATGGATATATGACATCGTTGGAGGTAATTATGGATATATGACATTAAAAATCACGATTAAAATTATCAAAAAATGCAAAAGGTTTTCACCTATGGTGATATAAAAACGATGCATAAATAATATTTAGCTGTCTTACCTGCGACTATTTCGTGAAAATCGAGGTTGTTCAATCACATGTTTTAAACCACGTGCTCTTTCATAAGCAATGTTGCAAGTTGCTATTTGAGAAGTTTGTGTTTAAAAAAAAACACGATCTGTTTTTATAACTTTTGTGAAAGTCACTTGTGCATGTTACAAAGCTGTCAAGGCTAAGAGCAGTGGTAAAATTGTAGCCAGCTTAATCATGCGTAATTTCCAACACACACTTCTTAAAGTAAATGGTTTGAACCCGGGAGTATCGTTACATGTTTGTAAATGATGATCGTCCAGGTTAATAAAGTCCTGAGAAGGACTGTTTTTGTTGTTGTTGACTGACGTTTCGACAACCTTAGCGGTAGTCATCTTCAGAGTCAAAAAAACATGTAACACATTTCTTCCATAGAATCCAAGTCGTCTGCATTATGAACCAGCTGAATTGAAGATATTTGAAAATGTTGAATGTGAATGGCCAATGTTTTTTGCTTATCTTATTCTTGACGGAGTTTACAGCAATAACGAAGAGCAGGTTTGCTTTAAACGTTTTCTTCTTTAGCCTCTTTTTTGTGTTTGTATTTCATTTTCTGACCGAAAGAACTGTTAAATGTCTAACTACAGCCGTTATATTACTTAATGTGTGTACAGCAACGAGTTGAATAGTGAATTTATCCAACTTTTTTTCTTTTAAACATTATGTCTTTGTCACATTCTTGCGTAAATGAACAGTTGATATAGGAAGTCAGTATTTGATATGTTCATCAAAATTTGTTTTTCTTTTAGGCCTTTATACTTTGTACCTAGTCTATGCATTCAGTGTGTATTTTACATTCTGTCAATCTATTTTTCAATTTTCTCAGTTGACTGTTGTTTATAAAAATGACAATATATTCAGTTAGACATGTATATTTAAGATTTAGTTGAAAACGTGTAACTTTGTAGGTGCGCTATAGTTATATATACATAAAGTATTTTTATACGAATGATTGTAACGAAAAACATGGAGATATTTTCTCAATTAATATGTCATTATAGTCGTCAATAAAGTGGAACTCTAATCAACTTAATTATGGTACTATTTACAGGTTCAAAAATATCAAAAGATGTTGGATAATGTTTTGATTTCGAACAATAACGTAAATCTTGTGCCGGAGCTGTATTATGTACCTTATGATAAGGTAAAGATACATGTTTAAACTCGTATGATAAGGTAAAGATACATGTTTAAACTCGTATGATTAAGTATGGATACATGTGTAAACTCGTATGATAAGGTAAAGATACATGTGTAAACTCGTATGATTAAGTATGGATACATGTGTGAACTCGTATGATTAAGTATGGATACATGTGTAAACTCGTATGATTAAATATGGATACATGTGTGAACTCATATGATTAAGTATGGATACATGTGTAAACTCGTATGATAAAGTATGGATACATGTGCAAACTCATATGATAAAGTGTTACATACATTTGTCTTTACTTCATAATTTAGGTGGAACTTGAAAAAATCAACATGCATAGTCAGATTCGTGTTGCAGGTGGTAAACTTCCTCATATATGGTCGCAGTCTCTTTACATTGTTTCTGGTCTTTTAGCGCAGGTAAACGTTACAACTAAAATATCTTAAATTTCTTCTTGATTTAAAAAAAATTGATTTTCACACAGGGATTTCTCGAACCAGGTGAATTAGATCCCTTAAACCGACGACATGCGACTACACCTGGAGCGGACATTTGTGTTCAAGGTTTCTCATGTCTTATCATTATATACGCACTTTCACGTCTACATTTTTCATGTTGAGATTTTTGTATGATCAGATTGTGTCTTACTGCTTTAGACGTGTTTTCGAAAAGAATTTAATCGCTTTTTTTTGCATCGTAGTTAAAAAGCATTTCGTTTAATAAATAAGATTCAGCTGTAATATCTATTCTCTTTTCAGTAATCAGTGATTTCTTTAGTTCAAGATTTATTACATAATAACCAAGGGTTATTCTTTGTTTTCTTTAGTTGTTATACTTGCTGAAAACAATGCTATAAACGAAGCTTTAGAAGGCGCTGGTATTCCATCGCAAACAAAACATTCTGTGAGAAACATCAAAGTTTTACCTGCTCATTGTCTGAGTCATGCTTACGAAGAGCTTGGTGAGAAGTTATTTTTTTTTCTTTTATTGACTTTATGAGAAAATGACTGTTGACCTTTCAACGCAAAGTGCTGTGAAAATTTAGCAACGCATGCTTGTACTTCTCACTTTGATTATTCAGTCTATTACACACAAATCGTTTTGACTTCACAAATTGATGTAAAAAACTATCGATAAAAATATCTTTGCACAACAAGTAACAACGCACGTGACATGAGGAAACCACGTAAAATGAGAACTTGAATTTAGAAAAGAAATCAATCGCAAAAGGCAATTTTCGCTTCAATTAGGGTTGCATGAAGCTCAAAATATGCTAGTTTCTAGCTTCTAAAAAAAGTTCTATACCCACATTTATGAAACATTCTTTGTATTTCATTCAGGGAAAAATAAAACTCTTGGTCTTTCTGGAAGGTGGTGATTCATATGATTTTTGAGAAATGTGTGTTGAGCGCATTTTATTTTGAAAAATATTTCTTTTAGACCTTTTCACGATATTGGAGCACTTGGAACAGCTTCTCTTTATCGTGTTGGCAGTGAAATATTTGCGTTCACACCTCAGGTAAGAATATTGTGTTGGCTGTGAAATATTTGCGTTCACACCTCATGTGAAAATATCGTGTTGGCTGTGAAATATTTGCGTTCACACCTCATGTGAAAAATCGTGTTGGCTGTGAAATATTTGCGTTCACACCTCATGTGAAAATATAATTGCAAGGACACAAACAAAAGATTCAAAAAGCTTTATGTGCTCATCTCATAATTGTTATTCAAGGCGCAAACAAATCATTCAAAAGTTTTTGTCCCATAATTGTTTATTCGGTCGGCGCTAACCTTATCACTTTCCTCAACTAATTATTTCTCTCTCCTATTCCTAATATCTCTTCCTAACCCTCAACTGTTTTTTCTTTAACACTAGGCAATTGATACTCATCAGTTCTATTTATGTTTGGATAATGAACTGTTGGTGAATATTATAACGACATTGCTGGAATATCTCAAAATCAACTGGACATTAATGGGACGGCCAACGTTGACGCTTGTTGTAAACCAAGCAATGTTTGGTAAATTTACAATGTCAATTTTGTTATTGTTTCATATTGAAGATGATAATTATTTTGAGTTTCTTAATATGTTAGAACCTGATGATTTTTTCTCATCTACTATTGGTAAATTATTATTGAAGATAAAGACTGGTTACTGCGCTGGTGTAAGGTTATTATTATTCATTTAAATTTTTTTTCATTTTATTATCATTTTTTTAGCTGTTTATAATTACAAAATATTAGTCATAATGTATTAATAATAAAATTGATTGGACCGTCAGAAATGTTAAATTATGGAACATTTTTGATTTTTAAATTTATTTCAGGGTGACTATGGGTCATTTGTCAAGTTTCTACAGCACATCTTGTATTCGAAACTTAACATTTTTAGCGGGAAATCAAGGTGTGAATTGTATACATGACAGTCCCTTATCCATCATTTCATATTTACGACAATCTCTTATCATACATAATTTCATATCTATGACAATCCCTAATCACTTTTGTTTCATATCTATAACAATCCCTTATTATTTATCATTTTACATCCATGACAATCCCTTATCCACCATTTCATATCTACGACAATCCCTTATCACCATCGTTTCATATATACGACAATCCCTTATCATCCATCATTTCATATCTACGACAATCCCTTATCATCCATCATTTCATATCTATGACAATCCCTTATCAGCCATCATTTCATATCCATGAAAATCCCTTATTATCCGTCATTTCATATATTGAAATATTGAAAGGTCCATAATGTCTTTCGTTTGTATTCTCGTAGAATTTTTAAAGAAATGGCGACCTAAGAAATCCCGTCGTGAGCTTCTTCGCTCTCCGTCGTCAGTGGGGGTGAGTCATACATTAAATTATAACATTTTTCACATTGTCAACAAATTTTAAAAAATTTCCGGTCTCCCATAGATAACCATTCTTAAAAATTTTAGATCTATAGTAGGTAACTTTTATGCTTTTCAGAACAATGGCATGAGGCGTCCTTCAGTTTTACAAGGGATTGTTCGCCGTAGTTGGAGTGTTTCTGCTTATTATAAACAAGATTTATCAATGAGTCGTTCATCTAGTCGTGGTACTTTAGCCTCATTACAATTTGTTTCAGAACAGGTCATGTTTATTTCTAACTCATTTGAATCGTTTTACAAGATGATTCTCAGAGTGAAATTGATTTTGAACACCCTGAATACACTGGAAGTGCTAGTGACGAACCTTTCTCAACGACCAAAATGGCTCATACAGTGTCAGTGGATGACATCATCAAACAACTTGAGGAAACTGAAAGTCTTCATTCGCAAGCTGATTTTCTTCATTATCTTCATATGACTGTGTAAGACTTTTACTGTGATCTTACTGATCACATGACTCTGTCATCCCTCTATTATCAACTTTATGATCACATGCCTCTGTCATCCCTCTATTATCAACTTTATGATCACATGACTCTGTCATCCCTCTATTATCAACTTTATGATCACATGACTCTGTCATCCCTCTATTATCAACTTTATGATCACATGACTCTGTCATCCCTCTATTATCAACTTTATGATCACATGACTCTGTCATCCCTCTTATCATAACATGATGGTCCTTCAATCCCTTCGTAACATCTCAAGTGAGACCATAAAGATTCAATCATTGGGTATCAAGTATTTTTTTCATGCTCGTAACTCACTGACCAGTCGAAGAAAGACTTTAATTATAATTTAGAAAACGCCGACCAGGAAACATCTTTTATTTCAGAGGAGCAGATTTTGATACGAAACTTGGCGGCTCACATGGATCAACTGTGAAGAAACTTTTGGAAGAACTTTATGAAAAGGTGAGAACTAAAGAAATTTGCTTTTACTTTTTCCTGTAATGTTTGTATTCTGACCTCTTTTTTACATTGCATCTTTCACCACACACAGTCAAACCTATATAAAGCGGACACCCTCGGGGAACGGACTTGTGTCCGCTTAATGAAGATGTCCGCTTAACACAGGTTTCATAATTATGAATTAGCTAAATGGGATTAGATTTGGGACTATACGATGTGCTTGCTAATTACAGGATGACCTCTTAATACAGGTTTGACTGTAATTACATAGAAATATGTTAACATTTCCAAAGTATCTCTTAATTTGTTACTTAATTGAAATGCTTTTTTATGTAGGCGTGTGAGAAGAGGCACTGGTCTCTAGTACGTCATACAGCTGGACTACTGCAGAAAAGAGTAGAGGATTTAGCTGAAGTTAGTGGTTTATTGTCGATTTGTTCGTTAGAACCTCATTCACGGTAGAACTTTACTTCCTTCTTTCCAAAGAATGTCACTGATCTTCTTGTCCGAGAAAAACAAATCACCGTTGGATTGCCTAAAATAACGACGGAAAGGGTCATTGACAGGTAAATCGATATTAGATATGATTAGGAAAAAAGATTGGGCTTAGGATAGAGAATTAGGGTTAGGAGAAAGGATTAAAGTTAGGATAGGGTATTAGGGTTAAGAGAAAAGATTAAAGTTAGGACAGGGTATTGGGGTAAGGAGAAAGGATTGAAAGCTAGGATAAGGTATTAGGAAAACATGAAAAGGTTAAAGTTAAGAGCGTCGTCGTTTCGAAAACTTAAAATTGCTTATAAAGAAAAGTTGATCTATTTATTTCACTTTGTGTAAAATCCACCCTCTTAAAAACTTAGTTGTATTGAGTTTTTCTTCTATCACAAAGATCGTCGTACTGCCATAACTTGCCATGTTTTGACATTTCTTCTCACTTCGTCTCAATTATAGACCTTTACCACCAGACGAACTTCAGACGATTATTTATAACATTAGTGCTGAAGATAGTTGTAATGCAGTTCTTACTCAAGAATTGTTGGTTTATCTTGCAATGTTCATACGAACTGAGCCTCAGTTATTTAAAGAAATGTTAAGAATTCGGGTTGGTCTCATAACGGAGGTGATTGCTTCCGAAATGGCTCGGCTAATGGAAGGAGGTAAGCTCAGGGCTTTCATGAAACAAAACATTTGTGTGGCTCTTAAAAAAATTGGTGTTTTCTATCCGATTACTTTTTTGTTTGTACACCCTGTTTGTGATGTTTGGAGGCTTTCTATTAACTTTCTATGTCTTTCTATCACCTTGTTGTTGTAGAATGTGTCTTTCTGTAAACATCTTAGAACCTGTTTTCATTATTCCATTTCAGTTATGCAACAAGTTTTGTAGTTTGTTTTTTTTTGTTTTGTGTTTCATTTTTGTCTTTCATCTTTGTTGTCAACATTTTCAGACGAGTTTGAACACGAGGGAATTCCTGAACTTTTTATGAATTTAAGTCCATTCGAGATGAAAACACTACTTTATCATATTCTAAGTGGCAAGGAATTTAACGTGTCCAGAACGACTGAGAGACAAATTTCATTCATGAATATTGATTTGCCGAAAAGAGTTGGAATAAAGAATTTAAAGAAGACAATTAAGGTTGTTTATCCACAAACATCGAATGTTTTTTTTAAAGTTTCGAAAAAAACTTTGCACTATTGATATGACAGGTGGAAATTCACATCAGTCAAGTCATACATGAGATATCACGGTATAATAAAACGGCACTTTTCGTAATGGTAGTGATAGTCGTTTTATGTAGTTTTTTAACAATTGAAGGTATTAATCTTTTTATAACTACAACTTTAGAATCGAACTTTCGTGTCTAATGCCATATTGCCCTTCTATAAACTGCATGAATTTATCTATTCTTGTTTAGAGTATGCATAGTAGTAATACAGCAGATCTTCTAAATATGAATGAAGAAAAAATGGAATCATAGCTTAGGTCGACTTGGTGTTTGGATAAGAAGAAGACGTGTAGACGGCGCATTGAACAGAATACCTGTGGATTTTTATCCTAAACTTTGGAAAATATTTGAAAAGGTTGAAAACTGTCAAGTTTTTGTTAAATACTTAACAATAATCTGAAGATTGTCATCAAACGTATTATGATTTTTAGTGTTGTGGTTTGTCCATTGAAGGTCATTTTTTGCCCAATACTATCATTCAAGAGGTTTGTGTTATTATTAGGGAGCTTTTTGTCCTGTAGTCTTTAAATTTATATTTTTATGAAATGAAAATTGTAAGTTAAATATACAAAGCAATATTGACTAAATTTGGCTTTAATATTCCCAGATGACTCCGGGAGAGATGAAATTTGCTTTGCGCGTGGAAAGTGCATTAAACTGTATTCCACAACCTGAATACCGACAATTGATGGTTGAAGCTTTAATGATTCTTTCACTTATTGTGGAGTCCTATCCTGAACAGAATCTTGGCGAGATTGTAGCCGTTGATGAGATTGTTAGAGAAGGACATATTTTATTTCTTCGCGATCAGGTACCCCCGAATGATTTGAGGAATAAAATGGATTAAAGTATCCTTGCTGATCACATTGTTATCTTTAATGGAGAAATTTGTTATTCGTCGTCATTTTAATAGTTTGTGTTGTTCATTATTAATGACCATTCTGGATTTATAAGTGCTTTTCTGTGCAAAAGGAATTTATGAGATTTAATTTGATTATTGTAAACGATACTGAAAAGTGGAAGCTTTATCCTAATCTAGTTTTTTTTCTTACAGGTAAAAGATAAAGGTGATGCAACTTTATGTTGTTGTAGTAAGTCATTGGAAAAGCAAGTTGAATGTGGCGGAAGTTCAGGAATATGTAGACATTTCTATGATTCAGCTCCGAGTGGACGCTTTGGGACAATGACTTATTTCGCACAAGCTATCGCTGCTCGGCTTTCTTTACTTCCAAACATTAAAGAATGTACTATCAGTTGATTCACTTAATTCACAGTCTGTAATTGTAAATATAATAAGTAGTTAGACGACATGAAGTATTGCCAAAAATTAGTTTCCGCTAACAAACTGTTTGTCGACTGAAGGCTCGAGAAAACATGGCTGCAACAACAAGATTGATTTTCCCCAAAGCTTTAAAAGAAATTCGAGTTCACTTGTGTCAAAAGTCGAAAAGTAGCAAGGGGTTAGGTAAGGAAAGTTCCTTATGTAACCATTACGCAACAAAAGCTTTAGCTATAAGTACTAATGTGTATTGTTATTTCATCTTTTTGTATTCAGGGATTTTCTTGAAAAATACTACGTTAATCTGAAAAGAGACAACCCAGGCTTTCCTTTCCTTGTTCGTGAGTGCAGTGGTATTCAACCGAAAATTTATGCCAGATATAGTATGCATAATAAATCATATCTTAATATAAATATCGTTGATTTCTTATAGTTTCAAAGGCAAAGTTTTATTATGCAAAAGTTTACAATATCTCAACCTTTTATTTACATTTCAAGTTCATGTTGAAACAGTTGCATCAAACACATCTGTGATGTCACGTTGATGTGCACATAACAATTTCTGTGCAATATTGTAATGATTATAATGAATGCCTTTCAGCTTTTTATTTGCCCCATTTAATCTTAGTGTGTTCAAAAATTCATGTCACTTACATGAGTTCTAAAGTATGTAATTCGCATTATTTTTGTGTTCAGTTCACATATTGAAGTTTCTTAGATAGCAAATTGTATTCTGTTTTAGGCTTTGGAAATGAAAGAAGTGTTTCTTTGTCCGATAAAAGCAGTGGAGATATCTACAAAGAATTGGAAAGTTTTGCTAAATCACAGAGTTAATAAAATTTGTGCTTAGCATTTTATGTGTTGATTGTATCATTATTGGATGCTTTGCTGATAATTTGATGTTGAATTTAAGGAAGAAGTTATTTTATGAGTAGCAATCTTGAGGAGACTAATAAATGCTAGTACAAAATTTTATAATTAGGTACTATATTGTTTCTAAGAAAGTTTTTTAAGACAAGTTATGTGTCAATAAAGCATGATAATTTATTCTAATTATTGCATGCCCTCAAATGCAACATTTCACTACAATTGCGCATTTTCACACTTTGCAGTTTAGTTAAGTTAGAAGACATTACTCATATATCATCCCTTGCTTCATTAAGCAAACATTTCTGAACAAACATTAACAATTTTTATTTGTGGGGGTGACGTTTTTGTATCTACTGACCAAACATACATGCAAGCGAGAATATTCAGATAAAAATGACCAACAAGAATGACAATTTAGAAATAAGTTCAATACAGGTAAATTAATTAGTCTTGTTAAATCCATCACCATATTCCTGGAATGAGTTTTGATGTTTTGGCTAGGTATCTTGAAAATATTTATCATTTAGCCATCGCCTTGCAGCTTGAGCTTCTTGCAAAGGAATTCCTGAGACTTTGGTGAGAAAAAATGTAACAAGAAGCGGAGATATAAAGCTAAGGTGCTGCCAACCTTGCATGACATTAGATGCAGGTAAAAATAGACCAAACCACATTATTATCTCACCAAGGTAATTTGGATAACGAACTATACTCCACAATCCAGTAGTAATGTATTTCTTGTAGTTGGCTGGATTACTTCTAAATACAGACTTTTGATGATCTGCGATTACTTGTATGCAAAAGCCAAGAGTCCACATGCTCCAGCCCAAATAATCTTTCCAATTTAATGAAGGATTCTTCCGATTGTTATTGAGTATAAGGGTAGGAAGCAGAGTAGAAATATCCAAACACCTTGGATAGTCCAAAACATCATCATCAATGGTGGACTATTACGCGCTTTCTTAAACCGACTGTCTTGACCTTCACGAAGAACTCGAGTGACCAAAAATATAGCAAGACGAACAGCCCAAATCGTTACACAAGACGATTGTATAATTTGACGATTATTGTAGTGTCGTGCCCATGAAAGAACTTGCCAAGTTAAATATAAGAACGTTACACCTCCAGTGAGATCGAAAAACTTCTCCGTTTGTAAGTATGAAGCTATGGTACCCAGTATCCATTGAATGCTCATATCAATTACAAAAGCTTTTACTAAAGGAGATTCGAACATTTTAAAGGTCAAATAATTCCCCATGTTAGAATTTATAAAACAATCAACAACAATGGAGGCCAGTTCACTACTGTAGTTTACAAGCTTCCGTTATTATGTAATCAACATTTGTGTTCTCTGAGATTAAAAATTCAGAGATATTGCCTTACAATTTTTATTTCGTATCAATTTATGGAAACAAGTAATTGAAATAATTTTTAATTTCGACAATATGGATTGCGTTTCATAGTCATAATGGCTACAATTGCTCTGCAGTGTTGGTAGAGTAACTGATTTTTACTATTAAATACAAATTATAGTCTTTTTGCAGTTGATTGTGATTGTGCATGTTTACTCTAAATTAGTCTCACAAAAGATATATAATCCAATTAAATGGTGTCCATATTTTTAATCAGAAGTATCACCATTAGGCACAGATAAAGCATGAGCTTCAAAATCTAACTTCCGAGAAAGATCTGAGTCCAACATTGGGGATGATTTAAAGTCAGCTAGTTTTGCTAAAGGCAAATTATTCTGTTCATACTTAAGCCAAGGTTTGTAATCAGGATTATTTTGAATTTTCCAATTTGTGTAGTTTTTAGCTGCTGAAGCAAAACGAGCCATTACCTAGAAAGATAATTATACATTTAATAAAAGGTTGAAAACAATGTATAACTATGAAATTTTTATACCTTTGGTGCAGTTTTAGTAGCAACTTTATTGACCATCCACTTTGGTATTGAGCCTGACAAAATATTCAACAGTAAAATTAACAAATTGATTAAATAATTTTTCCTTTAAAATCTTAAACATAAATTCATAAATACCTTTTGGGTCAACTTGTGTTATATATATAAAATGACTACCACAGATTCCATTAGTTTTTGCCATATATCCTGACATCAAAGATGTTCCTCTAATATACTCCTTCCTTATGGGTGCATTCTTAAAGATAAATTAATCCTCTACAAATCATACCAACAAATATAATTTCATATATGTAACTAAGACAAACCTTATGTTGAACTGAGTGATTGCATATAATGAAACTATTTTGAGTTTTAGTCCAATATCTTTGAAATACAAAATCACGATTTCTTAATGGTTTTGGACACTTTGCTATAAGATAATATAAAATATGACAATAATAAAATTTGGTCACATGTCTACAATAGCAAAAAGCTATGTTTCTTTATTTTGAGTAGAACACAATCTTACCAGCATAATAACCCACATCACTATTTGGATCAATCTGACATAAACCATATTCCTCAATCATCATGGAATCCCAATTTTTTCTATAATCACCATCATGTAAGGTATCATACAATACATCCAAAGAAATATCATCAAAATGGGTTTCAATCTAAAGTTTTTAAAAACATAATTTATATACTATTAATTCAAATGGTCATCATACTTATGAAAATCATTGCAAACTTTCGTATTTCTACAATGCTATATACAGTTAACTGCTCATATTGCTACTGTCAGTTTATTTGCTACTGTCAGTTGATTTGTTACAGTCAGTTTATTTGTTACTGTCAGTTATTTGCTACTGTCAGTTTATTTGCCATTTCAGTTAATTTGCTACTGTCATTTTATTTGATATTGTCAGTTAATTTGCTTCTGCCGTTTTATTTGCTAATGTCATTTTATTTTATTACTGTCAGTTTATTTGCTACAGCCATTTTAATTGCTACTGTCATTTTATTGGTTACAGTCAGTTTATTTGTTACTGTCAGTTATTTGCTACTGTCAGTTTATTTGATATTGTCAGTTAATTTGCTACTGTCATTTTATTGGTTACTGTCAGTTTATTTGATACTGTCATTTTAATTGTTACTGTCAGTTCATTTGCAGCTGTCAGTTTATTTTCAGCTGTAAACCAATCACTATATATCAAAAAGAACATTTTCATCAACAGATTCAACAAGTAAATTAAATCAATTTTCAAGGTGGAGTACGTATACACATTATAACATTGAGGATTGCCTGTCAAAATTAACAACTTTTTTCGCTAAAAAGCTCAACACAGCACTCATTCATGGGAATGAATACATGGTGTTTTGAAATGATTGAGAAATCTCGAACTGTTTTAGAAACGGTTTCATTTTTGATAACATATAATTAGGATGTAAAAACATTGTTCTTTTTTATAATCGTAATAAGGTCTTTACGGGTACCTTCACCATTTTAATAGCTGTTCCAACCTCAGACTTAGTAAACACTTCAACTTTATTTTTCTTGTACTGCTTTGTCCATCCTTCGTTATTTTCAACCAAGTTTCGAAATTTGTCAAATTCAAAATCAAACGCCGGTTTTAACCCATTACAATCACTTGCCATTTTCTCGTTAAAAGCTGGAGATTACACAATTTCATGAAATCTAGACATTAAACCCATATGTACCAATGAAAAAAACCTAAAAATGGTTCAAAAGAACTAAAAATTGAAACAATCGTTAAACTACACAAGTGAGAAGTGGTTATACTTTTATTCGGTATATAATTATGATAATGTGTGTCACTAATGTCTACATGAAGTATTCGTGAGCCTTGGATTGGATGATGGGATGTATTTGACCATAATATCTATTTATTTTTATGGTCAAACCTCTGGATTCAACACAAATGGATTACATGAGTATTTTGTTTGTGCACGGACCGCTAAGTTGAATAAGCTGTTTTACAGTGATGCTAATATCAAACAAATGCAGCCTCTATTAGCAAAATGAGCATTGCACAGCCAGCCCTCAAGGTTTAGTTTTTGCTAAATATTCAGACTTCATCATTATCTTCAATATCTTCAGGATATTTTTGAGGCAAAATATATTCGCAGGGCGATTTTTGGGATGATCTTTGTATAATATTGTGAAATTTCAAAACTAGTTTATATAAAAGTAAATTTTTAGTCATTTTTTAAATAAAAATGAAGTAAAATGAATTTAATTACAAAATAACGGGCGCCGATAGGCGAATGTTCGAAAGCTCTGTTTTGATCGTGGAAACTGGACGCAATGCTTTTACAGCTTGCTCCCACTCTTGTTCTAGCGATGAAACTTTTCTCATGATTTGAGAATCAGTAAGCTAATTTAAAAAAGATTATTTCGAGAATTCGAGCGTATGTAACTATACTGACTGTAAGTTGTACAAAGTTATGGAATATTTAAACTTTTATAAAACCTTTTAAAAAGCAAAAAGTATATGATTCGAACTGAAAAATCACTGAAATAAAATATGGTTCCAAAGATTACGAAATTTCTTTGTCGTAAAGAAAAATATAACACCTTTTTCACAAGTTTGAAGATATTTGCTTTCCAATGGATAACGTTACTGTACTACATAGGTTATCTAAGTTTCAGTAAAGTGCAAAACACAAATGTAAATTTTTTGAAATACACTGCGTTTACAGATAAATGCAGCAGATGATAAAAATTTTCTCTTAACTCAGAACTTCTTTTTTTATCTCTACATATCACTAATATCTATATAATTTTATTAGTCTCCCATGAAAATGCTGTTAATGCATTCTTTAATTCTGGTAAATCAAAAGTTTTACAAGGTCATATCTTCTTGATTTCACTCAATAAACTCCTAGCTTCTTAACATTATGCCTTCGTTACGTGAATAAATTATTTTTACAATAAAATAATTATTCATTCAACCCCAGCAAAGCAAAACAATAAAACAATGATTTGTGTGTTTTATAAAGGCGCTTTTTACAAACTTTTTACGTTTTTGCAATGGTTTCATGGTACTTGCAATAAAAGGAGTAGTCTGTTCTATAATCATTAATGCAGCGTAAAACACAAGATTGTCTCATCATTAATCAAGTCAGCCGAAAAAGTGCCGAAAGTTTGGACTAGACCTGCATGTGTAAAATGCATAAAAGCGACAAGGTAATGCTTATCTCAAAGGCCAATTTGAAATATATTGATGTAATAAGTATTGGTCATATTAATATCTACCTCAACCTGATAAACATACTCATTTCCCGAAGGGTGTAAGATTTCCAAATCGCTATTTGCCTTCTGCTTGACAAAATTTGAAAATGGCGACAAGTTTTCATGTATTAATAACCTTTATAAACCAAAAACAACGGTCTATCAGATGTCTTTTCTATTGCTTTCACTCATGCACGAAAACTGCTTGTGGCGATTATCCTTATGGACTTTCTATCATGATTGCGGCGTTTCGTAGAATATAACAAAAGAAAACCATTCTTCATACATAAAACACACTGTAAAAACTCAGTTAAGCTCTTCAATAGCATTTAATTCACAACGATGTCAAACATATTATGCGGTATGAAATTTACCTGAACTTAAAAAGATTAAATAACAGCACAAACAAGTTGAAATCTATTTTGTACGTTTTGTTTATTATTACAATATTAACGAAAGAAAAAGAGACGTTCTACAATAGCAGGGAGTACATGCAACAAATTAAATTTAAAAATTCTTTTCATGAACGACCAGATTCTTTCATTTACGGCAACAAATGTCGTTGATCGATAATTTGTAACAAGTAATCTAGTAATAATTCATTGCGTGAGCATATCAAGGATAGACCGCCGCACCATTTTATTATATAACCTGCAAATTCATTTAAACTCAAACAGCATGCAGTTGGCGTGCCATTTTATAATTTTAGATCTCATTATAAATAGCGTTAAAAAGTGTTTAATTTAACAATAGGAAATTGGCGAAAGCAGTTTTTCACTCTTTCAATTTTTAAGAAAAATGAAAACGCCTGAAAATATGAAATAAATAATTAACATTATTTCTAAAGCTAAATTTAGTTGGTAAGCATTCGTTGTAACCGGCTTTGCTTCAAGAATACTTTGATTGGAAGAATTTTAGAAGAGATCGACATAAATAAATAAAAGACCAACATTCGTGTGGATAATTTCTCACGATTGACTCAAGCTCTTCGTAAAATGGGACAAAATAAATTTCAAAATACTTGTCTTTGATTCCACAGACAAATGTAACAACAAATAAAAGATAAAGGCCACTTACAATCCTTGAAATGTTCTATCGCTGGCCAATGCGTATTTGTCTTCACATCATTACGTCATAAATGAAATATTTGCAGCTAACACGTGACATTCGTCATTCATTACGTTAGTGACGTTAGGAAGAACTATTATAATCTAAACTACACTTGCCTATTGGTCACGAGCTATATACATGCGACTTACTAAATAACGATGGTGTTTTATTGCGCAAAACAAATTTTGCGTTTGATATTTGTTCCAAAAGCAGCATTATTTAAAAAATGTTAGAAAAAGACTGAACTGGCTCAATTTGTATACCTAAATATTGAAAAATACATTTCCAAGATTATTTCATTTCAATGATTATGGGTCGTGAACTCGGTAAAAAAGAAATTTAGCACGAAGCATGACAAATTCATGTTTTTGTTAACCCGTTGTAGCCACCTGCTTCGTTTTTGGAGAGTTGACATAGAAACAAGAACTAATCTACATCTTACTGACAGCCGAGTCCGACTGTCTTTGTGCATTAACTAAAATCCTTCAAATGGTCGTTATGGTCACTACGTTTACTATCATCTGTCTTATAAATGAAGAAATTCGTTTGTTGGGTAACACATTAGGAACACACCTTAAATGATCTGACTCTTCAATCTTGTGACGTTTATTTCACGAGGTTTGTAACAAAGCAAAATGTCTATGACTATAAATAAGGATAATTGCAAATAAAGTCAAGTCAATAAATTAGTCTTTTTGATATTGTATGACACACGACAACTACCAATTATAATCATATTTGAATATTTAAGGGAAGAAATTTGTCTTAGTTATTTTTAAAATAATGAAGACCCAACCTAATTACGTTTCTTATCTAAACTTTCTCAAGCTGTGCACAAGTTAATTATTAATAATGCTTAGGTTAAATTTTCTAGTATGCGCATATCGTATACGTCATAACAAAATTTTAGTTTTTACCATCCATAGAAATTAGTTAACTATGAACTAACTGTTTTTAGAATCTAGGATTTCTAGGTAGAAATTAGACCTATCCGCCTGACTAATTTGATCTCATTTAAACATATTTGACAAGTTGCAAGTAATATGAGCTGCTATACCGCTTGTTGATATATACATTAACTGCGTATGGTATGGCTGCATCCCATCTTGTGGTACGACTGCATGTTGTGTTAATGAAAGCGTCAATGAGAGAATTTTGAAAACAAAGTAGACCCACAAAAATGTTTAGTAGCTTTGTGTGTTCGTTGTTAGATTCCACCTGGGCATAAAGAGTGTCATAACAAAGAAATTCGTCGTTGCGCTGGTGAAAAATATCGTTCAGGCGACAAAAAAGATATGAAAGGTGTCATTTTTCACTATGGAACTTTTAAAATTGTTTGGGATTTGTTTGTTGTTTTGCTTGTTCTTTATACAGCGATTGAAGTACCGTTTGTTGTTGCCTTTCTTACACGGGATCATGACAAACTATCAAGTATGTTGCCTAGTTTACGTTGTTGTTTAACGAATTTGTAGATCAGGATTTGTGAAATATTGTATATCGTAATTTTGCATTGCTGTATGTTTTATCGTACTGGTCGATATCGCTTTGAGTGTGTTTTTACAAACTTTGTGTAAAATTATCTATAAAATACAGAGTGAAAATATGCGATAAAATATTTGTTTACACACACAATCCTGCTCTCACGCAGCTGTCCAGTTTGAAGATGTTTGAATTGTAGATGAAGAGTTTCTGGTTATTTTGGTCTTCTTGACATTTATGGAGAAAGTTTTTTACATACGTAAATTTTGTCTTTGTAGTGAGTTATAGTTATGTACGAACACGACACGATTTCTAGGAATTTAGGAAATTTGCAGTTGATGTTAATTAAATTTAAAGACAGAGAGTAAATGAAAAAAGCGAGAAAGTTTTGAACTTTTTTTGGAAAAGTTATCTTCCGAGTAAGACTTAAGCTTGTTTATCATTGAAAAATCGAATATACTTGAATCTGAAGGATATGGTAGGATAGAATAAATAGCATAAATTAAAGTAAGAATGAATCTCACTAATTAGGACTAATTTTAAAAGAAGTGTTTTAAATAAGTGTTTGTTCTTTTACCTTTATAGAGAAAACAGTCTTCAATAATCCTAAGTCGTTATTTTTCATTGACCTTTGTGTCGACTTGTTCTTTTTTTGTGACATCATTGTGAACTTCCGCACTACCTTCATAAGTAAAAAGGATACTTTGGTGACAGATCCTAAGAGGATAGCATTACGATATTTACAGACATACTTTATTGTTGATCTTGTTGCTGCAATACCATGGGACCTCATTGCTATTCCCCTTTAAAGGTGCGATATATTTCATGATATTTTTGTTTTTGAACGTCGTATTTACTCGTACACCACTCCATGTATACTGTCGATCATTGTTTTAATGCTTCTGTTGTGAAGATACATGAAAATGATGAAATACATTATTTTGAATTGCTATTTTATTATTTACTTCGCCAACAGGACAAAGTAGACTATATATAACGGTGAAATCACATTCATGTACACATTAACAAGATTCATTGATAATTTCTTTATATTTCATTTTAGAGCCCGACAGCGATAAGTCTCCTTAAAACCGTTCGTTTGTTACGTCTGTTCCATGCAGCGCGAAAACTGGACCAGAATTACGAGAAAAGTGTCTCGTTGTTATTTTTGATGGTGTTTGTATTCACACTAGTTGCTCATTGGCTTGCTTGTATATGGTATGTTATAGGCTATAGGGAAAATAAAACTTCAGTCCCTCGTTCATGGCTTACACAGTTGTCAATTGAGACAGAAGAACCGATCAACACGACCGCTGGCTACTACGGACCTTCTTTACGAGCCCGTTATCTTACGTCATTGTACTTCACGTTGACATGTTTAACAAGTGTAGGTTTTGGCAATGTTTCAGCTAACACAGACTATGAAAAACTTTTTACGATTATCAGCATGTTAATTGGAGGTAAGGAGATAATATTTTGGATTTTACTCTAATTGTCTTAGAAGAAAACAGTTGGTTTTTTTCTTGTTTTGTACCTGAAATTAAATATCTTGGTTTTAGCGTTACTGTTTGCAGCTGTGTTTGGAAATGTTTCGGCGATTATTTATGGTCATTACTCCGGAACATTCAAGTTCAGAGAGAGAATGCAATCTGTAAAATATTTTCTTGGATTTCACAAAATTAAAGGTCCCTTGGCGCTTAAAATAAAGGACTATACTAGACACATGTGGACACAAACAAAAGGCATATCAACTATGAAGGTTTGCTAAGGAATTAAATTCAGAAAATTCAATTCAGATCAAAAATTTTAAATTGTGATTTACCGTTGTTGTTTGTCTGATAAGAGGTAATATATAGTTGAAAACATTTAAAAAAAAGACAACTCAATTTTCTCTAAACAACAGGTCATGAAACAGTTTCCAAAGAATCTTCAAGAGGAAATTAGCAGTTATCTTCACTTTAATGTGATAAAAAATTGTCCATTGTTTGAAAACGCCGAGGAAGGTTTTTTATGGACTTTGGCAACGCGTATGATAAGAATGCATCATCTTCCAAATAACATCATCATACGTCAAGCTGCTGTTGTTAATTCTATTTATTTTATCAATCGAGGAAGATTGGACGTGTGTCGTAATGGTGTTGTGGTTGGAACGCTTGGTGAGTTTGTCATTTATGACTTATAAACCCTATTAAAACAAAAGTTCATCGATGATCGTTAGGTGTGAGAAAACCTTTTTTACTGCAGTGAAACATTTTTCTTGTTTACAAATGATTTCTTCGTAAGCTTTTTCTAGTTAGCTAATATCGTTTTTCCCCTCGGTAATTGTTTGAAATGATTATACAGTTGGGTGAATTATGCCATTTTAAAAAACATGCTGACTTGATTATTAACTAAATTCCTCGATATGTCAAAATATTAGTTTCTAATGGAGAAAGATGTTTACAACACAGCTCTTGCAAAGAGAATAACGATATTAATGAACGCACATTTTAGGTGAAGGAGATGCTTTTGGAAACCTAAACGCAGTTTTTAACATGGAAACTCACAAGTCAGCGGTTATGTTGCGATGTTTATGTTGTGTTGACATTCACAGTCTTGACGTTAACGATCTTAAAGAAGTCATGAAAACCTTTCCAGAATTTAGTAGAAACCTTAAGATGAAAATGAACACGATCATAAAAGAAACAGTTCTTACAAGTCAGGTACATGTCACTTGAAACATGTTCGTAGCCAATGTATGATGAACAATACAATAAAGAAACTATGCATGTTGTTTTGTTTAGATTCTGAACTCGTGGGATGCCTTGGAAGTTGAAGAAACTTGTTTAGAACATCGCAATGTGCATGTCTTTAAAACATGGCTTGGCCGACATAAACCAAAACGAGAATGCAATCAAGACTTGGGGAATATTTTGCAAAAGAACAACAAAAACAGTTTGAGTGAGACATTCGTTTCCTTGCCTTTATGCATTCTTAACACAAGTAGCAGTTCAAGTGATGACGTCCAAAAATTATGGAGATTTGCGAATATTATAGAAAACATCAAGGAAACGCAGGTATTGCATGTGGAAACACGGTCGAATGGTGATTTAAATGACAGTAAAAGAATGGGAAATTTGGAGGAAAAACCTTTTAGAAGTTGTAGAGAAGGGACGTCAAATATTGAGCACAGTAGCCCTAACTATGAGGATGACGGTAGACATGGTAATCAAAAAATTACAGACATCTTCAAACATGACGATAACGAATCTGAGTCCATAGGTTTAAGTATGAATCATTCATCTGAATGCGAATTTTACGAAACGCCACACGAAAATGACGAAAAACACAAATTGAACAAAATTGAAACGACAATTCATCACATGAACAAGAAATTAATATCCCTTGAAAAGAAAATGGATACAATACTTGATTTTCTCGAGCTACAACAGAAACGTGACGCAAATGTTAACGATGCATGAATTATAAGAAGCTGGAAAGGAAAATTGTTGTGATTTTCAAAAACCAATATGCCTAAACTTCCAAAAACTTTCATGTACTTCTAGTCAAAAAGACAGACGAGGTAAGAAACAAGACTGGTGGACATTATTGACACTTGCGAAAATCTAGTTTGTAAACAAGTTATATTTATACCTTAAAATAGTTCATAAACATCCTAATTAAAAACTATATTTAATTTGCATTTCGTTGTTGCCTCTGGTACCTAATGTGGCATGACCTCGTACAGAGCGCACACGAAACAGCGTAAGTTCTAATTTAGGCTAAATAATTAAATATGTCATATACAATCATCACATTGATCATTATTTACTTTGATCGTATAAAATCAAAACATTCAAGAGAAATTAAACATGTTTTTACAGCTTCTACATTGTTTCATTCCTGATGTTTGTTACTGAACATGGTTTACGATGACAAATAATATCGAAGTCACTTTCAACCTGAATATGATCCTGCAATAATTTATGATAAAAAATAAAATGAATTTTATGCTGAGCAATCATAAATTAACGTATTGCACTACAGACCTTTCCAATGGCTGAATAGCCATTTTTTACCATGATGTTTTTGGGAATCGGCAGTCTAAAACCTTTCTCCATTTTACCTAAAACATACAACATACTTTCGTTAGTTGTCAAAACAATGATAAATGGGATGTGTTCATTTAGATGAAAATGTATTTTCTTGTATGATCGTTATTAAATATTTAAGAAAATGTTCACCTATCATGTTTGAATTCACACTAATGAAATTACGTTCATAACGATACTTTATGTTACTGTTTTGTATGAGGCATTCAAAATCTATACTTGTAGTAAATGTAACTTATCACAACATGTTGAAATAATTGATGTACAGATAAACAAAATATTGGACTTAAACTGTGTAACGGCGTTATTCTTCGTCATTCAAATGTCAAAAAACATTTACAGCACAAATTGCACATTTTAAACACTTCACTCATGTGATATTTAGGTTTCATTAACGTGATATGTAAGATTTACTCACGTGATGTAGGATTTACTCACGTGATGTGTAGGATTTACTCACGTGATGTGTAGGATTTACTCACGTGATATGTAGGATTTACTCACGTGATATGTAGGATTTACTCACGTGATGTGTAGGATTTACTCACATGATGTGTAGGATTTACTCACGTGATATATAGGCATAATAAAGAACTTCGGACAAAATATTAATCGTTACTTTTAAGGGCAGCACCTTGAAAGAAAAAAAGTAATTTACTGCACAGAATAACTACATTATTTGACAAAGCTAAGAAAAGTTGAGATTTGTTAGTTATAATGAAATCACGAATAATTTATGACAAATCGTTGCTTTAATAAAAGTTCTCGTATAAAATATCAAAAGAAATGTTCGGCAGAAAAGAGATTGAGCAAAAGTTTCCACTTGAGAATACAATTAAATTTAACAATTCAAAAATCATAAACAATTATAGGTATAAACATACATTAAAGCTACCGATGTTACTTTCATCTAACACAACATTAGTCCTAGACATAACATAACACATCGTTAATTTTAACTATACGTATGCAAAACACTGTTATAAACATAAAAAACAACTTTTTCACCAACCCTGCACGAGACACCTTAAGACCAACGTAAGAATGTTTATCTTTTTCATCATAGTAGATCAATACATCGTCAATTTTCGCAATGTCAACCTGCAAAAAGAAAATATGAATTAAAGGTAAATCCACATTCGAGTTAATCGAGTATGCTAACAGCATGTGTAAAGCAAAATTTAGGTCAGCAGCTTTGCTAATGCTATATTTACCAATCCAAGTGTAAAGCAATTGATGAGCCTATTGTTATCGATCACATAAAATGTCATCTTTCCAAACACTTTAACATTGCCATTGCCAACATTGAGAGATATCTTACGCGGTGACGATGTTAAATAACTAACGGCCATTTCTTTATTGCGATAACGAATAAACAACTGTTGAAAATAATATATTTTTAGTTATTGTTACGAGTCAGGAGTGTCATGAGCGAAGTTTGACGTTTCATATTCATGAATATCGAGAAGATAGCTTGCAAAGTTTTTACATTGAATCATAAATTATACCTGTGGTACAGTTAACATAAAGTTGTTCGTATTCAGTCTTACAGGAATACCCTCAGGTATCTATAACAAGATCAAAACTTTTCAAACTCGTTAGACATTTAAATGATCAAGCAGATATTGAAAACCAGAGATTTCCTTACGTCATGATTGTAGAACATTAAGCGCTTGGATGGAGTTTGGTGTAGAGCAAAAAACAATGTATTGATTGTGTAAGCTGTGATCCACGTATACAACATTTTAGAAACTTTATTTTTAATGTCAGGAAGATCCGTGGGTTCATATGGTGATCTTTTGGGATAATTTTTGTTAATAAATTCACCCTAAAAAACAACAACAAAGGAATCACTTCCGCGAAGTTGACATTTGAGCATGAAATTGGAACTTTTTGTAAAAGTCGCCATGCACCAAATTTGTGATTTATCATAAAACAAGATTTCCGCGTCTTTCATAGCTTAATTATTCTTAAAACTTCAAAGTACCTTAAATTGAAATTCAACTGCATTGGAAAGAAAACGCAGAGGACGAGTTAAATTGTAGTTGATTTTCAAAGTTATGTTTCCTATATTCGTTTCATCTTAAAAATATAAACCAAACCATGAATATATGCATAATCATATAGAACATGAAAAGATTGAGTTAGATTAATAAAACCATAATGTGGACGTTAAAGAACAATCAATAATGTACGAACAACTCCACATTGCCAATGATCACGAGTTAAACACACACGTGAGTTTTGCGAGCTCAACATAAACACAAATTTATGAAATAATAAAAGACGATGTGTACAATAGTTAAGTTCTCGTTTAATTCAACGTAAAGATTTACCTCTTAAATACGTACTTTTGTTAAACAACTTTCAGAGCGATCCAAGTAATATTTTATGTTATGAATTCACTGCAAATGTGAACTCAATATTATTTAAGATTTAAAATCATACATGCATATATTATCGTAACGTCATCCAATGTTTTACAACAAAATTTTATTCGCTATAATTTTTAAAATTAATGCATTAACAGAAGTTTTTATTCTTCTTCATCCAAGGAAAAAATCTGGATTGAATATTGTATATTTGTAATTACGAAGCAACTTAGACGATTAAATGACATTTCTAATTATTATATTTTTTATTGTATGATAATTTTAGTTGCATTTCTGTATCATATATTATAGAAATATGGCTATACCGCCGAGTTTGTTGGTGAAACAATATACGTTCTCTCGTTTGCTATAACTTTATCAAGTTAAAAGTATCTTTATCGTTGTTTCGCGAAACTGAAACTCAAATCTCAAAGACATTTATCATTTTTTTAATGTAAAGTATGTTTCTCATGGGTTGGAAGGAATCGTCATATGTTTTACTATATTGTTAAAAACACCTGGAATTGTTCGCAGTCGATTATTTATTTGTTCGTTGATTGTCCTAACCACATTGGGACATATCTGTGAAAAAAACAAATGTTGCAAAAATACGTAAGAACGACAACGACCATAGTTGCTGTATCAGTAAAAAAAGTTTATTTCTCTTTGTTCTGTGCTGGAAATGACGTTTTTACAAGGTGATTGGTATTTTATAAAAATGATTCTGACTATTTCACAATTGAATTCTATATACCTAAAGAAAACAGCCATCTGCCAGTAAAATAGCTAAGATATATTATAAATTGAAAACCAACTCTTCCATTATCATACAATCATGCGTATAGTTTCCATTTGTATGAAATGAACAACGAAGCTTCATAAACTCACCATTTTTGATATGTGTTCCTTTAGAGAATATTTGATAAACGAAAAGAAAAAGTTGTACAAAACGCTGAAAAAAGGACGAAGACAAACCATGATAGCTACTTGCATACACATAAATTTAGACTGTCTAAATTTTTACTTCTAAAATACAAGTTTAAATGGTCATGAAGTAAAGAAGTCATGTCACATTCGTTACCGCAAAATTATGAGCGAACAGACCTTGCTCCGCCGTGAAAAACTATGTCAAGATTTCCAATATTAACATGACAATCTTTAGCACTTAGAGATGATTCTAGCTCACTCCTGCTATCTATACAATGAAGAAATTAAAGATATTAATTACGAATCGGTCGTTTTCTCAAAAAATCTATGAAATAGTGTTGCGCTTGAGTAACTTTACCATTTGTATAACACAGTTATGTAACAAATTTGATCATACAAAAAAAAGAGTGAACAAAAATAAAAAACTAAGTTGCAATGAGCAAAACTATTCCTGTAAGTTTAAATCAACAGTCTTTAACCAATATACTTACTTGAACCAATAACAACATTAATAGATAAATCTTTAGTTAAAACAGTAGCAGAGCCATGATCATTAACAAAAGGCCTATAAAATGATATTTTATAGACCAATCATCCGACCAAAAATTTCATCACTTACACTTATTTCATAGATGTTTTAAAATGGTTAAAAACTCACCACTCGATAACCTTATAACTCCATAACAAAAGTACTTTTAGTTGTATTTCTTTTCCTTCTAAAAATACTCCTCTATCTTTATAAACTAATACTCGTGACTTTGGTATCTTGACTTCAGACAAAGTTATGCTAGGGTAAAAGATCACCCAGAAATTGTAACGAACAAGAACTATGTTGTATGAAAGCATGCAAGTCACATTCCAAAATTAAAGAGAAGCAACTTACTTCTTTAAGTTATAACTTAGATCACCAAGAATAAGGTTTGCCTCTCCAGATATTTCTGGTAAAGACAAGTTCTCAAGCCTCTTCAAGATAACAGGAACAGCAATTTTTCTAACTGAAATCATCAATCACATTTTTTGTTATTATTAAAATAAATCTTCAATAAACTTGTCAGAATATGTCACACAACAAGACACAACATGCACAACAAGTCAGAACATGTCACAACAAGACACAAGATGCACAACAAGTCAGAACATGTCACACAACAAGACACAACATGCACAACAAGTCAGAACATGTCACACAACAAGACACAACATGCACAACAAGTCAGAACATGTCACACAACAAGACACAATATGCACAACAAGTCAGAACATGTCACACAACAAGACACAAGATGCACAACAAGCTAGAACATGTCACACAACAAGACACAACATGCACAACAAGTCAGAACATGTCACACAGCAAGACACAACATGCACAACAAGTCAGAACACGTCACTCAACAAGTCACAAGATGCACAACAAGTCAGAACATGTCACACAACAAGATACAATATGCACAACAAGTCAGAACATGTCACACAACAAGACACAACATGCACAACAAGTCAGAACATGTCACACAACAAGACACAAGATGCACAACAAGTCAGAACATGTCACACAACAAGACACAAGATGCACAACAAGTCAGAACATATCCCACAACAAGTCACAAGATGCACAACAAGTCAGAACATGTCACACAACAAGACACAAGATGCACAACAAGTCAGAACATGTCCCACAACAAGTCACAAGATGCACAACAAGTCAGAACATGTCACACAACAAGACACAAGATGCACAACAAGCTAGAACATGTCCCACAAGTCACAAGATGCACAACAAGTCAGAACATGTCACACAACAACTCACAACATGAACAGCAAATCAAAACAACCCTTATTCCTAACTGCAATAGCACAGTTTCTACATATCTTCCACTGAAAGAATATGTTAAACTATTCAAGTCAAATATTTTGTGGAATTCACTATTAGAGGTTATTATATAAAGTTTTACGTAAGTTTGTGCATATGTTGACATCAGCATGTTTACAAGAAGTGAGTTGTCCCAGAGCGGAATGTCTAAGGATTATACTAATAATCCTTTCAATAAATTCATTTTTAACTCGACTAACTACTACGTACAGCCACCAAACTATCCCTACAACTTTAAGTCTTTGATCGGAATAATTCTCCTTCTTTAACAATAAAATAAAACAGTGCTATTGAAATTATATAATTGTAGACATGGTTTTGTGGTTTAATTGTCTTACCAAAATCAAGCCCTCTCGTTGTTAATAATGTTCGAACTCCAGGTCTATCATTTAATGTTGATGTTGTTTCTGTTAAAAATACGAAACATTTAACTATAAATAAAACACAAAAAGATCTGGAATGAAACATCGTTAACAAAAGATAAATGTACTGCCAGATTACGGATGAATGATATAAAATGCATGAATGAATATGAAAATGAATCCATTGAAAGGGTTAAAATTTGGGTGGAATCATAGAACTGTGGACGATCCCAAACAGGCATGTTCACACCAGTGAGCCCTATATATATGTATAATCCTTAAAAATAGGATTTTCTAAAGGTTTCAAGGATATTTTTAAGGATGTTTTTATACTTTAAATTAATATACACTTAATAATATTTAATTTTTCTTTACATGTACAACGTTGACAAACTTGAAAACAGCACTAAAGGAGGAAAAATCATGAAAAAACACTTTTTGAACCTATGTGATAACGTCTAGTAGTAATTTTTACAAATTTAAGGAATCTAACGGAAATTTGAGGAATTATTAAGCATTTTCTAAGGAACTAGGAAATTTGAGAGCACTGTGGAGAATGTTGTTTATAAATCCTTGACGACAATCACACCGAAACAACCAAATGTCAAAGGTTTTACTGAAAATTAATGAAAATCTTGTAATCGATCCACCAAGACTCTATTTTGCACTTGAAGTCGTTTTTATGTAGCGCAGATTAAAGTGTAAACTTGATATGCCTGAAAAGACTGTAAACGTAAGTTTCTGTTTTATAGATGACTTGCTTTGTTAGGTTAGGCTTGTTTACGTTTTACTGGCAGGCAATTTAACTCCAAGAGAGGTTGACCATTGTTGCTAGTGTTGTTCAAAACCACTCGACCAAATCAGCCTGCCAGCAACATGTAAACAAGGCAAGTCATTTATTGTATATATGTTAACAAAAACAATTTGGGGCTTATACTGCTGCGTGTTAATAAATAAAATAACAACGAGTTTCATACCTAAATATTGTTTCCATCCACTGAGTACATAAAAATGAACAAGAAAAAGGTAGTTCCATTATTAAATGTTCATCCAGTTACTGATAGTGATTATTGAGTATGTATAACATTATTAAGGTACATCTCAGTATTTAATGGGATTTTATAAGGATACATAAAAATATTTTGGTATCCTTATTTATACATTTTGTTAACATCCACCATCAGAGACTAATGAGACATAAAATCTGTACACCTTACTAACTTTAGGCACTTTTACCAAAATACCATGACAAGAGCTTTTTGTTGTTTAGTTTGTATTAATTAAACTACTTAGTACAAATTAAAAAATTGTTCAGATCACTGCTGATTAATGGCTTGTTCAACAATATACATCCATTCCTAGAATGAAAATGTTCGAGTTGTTGTTAGATGTCGTCCATTAAGTAAAAAGGAACAAGCAGGTGGTAGTAAAGAGGTTGTTTTTGTTGATGAAAGAACTGGAACACTAAGTATACAGAATGAAAGTTCTAGACCAGGAGAACCAACTAAAAAAGACTTTTCATTTGATCGAGTATTTGCTCCTGGTTGTAAACAAGTTGATGTTTACAATGATGCTGCACGTCCCATTGTTGAAAGTGTACTTGAAGGCTATAATGGTAATATAATTTATGTATAATGAAAATAATTAATATATTTGTAGTTATAAAATGTTTCAGATTTTTTGCTTTTCAAGTTATTATGATAGAATTTATGAAAACATTAAATTCTGTGAAATTAGAGAATGCAACATGAAATAGTTATACTTTTGAACTATGTGGAATTTTAAATATTCTTTCTCTTTTGTATGTCTTGCATTTTATATATTTTTCATGTTTGGTATGTCTTGCATTTTACACATTTTTCATCTATTGTATGTCTTGCATTTTACATATTTTAAAGATTTATTCCATGTGTGAAAAACAAATGCATCCAACTTTTTAACACAAAAAAAAATGTAACTCATAAAATCTAATCATTTCTCATGTTTATGATTTTATAGGGACAATATTTGCATATGGTCAAACTGGAACTGGCAAAACATTCACAATGGAAGGTGTACGTTCAACTCCTGAGCTTCGAGGAATAACACCAAATTCTTTTGCTCATATTTTTGGACATATTGCTAAAATGGCTGGTGATGTTAGGTATTTTACTTTACATCATGACTAATGTAGTAATTGAAATTTCTAGATTTCTTTTTATATTTGAATTTCTTATGTAGGTTTCTTGTTCGTGTTTCATACTTGGAAATATACAATGAAAGTGTCCGAGATCTACTAGGAAAGGATCAGACAACTCAACTTGAGGTTGTGTAAAGTTGTAAACATTTTGTAGTTTTTATTTAATTTTGAATGATATAATTTTATGTTGTTGCAAAGTGTTTTATTTTATAAGGTATGTACCTTAATATTGCTTGTATTGTGTCATTTATTCTGGCTGGTTTCTGCACTGAATTGTCGGAGATTGAACTTCCTTAAAATACAACATAGGTGAAAGAGAGACCAGATATTGGTGTTTATGTGAAAGATTTATCTGCTTATGTTGTGAACAATGCAGATGATATGGAAAAGACTATGACATTGGGAAATAAAAATCGTAAGGTTCTAAGATCACCATGAGATGTTCATTTTACAAACTTTTTTAATGGTAAATTTCAGTTGAAGTTTATTTGACATGAAGGTTCTGTTGGTGCAACAAATATGAATGAACATTCTTCTCGTTCCCATGCGATATACACCATTACAATTGAACGTAGTGAGAAAGGAGTTGATGGTCAACAACATGTTCGTATGGGAAAACTTCATATGGTTGATCTTGCAGTAAGTTGACTTTCATAGTTTTTTTGTTAAATTTTATGGGGTGCAATCTTCAGATCTTGATGGTCAACACTTATATAAACTACGTGTACGAAAACTTCCTATGGTTGATTTAATAATAAGTTAATGCGTAAAGCTTTGTTTTATGGCATGTTTAAGCTCTTGATGATCAACAACATGTTTGTTTGGGATAACTTTGTATTTTACAATTGAAGTGAATGCAAAAACATCAATCAATCAACTGATCTTCTTAACTATTGTTCAAAATCTTTAATTGATATGTTGCTATTACGTATTTTTAGGGTTCGGAACGTCAATCAAAGACTGGTGCTACAGGTCAGAGATTAAAAGAAGCAACAAAAATCAACTTATCATTAGCAACTCTTGGTAATGTTATATCTGCTTTGGTGGACGGAAAAAGCACTCATATTCCTTACAGAAATTCAAAACTCACTCGTCTTCTTCAGGATTCTCTCGGAGGGAATTCCAAGACTGTTATGGTTTGTTTTTTTGAATTCTATCTATTTGAAACAGTCTTTGTTATCTTTCTCGTGAAAATCAACGTTATAAGGAAAGCAATTTATCTTAACTTATTTCAAGTGGTTTGCTGTTGAACATACAAAGCTTTTTTTGAAGTACATAGAAAAGAGTAGGGAATGTAGACGCTTATCTATAACGTGTTCATATGCGGCAAAGAAAATACCCAAAACTTTCGTATTTCTATTCTGGGAATACTATATATTAAGGCATGGTTTTAAAGTCATGTTATGTTTTTTCATAGATAGCAAATATTGGTCCTGCAGGTTATAATTTTGACGAAACCATTAGTACCTTGAGGTGGGTTTTATGAGCTAACTTTTTAATCGAATACTTACGAAATACTATAGTGACTTTTTAAAAATGCTCAATTTTTCCTATAAAAGTTCTAACAGTTAAAGGATGTTTTCAAAAAGTGAAAATTATTAATTTTAATTTCCTAAGATACGCGAACCGTGCGAAAAATATAAAAAACAAAGCAACCATAAACGAAGACCCTAAAGACGCTTTACTTAGAGAATTTCAATCTGAAATTGAAAAACTAAAACGACAGTTGTCGGATGGTAAGAAGATTTATTCTAGTCTATTGTTAGCTGATAGCTTTCAAGTGTCTATGATCTGATGTTATTTTATCTTTAAGGTGGGGAGATTTTCGGGTCTGATGAAGAAGAAGACGAAACTGGTGGAGATAAACGCAAAAAGAAAAAAGGTTTTGATCTCGTAGAAATTTAATATAAAAAAGCAAACGTGATCAAAAATGTTGCTGCTTCATTTGGTTAAGTTTTATTGAATTAATGAAACTGAAATCCGTGAAATACTTTGACCTGTTGTGTAGGTCGTCGTTGTTTATCTCCTGGTAAAGTGGCTGAATTGAAGTTGAAAATTGAAGCAGAGAAAAAAGCTTTAGTTCAGAAAAATGACATGGAAGAGGAAGAGAAAAATAAAGCAGCTAAAGAATTAGAAAAAAGAGAAGAAGATCTTGTGAAAGCTGAGTTAGTTTTTTGTTTCCTGTTCCATTTTTAGGATTACATAAACATCACTATTGTAAAATCAAACAAATTTCTCTTCAAATAAAGGAATGAAATGATAATGTTATCGCCCTGGTTTGTATTGTAGAGAACAACATAAGAAATTACAAGAAAAATTAAAGGCAGTCGAAGGAAAAATCATTGTTGGTGGAGTCAATCTGGTAGATGGTTTTATGTTTTTATTTCAATTTTAAAACATCACTGCACGTATAAGTAAAGTCGTAATGAAACATTTAGATTTAAGCCAGGACTGAAATTTCATTCTAGAATGACAAGCAAAGTTAATAAGGCCTTAGTGCTATGTTGCGATCATTAATTCAGACAATTTGGCCGAGATGTTTTAGGGTTGACTTAAATAAATTCTTTCTAATCGGCCTGTAAAAACTCGTTCAGTTAGAAAAAGCCCAGGAACAAGAAAGATTGTTGGAGGAATCTGCTCAAGAACTTGCGAAGAGGCGAGCTAGAGAGCAAGAACTTCAACAGAAAATCATGGAGAAAGAAGTAAGATTTTTCTTTGACATTAAACCTGTAAACAGAAGTAAAAAGAATTCAATTTTAGTTTTCTAAACAAAGAATCATAGGAATATTTCGTGATTTATTTATTTTAATCCTTTGACTTCAGCAAGAGAGGATTGATATTGAAGAGAAATATGCATCGTTACAAGAAGCAGCGGCTGGAAAAACTAAAAAGTTGAAAAAAGTTTGGAGCATGTTGATGACTGCCAACTCAGAGGTATTTTGTTCCACATAGCATAACTTGGTTTCTGACTAAGCGAGCAGTTGGAGTTTGTTTTATATTGCTTTCCAACACTTAACAGTTACTGCTTCATGAAGAGTAGAGGATTTAGCTATAATTTATTTGTGAAATACTTTAAGATGACACGTTGTGATATTGTTGTGTTGTTCTTGTTTTTTATCATAGATGTCAGACATGAAACAAGAACATCAACGAGAAATTGAAGGTCTTTTAGATAACATACGCGAACTTAACAAAGAATTCAGACTTCAGTGTATGGTTATCGATAACTTTATTCCACAAGAATATCAGGTGAATTGAAGTAACTTTTTTAGCAACAACAAACTTTTCTCTTGATCAACAATGTTTGTGATGAAGGATCGTTGAAGGATGAATTGACGCATATTTGTAATACACGCCTGCTGTAATCTATATAATCTGTACAAAACAATGGATCCCAAAGGAAATGAACCCAGCATATCTGAATGTTGCACCACACCCCACCCCACCCCTCCCCCTCCCATCTTCCTACATCTTTGACTCAAATAAATTTATTTCAAATAAACGTTTTCTATTCGTACCTATTGAATTCTTTTTAGTCATAGTAATTTTTTTCTCTTGTAAAGCAATTGATTGAACAGAATGCAACGTGGCAAGAAGACATTGGTGAATGGCAATTAGTGAGAATTTTTTTTTGAATTCTGTTTCAACGTGGTTTAAATTTAGTTTTAGACCGTTGTAATTTGCTCTTATTTACAAAATTTACATATTTACGTCTTACTCACTTCTTGACGTTGTACTTGTATATGTAGTTTTTATATATTCTTTATTTCAATTTTTGACATTTTTCATTTTATTTTAGCGTTTTGTTGCATACACAGGCAACAACATGAGAAAAGCAAGTCCTAGCCCAGATCCCAGAGATAGAAACAAAGAGGTTCATTTCGTTTATAAAAGTTATCGCATGGAAAAAAATAGATGTAGTATTTTCATCGTTGGATGAATGATACAAAGAGCGCACATCTCTCTCTTTGTCTTTCTGTGATAAAGTTTATTTGTTCCAGCTGTAATTATCCTACAGCTTGCTGTATTAATCTCGTCATTAATCATTGATGCAGTCACCAGTTTAATGTTACTCGTCATTAATCATTGATGCAGTTACCAGTTTAATGTTACTTGTCATTAATCATTGATGCAGTTACCAGTTTAATGTTACTCGTCATCAATCATTTATGCAGTTACCAGTTTAATGTTACTCGTCATTAATCATTTATGCAGTTACCAGTTTAATGTTACTCGTCATTAATCATTGATGCAGTCACCAGTTTAATGTTACTCGTCATTAATCATTGATGCAGTTACCAGTTTAATGTTACTCGTCATTAATCATTGATGCAGTCACCAGTTTAATGTTACTCGTCATTAATCATTGATGCAGTTACCAGTTTAATGTTACTCGTCATTAATCATTAATGCAGTTACCAGTTTAATGGTACTCGTCATTAATCATTTATGCAGTTACCAGTTTAATGTTACTCGTCATTAATCATTGATGCAGTCACCAGTTTAATGTTACTCGTCATTAATCATTGATGCAGTTACCAGTTTAATGTTACTCGTCATTAATCATTGATGCAGTCACCAGTTTAATGTTACTCGTCATTAATCATTGATGCAGTTACCAGTTTAATGTTACTCGTCATTAATCATTGATGCAGTTACCAGTTTAATGTTACTCGTCATTAATCATTGATGCAGTTACCAGTTTAATGTTACTCGTCATTAATCATTTATGCAGTTACCAGTTTAATGTTACTCGTCATTAATCATTGATGCAGTTACCAGTTTAATGTTACTCGTCATTAATCATTGATGCAGTCACCAGTTTAATGTTACTTGTCATTAATCATTGATGCAGTTACCAGTTTAATGTTACTATTCTTTCTGTTCTCTAGTTTACTGAAGCAGATATTTCTAATGTATACCTGACATACTCACCTCCAGGATATGATGGTATTTCTGGTGAACCTCTTCGACCAAAGACCGCAAGGCTAAAATCCTCTCGACCAAAAACAGCAAAAAAGTACGGTTTTATGTAAAATATGCTGATCAGAGTTGAGTCAATAGTTGACCTACAAGGGTTAATGAGCGACACATTGAAAGCTCAAGCTAAACACTTCGTGTAAAGCTGAAAGATTTCTTTTCACAGAAGAGTTGATTTATTCATAACTGATGAGCTTTGGGGGGTACATGAGGATTGTAGGAAATCCTTAGTTTTTTGGGGGTGAGATATGTGCCCCTGAAAGAACCTTTGCAAAAATGTTGATAACTTCTGGTTTTGCATTGCACTTTGCTGGGAAGGCAACATGATTTTGTGCTAAGTGTTTATTATTTTCAGAAAATCCAAAGCAAATGAGAGCAGTGAGGATTTGAGCAAAAACAGTCAAAAGAAGACTGTTCAAAACCAGTATCCTGAGTCAAGAAAGAGTTGGAATACTAAAAAACATTTTGCATAGCAGAGCAATGAGTGTTTTCCACATTCAAAATATTATTAAATTTTTTATTTGTACATGTACGTATATGAAAATTCTATCCTAATTTATTCAGTTTTGCTATTTCAAGATATGCACTTATTTAAGTATCAAATTTTACATTATGTGTATCACCGTGTTTCAAAAATAAACATTGTATGTAGCATAATTTAAATTCTATGATGTCAATTTGAAGTATCTCATTTTTTCCACACACATTTAATTATCAACTGCTTTTCTAGAAATAACCCACACTTTTCAGCAAAATTTAAAGCGTCTTCTAACAGTGTTCTGTCTGAATTGTCAAAATTTCTTTTACATGAAGTAAGAATTTTTATAAGATTGAATCGACATTCATTGTCGCTGGTTAGAGAAAAGACTGTTTTTGATGAAATGATGTTTTCAGCAAATGCTTCACTTTCTTTGTCGAACATCACATGAAGAAGCACAATTGCCTTCAACATTTTGCAATGATAGATTTTGTTCATGATTCTTGAACTAGTAGAATTGAGTGATTGTGAGAAATGATCAATTACCAAATCAAGTTTCTTCTTTATTTGTAAAACAAGATTTTCACCAAAACTTGTTGGCACCTTTAAAAGGAAAGATATCAACAAATTTGCCTCCATAAAATGTAGTAGACCAGTATCTTCACAGGGTTTGTAATAATGCAATTTTTCACGTGCAATCCTTAGGCATTCTTCGGTATTTCCAAGTGCAGAATCATAAAGATGACAAAATGAAAGATAAACATAAGCACGACCAATCAATATGTTTCTGTTACTACTATCAGATGATATTGTCTGCAGTGCCTGCTTTACCAATGATTTTGAAGATGTAAAATCACCCAAATGATAAAAGGCTTTGCTTTGTTCAAGGAAGATACAGGCCTTCAGATCTGATTTTCCACTTTGTAGAGTAGACAAAATTTCATTTCCCAAAGTAATACATGTTTTCCAATCACATTTGCTTTGCATCTCAATATGCAGATTTATAACACGAATATATTCATAATCAGAATACAACCTGCAAACATATAATTTCTTGCTGGCATTTTCTACAATGGAAATTCTTTGAGTGGCATCAAAATTCTCAATATTTTCAATATTCAATTCCATTGTGTCTATGGTTCTATCATTGGCACATTTTAATGCAATGGTAATTTGAAATCGGCATGAGCTTCCAAAAAATCGAAACCAAAAACCAAATGAATCGCGTTGGATATCTTTATACTTTGCATAATTTAAAGGGTGATGCAAGCAAACTTTAGACATTGAAAAGTTATCCAACAAATCATTGTTAATAGAATGCCTAGTTATGTGGCTTACACTCACATAATACCTCTCTCCATTAATCGAACTATTTTCATATTTCAAGTACTTCCAAAACTCATATCCAACTGAGATTTTTGGTTTTAGTCTTTGTTCTTCAAAAATATCTGACTTCACGCAAAACTCGACAAAACAATCTTTAGAGGATGGGAATTTTCTTCGATTTTTTCCATTTTTAACAGGTTTTGTCGGTGAGTGAATCAGAACTAAACTTGGTTTAGCTATTTTTTTTTTCATTTTTTGAGTCGTCCAACAATCCACGCATCTTTCTCGAAATTCACGAGATGACATCGCGCTGTTTCCACTTTTTGATTTTGAAATTTATTTACTTGTGCTCGTAAATCATAGTGTAGTAAGTCATAGTGTAGTATTTTGTTTAGTTTTCGTAGCTTGAATACTGTGTCTATCAAGAATGTATTGTATATCATCTAAACATGAAACTGCATATATCTCTTAAATATGCAAAATAATAAATTAAAATAATGTACATAAAAGAAAAGAAATCCTCTTTGTTTTTAAGAAGAATTCCATAGACGATAACGAACTTTATTCTCTGCGTGTACCCCACGCGTGTCTCTAGTAAATGTAAAACATGGCTGCTCAAGTTTGTAATGATACAAGTGATGCTGTAGCATTATGTCCTGAAAAAGGTCTTTATTTAAAGCCAGTAACAAAGCTTACTATTTTGGTAAGCTTACCAGAAATACGAGAAGTCGGTACTACGATATCCAATTGGGAAGTAATGGAAAAAGTTAAATCTATGGTTGCTCCAGTACAGTTCAGTGTTTTGAAAGTGGTCGAATCTTCTCTTTCAAAAATCAAGTTCGAGGCAGAAGTAGACACTAAATCACTGCTTTCTCGGACAATTTCCAAACTAGATGGAAACATGATAAAGTTGAGTGGACTTGCAGATGCTTTAAAAGTACGAGCAATTGAGGAAAAATTAAAACATCCAGTAAAACATCATTGGGAATCTTACTTTAGAGATGCAAAGAATTTGAACGAATGGAAACCAGGCGAAAGACCAGACACTATTCACATTAAAGGTTTGCCTTCGAAATGGTTTAGCTGTGAAAGATCTTGCAATAAACCAGTGAAAGAGATCATTGTTTGTGTGTTTGAAAGGTTTGGTAAGATACGATATATTGATGTTCCTTCTTTGGACCCGTATCGAATTCGTATGTCCAAGAAACAACAACCAAACTTTCAAACATTTAGTTTTGGCTCTGAGCTTCATTTCGAAGTGTACATACAATACGAGGAGTATCAGGGTTTGTTAATGCAATGAAGGGTTTGAAGGGGATGAAATTATTGCTTATGTCTGATGGAAGTAAGGCAGCCACTGCCACTATATGGTTTGATTTTGATAAAACGTGCCATTTAAGTGAAACTAACATTCTCAAAAGAAATGCGCAAAGACGGGGTTTGATTGAGAAAGATCGACTGGAAGAACTACGAAAAGCTCAAGAGAAGAAAGAGGCAGAAGAAAGAGAAAAGAAGAAAGGAGAAGAGCAGAACTAGAAACTGCTGAGTTGCTGAGAAAAATGCAAGAAAATCAACGCAAGAAAGAGGAACGAAGGAAAGTGAGGGAGGAAAGGAGACGACAAAAACGAGAAGAGAGAAAGAGACTGGAGAAGGAACGAAAACAAAGATTGAAAAAAATAGTGCTTGAAAAAGAAAGAATTTCAAAATTACGTGAAAAGCAAGCAAAAAACATTTGCGAAGATATATTTGAAAGAATAGACACAATGCTCACGGAGGAGAAGGAAGCCAGAAGGAAACGAGAGGAAGAAATTGCCATTTTGACACAAATGAAAGAAAAGAAAGAAAAATTAGAAAAACAATTAAAGCAGAAAGAAAACGAACAGAAATTGAAGAAGAAAATGGAAGAAGATGAACAGCAATTGCGTACTAAACTTTTGAAAAACCTTCAAGTTATGAGGGAAAGAAAAGCTGAATTACAGAGAGAAATATTGCGTAAACAAATCCAGGGAAAAATTAAAATGATGTCTGTTATTAAAACGAACACTTAAATTTATTGTTTTGACATTTATGACAACCTTTTACTGTTTGTTTTGTGGCGTATTGTCTTTGCGAATAAAAAATTTCATCAATGAACTATGAACTTTGTTTGAAGATTTATTTCCGCCATAAATATAGCAATATCATATCCCGTGATGAATTTAGATTAGATAATAACAATTGGAGTGTGCTATGAAAATTTATGTACAATTGCTAAGCTTTCATGAAGTGCGCGCACAAGCAAACACAGTGGGCGAAGTTTTATGGTAAGTAATATGTTCACAACCTTTCTTCACCCCCTACGATCCAAGCAATTTCCCATAATTTAATTTTGATCGTAACCTTAGCGGGATGGAAGATATTTACTTTCAAAAGATTTACAATACTTAGCAAGGCCATAATACATTTGAAACATATCGACTTAAGGAAAAACATGTGTTTCCTTGTTGAACAAAGAACAATATGTAGCATTTAAACAACACCATTTCCGGTTCTATTACTAATTTGTTACTTTAAATGAATGCTATCTTCAACAACAAATTTTATGTATTCATTTATTTCTCAACCAATAATGCAACCAAGGTGATTTTAAAGATATACAACTAAGAAAGAACTTCAATAACAATAATGCTAAAATTTATATCGATATCATTGGATTTTAGAAAAAAGTAGTAATTAATAGTTTTCAAATATGCAGTACAAAATATTTAAGGTTCATTGATTATAACTCCATTCTTTCCATTAACCAGACTTTTCTTGTTCAATTGCTATAAAAATAATAAAACGTAAAGATATTAATTTTCAAAATCATTTTCTTGAGTCACATTTCCTAAATAGATTATCGCTCTGCAGCCAAGTTATAACGATAAAGACGTCATCGTTTCGAGTTTTGGATAGGACGGAAATGAATAAACAATAAATTGCAACATGCAATGGTAACGCCCTGTCTAGAAAATAACTTATATCATTTCTGACGAAGCATCTTTTCCCTGCTTTTAGATCGTAATTATTACAAACATAAAATGCAATGAAATTTTAAGTGAGCAAGAACAAATTTCTCAGACTATCACGACTGTGCCTAGATTCTAAATTCCATCAAAAGGTGTCATATTTCAGACGTTTAAAGGGGTGAAAACAATGCTTCAATAATGTATTTATTTTACTGTTTTACTAAAGTTAACTTTATTTTGTAAAGGTCAACGCCTACGTCGTAAATTATCAAAATAGAAAAGCACTTACTTTCTTTCGTAGGTAAAGGATTCTTCTCAGCCGTTTCTGTTTTCTTTAACTTGGATTTGTCAAACTTGGTCACTTCTGATACATCAGGTTTATCACTCATAATGGCGAATATATCTAAAGAACTAAAACAGGAAAATTTGATTGACAAATGACAGTATCAAAACGTGAAATATGCGCAAGTCTCGCTAACCTTTCAGATCAAATTTGCTTTTCAACTCCTTTCGTGGCACACCGAACAGACAGTATTAACACGAAAGGAAACAATGTAAGTTTATATAATCATCTGAATAATTAATGCAGTTAAGTCCCACATGATCTCAAATTATACCAAACGGAAATCCGGATATTTTTCATTTCCATTGAAAGGATTAAAATGGAGAAATTTTAATTCTGTAATTAAGACAAATATCTCATCTTAAATCGTACAAAATCATTTAATTGACGCAAAGTACTGCAGTATTGTTTCCATGATGGATTGGTAAGTCAGCTGCATTTCACTTCCGGTAAATGCACCCATGTCATGTTGAAATGCAGTGTACCCAGAAATTGAAACATCCATAAGCATGGTTTACTTACTACTTTTCACAGTTTGATAAACTACTTTAACTTGTCAATTGCAATTTTCTTCTCGAAGTTGAAGTGATAATTATTCAAATTGAAGGGAAAGATTGGCATTGTGCTATAAATTATTCAAAATTGTGTCTGTATTGTTAATAAGAATTTAAAATTTAAACTAAATTTTAGGGATATATATATTCCTTTCATACAGACAATCAAAAAAATAGACGTCCTATATTCAAGTACTAATATATCTAGCTATAAAAAGGGCAGATAATGACATTTATTTCATTTCAAAGCGTGTATTGCGAACAAGTAAATCAATAATCCTGATTGAACTTTATATTCTTACAATATCTATCGACAGACACACGTGGGTTGTGGATTTCTTCCATTCGTCATAAGAGCTTTGATTTAATAAGAATTTACGATTTGATCCGAAGTTGAAATAACTTTCAGTTACTTCATATAGAAAAAAGCAGTGTACCAGAAAGAAAATCAAACATTAAGATTAGAATATGAATTTTTTGGCAAAGCAACAGTATAGAATATTAGTTATAATAAACATTCTGACACGTCGAATACACGATCATCATGAGTTCAAAAGCAAATCAAGTTGCGTGCGCAGACGTATTGTTGTAATCATCAACACGCGTGATTGTACAAAGAATTTATTCATATTTCAGATTCCTTCTTTGCCTTGATCAATTGCATTGATGCATTTTAATTTTGGTCATTTTTTGTTGTAGTCGAATCATGGTTATGGGTTCAGTTATCATGGACGAAGCTAGTAAGTTCTGCTAAATATTTTATCTCTCTGTTTCTACCACTTTCTTGCGACGAAGTCATTCAATATTTCTTTGTTATAAACAGTGAGTTATAAACGGCTAACTGCATGTGTTTTTTTGTTTCAATTTTATTTTTACGCATAGCTACCTTAGCTGAAATGGCACATCGCGAATATCAAGCGAGAAACTATCATCGAGCCGAACAACTGTGTATGCAACTCTGGAGAAGAGATCCCTCAAATACTGGTGTTCTGTTGCTCTTGTCTTCTATTCATTTTCAATGTAGACGAATGGACAAGTAAGATAATTGATAAGGACACAACGAAACAACAAAACAAATTTTTATCCTCAATATAGAATTTGATGTGAATATAATTGTACTATGATATAATTTAGCCTAGTTAGACTATTATGTATTTTATAAAGAAGAAAATATCATATAATTTAGATCAGCACACTTCAGTACTCTTGCCATAAAACAGAATCCTGTACTCGCTGAGGCATACTCAAATCTTGGGAATGTATACAAAGAAAGAGGACAGTTAAAGAATGCTTTGGATAACTATAGACATGCTGTGAAACTAAAGCCAGATTTTATTGATGGTTATATAAATCTTGCAGCAGCGCTTGTTGCTGCTGGTGATCTTGAAGGAGCTGTACAAGCTTATGCCACTGCACTACAATACAATCCAGTAAATGTTATAAATGTTTAGCCATCACTCTGAATTAAAGAAAATTCTTGAAAGAAATTTGAGCATGATGTGTTTCTTTTGTAGGATCTGTTCTGTGTCAGAAGTGATCTAGGTAACCTTTTGAAAGCTTTAGGGCGCCTAGAAGATGCTAAGGTACCAGTACTTTGAACCATGAAAAATTGTGTGTAATGTCTTAAAAATGTATTTTGCAGATAAATATGTGCCCCCTTAAATGCTTTGCCTTCTTTGCAAATTTCATCTTTAATGTTATGATTTATTGCAAATCAGAAATGTTTGCAAATTACAATGTTGACTGTCACTTTCTTAGCAAGTCTGTTTCTGTTGTATTTTTGCATTTATTTATCTGCAAATTTCAATATTTATTGTACAATTTTAAAGCATGTTTGGCTTGTTAGACCAGCCATTGCTTCCTTTTGTCAATTTTTCAGAAGTCTTCCAACAATGCCTGGCTACTGAATCAAAGTTTTGTAAACATAAGCAAAATGAATTGAATGAAACAAATAAACCAGAGCATTGGTGGGGTTTTCTAAAATGTCATGCATATTTTCTAAATACAAAAGTTACTGACCTCAAACTATCTCCTTTCCACATTTCTTTCTACAAGCAGCTATTATTGAGATGGTGAGTGTGTTATTACTACAGCATCGGAAGAAGATATCAACAAATCCAAAGGGATGATGAACTTGGCTGAGGACATTTTTGGCTTTTTCTTCTTGCAGCTCCCTTTCCTTTTCCGGGCCCATTTTGGTTTTCTTAAGGCAGTAAAAATGGGAACTCCTATCAGCATTTGACTTGTGTTTTTGTCTCTATAATTCAAAACATGATTGAAACAAGTCCACAATGTTGTTCCTGGAGATTTTCTCATTTTTACTGTTTATCCCCTAACCTTGGAGATGACAAAAACTGGTATTGTCAATGTTTGTCGTTTTGAAAATGTAAAATGCTGCTTGTTCTTTATGTGGCATGTGTAATGCAATCAGCAAGGCCTTGTAAATGGAATTAATTCATTTAGTTTTTACATCAATTTTTGTACCAAAACACGTTTTTAAAGATAAAAAAAGTTTCTTACCATAATGGGCCAGGTTAGTAGAGCATTACACTTTATGTGACAGTCTTACTGACATTCAAACAGAGCAAGCGGCATTGAACCCCAAGATTTAGAATTTAAGTGCGATGCTACAAAAGTAATTTTGCTGTTCTTGTATGGAAGTAAATTCTCACAACATTATTCCATACAATTATAGTAAGATTGCTTGCACATCACACTTTGATTCATAAAGTTATTTCAAAGAAACGAAAACCAATATGTTCTTTCTGTTTCCTGCTGCCTCATTTGCTTTGCTTTGCTTTGCTTTTTGTTTTGCTTTGCTTTGCTTGCTTTTGCTTGCTTTTTCTTGCTATCTGCTACATTGGTGAACAACTAGGCATGTTATCTGAAAGCAATTGAAACTCAGCCAAACTTTGCTGTTGCTTGGAGCAACCTTGGATGTGTATTTAATGCTCAAGGAGAGATATGGCTTGCCATCCATCATTTTGAAAAGGTATGTAGCTGATGCAATATCATCAATTGTTTTTACAACTTTGAGCCTTTTAAGTGCTAAGTTTTAATAAACTTTAAATAAAGGAAAGTCTGTTTTGTTTTCTAGGCTGTTCAGCTTGATCCTTCATTTCTTGATTCTTACATCAACCTTGGTAATGTGTTAAAAGAGGCAAGAATATTTGACAGGTAAAATAATCAGTTCACCATTCAGTCTTGTAAACAAGTGCTTAGTCTTTTTATCTATCTCTATTCATAGGGCTGTTGGAGCTTATCTTCGTGCATTGCAGTTAAGTCCAAACAATGCTGTTGTTCATGGCAATCTTGCTTGTGTCTATTATGAGCAAGGGTGAGTTAGTTGAATACTGAAGATCATGCAGTCAACGTGAGAATTTTTGAATAAAATTTTGTATTGTAGTCTGTCACAAAATGTTGTAGAACCTTTACCTCTAAAGCATGTTTTAAAATTTGGTTCTTAAAGCTATTTTCTTCTCTTTGATTTTTTTTATTATCTGTTATTTGAAAGTGAAATGTGTTTATCCTGTGTTGTTCTTTAATAGTCTCACAGATTTAGCTGTTGATACATACCGGAGAGCTATTGAGCTTCAGCCAAACTTTCCTGATGCATATTGTAATCTTGCCAATGCACTGAAAGAACAGGGAAAGGTGAAGTTAATACAAAACCTAAATTATTTTGGCAGTTTTATTGTCAAATACACAGAAATAAATTTAACAGACAAGGTGTTTTTACAGATTGATGAATCAGAAGAATGTTACAATGTTGCTTTGCGACTCAGTCCATCACATGCAGACAGCTTGAATAATCTTGCAAACATTAAACGTGAGCAAGGTTACATTGAAGAAGCCATCAAGTTGTACTGCAAAGCACTAGAGGTAAGTAGGGAAATATTTTACAAACTCTTTTTCTTAAATATATTTTATGTTGCAGATGAAAACATACTGAAAGTTGTTCTGTATTTATGGTTTGAATTGTTGAATGTAATGAATGTATATGTTGAATGATTTAGGTGTTTCCTGAATTTGCTGCTGCTCATTCTAATCTAGCAAGTATATTACAGCAACAAGGAAAACTGCAAGATGCTCTTTTGCATTACAAAGAAGCTATCAGGTTATGAAATTTCTCTTCTTAAATTGTTGTGTATCATTTGAACTATTTAATTTGCTTAAAACAGCTGCTTCATTGACATACATTTATTGCTAAATATGTAATTTTTATCCAGAATTCATCCAACATTTGCTGATGCATATTCTAACATGGGAAATACTCTCAAAGAAATGCAGGATATTCAAGGAGCAATTAATTGTTATAGCCGTGCCATTCAGATTAATCCTGCATTTGCTGATGCTCATAGTAATTTAGCATCAGTTCACAAAGTTAGTTTCATTCTTGTTTTCAATCATCTAGACTTTTCTTGGTTATATCAGAATTGATATGCATCTTCTTTTTAGGATGCTGGAAATATTTCAGAAGCAATCCAGTCATATAAAACTGCTTTAAAACTTAAACCAGACTTTCCGATGCCTACTGTAATTTGGCCCATTGTTTACAGGTTTGTATGTTATTTATTGAGGATTATTTTTAAGTGTATTATTCGTTTAATTCATGAAGTGCTGAAAAAGGAATTTGTTGTATTGAAATTAGATTATTTGTGATTGGAGTGATTATGAATCAAGAATGAACAAACTGATTAACATTGTGAATGATCAGTTGGAGAAAAATCGACTTCCATCAGTTCATCCCCATCATAGTATGTTGTATCCTCTAACAAGTGATGTACGAAAGCAAATTGCCAACAGGCATGGAAACCTTTGTGTTGAAAAGGTATAAACACTGGCCTGGCAAACATGAAAATATATTTATGTTGAAGAATTTGTAAATTTTACTGTAAATGCTTCCTTCAGAACCTCATTTGATTTTTCGATTTTTTATTCGACATTTATGTGGGAGCGGGGCTTATTAAATATTTTTATTGCACCAAGATAATAATGTGTATACAATATCTTTTTCATGATTTATATTATTATATTATTATAGAACTTAATGTGTCACATAAATGCTGAATAAGGTTGTCATAAGCATTAAAGTTTAATAACACTATGTTTCTTCCAAACGTTGCACTAAAGTTACTCAATTGCGGTGCAGGGTGTTGCTAAAGTAAGCATTAACAATATTTGTGTGTGTGTTTTATAGGTAGCACTTCTCAAAAAACAACCTTACATGCATCCTAAAGATTTAAAAAGCAGTGATGGTCGTTTAGTATTGGTTATGTATCCAGTGACTTTGGAAATCATCCAACATCACATCTTATGCAGAGTATTCCTGGTTTTCATGATAGATCTAATGTAGAGGTAATTACCTAACACTTTCATTTATGCTATGTTTGCAGAGACACATTTGTTATATGATAAGTTATGCAGTAACCATCCAGGGGCAGATCAATGCACATTGAGCGGGTGGTGCAGATTTTCTAAGGGGGGTGAGTCATCATCGTAGCTTACAAAAGCTATTGTGAAATTTTAGAAATGAGCGAACCTTGCTTGATGAAAGTGTTTTTACCTTTTTAAAAAAATTTTGGTAATGAATGAGTGATTTATTTCAATTTTAATTTTTCAATGAAAATGTGGTAATGTTCAATTTCAAATGTTGGTAATATATTGTACTTAACTGTCTTTAAAATGACAAGTTGTATCTTTACTTAGTCTTTCTGTAAAATTTCATAGTAGTGTTTTTATACTGTTTTATCATCTACAGTACACAATACCATTTTAAAATTTTTCTTGGGTAACCATAGATCATATTGTTGGTTGTTTAGCATACTGAAACGTTTATACATTAGGTTTTAATGAAATATTTTATTAAACACAGATCTTTTGCTACACACTAACTCCCGATGACAACACAAGTTTCTTCAAAAAGATATCAAAAGAAGCGGATCATTTTGTTGACTTATCTCAGATACCATGTCATGGGGCAGCAGCCGATCGTATAAACGCAGATGGTATTCATGTCTTGGTCAACATGAACGGTTACACTAAAGGTGCTAGGAATGAAATATTTGCACTTAAACCATCGCCAATTCAGGTAATCTATGTAATGCTATACGTGACTTACCTGCAAGAATATTTTTGCATTGTAAATTATTGATATTCTTATTAATTGTAATTATAATTTATTTAGTGTGTAAATTGTTAAATTATATAGGTTATGTGGCTTGGATATCCTGGTACAAGTGGCGCCCCATATATGGATTATATACTCACTGATCGTATAACATCACCTATTGAACACAGCAGTTCGTATTCAGAGAAATTGGCGTATATGCCAAACACATTTTTGTTGGTGATCATCGACAAATGTTCCCACATCTTATGCAACATTTGCGAACTTCCAGCGAAAATCAGAGTAATCCTCAGTCCCCGTCTTTACAACAAAAATTTAAGTTTACACCTGAAGTTGATGTTAATCTTCACGATAAAGTCGCCAAGTTAGTTGATTGGAAAAGTCGTGATTATAATGGTTGTAAAGACAGTGGAGAACGAGTTCCATCCGTATGGCCAGCAACATATCGCTCGCAATATGGTCTTCCCGAAGATTGTTTTGTCTATTGTAATTTCAATCAACTGTACAAGATTGATCCCGCGACTTTAAAAAACTGGGCTAACATACTGAAACAAGTACCAAACAGCATTTTGTGGTTGCTTCGTTTTCCTGCTGTTGGTGAACCAAATATTAAAGCACATATACAAGCTTTTGGTTTGAGTGCTGATCGTATAGTGTTTTCTTCCGTCGCCCCAAAAGAAGAACATGTACGACGTGGTCAGCTTGCAGATGTTTGTCTTGATACTCCATTATGTAATGGTCATACAACTGGTATGGATGTTCTCTGGGCTGGTTGTCCTATGGTTACATTACCCCTCGATACTCTAGCATCTCGTGTAGCATCATCTCAACTTCATGCACTTGGAGTTCCAGAACTCTCCGCTAAATCTCGCGATGACTACGAAAATATTGCGATTAAACTCGGAACTGACTGCGATTTGTGAGTAATGACTTTGTCTATTTGTAAATAAGGATGGTGTAAGTGATTTTTTTTTTTACAGCTATGGCGATATCAAGAGGCGTGTATGGAATGGCAGGTTAGAAAGTCCATTATTCAACAACAGACAATATGCTCACGATATGGAGAGAATTTACAGAAAAATGTGGGATAGATATTCCAATAATCTTGATCCTGACCATATTTTGTATTAAACTTTCAAACACGAATGTTTAAAATTGAGTGGAGGGAGGTTATTCAGAAACAGTCTCATCTTTCTCTTATCTATACGTGTTTGTTAACCCATCCTTCATCATTCTTGTTGTTTTTCGTGTGGAAAATTACGAACACCGAGGGATTTATAGACGCTCTTACTTTAACCTCAGTTACTGTATAGAAACATCTCGAGGGAAGATATTGTGAAACATTTTTTAATATAGTTAAAATGATGTTATTAGCAGTGGTTATTATGGAACAGAAACCCTATGCTTAAGAAGAATGTTGATTAGGCTTTTGCTGCTTTGTTCAGGGTATTTTTATTTTTAAACATAAGAGACTGAATTACCACTTAGCCGCTCTTGTTGCTGAAGCATATAAATTTTGTACTATAGTATATAGATGTGGGATCATGGATGATCAAATGACTCGCTCTATAATAATGTGAACTAATTTCCAAGTTGTAATTTAGAAAAAAATCATCGAAACCGTGTATGATTGGATGAACCGCTATGGAAGCATAAATTTATTAACGCCAGTCTTGGAAAGTATCTTAGATAAGTTGTAATTAAATTGTTCTTGGACTCAAGAGTTTTGTCTTTGGGATAAAATAGGCGTGTTTTTTATTTCGTAAGATGCTTTGCAAATATAATAGCATGAACCTGGAACCTTTATTACCTGCATGAAAAGTTAGCATTTCATTCATCGCCCTCTCCCCACTGTGTCCAACCCGGTTCATATGGATCGTTTGGCCAATGAATTTAATCTGAAGTTGCAATTGTGAATATGTTTTATTTGTACAAAAACGCAGTTGTGCTGTTTATTTGTTTACACATATGTTTTATTTCGTCACGTAGGAACTTTGCAGTAATCGATACCATCTCATACCATTCATACCAGGATAATTATATCGATATTAATTTCATGTTGTGATAATATATTCAAATTGCATGCAGGCTCAGTGGATGAAATTTAATGCCAAAGTCAAATTTAAATTGACAACAGGTTGTACCTTGAGTAATCCCACCTAGTACGGCTAGTATTATAATTTTTGAAAAAGATGGGCATTGTGAACCAAGTTACTGGCTTTTTTTCCACGATTCCTCCTTCAGTACAAATTATTTTCATTGTTTTATGTGTATTTGTAATTCGCAAGTTGCTCAAATCAAGAACGTCCAACATTGAGAGTGAAAACGAAGGACAATCATCTTTGCCTCCTTTGAAAAAGCGAGATTTTACTGTTGATGAACTTCTGGAATTTGATGGCCTAAAGAATGAAAGAGTATTGCTAGCTGTCTGTGGAAAAGTGTTTGATGTTTCAAAGGGCAAAAGCTTTTATGGACCTGGTAAATTTGTTTATATTTTTATAACACTCAAGATCTGCAATTTCTATGACACTCGAAGATATTGTATATTATATTTGGCTTGATACATCCAAATTCAAACTCAGCCAAATTTCCTATTTGCAAGAAAGTAAATTGAGGCTAATTTGGCTTTGAACTCAATGACATCAATCAATTAAAAATGTTTTTAGAGGTGCAAAGATTGTGGAAAAGTAAAATATTTTTAATGAGATAGGCTGAAAGGAATGCATGTCTTCTGTGCATTTCACAATACGCATTTCTAAGTTGATTATTTTCCTCTGTCCGTCCACAAGCACAATATTTGGAAAGCTATTGACAATATTTATGCTGTGAGATTTCTTGTAGGTGGTCCCTATGCAGTATTTGGTGGACATGATGCTAGCAGGGGTCTGGCAACTTTTAGTGCTGATTCAAGTGCTGTAATGGATGTGTATGATGATCTCTCAGATCTCAATAGTATGCAATTGGACTCCCTGCGAGAATGGGAAATGCAATTTATGGAGAGATATGATCATGTTGGATCATTACTAAAGCCTGGAGAAAAACCACAACAATATGAAGAATCAGAGACAGAGGAAGAAGATGACAAGAAAAAATATCAATGAATTTAAAAGGGAACTTGCTAACAAACATTTTGTTGAATTTTTCAATGTTATTCTAATAAATTTGATGAAATTTAAAGGATTTTTAACTAGTAAGAAGGAATTACAACTTTAATATTATAAATGGTGCTGCCCGGCCTTCAGAGATTTTGGAATTGATTGGTTGCACATGCATAGTTATGTTAAAAAAACATATATTTTACTTGATGTGTATATGGTTAGGGGTATTCAACATTTTCACACTCATATTAATATATTCTTGTGTGTGCACTCCTAAAAAACACTTCGTTTATTCCTCAAATTGAATACATATTGTTATTATTACTAATATTTGAAAATTGATAAAGTTTCAGGACAATGGTGATCAGTCACAATTAAATTGACAGTGACAGTTGCTTCAATAAAAAAATAAGCTATGACTTCAATAGAAAGTCGATTTAAAGTTTCATAGTTACTCAAGTTTATACAAAAAGCCTGACAGTGATTGTCCTTCTGTTTTTCTTATGAAAAACACAAGAAATAATCATTCTCTGCTTTATGCTAAAGCATAGAATCACATGACACTTGAAAACTTAAGTACCAGTACTGTAGAACTAATTTATCAGATGGGGGGGGGGGGCTTTCTTGTCAACAGTGCCCTTTTACCCACAATTACCCATTTCAAAGGTTGAAGGGGGGCTCATCCCCTCCAACCTTTGCATAAAAAAGAACTGCCACAAAATGCACACCATTCTGTCATCATGAAAAACAAACATTTCTCTGTTGTCTTAGTGTGGCAGCATTGCAACAACTAATTTGAAATCATATACCACCTATTTAGTTCACTCTCTTTAAGAAGCTAACACTCCTGATATGCAAAACATATTTCATGTATTGATGGTATTATAAAAGACCCGACACGAATATGGTAATGTTAATACACCAAAAATAACTCCATTATTATCCATTGACAATTTTATGTAGTACAAAATAAAACATACTCCGAATAAAAAGTTCATGTTTAACTCAATATGTGAGAAGGAAACAAGACAATTTTTATTTGAATAGTTATATTTCGAAATTTTTACAAATTCATGAAACCAGTTGTACTTGATACCAACCCACAGTGTCACAGGATGGTTACTTGTTGAACGTCGAAGTTGTCGACAAAGATTCAAAATGGCAGATCCTTCTTTAGGCGCGCAATTCAATATTTGTGCTTAGTTGGTATGGTACCTTTGGTGTTTAGTTCTTTTCAAAATGGCTAATTCTGTATTGTCATCGACAGTTACAACAAACGTTGACTGCACCTTAAACGAATCAACTCTGTGTTCAGATGAATCTGGTGGAGTTTTGTCGTCTTTCTCAACTTCTGCATTATCTACAACTGTTGATACATCTGATGACAGCAAGGTGATCGGACATATGATTGAGAAGAAACAACTTTTACATGATATGGATCGCTTGCGAATAGAGCTTAGTCATAAAACCTTGCAACTTGACAGCTACAAAGCTGAACTTATGAATAAAATAGATGATTTGGAAGAGAAACTTTCCGATGCGACCTATTCCAAGCAAATATTGAAAGCAAGACTTGAATCGCAACTTAAACTTAAAGAAGACGAAGCTAACGCTCAGAAAAAGAAATTAAACGATGAATTGGATGAAATAAAAAAACGTCAAAAACAGCTTGAGAAAGAAAACGCCACGCTACTTGGCAAGACTGAATGTTTTAGATCAAATCTTTTTCGCGATAATCTTACGGAAGAAGAGTACCTAGAGTTGAAGTCACGGGATGAGAATTTATTGTCATTACAAGAGTATACCTCTGTAAGTTGAGTATATTTTTCAGCAAAATGAGAATATTTTTAACTATGAACAATTGTGCATCAGTACTTGATGATGACAGCCTTTTCTGATCTCCAGCCCAACGAACACAGAGAAAGTCAGAATTTATAAATGTGGTCTGTTCAAACTACTATAACAATGATTTGAAATTTTTATAGAATGTTTTAAAACCAAAAGAATACATATAGGATTTCTGTGTGAAGTGTTTAGAATTTAAAACATATTTATTGTAATGGTCCTAACAAATCCTGAATCTACTAACAAATTTTTACCCCAAGGTATGCTAAATGTCATTAAAGAATGATTCTTTACATACAATGGCATTATTTGATTCATTTTAAACACAAATACTTTTCTCCACAATTACTTTTAGTTTACAAAAACCTGAGTTCAATTCTTTGGTTTAAGACTGGATTGCTTCTTGGAACAAACATATCATAACTTTGTTAGATAGTTTTAATGGTAAAGTTAGTTTGAGTTTTCTTTTCTAGTTACGACTCCATGAAGCAACACAGATGCTGAAAGTACAATGTGAAAGTTTGCAAAAAAGTTGACTCTTTGTCACAGGAATTGTCCGTACGGGATGAAGAGATTGCTGTTTCCCAAATGGTAAAAAAATTTTATGATAGCACTTTTTTCATTTTTTCTAATATGAGGTTTTTTTGAATTTTTTAATTTGGTGATGAGATTTTACCAGTTATATAAAAATTTTTAAGGAAATGGAAAAAGAGAGACAAGCTCGTTCTGAACAAGAATTTATGACCCAGAAATTGATGATAAAAGTTGAAGAACTGCAATCTCATTTGAGCAATAAAGACTTTAAATCAGAGCATTTTGATGAAGTACTTTGGTATGTGTTGTTAAAAACTACTCTTTAGTGTTGTGTCATGTAAAATAAAATTATAAGATTAACTTTTTAAAACTTTTGTTTGGTTATTGCTATTACTAAAATTAAAGTTTGAGTTTATGTAAAAACTTTTAACACATAGTAATTAGCTATGTCTTCTATTTACTAAAAATATTTACATTCAGTAGGTCTTATAATGCACTATTTGTGATGATATTGGTTAATTCATTAAATATTTTTAATGCTAGTGATCGCCACGATATAGAGAAAGAAGTTATGCAGTTAAGAAAAGAAAATGTCAACCTAGAAGCTCTCCTCAATAATAAAACGGATGAGAATGTTGAAATTCAGAAAGAGGTAATTAATAATTAACCAACAATTTTAACATGTCAATGCAAATTAATATTGACACATGGTCTGAGTAGTTGTTGACATTAAGATGAAACACCATCCATGTTTTATTCAAGAAAAACGTACTGTGTTTGCACAGTCTTTTGTGGTGATTTCACTCGTTTCTCTAATAGTTTGGGGCTGAGTAAGCAAGCTAGTTCCTTTAAAATTGGTGCTTGTAGATCTAGTTGGTTGTTGCCATGAGTATGAACTCAAACAGTTAGTCAAGTGAACTATGCATGCTCAGATGATATTTTTAATAGTTTGTTACCAAGCAAGATAATTGCAGCTAGAGCAGTGCAAGAAGATTTGGTTGATTTGTGTATAAACACCATTAGTTGGTCAAGTGAACTATGCAAGTTTTCATTCATATATTATTTGAATGTTTTCTGTCGCCTTAAGCTTGTTTCAACAAATATAATTTCAACCTATTTACCTCAATGACCTTCACTGTCATGGTGTACCCCAGTAGTCATTACACAACCATAAAAACAAATCAAAATTTATTGGGAGTTAATAGAGTTAGTGCTTGGGTACAATAAAGTCCCTACTATAGCAGCTATTGAAAGCTGATAACGTTGGCCGCTGAACTTTGATAAAAAGTACCTTACCAGTGAGTTAAATATATAATAGCATGTGTCAAGCAAAGCAAATTTTATCAAATTTCTTTTTAGTTCATAACAAAGCAATATAAATGTTTCGTTTGTAGAAGACACATATGTGTACACCAGCTGCTTTCAGTGTACACCTGTGTACACCAGTGTGCAACAATTGTTACTGGTGTAAAGATCGTTTAGCAATCACATGATCATGAAGTATACGTTTTACTATTTTGATTTTAGCATGCAATGTCTATATGAGCTGCTGTAAACAATTAACTGAACTTCAATTCAATAAACCAACTCACAATTTATTCATATCGCTGTGTTATGTATCATACGGTAGAATTTAGCATGTAACCACCATTTTATGCGGCTCGTACAATTTTGTTATTTTGATCGTAGATGCAGGAACGCAAGCAAACTTTAGCATTGTTAAAACAAGACAAGGAATATTTAAACATGCAAATGACTGAAGCTACTACAAAAAGTAAAGTTCTTGAAGGACAAGTTACTGTACTCACTCAAGAAGTGGAAAAAATAAAAAAAGACAGAGAGGATTTGTATGAAAAATATATATCTGTCAGGTATACATAATTTTTGAACTTTAAAAGAAATACTAAATCACTGAAAAGTCAGTGTGAAACATTTAGTTATTGATAGCTACGTAAGACTTTGTGATGACATCGTCAGTGTTCATCTATTTCATCGTGTTATCGTGTGTCCTCCCTGCGTTGCCTCTCTGATTGAGGAATCTTTTCTCGTCTTCTCATTGGATCCCTTTTAATCTTGCTTATATCCTTTAATTCTATCCCTGTCAGTGTGGTTTTCACCTCTGATCATATTCCTCTCTCACTCTCCTGCATTCAATGTTCACTTACATAAAATTTTCTTTGTGTCTTATCGTGAAGTCGTTTAATTCGTTTCGAATATAGAGAGAAATATAAATCTGAATATGAAATGAAGTTGAGAGACGAACTTCATTTACTCACAAATAAAACCAACAGTGAATTGGAAAAAATTAAAAACAACGCCAAAGAAATGTATGAGAGGGAAAACAGGTAAACGTTTTGAACATTGCTAGATAGGGAGAAATGAAAACATGGATGAGATCAGGCACATATTGATTGAGTAAAAATTTGTTTTTATTGAAGCATTTTAATTTGTATAGAAGCTTAAGAGAGACTCGAGACAACGCTCTTGCTGAGAAAGACAGAGCTGTCAATACAGAGAAAAATACGATGTCAAAATATGAGCAAGTTTCTCAGGAGTAAGCCATAACAGAAAAAATTTCACATTTACTTGTGTATTTTTGTTGCTGCGTTTACATGGTTAACCAGGCAATGTTTGTGTTTTTTATAATGTGGTGCAACTCTTTTCATTATGGAAAATATTGTAAGCCAGAATAGGAACATTACCAGCAATAGTTATGTGTATAAATTTTATGTGTAGTACTGTTTTACTTTTGTTATATTTTATACAGTTTTTGTGATATTTTCCAATCTGTCTTTCAGGTATAGAGACCTGCTTACTTCATCAGATAGCAGAATGACAGAAATTCTTAGTAATCTGAAATTTAAACAATTTGAGTTGGATCGTTTACAAGTTTTGCATGAAGAAACGACGCAAAATTTAAAACAAGCGAACATTGATATCACATTATATCAAGAAAAATTACAGGTAAGGATTGCATATATGTATGTACTAGAAAATACTATGTTTGGAATTTTATTTCTGTCATAGAAAAATTTTTTGACTTGCATTATAGTCATAAATAGTCAAAAAGATGTTATTTAAAATTCTCATATTACTTCTTTAGGTTTTGAATAAAGAGTTCTATGCTCTGCAGGCCTCTACAGATAAAAAAATAAACGAACTCCAGATTTCAAACACCGATGCTTTAAAGAAACTTTCAATTTATGAGAAATTAGAGCAAGAGTTAGACGACGTCATTTTACAGGCTGCTCAATGTGAGTTTTTATATGTCACCGTGTTCTAGAAATGTTTCGAAAAAAGATAATATTATGGAAGATTTTAGCCCGTAAAAAAACCATACTCAAGGCTGGCATGCGTTAATAATTTACAATAGTTTAAATTTATGAATAGAATGCGTTGCGTTTACGTGCGGTAAAATGGGAAGTCGTTCATTTATTAAAATCCTTATTGTTGACAAGGTCAAAAACAGAAAAATCAATCATCAAATGTTCCTTAATTGACCATCATAAGATAGAAATCATTTCTTCGTTATTTTAGTGGAAAGTGAAGTCGACAGAGAAAGAGTGATGTTTTCATATGGTTATGGTGCTAATGTACCAAGCACCAGTAAGAGAAGAATGCAACAAAGGTAAATTTAAAATTGAATTATATTCTTTATTTTTTCTGTGTCTAATATTTTTATTTACATAAAGTATTCATTTGGCTCGACGTGTATTGAAATTGGAGAAAGCAAACACAGGTTTACAAGGTGAACTTGAAGCAGAAAAAAAGAAAAAGAACGAACTTTTACAAGAGGTAATACCGACTTGTATAGATTCACAAAATGTTTAATATACAAACTGGCATGGCTTTTACAAGTATGTATAAATGTTGTTTAGTTATCTAACACGACAAACATATTGAACGAAGCTCAACAACCTTATAATTATTTGATTGAAAGTATTCGAGTCAGAGATTTGCAAATAGAATCTTTAAAAGATAACAACGCTTTGTTGGAGGAAGACGTTAGGTATGTACTTTCAAAAGCTTTTCATACGGTATGTTTTTGTTGTTATAAAAGGCAGCATTTTCTATCGCATTTCTGAATGTTTTTGTCACTTGATAACAGTGCTTATTAGTTATTTCCTACTCATGTACGCATGCAGTTTATTCCGAAGTTTATTCAACAAGTATATTCATTTTATTGTTAAATATTTTCAATTCTTTTAAAATAAAAGTCTTTCCACAGGAAACTTCAAAAAGAGCGAAATGATCTTGCTGAAAGTAAAAACAAGATTACTGCCGATCTTGAAAGGTTGTTAAATCAACGCGAGGTATCAACTGTCTTAACTGAAAGAAAATTTAGCAAAAAATAGAAATGCATTTCGGAAATTTGTTATCATCCAAGAAAAGTTTACGGTTAATTTTCGTTATTTGACGGTTTTTTAGGAGTTGGGCGCAATAAAGAATGTGGTGATGAAGTTAAAATCTGGTGGAATGAAACGATCTGACATATCTGAGCGAAAAACCACCACAGAAAATGGAACGTCAAGTTATGATTTTGCCAATAGCATGCCCTCATCGACGATGTTTGTAAGAGTTTGTTTTACATTAAATGGTTAAAAATAATATTATGATTACAACACGGGGCTTATTTATTTAGACAAAACATGAAAATCCCGTGTGGTACGATAAACTAAAACAAAAGCACTCAAAACGAGGTGGTTGAGTAGAGAAGAATATGAAAGACAATTTCTCACAAATTGTGGCGTTGTTTAACAACCGTTTAGGCTAAAGACAGCCTTTCCCTGCAGAGAGACTTTAGGTGATTTACTGCACGAAGCGTGTTTTTCAACAGTTCCCAAGTTCTCCTAATCACATGAAGCAAACGGTTTTTACAGCTTAGGATGTAAGAAATGTTACTAAGTTACTAAAATGACAGACAGAGCAAATTTTATATTTCAAATATGTATTTCAAAGAATACACATTCATATTTTCATTTAACTTTCAAAGAGGGAAATAAAAAATTTTATTAAGCTGAGTTATTTGTAAAAGAATGAGCAAGATGTTTCTTTCGTGACACGATCATAGCAAGTCAGAGCAATGACCTTACACCAAATAATCGTTACACAGTGACGTAGTAGACTGTTTGCAAGTTTTGTCGTGACGTAGTAGACTGTTTGCAAATTTTGTCGTGATGTGCAAATATTTCAAATGTAAGAACAATAAATTTTAATGACTGCCACTGTCATGACGTGCCCTACACCATTAATGTCGAGTGTCATTGTTGATAAAGATGAATGAGAGTTAAAACCGAGGACTTTATATATTTGCTTCTTGTTTTTTAATACGTTTCATACTTTATGTAGCTAACTTCGAAATATTCATTTTAAGTAACATTTAAAATAATAGAAAAATGGTTAGGAAAATCAACTTTCACATTGTGTACGGAGTAGTTAATTCAAGAAGGGAAGGAAATTTCCTCGTTTCAAGGAAAATTGCATTATAAATTATAAGAACAGGAACACTTATGATGATCGAAATGATTAGTTTAAGCCATTGTCATAAACAGAGCTTTCATGACTATAAACAGCACACATTCTTTCTAATTTTGTAAATTTGCATAGTGAGTGTTTGAAAAAAACAAAATCTTGTCCTTGTACACCAACGCATGTTTGTAAGTGTGTACTCCTATTAATCTTCCTCATACAACGTAACTTAGAACTACTAAACTAATTTCATTCACGCTTGACCTGCAAATACAAAGAAAATGGTGATATAGTCGCTGTGTAAATGTAATAATAGCTGAAATTTAACATTATCACTAAATCTACTATAGTATGAAATAATGTCAACTTACCTCAGTCGTCGTTAAAGGTCCCCGGCATGTGGGACAAGCCACGATATCCATTAAGTGGATCGTGCGTGGATGTAACGCGCATGGCTGTCTGATTCTTCCTCGAAAGGTAAAGCAGCAATATTTACAAATCAAGTTTTGCACAGGTTTTTCACAGGTGCATTCGTTTTTTTCGATTTTTTTTATCTATAAAATAAAATAAACAGCTAAACACACATTTAGCTTAGTCAAAACAGTTGCATATGTGTACATACCATAACAAAGCATACAAATGTAACTTTAAGTTTCAAACACTGCAAACAAATTATATAAAGCTGCAAAACCTAGCACTACGCACTGCCTTAAAGTGATTTCGAATAAAAGAGACGTCACCTCAGACACCAGGACACTGAGAGGTCAATGAATCTAGCACAAAAATTATTTAACTTACTCGTAGGCTCTTCTCGAGCAGCGGGCTCATTTCAGAGCTAAGTAAAATCATATTGCAACAAAAAATACAACACTGCGGGATGAAAGAGAGGATGCGAGAAAAGAAAAATGCGTTTCCGATTGCCAACCATCATAAATAAGCCATATTAAAAACATAAACTTATTGTGAATGAAAAAATTAGTCATTGAATATCTTTCAAGGGTAAATTTTTCATTGGATGAACAAATCATAAAATTTTTATGGGCTTTAAGATCGTGAACATATGTTACATTAGACAACGTAAATGTTTTCAACGTTAAATAAGCAGTAAAGAGCTCTATTCAATTTAGAAAAGATAAGGAATGTTTTTTCTATTCAATGGAATATGAGAGCAGTTTGTATTGGCTACAATTATATAAGTATTTCAAAAATTTGCGAAAGTAATAGTACTTCATTTTTTAAAATTTTTTTGACTAATGTGTGGAACACTGTATAGAGTTATTATCTTAGAACTAAAATGACGCTAACAGGTAAATTATGCTTTCATTCATGGAAAAATCGATGAAAAAAATCCAATAATTCCGCCATCATGATTTTTGATCATCAAATTAGTAAAAAAAACTTTTGATAAGTCGTAAAAAGCTACTTCATTATGAAGAGAATGTTATGTAACTTATGCTGCATCATGAACTGTTTAATTTGACTGTTTAATGAAGTGCTTTAGCAAATAGTATCATTGTCATACAAGAGGATTTTTATGTAACTTCCTGCTATTTAACACAGGGAGATTAAATGCTAATTTCTCAAAGTCAAAAATGAGTGTTTAATGTTGACTTCATACTATGCGATAATTTCATTTTTCTTTAATGTGATTTAATAATCAAATTTCTTTATCAATAATCTAGGTCGCGATTATGTGTTTTGACGATTTTATGAGAAAAGAAAGAAAATAGCAATTCAAAAAATTAAACAAATTATAGTTAAACGAATGAACACAAACTGCAAAATTACGTGAGTCATATCATTACGTAAAAATTTCTTTTATTTTCCCCGTGCAAAAACAATGTCATTATCTGCCGTGAAGAATATTCAGTATTAAATAACTGCTACTGTGTATAGTCCAGTCACGCTGTATATAATATACCGTATTGTCCAGCGACTTTTTGCACATTTTTGCTCCGAGTTTTTACCTAGCTTTATACAAATAGAAGTTTCACACATATTTTATATCGACTTAAATTGTCTTGTGAGCAAAGAAGAAGTGGCGAGTAAATAAGAAGTATATACGCATTATATATCCTATATTTGACAAGAGCACGATTTTTGTCAACACCACCCGTACACGTGTTTTGCTCTTGTTGATTTTAACAGCTTCAGCTGAAAGCATGGAAAATATTGGGTAGAACTCATATCAACATTAATCCAACTAAACCACTACATTTAATATGGCCAAGGTATCGCACTTTTATTTTCAGAATGTATCTTACTCAAGATTTGCTAGCACAAAGGTATTTACAAACACAATGTCTTCATGTCCGGATCATGAATGCGCAACAGAATTAAAATACAACGTAAATATTAGCTCTTAAATAATGACTTAATTATGAATACCTCTTAAAAGACATTTAATGAAAAAGAACTGTCGTTTGTACTTACATTTTCGTCCATATTAAACAACTAATCTTCGTTTGCACTCAACTACTAGATTGGATTTGACGTTCTTCAAAAACTTAAACTTCCTCCTCTCTCGTTTTTTGATTGGCTGAGTCAAAGAGCCGTGACTTAAATAGCCAAGAGGGAATACGACTATTGCTCTTTTTTGACCTTAAACAATCATAACATTCACAAAAACAGTGGGAGAAGCCGATTTTAAAGGCTGTATCACTTTTGTTGTTGATTTTTCAATACGTACTGCGCATGTGTCGTTACTAATTTCTTCAAACTTTAGCAGTCCCTGTCTCTCCCCTAACCAAAGGATATTAAAACAAAAAGATAATTGGCCTTATAGAAAACCAGTTGAATAATTTTTCTCAGTTCTTCGGAAGAAGATTTCAAATGTCAAAGTCCATACCAAATCATTTTTAAATTTTAATTCTCAACATTCAAGGACTGGAAGATGCATGCATGGGAATTTTAATAAACGCAGAGTCCTCTCGGAGAAAGTTGAATAGCTAGAATATGTATAATTATAATTAAAAAATAATGATAAAAAAATCAGTGATGTGTTTTATAATGTTGATAATGCAGTAAGCATTAATTATTCAAAATAAAAGAGTTCGTCGTTGACAAATGAGCCAAGGTAAAAGTTAAAAACTAATGAAAAGATTTCCGTCTATAATTTCAAGAAGCTTGTAGGTTCGGTCCACTGTACGCCTGTCCACCATTATTAGCATAAGATGTTCCAAGTCCGTATAAATGACCACAGTATTTTGCATCATCAATCTTGTCTTCGAAGAACAACTTTAAAAAAAGGACAAATCATGAATCCATGAATGATTCCTTCGTATTACGAATCTTAATCATTAAACAAAAAACAAACCTCTCTCATTTTAAAGAAAGATGCTCCCGTCAACATGCTGTCACTACCAGCTTGATGTTGAGGGCCTACACGCTCTAGCTAAAATATAACAAACTAATGACATGCATTATTATAAATTCTGTCTGTTAATAAAAATGATGGAACAGTTTTTTTTGGTATTCATTGATAACAACCTGCTCGCTTTTTAAACATGAATCTGCTCGCTTTTTAGCACTTCAAAGTTTTGCATATTTCCAGGTAAACATTGAAGAATCAACAAACAATATGAAAAAAATTCAAATTCCTGGGGCTTGTTGTACAAAGCTCTTCACTACTTTTTAACTACAATTTTTGCAGCTACAAAGTAGTTAAATTTAAACACGCAGTTAAGTTTAAGTAACTACAGTTAAGAAGTTAACTGCGTTTTTATACAACCGGCCGGGCGGCCCTGATCTTTTTGTTTAAAGTTTTCATTAACTTCAACAACAATGCAAACAGTACTATTTGAAAAAAAGATAAACAAATTGATGCATAAAATAGAAGTCGATGACAAAAACCATTCATCGTACTTCATTTTACCTCCAATAATTCGGAGACTTCTTGAAGACCACCTTTAAGATTCTTGCAGCTTTTCATTAAATACTTTACGTCATATATTCGTGGAAAGAAGATTTTTAGCAAATCAAAAAATTCTCCTTCTTCAGCTGGTAGGTTGATGTTGTTCAAAACTTTGAGCAAATATCCAAAATCGTAACCACTGAGAAAATAAAACAAAAATCTAAGTTTTGTTTTCATATGTAGCTCTTGTTTACATAATGTAGAAGCTTCGCACCAAAGGTTGTTTAGTACAAGTTTGACTTGTACTAAACTTGTACAAGTTTAACTTGTACAAAGTAGCTTACAAGTTTATTTAACTTTATTCAATAGAAAATTCAGGAAAGTGGTTTTTTCACACCAAAAAGGTTCGTGTGTAAGATCATATAAGCCATTATCTAAATGCACCAAAACTGTTTTACCTTTTACGTTAACAACAATAAACTCGTAGCAAACAGCACGGGAAAACACAAAAAGAAACACACAAAAAATCACGAAAATGATCAGAAGATAGATCTACCTGTGAAAGGATAGCCAGGAGATATCTTCACATAAGACAATTCCGGATGTTATTAATAATTCTGCAAAATCTTCCACATCTATACCCTGTTCTTCATGTTCTTTAAACTTTATCCCGGATCGATCAAGAAGATCGATTGACTCCTGTGCATACATATCTTCCCTAAATAACTCCACATTTTAATTTTTTCGACTAAACTTGTCATTTTCTACAGTCACAACAAACATACGTTAAGTTGAACTTGAAGTTGAATTGCCAAGTGCCACCATTTGGAGGCTGATTACCATTGGCATCGTGGAATGTTAACCCCAACTGAATAATTTTTAATAAATCTACATTGCATCTTAACAGTTGATATTGATAGTCTGAAGTACTTTTAAATTCCCCAATTGGTCTTGCAACAACACCAGGAAATTCAGTATCCTACACAAAAAACATGCATGTTACCTCATCCAAGAGTTGTTTTATTCTATACTTTCTAACCAATTATTAAAGTTTCGTAACAATGAAAAATATTGCAAACAAAAATAAAACGCCAGAAAGTCAAGTCAGAGAAATAGCGATCGAAAACACGAGTTTACTTACTTAAACAGTAACTTCTTTTCTATGAAAGGAATGTAGTTTACTGTATAAAGTTCTGCGTTCGAGTGCGTAAATCAACCGCATTGAATTTTCTTTATTCATAACGTTATGTTGTTGTCTAGAAGAATGTGAATTTTTGTGCAATTACAACATAGTTAACTTATATCAGTATGAATTTTGCTAACTACGCTAGCCACTTGACAAATATTCATTGCGCTTATTTATACTGTCAGGATTTACCAGCAAAAACTTCTTTCAAACAAGTTAGCACGTTTTTTTTGCAAAACGTTACTATTTGAAGCTGCAGTTCAAGAAACGTTCAAGAAAAGAGCAAGAAACCATTTTATTTGCGCAGTTTTACTATTTTTCATTTTAAGCCATTGTTGTCATATTCAAACAAAAAATTCACATTCTTGCACACTTGTACATAAATCCAAAGTTTATTTAAATGGAAAAGCTTTCATATTTTTGATCATATTCAACATCAGAATTTGTATTTAGTGCAACTTGTTAGTGAATGTTTTAATGACAGTCATCTTCTACTCCCCAGAATTGACAAATTTAACCATTTCGAAAGAGTGACGAAAATACGAAACTAATAAAGACATTGCACATGCTCTAACATGAAACATTGGTTTACTTTATGTTTTATCCTTTCATTTAAAGACCTTTCATGTGCCATTAGAAAAAAATCCAAACAATGATAACAAGTTAACTAAGTGAATTTATACTAAATAAACAAAATTAATTTGAAAGCAAGCCAATTTATGCTAAATGAACATAAATATCTATAAAAATACCATGGCAATATATTGATAGTCTAAGACTATCTCCCTCAACTTTGTAAACTCTTCTTCCAAATTTTTTTGCCATACTTCAGTTATTGAATTGGCAACAGTTGCTCCAGGCATTGTACGCGCTTGTTAACGTTCAAATTCATTCATAGTAGAATACATTCCAATTGAAAATCTTAACAAAAATTTAAAAGAGCAAATTACAAGGTCCACATCATTTTTAGTCTACATTATTTTAGGTGGATTACAGGATTACAACATTACTTTTGATTCACTCGATTAAAGGAAACAATATTATTATTGCAAATGCTCACTGTTAGAGATATGAGATGTATGTCTGTATGCCTACAAAATATCATTTTTACATGCACATTTTTGAAATAAAATTATTTCAACTCCCATAATTCAAGAAAAGCCTTTCTATTAACTGTGGTATCCCTGACATGACATGACATGACATTCATCATTACATCCATCTTGCCAAAGGCATGTCAAAGTAACACAAAATTTTTCACAATATCAACAATTTTTGTCACTATCTCTATAAATTTTATCTCATGTTGTTTCGTTCACATATAAATTGTTAATAATTATATGAAATTATTAGGTTTGAAACAACAAGAAACTTATGATCAGTACCCTCTATTTCCTCCAGCCTCCAAATATTCAACGAGAAATTTATAATACTATAAGTCTATTAGATACCTCATCAACACAAACCTTGCTAAAGTAAAGTCAAAAACATGGGTAAATTTCACACTTTTCCAAATGAATTAGAATAATAAATACAATTGAACGATCGAAAATAAAACCTTCCCATAATGCCATTGCTTTGCACTAGAGCTCAGTCTTCTTTCTACACCCGCTCTTCTTTTTTTATTTTATCGCTAAATTGACATTGTATTTTATATAGTGATTTTATTCTTTAAAAAGTTGTCATATTTTGTATTGTAGGCCTAAGTTGTAAATAATGGGCAAATTGATTGCCTTTATTGAAGGACTCATTAAACTTGCTCAATGGCTTCCTGTTATTGTGATCTTTTCGATCGTTTTATGGTCGTATTATGCTTACAACGTCATTTTATGTATAGGTGAGATAATGGTTTCATTTTTACAAAACTGTAACTTTATTTATGATAAGTATTTTTCTTAAAGCCTTCAGCTTTTATGTTCGAATATTTTTATATTTCATTTTGTATTTTAGTGAAAATGAACCAAGATTTTTGTTTTGCGGCATTTGTGAACCAAACTTAGTAAAGTTAATTGAATTAAGTTTTCAAGAGGATTTAAGTTCGTAATGCATGTATTTAACAATAGTTTGTATTTGATATACTATGATAATGAATTTTGCAGAAATTCTTCTTCTAATTTAATGAAAGATATTTTAATTTTAGTTTTTATTTTGAAATTTTTCTTCATGGTGATACATAATTAAGGTTTTAACTTTTAGAAGTCAGTCAATTTTGCTTGTTAAAAATATACAATTTGTTTATAGATAATTTTTTATATGTTGCTCTGATTTTAAGATGAACAGGTTTACACATGATGTATTGCAGTATTAATAATTGTTGGTTGTACATAAACATGCAAAAAAAACCAAATGTGTGAACCAATTTTTTCAATGACATGTAATTTTAATTTTAATGTTATAACTTGTATTTATAACCATAAAATGTAGTTCACTTATCATTCATTCATTTATTCACAGAAACCGTTGACAACTATGTTGAAAAAGGTATTATACCAAATCTTGCATTGTTGCTTGAGAAAAACTTCATATCTTTGTTTTGTTAAGAGGAATGAATTTTGAAATGTTTTTTTTTCATTTTAGCGGTGTATATAGTGTTTTATCATGTGTTTTTCATCTTGTTTGTTTGGTCATATTGGAAAACCATAATAACATCACCAGGAAGAATCCCATTACAGGTATAAGAATTAGAATCATTCTGTGTGAAATTGGTTGGCCACTTTAGTTGACCTTGATATTGCTTAATGTACTAAATCACGCATGAAGCAAAAAATTACTAGTTTGCTTTGGTTATGTACATATAAACTATATATTGCTTATATAGCTTGGTTCTTTGAAAGGTATGTCATAACAGAATCACATAACTTAAGCAGAACAACAGAAATGAAATTCCTGAAGAATATTTCACACAAGATGAGCATTAAACTGTGCTCTCCAGATACCAGTACAATTTTGATTTTTACATTCTGCATAGTTCATAAGAATGCTCTCGTATGATAAGATAAACATTAAGCAAAGCATAACTCCGATACTCAATATTTCATTATGCAGCAATTAAAATTCTCAATTACATTGTTATAGCATTGTATGTTAATTTTGTCCATTAGTTAATTTTAACAAAGTGGACACTAAAATTTGCATACCTTAAAAAATAAAAGTTGAATATTAATCTACTTTCAGTTTTATTTATCTCCATCAGATCGAATGGAATTGGAGGAAGCAGTATGTATCATGTAGACTGTTGTTCTTATGTTTTAAATGTGCATGAACATTGTAAAAGAGTTACAAATATTACTTTGGAAAAGTTAAACAGAGCAACTTGTAATTAATCTTTCTTCAAGGGCATAAAACGTGAATATTTTGAACACTTTAGGAAAATCCAAATTTATTCCTGGAAAATTTTGCTAGAAAACTTCCAGTGCAAACTTTGACTCAATCCAACAGTAAGTTTTGTTAGTTCTATGAATTATTTACAACAAACTTTGTTTGAATGGCTAAAGAATATTGATAATATCAAATCTTTGTGCATTAACTAACACTGTATTTTATACTGACTTCAATCAGTGACATAGACATTGTACACATGTTATGGAAATATTTTGAACTTCACTCAATGTAAAGAATAATGCTAATTATGAAAAATTTACATAGCATAAACAAATGAACAGACTGGCTACCCCAATGATTTCTACACCTGAAAGTGTAAGAATCAAACTTCTTGATCGCACTTTATTATACTAGATCTCTGAAACAATTTTAGATAGATTAGTGTAATTGTTAATTATTTTATAGCAATACGTTTCTGTGATTCATGCTATGCCATTAAACCAGATCGAAGCCATCATTGTTCAATGTGTAAAACGTAAGTGAGTTGATGTTTTCTTTAACTTTTTTTTGTTTATTTTGTCCAATTTTTGTATCTCTTCATTTTTCTTCTCAATAGATGTCGTCTAAAAATGGATCATCATTGTCCCTGGGTCAATAACTGTGTTGGATTTAAAAATTATAAATTTTTTTTACTTTTCTTGTTTCACGCCATATTATATACATTTTTTGTTGCAATGACAAGTCTTCAATACTTCATAAAAGTTTGGATGGTATGTTATTATTTTGTGGCATTTATCATCCATTAATGTGAAAATTAGACTATACTTGATTACATTGACTACATCTCACTGTGTGTAAACTACAGTGTACGTATTACGTACCTTGGACTACCTTCTACTCACTGTATGTAAACTACAGTGTATGCATTACGTACCTTGGACTATCTTCTACTCACTGTATGTAAACTACAGTGTATGTATTACGTACCTTGGACTATCTTCTACTCACTGTGTGTAAACTACAGTGTATGTATTACGTACCTTGGACTACCTTCTACTCACTGTATGTAAACTACAGTGTATGTATTACGTACCTTGGACTACCTTCTACTCGCTGTATGTAAACTACAGTGTACATATTACGTACCTTGGACTACCTTCTACTCACTGTATGTAAACTACAGTGTACGTATTACGTACCTTGGACTATCTTCTACTCACTGTATGTAAACTACAGTGTATGTATTACGTACCTTGGTTTACCTTCTCTATACATAACATTAAAAAAGAATTTCAATGGTTGGAGACTACTTTTAAAAACCAAAATTCATTCATTTTTATAGCATATAACTAAAGGAGGTAATGCACGTCTTCACATATTGTTCCTGTTCTTTATTTCAATAATGTTCTGCATCAGTTTATGGACTTTGCTAGGATATCATATCTATCTTGTAATGGTGAATAGGACTACTTTGGGTAAGTACATTAATGAGTAATGTTACAGTGTCATTTATGAAGTTTCACTACACTGTGTTTCACAATCCATTGAGATTGATCATCCAGGGATTCAACATAAATTTAACAGTTTAACGGATCTCAATAGTGTAGCAAGGATATTATATTTTAAGACTTGATAAATGTCATTCTTAATTTGCTCTGCTAATTTTTCCTTTATTATTGAGCACTTTTGCTCTGCAGATAAAATGATGTTAGTTATAGTCGTAATAAGAAATGTATATAGTACAAAAATGTCGACCATGAACGAATTTGCACAAATATTTAATCAAGAATCGATGCGTGCTCCAGTATTTCGTGAAGGTGGAGCAGATAAACATGGATTTAATCTTGGGACGTGGAAAAATATAAAACAGGTATTTGGCAACAGAAGATGGCTTTGGTGTTTTCCTGTTTATACAAGGTAAACAAATTATTCTTATGTTGTCGATATTTAGTCATGGGGTTATTAAAGATGTTTCATTATATTGACATGAAATACTAAAGATATTATTTACATCAACTTTTTAATTGTGCTTTTGTTATCTTCTAAATCTACATTAGTTTGGGCGATGGTGTTGTTTATCCACTTCGTGAAGAATGTTCGCCCGAACAAATGGATTTACTTAATGAACGAACAAAATGGTTGAACGATGAGAGTGATGACGATGAAGATCATAAGACATACACAAATGTTGATATTGTTGATGAAACTGCTGGCAGTGAGAGAATTATAGAAATGACACCTAATGTTGTAACGTTGAAATAAACAAACGTGTTGTTTATTTGTGAAAAGTTGTTTCTTTGTTTGCAACAGAAATTGGTAAAGATTGCAATGAACGAGAACAAATCGACGTAATTTGGAACAATTAGATAGTTGATTCCTTGAAATATGAAAGACGTCTTTACTTTTGATGTCGTTTTTATAATAAAAATCAACGACATGTACAATAAGAAACCTGTTGGTAGCTTTATTTTAGCGATGAATAATGTCTGTGAATTTCAAATCATAATTTCTTGTTAACTACTTATTACATTGTAAATAGAACTATATATTTATTAAGCACGTAGTTAAATCTAGAGCTAAAATTATTGAATAGATAAAAAGTCAAATGTTCTGAACTGTAGTATTAAACTTTAGTGTCTTTTTGAGTTTGAAAAATGGCTGTTATGTGCTTATTTTCTACTGCAGATTGTGGCCGTTTTTTTATTTAATGACAATACAATCCGTTACAAGCCAGTCATTTTTTTTATATTGATGATTTATTACAAATTCATTAACAGACAAAGTTATGAGTTTGTGTTAACTTCGAAATATCAATATATTATTGTCCCCTATGTTTACCTCAAATATTGAAAAAACAGTCTCGTGTGTTAATACTGATTCCGAAAGGACAAGACGTCTTGTTCTGATTCATATTTTGTTATCTCAAGATGTCTTGTCTCTTTGGAATTTGTTTTTTACTTTATTTTTTCAACTTGACGGCTGGACATGGCGTTTGTGTTATACTGTGTTAGGTCATTTACCGAATCAACATACGTTTTCCTCGCTTTACTTTAATTTTTTATTTTCATTGTTCAATCACTACACATGACATTGTAAGTATTTAATTTATTATAAAGTCTTATTTTTGCACCCTTATAAAAATAATTAATTTTTTTTCACAGTTCATGAGTTTATTTATTGCTTATAGTAAACACCCGTGTTATTGTCCAATTCATTGCTCAAAAAAGGTTTTCCCTCTACTGTATTTTCATATAGCTAATGGTTTGTCAAAAAACTGCAAATTGTTACATATATTTTTTCACTCTCCTAATCTATGAAAAATTTAAGAAAGACACATTAAAGCAGCTACGACTGTTTCAGTTTTTGCACAAGGCAAACATCTGTCTGTCGTAAAATTTTAGATTTAAACAGCTCTACAAACACAATCCACCGTTTTCGATACTTGTTGTACCGGGAGGACAAGAGCATTTATAACTGCCGGGTGTGTTTATGCAGATATGACTGCAAATTGTTGGAAAGTTATTGCATTCATCAATATCTATAAAAAATATTTCAATATTTTATACTGTTGGTCAATACTACGTACATAACAATATGTTACAGAAATATGTTGATTGTGATAAAAAATTATACATGATACTGTAGAAATCATCATGATGGCTTAACTGATAACGCCGTACAAACCTTCACAAGTGTTTTTGTCAGCGCTAAGTCGATAACCTGCTTTACATCTACATTGACGACTCCCAGGAACGTTATGACATGAATGTTCACATCCGCCATTCTTAACCAGACATTCGTCAACATCTAAAGAAGTGTTAATCTTCTTGAACAATGCAAAGCAACAACAATCGTAAGTTATAAAATACAAACTTACCAACACAATGTTTGGTTGCATTGAGTTTGAATCCAGTTGGACAGTTACATCTGTAATCTCCTTTAAATTTTCACATTTAGCAGGTGATTTGCAAAGATCTGATCTCATTAGGCATTCATTGATATCTATACAGATTAAGTAATTGAGGATTATTTTTATAAACTGTGAATGTGAAATGATGATCTTTGTTTGAGTTACGAAATTAATAAAAATAATTCAGTATTTACGTACAAGTACTTAGCAGTATTTCTATTTCTTTTACTTTCGATACAATAATTTGGTTCTTTGTTATTTGTTATATTTCTTATTTTTCAAACATCTGCGCCATTTTCAAGAAACACCGGGATATTTTTAGGATTGTTTAAAAAAATGTCCAAAACCTGGCATTTACTGCATGGAAAATCAATAAAGTTTATTTATAGATAACCTAGTTTTATTTGAATGAAGAAAATACAACTGACATTTTATAAAATTGAAATATTAAACCACCAAAAAAACAACGATGTAGTAAACTTTGTGCAACTATCATCAGAAAGTGTGCACAGCCTTTGTAGAACAGTTTAAATTGAAAGTATAAAGACCTTTTTCTTTCATTTATGTAGTTATAACATGCATAGAAAGCAAAATATAGCTTCAAATCATTTCAAGATAGATGAAATTGTCGTGTTCATTTTGAAAGACAATGTTTGATGTTTAGGATTTAACAATAAACAGGAATAAAAAGGTTTCAAATAAAAAAAAAACTTAGCTAGAATGAATTTTCCTCAATACCTGAACATGAATAGCCATCTTTGTTTAACTTAAATCCTAACGGACATAAACAGTGATATCCTCCTGGAACATTAAGACATCCTTTTTCACAACTGTGTTCGCCAATTGAACATTCATCGATATCTTAAATGGACAGTAAAAAAATAAAATACGTTTAGGCTTTAAACACGTCAACAAATAAACATATTTATTTACCAGTGCACGTGACAGAGTTTGTATCTAACATAAAACCAGGTTTGCAAGCACAAGAGAAACCAGAAGCAGTCCTTACACAACTGTGATGACAAAAACCGTCGGATGTTAAACAACCATTGCTTTCTGAAGAAAAAGGAGAGTTGAATTTTTAAGTTCTGTGTCTACTTATGTTATATGCATGAAAAAATTCTTATTAAATACTGTCTTTAGATTCAGTGTGTAGATAGTGGATTAAAGATTCAGTGTGTAGATAGAGGATTGAAGATTCAGTGTGTAGATAGAGGATTAAAGATTCAGTGTGTAGATAGTGGATTAAAGATTAATTGTACTCACCGACACATGTTTCATTGTCATGATGCAAAGCCATTCCTGGGGGGCAGACACATTCATCTAACATGTTATTTTGTCTCATACAACGAATGATACAACTAGGATCGTTGGAAGCGATACAGCCACTGCTACGATCAGCTGATAACATGAAGAATTAAATTTCTATCATTTTGATTGTTCCTTTATTATTTTCATAACGTTTAATTTGAAAGGTAAGATATTCATATAGCAGTTTTGAAAGTTGAAATACATCTTCGGAAATTGAAGATAGTCTGTTTGTAAAGAAGAACAGACTTTTATTTCTTACCTATGCACGTTTTTGATTATAATCCAAAGAATAACCAGGAAAGCATGCACAATGGTAGGAACCTGGAGTGTTGTGGCATTCATGTTGACAAGGAGCCAACAAACATTCATTTATATCTAAGAAAGAAAGCTTATAGTCATATAGAAGGTTATGTGTTGGCGCTGCACGGAAATAACGAAATGAAAAAAGATTGACAGTTCATAAGAGCGCTTCTTGAAATTGCATATGTTTTCCTCGTGATATGGTAGACTTTTCATAATAAAATGTTTTAAATTTTCTAAAACATGTTCAACATAGGTCTTAAAATTTTCGTGGGCCCTAAACTATACAGTACTCAACCAAACATTTATATTGTGTACAGTACTCACCCAAAGTATACAATACTCTCCCAAAGAATACAGTAATCACCCAAAGTATACAGTATTCACCCAAAGTATACAGTAATCACCCAAAGTAAACAGTATTCACCCAAAGTATACAGTATATCTCACCCAAAGTATACAGTACTCACCCAAAGTGTACAGTAATCACCCAAAGTATACAGTACTCACCTAAACATTTATATCTGTTATTGTGTAAGTAATGACCATCAGGACAGGTACAAATGACAGTGTTTTTGATTTTAAGACAAGAATGTTCACAAACTTTACCATTATTTAGGGTACACGGATTGCGATAAATTATTGCTGTGAGAAAGAACATTTTACTTGATTAATTATTAAACATATTGACATGGACTGATATGTAATGATATGCACTGATATAGAATGATATGTAATGATATAGAATGATATGTATTGATGAGTCTTCCCCCCTCTGAAAGTGCTACGTCGAACAGTTGACGGGTCAGCCCCCTACCCCCCGTCAGAAAGGACAATGTAAAATAATTTCAGTGTTACGTAAACCTTTGCAAGATCTTCCATCGGAGTCTAACATGAATTTCGGTTTACATTGACATTCTCCATAACCAATAGAAATCTCAACACAGTGATGATCACATTTTTTATAACTGCTGTGACACGATCCACGAACAACTAAACGATAAAAATATTTTCAATTTTAAAATTGTTGCGTTAAAATAGAATTTAAAGCTGTCTAATGGTACTTCTTATTGAGAAAACAAATACACTTTTGGCACCATTTCAAGAAAATGCGATTGGAGAATTTTAGTAGGAAACTCAAACAAGTTTTGCCACAACGAAGCAACACGTATGAAAACAAATAAAACATAAATCTGCTGTGACAAGTATTTTATAATTGTGAATAGCTTGAGTTGATGATTTGACAACGATAAATGCTCGCATGCTGCTCATTCAGCCCGCAAAAATCATAAAAACAAACAAGAATAGTAATTCGATACTTTTGTACTTCTGATAAAATAAAATAAATGCCTGTTTTCCCTACTTTATAGAACATAATATCAAAAACATGTAAATATTCTCGAAATTACTAGTGTATTTTTTCACAATCAATTTTTACTCTCGCGTCTAGCTTTTTCTGTTTCTCATAATAATTAATTGCAATTTTGATCTCTAAATACACGCATCGTCATTGATGAACACATTTTCACGAATGATTTGCAATGTTGAAGCTGTCTATGAAAGTCGAAAACAAGATCTTTCATATTGTGCTTGAAAATTAATGGTTAGGGTAAGGGATCAATTTCGCTTGTTTGTGGACACAGAATTATCATCATAACGCTCCCCAAACTTGTACTACGTCTAGTAAAATTACTTATTAATTCATAAAAAGAGCATTATCTTTAGATCTTTATTGCAATGAAAACCATGGATACACACGCAGCAATGAAAAGGAATGTGATTACAATCTACAAAATATTCTGTCTATGAGCTATAGGAAGAACGTTATATGTCAAAAGTTCGTCATTCTTAACGTAAGAAAGTTTTATTTCAAAGTCTTCCTCCAACTTGTAAATTTTATAATGCAAGTCATACTGTTCTTGAATTGTATCTTTTAGGTAGGAAAATGCTTTATAAACATAAACATTGTAGAATAAGTCTAAGTAAAAGACCATGAACGGATGACATGCTGATGGATCAGTATTTTACTGATTTAATAACTTTTACATGTTATTAAATCAAGCAACGATTTAATGAAAAGTAATTTTAACAGGAACAAACTATGACAAAGCAGGACAAACCGAATGATACAGAATGGTGATAGTAATCATATTTCATTGATGTACGGTTATATAAATTTTTTTATCAGATGCATAGTTATGACATTAAACGTTTTATTTCGATGTTTTCATAATTCCTTCTTGTACACTTTTGATTCTGTGCTTCAAATTTGACATTGAATTCCTATTTGATTCAGTAGTACGCATTATGAAGTCAGTTTTTAAAGGGAAGCCGAGAACTTCCCGCTTAATAAATAGAAACAGTTTTATGAAACTGAATAGGAACTTCTTCAAAACTTTTGAAGTTTAACGAAGTATTAAAAAAATAAAATCGCTGAGATGAAAAACATTTGGAAAAAATGTAATGTATGGAATGATATATTTCTCAGCTTACCCGCCAGATGCATGCCAATGATAACTTTGATAAAGATCGCCGTTTGAGAGAACGTGGATTTGAACTTTGTAAAGGTTTTGTGAAAGTTTTTGTGTTATATATTGCATGGAAAAATTTAAACTGCAGGGAAAAATAATCAGAAAATGGTTTTACAAAACAGACTGAGAAAAAACACAAATCCAAGAAAAATTCTCCACTGAAAGCGAATCACTGAAATGCTGATCACATTGAAAAATTAACTCAAAATTCCCAAAGCTATGGTATTTCATCGACACAGGAAAAATTAAAGTTCTTACCTTTCTTAAATAGCTTTATTAAATGTTTTCTGTTTGTCTTCTTTGACACTCCACAATTATGGTAATAATCGCTCCATATTTTACTTTGTGTAGAAGCACCTCGAGGTAGCCCATCAGGAAAGATCATATACAAATATAATCTTGCCGCAAGCAATGAGAATATGGGACGTTCAAGTTGATCGTAAGTCAAACGATTCCATTTTATGCCAAATTTTCTTCCAATTATTTTTTGTATCTTTTTTAATCGTTTGCCATATTTTGCGCGGTTTTGCGTTACTCCGTAAAACGCACAGGTACGAACGTTCCATATTCCTCCTCTGTTTGACGTTTTGTTCATCGACGATTCCACCAAAGCAATACGTTTCAAGATATTACGATCAGTTGGGAAGACTCTGGATAATTTTAAGACGTTTAACGACTTACCAATAGCTTCCCAACCTTTCGCATCTTTAGACAAAATGTCGTATGGTAAATGAAGCTTCTTTCTACGGCTACGACCTTCGATCAACACAAGATGAAACAACAAAAGCAGCGATGTTATTGAACACAGCTTCATTTTATATCTGCCTGCCAAGAACTCAGTATTTATTTGTAAACGATGTCGCGTGTCTATAATTATTACAATGACTTCTTTTTCAACACTTGAAAACAAGAAACGCAACGCTTGTTGAACCTTTCTTCACAAAAAATCCGAAATTGGCAGTATAATAAAACGATGAGTTCATAAGGGCAAAATTGATGAAAGACAAGTGTTAATGACACAACCAATTATAAAGCGTGATATATAAAATTACGCCAAAAGTATAATCTGTGAAATATGAGTATATGCCCCCCCTCTGAAATAGTGTATCTTTGCTTGCAGATGTTATCTACAGAATCTATTTTTATTTTGATCTGAATATTAGTCAGTGCGACAAATATGAAAAGATTGTAAAAATCTCTAAAAGATTCCCGATAAGATCACACTAAAATATCAAAAATGTCTCTATAAATATATTTCTCGCACACGCTATAGTAGAAAGTTGATATATTTTTAAAAAAACAGCTTATTTGTTTTGAAAAGATTTTGTTACTTTCAGGTAAATCTTTTAATTATAAAAAGCTTTTCATCGCATCGATCGATGAAAACCAAGCAAGTACTGATTCATTCATGGGATTAAGACAAATTGACGCCATTTACTAAGAAACTTTAAATCATTTGATTTTCATTCAAATTTTCAAAGACACTCAAGTAATGCAATGAAGTCTGCAGCATATGTAGTTTTAGTCTTTCATGACAACTATTTGAACGCAAGTCAAATGGTCTGTTTGTCACATTTTTTCACTTCTTTTATTTGGCTACAGGCTGACAACCTGTGATTATTTATTTGCCATGAAAACATGACTATAGAATCCTCAGAAAGTTAGTTCGTGAAAATACTCTTCAATAGCAGATAGTCAAAAAGTAAGCTACAATTTTACATGACAATCAGTGAAACAATATTCAATTATTTCAAATATGCATCGTGGATAAATCAGTATTTCACTACATTACGTTTTAACAAACTTAAACTTCATCTAAATTTATGGTTAACCATCAAATATTTGTGATTTGGCCTAAATCTTAAAACAGTATAGTATGAAAAATTGAATTGAACATAGATCTTTTGTGATTAAATTCTACGTAATTTCAAACAGAGACCACTGCAGACCTTAGAGGACGAGGTCTCAACCTAGCTTAAATCGGCGGAACGTTTGTGATGTCAGTGCAAGGAGTGGCATGAATACTCTTTAACATCTGTTCAATATTCATGTCGGTAAGTCTTTGTGATTTAAGTCTTAGAGATGTGTCTGAAGACATTTTATAAATTATTTTCAATATTACTATTATTTCAGACATTATTTTCTATTATGTATAAATAAGTCGATATTTGTATACGATAGTAAGTTGATTCTTCCATCTTGTTGTTTTTGGTTTTTTTTTAGATTAACTTGCAGCTATGTGTTTATAACAACCGATCGATAACGAAGGCCATTAAAAGTTGGGAACAGCTTTTTTAAATATTTATTTTGATTATGTCACTTTAAAGTTAGCAGAAGGACATTTTTCTGTAATCGTTTTGCGACAACTACTTAAGCATAACAATTTTAGAATATTTCATCTTGATGGAAGTATCTTCTGTTATGTAAAACATACAGTTATACTATGAACTCTTTACTATTTAGTTGTACTTCATTACAATACACATATTTAATACAATTAATGCCAAAAGCAAGGATAGTACGTACAATCAATATATTTCACAAAACGAAAAAGTTACTAATAACTAGAATGATTTAGTCATGGTGCTCATTGCAACATAACGTATTCAAGTACAATGTCTGAGTTTCATACAAAGGTATTAAATACGTTTTTACTCTCTGAAGAGTTAAAAATGTAACAATATCAATGGAAAATCTTTAGTAAAATTAGTGGTCGTATATTTTTCAGTAGAAGTGCTAAGCCCCCAATCTGAAAATATAGGGGCTAAAGCCTCCTAACCTCCCCCCGCCCCCACACATCAAACACTTCCTACACCTATGATTACTCAATATAACTTTAGTAAAAAATCACTGTGTCACATGAAATTTGAAATTCATCTTTGCAAAGGAGGTACGTATTGACCAATAAAATTGAACGAACATAACCATTTGACAACAATACCATAGTCTGGTCCTGTGAGATTCGCAGACAACATTTATGGACGTGGGAGGTTGAGAGACAAAAATCCACTCAAGATAAGAACATATAGGACTTGTTGCAAAACACAATGCATATTTCACAGCTGTGTAAGTACATACTTGACATTTTTGGCTAGTTTTTTAAATCACGTCAATGTGAAATGTTAAAACATATTTATTTTTAAAAAATACTTTGGTTTTGCGAATGAAGTGGAACAATATTGACTATTTCTCCTATGTCGACCATGCTATATAGAATATTTAAAAAAAACGTTTTGTGAATGATTTTATTCACAGATATTTTGCATTGCGGTTAATTTTTTTAAATTACAAAAGCCTTGACTGATGACTGATCCTGGCTAATCTTTGTACCGTGTACCCATGTACCTTGGTAAATCTAATTCGCAAACCCTTCCTACTACATGAAGTATCATTATTTTGCTTAGAAACCATGAAAGATGAACGATCAACACAACAAATTTTGATTTTCGTTCATTTATTCATTTGTGCTGTGCTTTTGTTGAAAATGATGAAATAAGCGTTGATTTGGAGGAAAATTATTTAATGATTGCTATTTCTTGCTCTTCCTTTGTAGAACAGGCCATATGTGAGCTTTTTATTGTATTCATAATTTCATTCACGAATTTTGTTATTTCTAATTTGCAGTTTTCTATCTTTGACTTTGTACTTTGAGTAAATTCTAATGTAGTATACAACTGTTTGGGGCTCTAATTTTATTATTTCTCTATTTTGCGTAGGTTGAACTTGACAGAAAGTGTAAATGGCAAATTGAACATCGTTCTGTCTCAAGGTCAATATTTCATTTCACTTCATATTTTTTTCGTAAATGTTTAAAGTTTTTGCTAAATTTATGTTTGCCGAATATACATTGATATTTGTTGTTATTTTCTCATATAACCAAAATTTTTGATGTTGGATTTGATTATCTTTTAAAGGTTTTGAAAGTCGCTTACACAAATATGGAGAGGTAATGCAGGTCATTTGTGCTTTTTAATGTACATAATCTTAAAATATTATTCTTTACTATTTCTGCTACCTAGATAATGTGAAAGACTGACAGTTTTTTATACTATCAATGTATATGTTTATGGCTATTTTATTTAGCACCAAGATAAAAAGAACTCAATAATACCCAAGCAAAACAATAAAAGTTTGTCAAGAAAGTCAAATGAAGGTGTGCTCCAGTTGAAAAAAACAGATATAAAAAATAAAAATCCCTCTATAAGAAGCAGTAAACAGATTAATTCATTAAAATTATCATCAAAATTTAATGAAAATGTGTTGGAAAGCCAAGTTAAAAGACGAAAGACTCCAAAAAAACATGTTAAGTCTATTGGCACTAATAATGAAGAAACAGCAGACTCTGTTACTCAGAATGAACTGGAAATATCAAAGAAAAATCTTGATATGTGCAGTAACAATAGCTTAGAAACAGACCATAATAAAGGTATCATATATTAGTTTTATCATTTTAAACTTTACTACGTAGTTGTATCTCAAGCTTGATAATTATAGGGGCATTGCTCTTTTGTGTACATTATCTCTTGATTTCAAAGGAACTTATTTCTGAAAATTGATTTCAAAGGAACATATTTCTGAAAAACATTCAAATGAGAACATCCCCCTACTTTCTATTATCAAGATAATATGAATGACTTTATCAAGCTTGCAAAAGAGTACATAGTTTGAGTAGTCATAAAATCAAGAGATATGTCAGGTTTGATTCAAAGTAATGCAGCCTGAAAAGCTGAAATAATTAAACGTGACTACAGTTAGTGTGTTTAGGTACTAGATAGGTAATCAATCCCTAACCCATGTCTCAGAAAAATGACATTCTTTCTTATGTGGCCATAACAAATAGACACATTTCTTTTTAAGATATAAAGGAAGAAAATATCCATGATAAGAAAAATATAAACTATTCAGACAGCAAGGTTATGATTTTATTAATTTCTAAATGAATATTGTAAACAGTGTTTTTATTAATTTATCATCATGATTGATAAAGAAAGTTTATCATTTTGTAGGCAACCTTGCCTGCTCCTTTAAAAGTTGATATTGCAAGGGAAGATGATTTGAAAAAATTGAATTTAGATGAATCTAAAAAACCTTTGGCCTTGAGGAGTTCATTTGCTATTGGGGTGAAATATATATTTCAATTTTTCAATTGAATGTGTTTATTTATAAAAGATTTTCTGAAAAATATCAAGATGTCATGTTATTCCATTATGTTTAAGGCTCCTGGTTTAGTGATTAACAATCCCCTTGAGGACAAAGCAGCAAAACACAAACAATGGGTGAAAGAGTTAGGTAAACAATGATGCAAATTCATTTTCAAATTTCAGATTTTCCTATGTTTTCCAAAATTATATCAGTGCGCTCAACTATAGCTTTTCATGTATAGAACAGCAAATAAAAGACAAGAAAGAAAGAGATGCTCAAATATACAAAAATGAATTTTCTTTTCCTGCATCTCAGGTCAATCTAATTTTCAACTTTTCTTCACAATTTATTACTTATTATTATTAATTGCTTTCTGTAGTTAAGAATTGTTACTTGTTTTCCTGATTTGTTACCAATTGTTATTGACTGTTAGTTGTTTTCGTGGTTTGTTGCTTGCTGTTGTTATTTGTTACTTTTTGTTATAATTTGTTACTTGTTTTTGTGATTTGTTACTTGAATTTCTTTTGTGGATTTTCCACTGAAGAAAACAAATTACTGTATCGTCTGCATCAGCATGTCGCTATGTTTTAAGGCTCGTTGTTGTCATTTGTTTGTGATTAAGATTTGTAACTTTCCACCGTCATTTTTATCAATTTTTTTATCTATAGAAAGAGGATCGCCATAAATTCATAAAAAACGATCAATGCTCAACAAACTCAGACGCTATTACCTCTGAACCTAAAGAACCATTAAACAGGTAATAAATTTTTCAAATGTTAAAGAAATTTAACAAACATGACATATTTCTTTTTTAAGACTGCAGACAGACATTCATTAAAGAAATCATTTCTGTTTCATTGTCATCACTCGTCATAACAGTGACTTTAAAATTTAGACGTTACAAGTATTTTGAGCCATTTAAAAAATAGTATATAATTACTTGATTTACTGTAAATATCTTGAATTATTAATCTTGCTTGGTTATTTATAATTAAACTTACAGAGTATGTAATGAGCATGCGCGAGGTCGGGGCTTAATCAGTATGCTAGCTGAAGATGAAGTGGACGAACGGAAAAGAAAAGTTTTGGAACATCAGGTTTGTTTTGTAAACAAATAGTCTTATTGACTAGTCTAAAAAACAACTATTGCGTTAGAAGCAGTTATTTTACTCAAGATTATTTTGGTATTTTGATTGATTAGCAATAATTTTCCTTAAGTATTTTCTTATTATTTAGGCTTGTAGGTCCCAGGTTTCTCTCCTCTCATTTCACTCAAACACAAGAAACGGTCTGCTTTAGTTTATTTTAACACTGAAAATCATTTACATTGTTTCTGGCCGTTACTGATATGATACAGTCTAGTTATCGAAACACTTACAGAGAATTAATCTAAATATTTTCATTTTCAAACATCATGTTGATTAAACTCAAAAAATATGCATAATTATATTTGAATTTAGAAAGCGATCGAACGTCAAGTAGAAGATCGACGACAAAGGAAGATGGAAGACCGAGAACGACTTATTCGTGAAGAAGTATTGGAAGAAGAAAGATTAGCGAAAGAAAGAGAAAAACTACATGGTCAATTTCAGCAAGAAATTTTGAAAATGAAAGAAAAAGAGGTTTTGAAACTTTTTTTATTCTAGTTTAAACGTATATTATATTGCTTTCAGAGATGAACAAAGTAGTTGTGTGGTATAATCCTTGCCCATTTTCTTGCAGGAGAAAACCAAACGTCGTTCTGAAATTTTACATGAAAGCATTTCTAATGCATTTCAATCTGCTCAACAGGTGCAATATTCTTTATTCTTCCCTGGGAGGATAGTATAAACATTTCTGCTCAACAGGTGCAATATTCTTTATTCTTCCCTGGGAGGATAGTATAAACATTTAGTCCTTCCATGAAGTCATTTATAATGTCATCACCACTAGAAAGATGATATCAAATAAAATGAAAACAATCACCTTTCATTTTTCAGGCAAAACACGATAAGAGAAAAAAACATGTCAATCAAAACATAGAAGGTGTGTACGATTAAAACGTACCAAGCGTCTTTTCTTCTCCTTGCTCGTGTTTCTCATATAGTTGAAAAATGTCGTAATTTTGTTTGTTTATAGATAGTAAAACATTGCATAATCTAAATGATGAAGTTGACAAGATAGAAGACAATCTTAAGTACGAAGCAAGCAGCAAAACTCCTTTAGATGTTGAAGTATCAATGTCTTCTTTAAACGAAACCACAGACAACGATCCTTCGGAACAGAAAATATCTCATTCTATTATTAATAAATGGATCGACGAAGATTTAGGTTGTTTGAATAGCGAGAGTGGTGACAGAAATAATTTTTCACAGAAAGATATTTCTTATGAGTATATAGTACCATTTCACAGAACAGAAAGTACGTTGTTGACATTACCACACGATCAACTTAATGTTCATTTGACACAATCAAATAATACATCTCTCAATAATGCTTCGAGTGGAAATAAGTTTCGACAAGTTGATGTGAAACATAAAGGACTGACGTCAAAACATCAAGAGAAAAGAAAGAAAATTACAAAGTCCATTGTTAAGAAAAGCATTCATGGTAGTAATGATGTAAAACAATCGCGAGAAAACATTGAAATGTATGAAGAAGAGAAAATAGAAAAAACTTCATCTCAGATACAAGAAACTGTCATACCAAGTGTAAGTATACTTACATAGGATTTGCTTAAAAATATACGCGAATGTCATAACTCACAATGAAACCGAGAAATGATGGTTTCTTTATATTTATTAAAACAATTGTCTACGTTTTTTAGCATGTTTTGGCGACGTTTCAACCGACAGCTCATCAAGAGAATATACTTCTTCAATTGGCTACTTTACGAAAGGTACTACAGCTTTAACAAAAATTCCATTTTAATTTTCTGTTTGAAAAAAAAACTCGTTTTAATGAAGCTAGCGATCATCTGTTTTTCATTTGTCATGCTCGAAAATGAATTAATGTTAAGGATATTTTGTGCAGACTGTTTGTTATTAATCTTAGGTTTATGCGAGAAGTATCTATCATTAGATTTCATTGACTTAAAAAGAAGCATCCTGCGTTTAGACACTTTCCACAAATAATTATTTACCCGTCGTTTATGTATGTAGCGTTTTGTTTATCTACAGGGACTTTTAATGAAAGATGAAGAAATGAAGACGAGATTATACAAAATGAAAGACTACGAAGTTAAAGTGTAAAATTGTTTTTTCTATCTTCTGTATGTCTCTATCATTTAAATTCCAGAAGGATTTAAATTTACCCTAATTATTTTTCAAATTTTGCGATTTTCAATATTGTTCAATCTCTTTTCAAACAATTTATGACTTCAAATATTATGTATCTGTGACTAAAGACATAGTTTTTCGTATTATTATCAGTCTTTTCACAGAGAGGTTTATGATATTGTCTGAAAAAACTATGAAGAGTAAGTTGTGGTTATTTGTAGTTATAAGGAAGGCAGTTAGGTTAAAACGTTACAAGCCGAACAAAAAATCGTCTCAAAAAAAAGGACGGGAAAGCTATTTTTTACGTTTTGGTAGAATGTTTAACAATGTACGTAAGTTTATCTAGATAGATATAATATATAACGTAGCTAGCTTAGAGAAATTATCGAGTCTTAAATCAAAAGAATGATGAATATTATGGCTACTTTGTGTTTCACTATCTTCTTACTAGTTCAAGAAAAATTGACTTCTCGTGCACCTAGAATGTTGAAGTATTCAAGTATGTAGTATAAAAAGATTGAATACGTCGATGTAAGAATCTTTACTTGTTCGATTGTACTCCGAAATAATTTCTGAAATTTTCATTCACACTGAAGGCCACAGTTACAGGCCGTGAATTAATTTATCAAGGTTTTTTATCCTTTCAACTTTCTCAAATTGTGCTTTTGAAAATGTTCTCCCAAACATGTTTTACAAGTCACAGTTTACAATATTTCTTTATATTTACTAAAGCTTTGAGTATAGTTGTGCTGTGCGAATGTTTCCAAAGTAAGTTTTTTTGTGAATTTATACATTACATAACAAACAATTTTTTCGTTTGAAACTCGATAATATGAGGAATATGTTTCAGTTTTCACATTGAATTAAGGCCTGCGCGTCAGAACGTGGTTCTTGTGCAAAGTCTTGTGGGAACATATTCATATATGTAAATTTATTGACTTGCTCAAGCGAAGATCGCTAGTAACAAAATTTACCCATATTCGCGACGTTTGAATAAAACAAGTAAATATATATTGCATTTGCTGTGTTTTCCGCTTGCGTTAAATGCTTGGAGTCGAACCGTAGCGTTAGACATGGCAACGGAGTCAGAGCGAAAGCGGTAAAAGGATTTAAAGCTTACTTTATATTATTTTGTATTCAAACGAAACTCGACGTGAACGCGTCGACTGCTTCAGGAACACTGACAATATTTTACGAACTTTACGTTGCAGATTTCATCTTGAGGACATTATCCGACAAATTAGTGAAGAAACAGTATCAACCGCTACATCGGGAATAACATCGGTAGTATAAAATAGATTTCGCAAGTGAAACATACATATTCACTTTGGCGTCAAAGCAAGTAGCGCATCCTCTATTTAAAATAACGTTTATGATAAATGACTATCGCTGAATTTTGCTTTATGATTCGCACGCGATTCGTTTAAAGCTCATCTTTCTAAGCGTAACGTGATAGTGGGGATATTTTTGTAACTACAGTGTAGAATTTCAAAAGCCGCGAACGATCTTGTGCAAAAGGTATGACTTGTATTTTTTTGGACTATGTCTTCTCCGTGTGTTCAGATCTGAGTTGTGTAGCGTGGCATTGGTCCGACGCAGTTGCACAAACTCACGAATATCGTCTTTTTCACAAGATATTTCGTAGGTAATGTGTTTATTATATTTTTCATTTTGATCGCCGTAGCAATAATATTTGTTTGCTTGAAATGATGGGAAAATTTTAGGTATTTAATTTTTGCTAGTAAAATGAAAACGGTGTTGGTTATAATTATAATTTATTCAAATATTTCTGAAGCGATATGCAAAGTAAGCTTTTTTGAAAAATAATTGTTTTCGTTGAATGTCAATCTTGCTGCATCGAGAATTCAGTTGTGTATGAGTCTCCGTTTGTTTTTATGGCTAGTGTAATTAAACATTAGCCTGTGTTGTTTTACCTAAGCAAAAACTTACAATGAATTTCCGAAACATTTTTAAAAACAAAATTGGAAATCTATGCAAGAGTTTCTTAATATTTTTCAAATACTTAATTGTTTTAGTTTTTCTTTTTGCGCGCAAAAGACTTGCGTAACTCAGCTACTGTAATGTCAACCATCGATTTTCTTCTAAAGAATATGAAAATATAACTTGAATATTTGTATTTAGTTGGTGTTAGCATTTGGTATTTGTAGATTAACTGAGCGTTTTCTGTGACAGCGACTTTCATGTGACTGTTTCATGATATAGTTTTGTATGAAATTTGATCTTGACTCGATGAACTTTAGATGTGTGTAACTCACATGAGAGAATTGCTTTGTCCTTTCTTTGAATTATTTCCATAGTAGATGCTGTTTATCTTTCAAAAACAGGCTTTAAACTGCATTTTTTGTTAACTTTAAAAGTTGTTTGATTCCTGTATACTTAGCTGGAATCATAGGCGTACGGGACAGGGGGCAGCCCCCCCCCCTAAAAAAAGTTTGAAAATCGAAAAGTTGGACAAATATTTAACGTCAGTCGGGCAAAAATATAGCGGAAAGTTCATTGCGAGTTGGGGAAATTATTTACTCCCCCCCCCTCCAGAAATGATAGCTCCCGTAGGCCTATGGCTGGAATTGACTCGCTCAGGAAATGACGTGTTCGTTGGGTACAGTGTTACAGGGTATGAAACGATTTTTATGTGCTTGTACTACTGTAAAGATGTACTTAAAAGTGCGATATAGACAAACTTGTAATCATATATAATAGAATCACGTGACATTCACAAGAAAATTTTCATAAGTTTCATAACATAGACGTTTATACCATGTCGTGAAAACTTCCCATAAAGGTTTGATTAAAACTCAAATGAAGCCGTCAACCATTTTTATCGTATAATTATGGTTTGTAGTTGATCATAGCTTAATGTTTACTTAGATTTCTAGTGGTGAATTATTGTAGTTGATCATAGCTTAATGTTTACTTAGATTTCTAGTGGTGAATTATTTGGGAAAGAAGACATTTGTGGCAAAGATAAACGGTGAGAAGGAAATCCTAAAAACAATAATTATTTTATGACCGTTAACAATATACATGCAACTTTGCAAGAACTTTGCTGCTCAAGAACTGTAAAACGTGAAACAAATAGCATAATAAGAAGTAGAAATGTTTTATGTAGCTTTGCGCGTTGCTTTACTTCGGCAAACATCCATAAACAAAAAAAATTTTGTGAATTATCTTTGACTGTTGGATAACTATGTAGGGTTGTGAAAGATGTATGAGGAAAATTATTTTGAAACTTTGAAAAATACACTCAAAAATTTATAGAAATCATCTCTACATGTTTGTAGATGTAGATCGTCCAGGTTGGTATAGTCCCGAGAAGGACTGTTTTTGTTGTTGTTGACTGACATTTCGGCAACCTTAGCGGTAGTCATCTTTAGAAGTTTTCTTGACTCTGAAGATGACTTTGAAGATGACTCTGAAGATGACTACCGCTAAGGTTGTCGAAACGTCAGTCAACAACAACAAAAACAGTCCTTCTCAGGACTATAACCTGGACGATCTACATCTACAAACATGTAATGATACTCCCGGGCTCAAACCATTTACTTTAGAAATCATCTCGTTAAACTTTGTATACAAACTTCAGAACGTTACGTTATCATTGTTTATTTTTCTCGTAAAAATTATTGTTTTGACTGTGAGAAACAAAATGTTACGTCATTGGCTACAACTTAAATTGTTGTTGTTATTGAAAAACAAGGTTATGTCATTTCATCTTTTCAAATATTTTTTGTCTTTGTAATGTAGTGATTTTGAAGAAGATTCTTCAGACGGTATTAAATCAGTTGAAAGTTTGAGCGAGGAAGAAAATTTAAATGGTAAGGATAGCAGTGCTGGTAATGTTAATGTATACCCATTTCATCCGTTTTAGTACAGATTTTTATTATTAACCTTGCATTTGCACTCCAACAAAGATATTATTATATATTATATATTTGAAACCAAGGTACCCAAGGGTCGATTATTTTATTTTATAGCAAATACATCTTCATACCACAACTGACAAAAACTCACATATCTTTCGACACCTTTTAAAATTAAAAATAAACTTGTCGTTTTTATTAAATGCGCAATATCCATAGTGCTTTTAAAATACATCTTCATTTAATGCTCTTCAAAAGGGCGTATTTCTCTTTTTTCAATTCTTGCAGAATAGCAAATAATTGATATCTCTCTGATATTTTTTTATAGATGAGGTAATTGTTCAGTCAAAAATCTCGCCAAGGTGTGATGTTTGTGGTTTACTTCACTTTAAAAGTTATCGCTGTGTGACGCGAGTTTCATCTCCAGCCTATATTCGTCAAGCTTTCGACGATAATTATCATAAGTTGCGTGTCTGTCGCAAGTGTCTTACGTCGAAAGAAAATTGTATTGAAAACGTTGCAATTTCCAATTTAACTCGCTACTCAGACAAGATCCGGCAGATGAAAATACCTTTAGGAATGACGAGCAATCGAAGGACAAAACCGTTCGAGCTTGTGGTTCGTAATTTACAACATATCAAGTTTAGTGATTTTCACAGACCTGATGACTTGGAATGTTTTGAAGAGTTTGATTCATACTCCTCGATTGTTGACAATACGTCACAGACGTCGAGAAAAACTTTATTGCAAAGGTTCCATATGGACGATCCGATACAAAAGAATTTATTCTTGAAAGAACTCAACTTGTGTTCCACGGAAATGTTGAAGAATGTTTCAAGAAAAGAAGAAATTAGTGACCGCCCCAATGGTAATATCAAAATGGAAAAGTCCCAGCCAATGCACAAAGATATTAATCCTGTATTTAACCATTCAGAAGACGTTCGATCTCTGTATCACGTGACCGCCAAGAATGTAGTTTCAAGTAATATTCCTGAGAAAAAGCTTGGTGAGGGTGCCGTGAAGTGTGTCAATCATGATCTTGTCGTGAGTACGAAACGTGCTTGGAAACCGAACAAAAATATGATAATCTCCGTAAAGTTGGAAATCCTAGTATGAAGAAATTGCTGAAAAATTGTGATACAGGCAAGACTACAGGTATAACATGTTCTTAAATTGGTTTGTTGTACTGAGCTAGCTATATTCAAATTAAAAGTCACTCGATCTGTCGATAAGAAATGTTTTGTCATAGTGTAAAACAAGCATATTTTTAAGTTTGTTGTAGAAGATAAGAAAATACCATTTTTGGTAAATCATTTCATTTTAAAGGAATAAGCTCAACTTTATCACAAAAGGCAACATTTCAAGCATACTCAAAAGAAGTTTGAAGATTTTTTGTTTCTTTTTAGGTAAAACAACGGGCGATTCACATTCACCAGAGAAGAGTAGAACTTGTGGCATTCACTGTGCCGTGTGCAACAATCATGTTCAGAAATCTTATAGCTGTTGCACCTTGCAAAATGCTCCTGAAAAGTTCAAACATCTATTTAAACCTGGAGTTGTACGCTTGAAAATATGTAGAAAATGTAGTCCGTATAAAAAGATTATTAAACCAGACGAACCTCCTGTTGTTAAAAAGAAAGTTAAAGTAAAACAGAAACGAGGGCGTAAACCAACCAAAGTTGTCAAACCATCGACTGTTGCTCGCGAGATTCCAAATAACTTTCGTGTAAAACTTGAAGAAAGTCGAGGACTTTTAGATCCAGCAAGAGCCAATTCAATAGCGTTGACTCCAACTCCAACATTTCAACAAAAAGCCAGCGATTACATTCACAATTCAAGCACAACCAGTCCTATTGAAAATATGGACCAAAATTGATTTTGTTTGTGCTTTAAAACTGATATAAATTGTTATGTAAGATATGTAAAAGGTTTTCTATTGAAACACCTCTATGGTACATAAACAAATATAATTTTTGAAATATATTTGTAGTACTTTCGTTTGAAGTCTTTGGTTTATTTTTAGTTATGCCAGAAGCATTGTCAGTTTGAAGGAAATTGTTTCTCTTTGAAAAGACGTTGTCTTAATCTCCTTTGTTAGGGTCATCTTATTCGGGTCATTTTTTAGATTTTTATAAAAACTGTACAAATTTTTTTACCACCAAACGTTATTGTTGTTCTTTTTTGAAATAAATTTTTTTTTTCTTCGGTACGCTTTTCGTTTTTACGCTCATATATTAAAAATGAGCGATTAAAAGTGTTTTAACTTCGTGTTATCACTTATCCGATTAAAAACGAAGACATAACATGAATGCAAGGAAACTTAAGCAATGGGGAGGAAGCCCGTAGGTCTTAATTCAGCCTTGTAAACTTTAGAGCATGTAAGCAGAAATGATTAAAAGTACATTCATTGTAAAAATACCGAAATGAATGGATTCAATGCAAAAGTATAAAATGGTGACGATGAGCAAGACCTAGTTTTAACATCCCGGAGCCAAAAATAGCTACATTTTGTTCCGTTAAAGTGACCAACATCTGACTTCACTTTGTATCTTATGTTTTAACATAAGAACTATCAAAACTAAAGAACCATCAAAACTAAACCAATACAGTAGAGTGGGGAAGGTGAATCAAGTAGAACGTCCAAAGAATATGAAATAGCAATATGAAATATAATATCAGCAATTAAAACCATTGATACAAAGACTTACATGAAGTACTTATAATTTTTCTTACTTTCCGCATGTCCGCCTCCATTCCGCCTCGGCATTTGCTCGGCATGCATTGTTTATTATATGTTCAAAACAAATAGTTGACATTAATATATGTTGGTCATGTTAAAATGTGTTCCGTTGAAAGAGTTAACTTTGGATGACAGTTTGAGACAAAGCTAAATATTGAATAATACATGTGTATCGAAATTATTTGCCGATTTTAAATAGATAACATGGAAATATGAAACATGCATAAAAGTTCACAGAGACGAGAAGCGTGTGAGTGACATCCTGAATTGGCAGTTTATTGTTGGTTTCAAATTACTTGATTGTTTTACTACTTGAACGTTTCGACTAGTGATAAAGTTGTGAAGATATTAACGCTGTGAAATTGTCAAAATAATTAGGGGAATTTCTCGTTCATGGTTCGTATCCTGTATCCTGCAACTAACTTTAACCATCGTCATTATCGTGTTTTGCTATTTATAAATTGGTTACAATGGAAAGCGAGGATTTATGTTAAAGAACCGTTTTGTCGTCCTTCATTTCAACGAAGCGTTTCTTTTGGTAGCTGCATTTTAAGAGACATTCCTTTTATTCAACACTTATATCGATTCTTCGTGTCTTATAAACAAATAAAATTGCGTATTTGATTGCTTGTCAACCAACGGCAGTTCTTCATAGACAACATGGAAGATTTCTCTAGTCCAGCGCGCAAACTTGACGAAGAAATTCAGGAAAAGGTGATAAGAGATGCATCTGTACTTAGCTCGAAAGATATTCTGAAATTACAGCAAGAAAACATCCAACTAAAAAAAGACATGCAAGCAATGGAAAGTAAACTGAAGTCAAATATGAAAAGTATCAAAACATTTTGGAGTCCCGAATTGAAGAAAGAGAAGGCGGCAAAAATTGAGCAAGAAAATAAGTTTTTGACCCTTCATCAACAATACACATGTTTATCTAAAGAAGCTCAGGTACAGGGATGATCAAAATAGTTTCCTTTTACATATGAAAGATTTAGTGCGTTACATTTCTCAATTTCATAGCTATGTTAAACCTACTATAACTAGGTGTATTGCTTGAGATATTTATGGTTTAGTTATTTTAACATGAGAATGCACTGTACATAAATGTCAACACTTCACAAAATTATGATTTCACTTGTTTGTGAGAATATAATATTAATTCTTCATATCTTATTATCATACTTAAAATTACAAAGAGGTTAGGTAATGGTTAGGAATTTTGAAATTTACTTGTCATTTGAAAGCTTAGATTAGAAACCCAGGGCTTACAATTATAGAGTCTTGCTCTATATGTGTGAGTTGTAAATTCACGTGTACAAAATTTAGTTGAAAAAAGAGTCAAGAATTACTAAAGTTGCATTTGTAACAGTTCATAACCAATCCACACATATGTAACACTGGAGTTAACTCATATTTATAGCATATTTTTGTATAGACATGTGTTCTTATGGTGTTTTTTTCAGGAACTACAAAGAGCTTTAGATAGTGAAAAATTTAAAGTAAGAGAACTTCAAGATGGCAAAACCTTTCACAAGAACCTGTTCCAATAAATAGCAGTGAAACTGTAAATAGTTTATTGGAAAGAGTCAAAGAACTTGAGAATGAAGGCTTGGTATTAAAACAACTGGTTGATTCAAAAGAAGTAACAATAGACAAACTAAAATATGAGATTGAGAGTTTACAAACACAGAAAGAGACATCACAAATTCAAGGCCTTCTTGATGCTCTTTCTAAAGTGACACATCTTGAAGAAGATATTGTTAAACGTGATCAAACTATACAAGACTTACAAAATGAAATAGACTTAAGCAAATCACAAGCGCTTTTGAATAATGAGCTGCAAGACATTCTATCAATGAAAGATGAGGAATTGAAGAAATCTCGGGCACATTGTGATGAACTTAAAGAAGAATTATCTGAATTGACAAAGAGATCGGATGAGAATGCATCCAATGAAGAACAAAAATTCAAAGAGAAATTAGAGAAGAGAGAAGAAGTGTTTGAAAGTCATTCTAAGTTCATGAAATCAAAGGTTTTTATTAAGTTTAAATAATGTCCACAAAGCAGCATATTGAAAATTTCAATTTATCTTTCATTCATGGAATAATTTTAAATTACCTGCATAAAACCTTTTTTTCATTTTCTTCATTTTAGCTGGAGTTAGCAAAAGCAGACTTGTCCAAAAAAGAAGCAGAATTGACAGCAGTGAAAACGAAACTTGAAACACTAGAGAAACACCAATCAGATCTTCAGGAACATATTTCTGTTTTACATAGCTCCAACAAGTCAAAGGAAGATCATATACAGAATTTACAACAAGATGTGAGTTTATATATTTTTATAGTGTTACTAAATATGACCTCCATTTGCTAGTTGTATTTTATATGAATGAAAAAGTATGAATAGGAAATATATTGGTTATACAGACGCGTAAGGCAACAGAGGAGGGATATTGAGGGGATGGTAGGGGTGGTTGATGTGTGTCCTGTGTACAATGTTACAATGATATGTGAGTTATGTAGTGTATGATATGCACAAAGTTAGTAAAGATATTTGATCATTGTGAATTTTTGCATTATCTGAGTAATAGGGAAAGAAAAGTGCTTTATGCTTTTCACTTGTTACAAAATAATACAAATTCTGATTGATTTAGTTGAATGACATTCGAAAACGTTTGGATGAGAAACACAAAGTTTTGGATGGCAAAGAAAAAGAAATTTTGTTGTTGTCTTCTGTTCAAAGTCAAAACAGTGGTGAAGTTGAGGTGCTTAATACATTGATTCAGTCAAAAGAAAAACAGATTACATCCTTAAAAGAAAAGGTATTTCAAAATATATCTGTGGATTAAATGTGTACTTATACGTATGTTATTTGCTTTAAACAGGGTTGCATTTTTTAAGATTTTTGGGGCGTACTTTATGTTCTTTCGCTGCTAAAACATTAAAATTGATAATAAATGATTAACATGTATATTTTCATAGTACATATGCAATGGTAAGTTAGTTCCGTTCAAACACTTGATATACGGTTAATGTGTTAAGAAATCAAAAAGTCATTGCAAAGAAATGATTGGAAAACTTTTACTCTTGCTTCATATTCTACAATATTCATTGTTTTATTTAGTTTACATTCTTAGCATTTTGTCTTGTGTTTAGTGTGAAACGCTTGAGTTAGAGGTGATGGAAAAGAAAGAGTTACTTTCAAACAACAAAAATCATATTGCAAATGTTCAAACTGAAAATGATGAATTACTGTCGACTTTAAAAACGCTGCAGAAATCCTTGAAAGATAAAGACGCAAAAATTGAGAATCTGGAGCAGAAAAATGAGAGTATGTTACAAGACCACGATAGCAGTCTGCATAACCATGAACAAAAGATGAAATCTTTGCAAAACCAAATTCTAACGAAAGAGGTTTGACAACTTTTTGGTTTTAAACAATTTATTTGTTCTCGTATGTCTTTCAGTGTATTTTTGTGTTTTATTTTTCGTATGTCACGTATTTTATAAATGATAATTATCTATGGATCAAATTCTATGGATTACTTACTTTAAATTGTTGAAATTTGTTCAAAATTGTTAAATCTACCAGTTCTCCACCAGTTCTCAGTCACCAGTTCTCAGTCAGTTCTCCACCAGTTCTCAGTCAGTTCTCCACCAGTTCTCCGTCAGTTCTCCACCAGTTCTCAGTCAGTTCTCCACCAGTTCTCAGTCAGTTCTCCACCAGTTCTCAGTCAGTTCTCCACCAGTCCGTCAGTTCTCAGTTCTCAGTTCTCCACCAGTTCTCAGTCAGTTCTCCACCAGTTCTCAGTCAGTTCTCCACCAGTTCTCAGTCAGTTCTCCACCAGTTCTCAGTCAGTTCTCCACCAGTTCTCAGTCAGTTCTCCACCAGTTCTCAGTCAGTTCTCCACCAGTTCTCAGTTCTCCGTCAGTTCTCCACCAGTTCTCAGTCAGTTCTCCATCAGTTCTCAGTTCTCAGTCAGTTCTCCAGTTCTCAGTCAGTTCTCCACCAGTTCTCCGTCAGTTCTCCACCAGTTCTCAGTTCTCAACAGTTCTCAGTCAGTTCTCCAACAGTTCTCAGTCAGTTCTCCATCAGTTCTCCGTCAGCTCTCCACCAGTCCTCCGTCAGTTCTCCACCAGTTCTCAGTCAGTTCTCCTACAGTTCTCAGTCAGTTCTCCATCAGTTTTCAGTCAGTGGACATTGTTTCAAGTGCAATTGATTCACTGATGAAATTGTCTTTTAGCTTGAACTCGAAGAAAAAATGGAAGAAATATCAAAAGTAAAAAGTACAAATGCTGAAGACGAAAGTAGATTAAACTCTGCAAAAAAATCATTACAAGAACGGGAAAATGAAATAGAAGACCTAAAAATGAAAGTTACACGCGTAAGTTTCCTAGGGTTTTTTTTTAATTTGAACTGGTATTTTAGAGTTGATGTTTTCACTCTGCAATTTACTTTTGTAACAAAACAATCTACAGAATATTTAGGAATGTAATCAGGGTGAGGTAGGGCGTAACCAGTGTAGGCAGGGCGTAACTAGGAGTAGGCATGGCGTAACTAGGGGTAGGCAGGACATAACTAGGGGTAGGCAGGATGTAACCGAGGGGTTGGGAGGGCGTAACCTGCGGTGTGAAAGGGGGGCAGGCAGGGCGTAACTGGGGTTAGGTAGGACGTTATAAGGGTAGGCAGTGCGTAACCCGGGGTGGGCAGGGGGCGTAACCATAGTAGGCAAAGTGCCGAATTACCCTCTTACCTTCCCTTTTTTTGTCACCCTTTTTTTTCGTCACAATTTCAAACCATATCATTTTCTTTTTTCATTTTTGATTTTCTTTCATTATGTATGAAAAAAGGTCGTAGATGACCTTTTTTTCACACATAAATCCTACCTACCCACCTGACTATATGTATTGCAACATATAAATAAACGTATCCTTAAATACCCCGACATACACCTGTGTTTAAAAGACTATGTCTAAAAGAAAGAAGCCAAAAAATTATTCATATCAAATTCAAAGAGAATGAGCATTTCTTATTTCGGGTTTCTGTCGTGTCTAAAAATTAAAGTGTTAACATGTTCCACGACTAACGAATATTGATTCATGCTGTCCATTATATACTATCTATATCAAGTAAAAAAGAATTTTTTTCAATATATATCATTTTGTTTAGAAAAATAATGAAATAGAAAGACTAACGAATGAATTATCACGAACTGAATCGAATCTCCAACAATTGCGAGAAGAAATTGAGATTTTATCCAAAAAGACAGATGATGAAAATAAAAGTTTGTTGAAAGAAGTAAACGAAAAGAAAGAGAAAATTGAAGAATTAGATAGGTGAGCATCTCTTATTTAAGTCAGCCATGTAAATTATTGGGGTCATTTTTTTTCGATTTTTCCTGCCAGTTTACTATATTAACAATGTGAAAATTAGTCAAGTTTAAAATTCAATAATCGATCTAATACTTGCACGTATCATTGTCTTTCCAGGCAAGTAAGAGAACAAGCCAAAAAACTCGCCAATACTAAACGCAGTCAACAAATTGATCGAGAACATCATGCTGCTGCCCTAAATGAAATAAAACAAGAGAAAGAAGATATTAACATGAAACAAATTGAAACTAAGGTAAAGATGTATTATCTGCATGAAACTTAGCAAGTATAGTCGTATGAGAAATGTAGTCTTACGACAATATTGTGGATATATTTAACACAAGAAATGTTTATGTAGAAAGATCTTGATGCTAAAACAGAATCTTAGCAAGTATAGTCGTATGAGAAATGTAGTCTTACGACAATATTGTGGATATATTTAACACAAGAAATGTTTATGTAGAAAGATCTTGATGCTAAAACAGAATCTTAGCAAGTATAGTCGTATGAGAAATGTAGTCTTACGACAATATTGTGGATATATTTAACACAAGAAATGTTTATGTAGAAAGATCTTGATGCTAAAACAGAATCTTAGCAAGTATAGTCGTATGAGAAATGTAGTCTTACGACAATGTTGTGGATATATTTAACACAAGAAATGTTTATGTAGAAAGATCTTGATGTTAAAACAGATCGTGTGGCATTACTGGAAGAAGCTCTTCAAGAAACTGTAAATAGTGTGTCTGAGAATGAAAAATTGCTTCATGAACAAACTGAAAAGAATTACGAACTACAAGTTGAAGTAGCAAATCTTAAAATTGAAAATGCCGTAACAAATACGAAGAATGCTTCGCTAATATTGTCTTTGAGTGAAAGAGATATTGCCTTGTCTTACTATCGCAATGATAGAAAAAAAATGAAGGCCGAAGTCTTGGAAATGAAGTAAGTTGTTTTGTGTATTTGACAAATATTTTTAGCACTGCTATTTCGTCAACCGTGGCACATAACATGTCAGTTTACTGCATGTTATTGCTTAATTTTTTGAAAGATCTTGGTATCGTTGGAATATACTCCAAATTTTGTGTATATTGTTTGATGACTTTTGTATGTCTCATGAGCAGGGCGAAACGTTAATTAGTGGGGGTGTATATTCATATTTTCAGTTGTGCCCTACTGATTTCTTTTGAAATTCAATTCACTTTCAAAAGAAATCAGTAGGGAACAATGGAATATATGAATATGCACCCCACCCCCTCAATTAACGTTCTAGTTACGCCTCTGCTCATGAGGCACGCACGTACACATGATAATAATTAACTAAATTTTGCAGACAAAATGCTCTTCTTGCTACTATATCAGAAAAAGACACCAATATTGCTATATTAGAACAAAATCCAACAATACAAGGCGAACAAGAAGTAAGAAAACTGAAGGGAGAAAAAGATCATTTAGTAGATCAACTAAAACAGTTGGTACGTGTGTTGTTAGTTCTGTATAAAATAACAATAAAACAACGCGTGCCGTGATTGACCTATAGCTGAGTTGGCATTAGTCTGTGAAAACTGATCTAAGCACAATCAATGAAATCAATTAAAAAGAATTTGAAAATCATGTATACGTATAAGAGAAAAAATTAAAAATTGCACTGATCTGCTCTCAAGTTCTACAAAAGATCTCCTCGGTTTGTATAAGCTTGTGCAAACACAGTAAACATCTTTTATTTCTAAATTTTACATGCCTTTAACGTATTTACATACTTTTTCTATGTTTTCATTGTGTTACATGCTTGTTGTGTGTTGTAAGCTTGTGTCACATGCTTGTTTATTGTTACCTGGTGTTACTTGTTTGTTGCGTGTTGTTAGCTTGTATTACGTACATTGGATGAATTGATTCGAATTTTCAATTTTTTTACGTAAGGGATTTGCTGTATTTTAAAAATTTTCCATTATTTACATGTCGTTCAACTTTTAATCTTTTAAAAGAATCAAAAACGTATACTTATCGTCAACGAAAGTGATAATCTTACTTTGGCTACTGAATTATCTCAAGGATCTAATGAAACAGTATGTAGTTATCTGTCTGTTTATTTTCTCATATGTTTTCAAGTCGTGAGATTGACGACAATTTTAATCTACTCATATTTGTCACATTTTAAAGATAACGGAGTCATTGTTATTGTTGGATAACAACACAGAAAAGTTATTCTACTATATGAAAAGTTTATCAGATTTAATGAAAGAACATTACAATGAAATCTACACAACTTTACCTCGTGCACCAACATCTAGAGAAATCAAAGTTTTAATGAACGACAACGCCAATCATGCGGAGGTAATATTTATGACGTTATCGTTTGTTGCTTAGCAACCACGTACGTGTTGTGGTTGCATATGGCCTTGGAGTGGGGAAGCATGTCATTGTTTTTTGTCCTTTTAGTTTTAATGGTATGTTTAAATTAATTTCCCAGTCTCTTCATAATCTTCATTTGACAATACCTGCTCTGCTCTGTATAAATAAGATTAACAAAGAAATGAGTTGTAAAACGTAATGTTAATGTTTTAGTGAAAAATTGAAAATAGCTTTTATCTATGTTAACAAGGTCAGGCAAACGTGTATCCATTGTTTGATTGTTTTTATTGTTATGTTGTTTTAGCTTGTGAAAGAAATTGAACAGCAGGTGTCTTTGATTCAGGCAGTTCAAGATTACGTAGAAATTATGTTGGAAAGTTTGGAGGAAACGGAAGTTGATCAAGAAAAAGAGTGAGAATGGGTGGAATGTTCGCATTTTACCCTTAAGTTATCAGCTCATATGGCGAAGTTGTCTTTTTTTGTTGCAAAATTGACACATTGTCCCACGTCATATCTTTGCGGGGGTTGTATGTTTTTATGCTGCTGCCTCGCTGCTGCTTGTCATACTTAAAATTTTATTAAATTGTCAGGGCGTTTAGTGTTATTGTGCGAACTCACTTACTGGAGAGAATAAATGGCTCAAAAATTGGCTTTTTCTAAACGATGCTAGTGTACAGCACAGTCGTGCGCCATGTTTGTCTTTTGGACAAGCCGCAATGTTGCGTTTATCTTTCTCGAGAATAAATTTATAATCTCTTTTTTTGTAGTGTGATAGTAACAAAGTTTTTACTCTTATCATTGTACATAAAACTAAATATATATATCAATATATCAATATATCAATATATAACTTTATTTGGTTGGGGTGACGACCCAATAATTTGGCGCTACTTTAAAGTGAAACATGTTTAAACCTATTTCTTGATAACAGTGTATATTTAAGTTTGAAGTCTTGTCTAGAAAATTCTTTCAAGTTTCGACATATGATAAAGGAATTTCAAAGGTCACGATTATCATACCTTTGTAGCTAATACATGATTGATATAAATACCAACAATTTTTTTCGTTATTGAGTGTTCTGAATATACAGGCTATTTTTCAACCATAACTATAGATGAAAAACAAATTGTCTGACAATTTTTTTAAGTGACGGAGTATATAATATTCAGAAAGTTTTCAAAAAGTGTTTACCTATACATCAGAAGTTTTAGTACACTACGCCAACAGCACTTTAATTGTTTGTGAGAGAATTAAAAACATAAATTCTTTATAGACAACGATAAATATGGCAATGTGAATGTGGCTTCTTAACTTATAAAAAAAGGCATAGACGCAAGTCTGAAGTCGAGGTGACTATATTATTGAGCGGAACTTGTGTTGTGGTGGTGGTGTTGTTGTATTATCTTGAAAATGTCACATTTGCTTGGAAGGCGGTGAAGCGCTTAAAAATAGTTACATAAGTCTTGCTAAAAGTGAAAACGCAAAAAAAGACATTCCGTATTTTGATATATTTTTCAAGATGAAAATTGTAAGTTATTGTAAAATCTCTCAAAGCTAAAATACAGAAAGTCACTTTTAGTGCGTTTTGTAGACTTGTTATGTCTCACGCAAAAGTGTGTGAAATTCTTTCGTTAATTGCCACTAAAGTAAGTGACAACACATCATTTAAAAAAAAACAAATTGTTTGTCTCAGCGAAATGCGACAAAGAACTAAACACAGTATAATGAGAATGGAACTTTTCATAAATTGAACTGGTGAAACGCGTTGGGCATATTGCTTTATGAAAAAAGTATTTTAAAATAGGATAGCTAAAGGTATCAACCAATTTCTGTACACACTTGCTGCATCTTTAGGAGGAGTCGGAATTTATGAATTGCATTCCATCTACCTTAAATGGTTTAATCTAATTGTTAAATGACACTCACTTTGAAACGACTGTGCCAAATAAGGTATGCATAAATTTGTATAATTTATTCAACACCGTAGTTAACGATGATATGTAAAGAATATGGCGAAGAATAGTTTCATGTAGTGCGTTGCTTATCGTTTTTTCTAATATATCATGCGAAGAAGCAGTAGTCACGGCGAAGTTCCATTACCCGATGGTTGGGAAAAGGGTGTCGATTCGGCCGGACGTACATATTTTATTGATCATGTCAACAAGAATACGACTTGGATAGATCCTCGCGACAGGTTCTGTTCTATCATATTTTAATAAAATGAATGCATCGATATATTAAAAGTTCTCTGTCTCTTCGTTTTATACACAAGCCATTTCTTAGCCAAAGAATTAACGTTTCTAAAACGTGTTTGATGTTAGCTCGATTTATATTTGGTATTTTTTATTCATTCACACTTGAATAAAGTTAGTTCAACATCAAATACTTTCAATATTTTCGTAATAATATTGTCATTTCATCTTTTGCTGTGAAACACATAGGAACATTCATTCTCACATAATAAGCTTTAAATAAATTATTTCCAAGTCCATAATTCACCTGAATGAGTTTAATTTATCAAGTTAACTGTACGGATTGTCTACCATTTATCATTTAGAAATACTATTTTGAAAGAATGTAAGGAATTACATTTTTCATGCTTTTTGTTTAACAAAATTGTTATAACCTAAACTGGTTACATCGTCATAAAGTTTTTATCGTTACTTGTGCCTGTTATTAAACTTCTCCTTACAATTTACCAGTACATATAATACTTTTGAGGAAAAAGACATGGTTCGTTATGCCTTCCGAACTTTTCTGATGTTTGTAGTTGTTGTCGAAAATTTGCTGTTTTTGCTGTTTTTTCTGTTGTCGTTGATAATTATATAATGATACGAGTATCTTGAAAGCGAAACTTTTCAGTTTGATAGCTTTCAATATTTGTCGTGTTTATCAAATTCTTAAAATGCATTTGTTAAAAGTTAGTGTTTTGTATTTGGCTGTGGGTTTGTTGAATGTTGCGATTCAATCGTAGTTTTTTGTTCAAACCAGTTCAGAATCATCATGCATTTTGATATAAACTGTCCTTTATTGCTGTAGTGTAAGAGATTAGGACCCAAATGATAATGATTTTGAAAATACATATCTTGTTTTTTTTAAGTTTATTAACAATCTCCAAGTAAATTTTGACGCCAAGTATTAAGAAACTGGCAACTGCAAATAATAAAACCTTAATTTGACTAAATTTATTCTTATTTAAATGTTGTTTGGTTATTTTCATTATGATATTATTACATGAATGGTTTCACAAGCATTTTAAACCATGGTTTTATTTGCTTAATCTATTATGGTATGGATGTGTTTAAAATAAAATCATTATTTAAATTTAATTATAATTTGCTGTGCATTTACAGGTTGACAAAGCCAATGACCTTTGCTGACTGCGTTGCTGATGGTATGAACAAAATAGATTTTAAATGATGGAGTTGATCTTTAATACCAAGCATGTAATATGTAATTTGATGACAATTCTTGCACAGTTCATTTACATATTTGTGCTAAATTTAACCACAAAGCTCTAAAAATATGTTTGAATGAATTTAAGAGCAACAGCTGAAAGCACTTCTGGTTTTATCAGCTTGTTTTTTTTAAGATATTTTCCACATAGTTATTGACATCTACAAATAGAAGATTTATTATCTTGAATTGTCAAATGTCTATACCGTGGCTTGTTCTGTATTCAAGATGTTAAAAATATTTGTGTTTATTTTTCAAGCATCAAGAGTTTTTAAATAATGATTATGCACTTTGTATTGTTGTAATGGTTTACACTCATTGTAAGAACTACCTTTGACATGTCAATATTTCATTTTAACATTATATTTGCAGAACTACCATTTGGCTGGGAAGAAATCACAGATGCATGTAATAGAACATATTATATTGACCATAACACTGGTAATTTGTGGTGAATATTTTCTCAATCAATAAATTTTTCTTGGCACTTAGCAAAAGTGGTCTGTTTTGTTTAGGTAGTACACATCTTAAAGATCCAAGACGGCAATGGCAAACAGAACAAGAGCAGATGCTTAAAGATTATTTAATGGTTTCCCAAAACAACAACCTACAAGTATGTAGTGTGTCAATGGTATTTTTAATCACATATTTTGTGGTTTATTGTAGGAAAATTTAGTTTCTCTATGTTTGCTTTGCCTTCTGAAATTGTCATGATTTTCCATTACAGGCAAAACAGGATGCTTTGATTATGAAGCAACAAAAATTGCATTTGGCAGAAAAAGAGGTATTACAAAACTGAGGTTTTTCACTGTTAATTTATGAACTTTGTACATCTTTCTGGTATAAAGTCTAAAAAGTATTTTAACTTCCTGCCAGTACTTGTATCTGATGTCAAAAGGAAAAAAAAATAGTGAAGCGAATGGCATACATTTTAGTAGTCTTCCATCAAGCAATAATTTGGAAACATCTCCAGGGAGTACAAGCTGGTCTACTTTACATGAAGATGATAATTTTACCGAAGATCTTGACAATGAAATTGCAAATTCAAGATTAAGAGTAAGCTGTCAATAATATATGTAGTTTGTATGTAGTGTAAAGTGTGTTTTATGCCACTATGGAGTCAAACAAAGTTTTAACTGTAATTTGATCTGCAAGTTTGATTTTTTTCACTCAATTGCTTACAAAATGCAATCTATAAAGTGTTTTGAAGAGCGCACCAGTCAACTTTTCTTACACCATAAGATTGATGTAAAATCATCTGGCATTGTTTAGGTGGCAAGGTTAAAGAATGATATTGCAGGTGTCGATGAGGAGATTTCATCTCAAAAGTCTGGTGTCAAAACTTTAAAAAATTTCGATGATAAACAAAGAACTGGAAATAACGGTTGTGATAAGTTTGTGAGTGATACCAATCTGATGGAGTTTCAAAATAATGAACAGTATGTGGAAAATGAAGAAATTCAACCACAAAACACATCCAAGATCTTATTGCTTCTAAAAAGAAGTTTTCCACTCATTCAGAAACTGAGGAATCTAAGTCAAAAAAGGTTGGTGTTATGCAAGTCTGAATTTTTTCTGGATAAAATTGTTTTAGTTTTTTTAACAGGTAAGACTGATAAATGTACCAATAAATCCCCTACATTGATAAATGTACCAATAAATCCCCTACATTGATAAATGTACCAATAAATCCTTTACAGATATTTTTTAATTGTATGATGAATCCAACTGTTGGAATTGAAATTTTAAACTGAAAATTTGTTCTTCTTGTAGTTTTTTGTTTTTGATGAAGGGGTAATAAAGCATTCTGACATAAAAGTATTGCGTTTAATTAGGTTACCAAAAATGTGAAAATTTCTTCCTTATCGAAATCTTCATTTAAAACAAAAGCCTTATAAAGAGACACACATTACATGAAGACAAAAATTTAAAACTATTTTGGGTTTTGTGCATGTAGTGATTATAACTTTACTGTAAAGCCACATAATGTTTGTTCTCGTCATTATTTTGAATGTATTTGATTTTGTAGTCAATATTTCATCATTTCTATTCCATTCTATGCATAACATACATGTTAATGATAGTATAATGAACATCGCGATTGTCATTATGTAAGTCTGGCTGCATGTGGGGGGCTCCATGTCGTGTTTGTTAAAGAATCTTTATCGTCTTTAAGAATATCGAATTTAATTCCAAACCTCGTGCGTGTTTAAAATTTTTCCCATTTTATGTGAACTTAGGCTATTTTGTTTTCTAGGGAAGTTTGTCAAAATTAAGTGGATATGGATCGGATGTTTCGTTATCTTCTTCATACTCAGAACTCCCTCGGCCACAGTTGGAAAGCAATTATGAGCACGTTTTAGCAAGTATTGCTCAAATGAAGAGAGAAATCGATGTTCTTGAACAAAAATTAACAATTTACAATACGCGAGATTTAGGTCATCTTGTTAATGAAAGGAAAGAATTGTTATGTCAGTTACAACGATCTTCACATATTGAAAAAGACATACAGAAAAAGGTGAGGATACATGAAATGAAGTGGGTGTTTTTGAGGAATGCAATTTCCACTATTTCCCTCTCAATTTTTGTGTGTACATGTTGTAATGTATGATGGTTTTATTATCAATGAAGTCATAAACCATCTTGTACTTCCAAATTAAACCAACGTAAAGGCGATACATTTTAACGAGAAGCCCATATCTTGATTTTTTAATTTTTGTTGTGACTTATGATGAAGATAATTTTTTTAAATTCTTGAAATATTTAATTCAGATGATTGCAATAGTTTAGTTTCAAAGGATTCATATCACTATACACGCACCTATAGCCCATACTTGAGATAAACGAATTTTTTTGGGCAAACAGGAACAAAATGGAATTTCCGAATTATTCAAAACTTGTTATTTCCTTCCTTAGATTGCTGGAAAACTTGTGTTTCATCGTAATTTGTTGCATTTTTCTTCAACCAATAAAAATTTAAGTTGTACAAATACAACACACAAAATGATAAATCATTTGTCCTTCATGATCATATTTTTACAAATTTTGCAGGTTTTTGCGATCATGTTCAGAGTGATTTTCTTAAATTATTGTAAAACTTAATTCTACTCGGTTTTTATTTTGAATTTACTCAAATAAATATCAAAAACGATTTATAACAACGTAGATATTTTTGAAGGATATATCACAAAAACACGAAACATTTATCGAACACAACTATCATGTTAATAGCTTGCGTGTTTTTGACTTAATAACTGTAAATATTTGCAATTTTTAGACTGATTTAAGGTTGAAGTTGCCTTTGTATCCTCGATTTTGCATTTTAAGTAGATCCGGTAGATATATATCCATTGTATAAACTTGCAAATCGTATATGTGTGTTTATAATAAAGACAAATTTCTCTCACGGATTTTATTGAATGTAAATCAGCTATTTTATCCAGCAATAATTATTATTTTGTTGTATTAGATGCTTTGAATAAGTGTGAAAGACACCTTTAGCATTTAATTATGGAATGAAATTTTCTTGTAATGTAAAATACTTTATGTGATAGATTCATTTAGAATAATAACTTTACGTACTGACAAATTTAAGTTAATGATATGATATCTTTAGTATTTTGTATAAAATTTCGACTGTTTGAGCAGTTAGCAAGTATTGCTACACTTGGAAAGCAGTTTATAAAAATCTTTATGAAGACTTACCAAATTATTCTTTATTTGACAGATGGCTTTAGAAATCGAAATTAAGAAAGTTTATGAAGAGTTAAGATTGACACAGATGGATCATGAAAGAATAATGGAGGAAAAGTATTTGTTGGAGATGCGCAGAAATTCTTTGATTAAACTTCTCGCGGAAGCAACGAGAAAAAGTAAATTGTTGAACGCTCAATTAAGAAAGTAAGTAAGAAATAATTTAAATAACCCAGTTACCATTTGGAATCTACATTGAAAGGAAAAAGATCAATTTGAACATAAGATTGATCATTATTTTCATCTCTATTCATAATTCAAGCAACCATTAATTGAGACATGTACATATGCGAATTTGAAATTTTGTAAAAGATAGGATATGCTAAAATTGCCCGGATGTACTTTTGGTCAAAAAGATTTCAAAAGTTATCCATCCAGTTGAAAGAATTTATTGAGTTCAATAAATTGTCGTTTTGAACGGAATTATTACCGGAACGATTAAACGTTTTTTTACGTTTTTTATCTAACCGTGAGAGAAAAACACATTTATCTCATTTGTGAAGTTCTCAATATCGTGTTTTTAAAGTGGAAACATGTGTTTCTACGTTTCTACAAAGTATGTACTTTTTCTAACTTAACGTTTCTCATCTTTAACGTACGTATAGAAGTATATTTATTGAGTTGTAATGACAAGTGTTATGTTATTAATGTCTGTTTAAAACATTTTACACATTTCAACGATCTTCTGTTTACAAATATCCATTTTATAACAAACATAATATCCATGAATTTGTAAAGATTGTTCGGCCAAACAACATTAGCAGATAAAAAATTATTATTTTGGCAAGCCTTGTATGATAATACACAAAAATACATAAATTTCATGTTTTTATTTTTTGTACAATACTGGTGATAAGAGTTTATTTGTTCGGCGTTGATTGTTTAACGACCATTAAAATTTCGTATGTATAAGTTATCATTCTTCGCCCTAATTCATCCATATTTACCCTCAAGCGTTACTATAGTAACCATCTCACTCGATATTTTATTTCTATGTGTAGTATATCTGGCAGTGTTCAGTCGCTATCGTCAAGCTCAAGTAAAGGTTCATTAAACTCAAGTCGATATGCCATCAGCCATGAATCTTTATCTTCGAGTCGAAGTTCAATGTCCCATAACAAACATTGTGAACGTAATGAAACAAATTTTCGTGAACTGCATCAACGTGTAAACTCTATCTTACAGGGAATATCATCAACGTCTACGCCATTAAAAATTCTTACATCTCAAGGAATAAGTTTACAAAAATCAACATCTAAAGATTCACTTTCGATATCCTCTGTTTCTCCTCCTCAATCTCCATCACCAGATAAATCATTCAACACTGACAATACTCGTCGATTTCATTCGGACTTTGATGAAATAAACGATCGTGTTTCTTTGCATCCCGATTCACTCTCTCTACCTTTAAAAAATTTTCGCTTTGGTAACGAGACAAATACATCGTTATCGCCCATCACTGAAGGTATTCCTTCTAGATGTCATTCAGTTAACAAAGGAGTTTCAGCTGCTGTATCAGACGAGAGTGTTGCTGCTGATAGTGGAGTATTTGTTTCTTCTATGGAAAATTTACGTCGTCAGAACAGTATGAGATCCACCAGACAAAATAGTGACGATGACGGTGCTGAAATACCTCAAATTAAAATTGGTTTAGGATACGTTGAAGAAAAAGAACAATTATTGGTTTATATAGATGAAGCATATAGCTTACAGTTACTATGTCCATACGAAGGTTTTGGTGCAAAGATTTCCTTGAGTATTTTACAGCATTCTTCAGATAGACTTACGTCGGAGACCACTGATGTTTGTAAAAATTTACAACGAGCTGTTTTCTCTGAGAGGTTTCATTACTCATTGCCAATGGTAAATATGAAATATTGTTTAAATATATTTTTGTAAAGTGATATTAAATATATCTCAATTTTAAGTATTGCATGACTGAAAAATTTTACCGTAACGAAAGCTGGAATTCATTTTTTTTTCAGATAAAACTTAGAAAACAAGTTTTACAAATCTTTGTTTTGATGGTCGATGATAAAAATGAAGAATCTGTGATGGTAAGTTCTCAGAAAAATGATTTTCATTTAATTTTTTTATTTAATTACGAGATTCATTTACAAAATATTCTTGTGATCTCGGACATGTGGTGCCGTTTAAAGGCTTTTCTTCAAAATTTGTTGATTAACTTCAATAATAACGATGACATTACTTTATGTTTAGGGCTTTTGTCAGATGCGTTTAGAGGATTTTAACGTGAAGTCATCGGTTACTTTCTTTTGGTTAACTCTTCTCACACCAAACGTGAGTTGGAAGATGATGTTTATAATTATTTTTTGTTTAACAACGTATTTCACTATGCCATTTATTCTAAAAACAAAAAATTTTTGTACGTATACTTGTTGGTAAACTTGTTGTTAAACTTCAATGCTTTGTGTTGCTTCATTGCATTCTCATTAATCTTGATCAATTTTTTATCCTCCAGGCTGAAATTTGGAAACAATCAACCATAATTCCCTTTGCAATGAATTACAACATTTTATCATCTTATCCTTTACCCTCACAGGTAGATGAATTTAACTCTACTTTAAACATTTCTAGTATCGGTCTTTGCTAAATACATGTATTTTAGGAAAGTTTTTTCATAAAATATTGATTTTCTTTCTTCAGGTTGGCGATATTCCAAATGCAGCTCAGTCAAGTGATAAAACAAGCCATAATTTATCCTTAAATTCGTATGAATCGTGTCTTGATGCATTAAAACAAAGTTCGTGCATGCGCAGTAACGATTCACTGAGTAGTGTACATAGTCAAGAAAGCGGCTTGGAGAAGGATAGTCGTTCACAGACATCAGGTTCTTTGTTAGAGAAAATGTCTCAAGCAATTGCAAAACGCAAGAACTCAGATCCACACACAGAGATTTGTCGTATTGAGGTGAATATTTTCACGTCACTATTATTTCAGTTTTGACTGACTAAGATTTACTTTTGACTAATTGTTGTTATTGATATATTCTATATTTTTAGTTTTATGATAATTGATTTCTTATTGTATTGTGTGGGATGTTCTATAAATATAAATGAATTATACTCATTTTAGTGTGAAGAAGGACCAATGCCTTGGAACTTGACAATGACAGACTTTCAAAGACGTCAAATTACGGTAAATCGCAGTAACTCCGACTGCACAGCGAAACGTATGACTGGTAACTGCACCAATCATTTTATTCGACACTGTGTCGACAGAACAAGTATCAGACGAAAAACGGTAAATTCTTGAAGTTTTGTAACCCCTTACTACATATCCAAAACTTTAGTTACATCAATTGTATTCTCAAAATTCTTACTATTTCTTTTGAACAGCGACCAGTATCTTGGCAACAACCTCCATCTTGGATACAAAGCAGTACAATTGGTCAGCAGTTGCCTCAACAAGGAAATGAAAGCTTGATGGCAAGTAAAGCACAGTCAGATATTGAACATGAGCTTGAAACATCGAAAATAAAACAGGTTTAATTAACTATTTTATTCTAAAATGTTCACTTTACAGAATGTCTATTGCTTCATTCTATGTTTGAAACAGCCTTCGATGGTCGAAATTTTTTAGCTAGTTTTTGTACTATGTAAAGTCTTAAAGTTCCCATTCAACATGATATAGCAAATAGCTAAATTCATTGTTTAAAACTTTTAAAAATTAGCCTCTACAGACTGTTTTGTCCGTATTGAATTCATCCTTGCAATTATTCATACACAAAATATAACTTACCGTAATCTGAGCACCACAGTCTTCTTCATAGATTGCTCCATAAAATATGACAAATTTGTTTTATATATTCACATAATGATGTGTGTTATGTAGATGCAATTTTGTATGGAAAATTCTCGCCATCAAGAAATAAAAAGAATCATGGAGAACGCTGAAAGTAGCGAATCATCTCAATTGCCTCAATTGTTTGAAAAGAATAAAGATTTTAGAAAGTTTTTAAATGAAGCTGAAAAGGTTTGTCCATGTATATATAATTATATCGTAATTATGTATTATGTAATTATATTATAGTAAGATTGTAATAATATATATTACAATATTATATAATAAAGAAACAGATAGTAAAATAAATTTATTTTTATTTCAGCAATCATCTTTACAATACTCTCCCTCATCTAATGAATCTTTGTCACAGAGGTTTACTAAAGAAGAGAAAATGAAAAAATTTAAGTAAGATAACACAGATGAAAGAGTAATAGCTAAATAAACTTATTTTTCGATGTAAAATAGTTTTATTATATTTTTCTTTCCTGCTCATCTGTATCCATTTATGCACCATTTATCACCCTTATTTCTATTGTTCCTTCCATCACACTCTCCATCTACCATTTACTTTTATCCTCTATCCCACTCACCTCTCTACATCTACCCCTCTATGCCACTCACCTTCCTACTTTTATCTCCTCTATCCACTCCCATCTACCATGCCACTCACCTTCCTACCCTCTATCCCACTCACCTCTCTATCCACTCTATCCATCCCACTCACCTCTCTATGCCACTCACCTTCCTATCCATCCCACTCTCTACATCTACCCCTCTATGCCACTCACCTTCCTATTTTTATCCTCTTTATCCCACTCACTTCTCTACATCCACTTTTTCTATCCCATTTAGCTCCTTACAGCTCTAACCACTATTTATAACTTTCTTGCATTTGCATTTCAGAAATAAAATGGACTTTATTACAAGTTTACGCCTTCGTGTTCCACAAATGTCATCAGATATGGAAAAACCATGTTTAGTTTAGAATATGACATGGGTTGTTTTAAGTAAAATTTATAGAAAGACAATGTATGTATTACAGATGTATTGATAACAAATTGGACTTAATTATATAAATATAGAAAGACATTTTATACGACACTAAACATTCACAACAAACGTATGATAAAGACTAATTATCATGAAACATTGACAAAAGGGCTAGCATTGTCTAAAATAATATTTATTCCTTTATATTTGTTGAATCAATTCACCATATTGTTTGATATTAGCGACATTTTACTATTGTAAATAAAATATTTTGATGCAGTTGTATGTATCAATAAACCAATGGACTCTAAATAATTTACAGTTATATCGGAGTCATCAATATGAAAGTGTTGCAAATTTTATTGTAGTTTGAAAATTTTCTCAATTTGAATTGTTATTTACGCCAGTAACATGGGGGTATACGTTGAAAACTCCGTTGTAGTGGTTATTACGATGTGTGAAAACAAAAAGTTTGTTGCGAATGTGTGTGTGTATGGCAGAAGCTGAGTAAATAGTAATTATAAGATGTCTGTGGATCGTAGTTTTGTTTAAAATTGTATAAGATAACCATTTAAGTCAAGATAACTATATATTACATGAAAAGTGTGTTGTTGACTTGAGAAAATTGCATTGTTGTAGGTTTGTGGCGATATCTCTTGCATGCTACGTGTAAAGATAACTGCATTTTTTTGTTAGAGCAATCAACTAAAATCTTTTGCATAAAATGATAAAATAGAACAAATGTGACAACAAATCAATCAGAGTATGAGATTTTTCTTTCACATTTTTTTGTAAGTTAGGTACAAACCATCCATTCTGTACATGCATAGCGATCTTATTTAGTGATATAGCTTTTTTTCTCGTTCTAAACACTAAAACTGTGGAATATCAATCTGAAAAGAACATGCAAGACTCTATATCAGCTGAATAATCATCGAGGACTGTCATTTTTCTGGCATTGGAGATATGAAACAAATTTAAAATACTTAATAACTCGAAACCGTAGTTGACTGCAGAGACTCTCAGAGAGTTATTTAGAAAGTCAATAATTACTACAGAGACTGTCAGAGAGTTATGTAGAAAGTCAATAGTTACTACAGAGACTGTCAGAGAGTTATTTAGAAAGTCAATAATTACTACAGAGACTGTCAGAGAGTTATGTAGAAAGTCAATAATTCCTACAGAGACTGTCAGAGAGTTATGTATTCCTACGGTAACACGTAATTCAATGCTCTTTTTATAAACTTCGCCGGATCACTCTGTCTCTGTTCACAATATAATTCTATCAATGTGTAACCGTACGTCCTGTTCCCAAGTGCAGGAGTCACCATTGCACTCTGGTGATAAACGGGAGGGCACATACATGTTTATGTAATATATTGTATCGCGCAGTTTATATAAATTCTAACGTACGCACTGCGTATCACGTCTTAAAGCAGCTCTGGTTGAGGTCCGGAAATCGATAAATAGTTAAACAGGATTTTAGAGGTAAAATACCTGTTCTCAACGGTTTGAGACAACTTAATCTTGAGTATGAATGTTTTTAATGCCGGCTTATTTTATGTAAACATGATCAATTTCTGGATCTGGGAATACAGGCAAATTGATTTTGGTGAGCAAGTTGATTCTTGTGAGCTTTAATTCAAGCTTTTTAGCATAAAAAATTGAAATTATCATATTTCGTTAGTTATCACAATTTACAATGATGATATGTTATTTATACGAATTTTTAACTTATAGTTTTGGTCGTCATACTTATATAAAGCAAAGATAATAGATTTTCATTTAATTTTTCGTGTGAAATTCACGCTGTATCGCGAACAAATACAAGAAGCTATGTCTGATAATTTCTCAAGTTGCATGGAGACTCGAAGCCTGCAGTATTTAATTAAAGCTTCCCCTTTTATGTAAGGAAATCGATGTAAACTCGTGGATTTACCACGTGTGGAGAAATATTTCTAATCGACGCAGGAAATAATTGGGCCTAGAGGGCATCGTAAATAGGATTTTTTTCAGCTTACCTAAAAAACTGATTTGTAGTTAAGATTGGATTGAATGACAACCAGTGTGCCGTGTTTAGTTAATGAATACTGTGGTCGTATTTAAAACACGCTTTTCAAAGACGAGTCTTTTTGTTTGCTACTGTATAATGTATATGAAATAAAATTATATTCTTATATATATATCTTTATAGTCTTGAGCATTATTTACAATACAATTGCAGTTTGTGAAGGAGATTTTTTGTCCTAGGACTTTCTTTCTGGTTTTTGTATTTAAAGGAGTATGCTAAACATAGACATACGCATTTTTTGTGGAAAAAATTGGTTTTGATTCTTTGCGCTTGTTCCTGAAAAGTAGATTTTATGCACTTAGCCTCTCAGACTTGTCATTAACCTTGGGAATTTTTCAATACATTCAAAACTTGAATCTACTCAACAAAAGGTGAACTTCAAGCTGTGAAACGCTTGTGGAATGTGGTTTACTATAACAGCATCAAAACATTTTTCAGAGATCAAAATTTGTTCGTAAATCATCATTGTCCAGTCTTCAACGCTCGCACGAAAATACCTTAATGTGTTGGTCTTGGTCTTTGATGAACAATTTGGCAATATTACAAACAAACAACCATTACGAAACGTATTGCATAACTAAAATGTCGAAATCCCATGACCTCAAGGTGAATATTTGAAATTTTTCAAAATTTCGTAAATGTTGTCAACATTTCACTTCAAAATTTCTCATTTCATAGACAAAGGTACTATATTAGACAAAGGTACTATATTTACAAGATGCGTACAATATGGAAGAGTATAATTGAGTATAATTGCAAACATTTAAATTTGTTTCAATTTCCAAAGTCCGAATTTGGATAATCACATACCTTAACCCATTAATGTTTTTATTATTTTTTTATTTTTTTTTTACAATAAAAGAAATAATAGAACAGTTGTTTGTTTCTTGATAAATAATTGTTTCTATGTTATGTTTTCCAGAAATATTTTAGTGGGGTGAACTAAAATACAGATAAATTCTTCTATTTATTACAACTTTTATAAGGCTATAGTTTAAAATTAAAATGTTTTCACTCGAATCTTACATAAAATAAAATACATTCAAAAAAAGCATGTAATTATAACTTGATACTAAAAAATTTTGTTTGATTATTTGCAGTTAAACCATACAATATAAGAATGTTGCTATTTTTTTTATTTTTTTATACAGCTCAATTAAAGTGAGATACATCGCTCACATGCATCTAATTCCGTTTTCCAGGGACAGCAAATTACGAGTCTCCCACAGTATCGAGTCGATCTTTGTTATTCTCCAGTCCTATCCTCACTAAAAGTTCAAAATCTTCACAGCATGTGCTGTAAATGGCTTACTTCATTCTAAAAGTAAAATATACTAATCTTTCCAACATACATTTGTTTACGTGTGCGGATACAGTTCGAACTTTTACAGTTAAAAGTAAAGTTTTTACGCACATGTTCATATTATGTCGCACGTTTATCAATTGTCATTGATTTTCAACAGTCTAGACAGTAATGGCTTTACTCTAAACTGCCACAGGGAAGGTTTATGAACGCATGCGCACTTGCATATTTGCTTTCAGCCTGTGTATTATATATCACAAATCATTAAAGAAAAAAATTCATTAATTGCCTATAAAGGAAGATATTACAGTTAGTTGTTGACATGCAACTCTGATAGCTCGCATTTCTTTCAATGAAATATTTTGCAATTTATTTTAACTCCTTCGGTTCATTAAAGCAGGTATTTTATGAGGTCACGGGTAAACTTTACCATAAAGGTATATCCGTCATTTAAAGGCCACACTGTGACGGTGTCAACTTTCTTGAGGGCATAAAAATGGTTTTAAAGTGCAACATTAAAAACAAAATCAACTTTCTATAAAAGTGTGAAGATTAAAAAACACAGACAACACATAAACTTAGTGAGAAGATATTAAAGATTAATCTTGTATTGTTGATTAAATAATACTATTTAGTCTTAGTCGTAAAAAAAGATGTGCCTGGGTTAGGTTAGATGAAATAACTTTCCAATGTGTTTGCTTCTAAATGAACAAAATATGAAGCCGAGCTAGGAAAATGAAATCAATTTATCAAAAATACCCATATGAAACTCTATGCTTTATCATAAATTCTAATACACACTGAGAGTGATGAAAAATAATCGTGTCAGTTAGTGGAAAGAACATTTTCACTTGTTAAAAAATTAATGACAGGCATTGGCCAGCTTTCTTTAAAAAATGCTCCAATTTTTATAAATTAAATTGTATGTAAGTAAATAAAAAATTTAATCTATCCGTTCATCTAAGTAACTCGATCATCGCTCATACAAATGGGTTATAAATAAGGTAAGTTAGGAAATGCTACAGGACAACACATTTTGTCACACCTACACACATCTACACAGTTGACACAAGTAACAAATTATAAAACATTTATTGTTTTATATTTTTCATTGAACAACGTAGATGCGCTGTTACAGGAGTAACACGTGATTTATATTGCTTACGTTTATATAATCCAAGAACGATTTTTAAATGACAGACTTCTCTAGCTAACTTTTAAGTTTTTAGAAATCCATAAGTTGCAAAAGCAAAATTAAAAAATTTTTGTTGCTTTAAAGTGATTAACGACTTTCTAGGAAAATTTTTCCAACAATGTAATTCATCTTTACTTCATTAAATCACATAATTGGAGCATTTTGAAATGGAAACTGGAGTTTTTTTGGCAGAGTTCTTTGCACTTGCAATTGTTGTATTGTCAAATCTCTATAATCTTGTTTGGAGATAATTGGATCTAAATGGAAGCAAGAACTTCTTCTTAGCTCAGCACTTAAAGTGTCTAAAGAAGCAACTGTCAAGCAAAAATATTTGTTTCAAAGCCGTTTCATTTCCTATTTCATAGTTGATTTACAAAAAAATGAAATTGAAATGATTAGCAAGTGATCTTCCGTCATCAACATAAAGCTTAAACTTTTTCTTTTTAAGTAATTGTGATTTTGGTGATTACAAAAATTTTTCAGTTTCAATAATGTCTAGAAACAAGTTCCTGTAAAAGTTTCGAGGCGCAGAAATTTCTTTCAAACCTAACTATGTAGCTGATTAAAATATTAGTCTGCATTGTTTCAAAACATTATGATGACAAAAAAAGATAAACTTGTGTAAAGTGTCTTATCAACATTAAAAATACAGTGTCTCAATGACTAAGTACATATCTGGGCTTCGTATTTCTAATTTTATCAGTGTTGAAGAAAACAGTTCGTAGACTATGTGTGAAAACAAGTACACTTTGTGAGTATCAGACTTCATAAAATCTTATCTATACGATTTCGTCTCCACATCTTGAAATTAATTATAAAATCTCTATAGAAACCGTAAACATTGCTAAACAAAACCTTGACATATTCGTACTGTTGCTATGGGATACTTGCATGTGACGTTGCCAGCTTGCAATTTTGGTCGTCATATGCAAATTTCAGCTCGTTAGCATATTTAATTCTTTAGAAAGCCATTGTTTATACAGTGATTGAAACCAAAATATTTTTGCACAGCATGACAACTGCGGGCTGGCTCTACTCCTGTTTGTGAGCTTGTAAAATTTTCATAATATTTCCACACTGTAAAATATCTTTCAATATTATTTGGTTCGTGATATCTGATTATTACATGGAAAGTGAGAAAACACTAAGACTGAAACGCGCATGATTTTAGCGATTCGTCTAAAGAACGTTAGCATATGTTGAATTTAACTTCTTATTTGACGAACACATTTTGTCAGCAGACAAATTTTTCAATCAGCACACCTTCACTTATGTCTCACAGTCTCAATTGCTTTCTTTCTGTCAGACGTAATGTTAGTGAAGTTATCAAGATTTTTCATACCTTTGAAACGAACGATCATTCATTACCTTAAAGAAATTAACTTTCTATAATCAATTCAAAACATTGCTCGTGGGAAAAATCAAAAATGTGTTACCTAGACACCCATTCATTTATTCATTCATTATAACATTTAAATGAATCACGTGACATATTTAGACCCGTACACTGAAAACGTTTTTGCTTTCAAGACAATCAGATAAAAAGAGATATTTATAACTTTAGTTTGACGGCTGTAGCTTCATTGTAATCCTGTGTAATAAATAGAAAATAGGAAATTCAAAAAGAAAAAAACCCATTTGTGTTCGATACACAAACTATCAAAAAGTTTTGGAACTAAAATAACCATTCCTTGCAACGAAATATATTTCATGTTTTACGTGGTAACGGGTCTGTTTGGTTCCATATATCTTTTATTGATCTCTGTCGCCATTGCCTTTGTTTTTATTAGGTACTCAGTAAAAAATTTGAATTCAAATTAAGGGACAAAGTTGGATACTTATATTTCAGCAGTTTTTATATGATGAATGCTCTTAGTGCTCTATATAAATTTTAAATTTGTTTATCTGTCTCACACAGCAAAAGGATCGCAATAAATGAATAAAGTTAAAATGCTGAACTTCGTTGCTTATCTCTGTTCATGACTGACTGCATTTGCGGTAAAGTAAATGCAACTATTTGAGCCAAATTTTCAACATGATGTAATTCTTCAACAAATCCAAAAGTCACGAGTTTTTTAAAAGACGACCATGTCACTTAACACACTTTCTTCTCATGTTTCAGACGTTCACGAGCTTAAATAAATACCATTTATGGAACTTTTTACTATGTTTGGAAAACTTTTAGATTTCCTAAATTTTTTCTTATGTGCCTAAAAAATTTATGAACTTTTAGCCGGTTTTAAAGCTTTTAGCTTAAAACTTCCGGCCGCCCTTAAGATTGCATGATTGTGGATAAAAAAATCGGATAGAAAGTTTAATGTAGACTTTCCTCATGATTTTACAGACGTCGCGCCATACAAAGTGCAAAACACGTATTTATTTCATTATGCAACACTTGACAACTAGTTATTACGTATGTGGCAATGACCATTATAAAGCATAGATGACCACCAGACGAACCATGGTTTAAATGCTAAATATCAAACAAGTATTTGATAATTTTATTTCAGATTTGCTTTATGATTATTGCTCTTATTTATAGTTTTATCAATTGTAATCTTTGTCAATTTGAACTCATATCACACTAATGGTATACATATTTCAACACATTTAATTAAGTAAAGATGTCAGGGCAATGAGTCGGTCAGTATTCGTTGAGATATAAAGAGCGAACAACATTAGGTCCTAAGTTCTCAGTTCTAACAGCTCGGCGGCTTTGGAAGTGCCAAGACAAATCGACAATTCATCAATTGCTCTTGCATCTTTTCATCTTCGGGTAAGTGTTAACAATGAAAATCAATTTTTGTAAAGTTAAGTTTTCATTGAGCTATAGCAAGCTTTGTCAGTTAAGAATATTTAGATGAACAAGAACTAAAGTACTTGATGACTTTCGGCTTTGGGTGCTAGAATTCCTAATTGTATGAAAAAAGTCCTTACTATCCTTGGTTTATTTGCACTTTTTCAGTTATTGTCATTGTTATGTTCAGATTGATGATTGCAGAACGTTTTAATAAAACAGATGATTTTAAAAGGAAAAACAAAATTAATTGAAACGTATTGAAAAATGAATCAAAACATACTCACGCAATCCAAAATGTATTTCTATGTAAACCATACAGCTGTTTGACATTCAAATAACACAGCAAAGAAGATTTTCATAAAACATGCATGAAAACAGACACATATGTGGTTACGTCCAAGTTGCGTTTTATATTTTAATTACTAGACATGACCATATTAGCATTTTGTCGTAAAAAATCACGATTTCAAGTTGTGTATTATACTGGTTTACTTCATTATTTAGTGATGACTTAACACATCGCAAAATTGTATATTGAAAGCTCACACTTTATCAAAACAAGTGGATTTAATGCACGAGGTGGTGCTATCATGTTTCGTGACTTGCCCAATTCACATTGAGACTTGTAAAATTTCAAACATTTTAATGCAACTCAGTGCTTGAAAAGAATAAGTATTTCATTGTTTGCCTTTTGAAAATTTGACTATTTTATTTTCACTGCAATCAAAATTCCTTGTACATTCATGAAGATTAAATTACAATCGCGTTGCACAAAACCACGACTGTATTTGAACGAAATAAATTACATCCACTAAATATGTCTAAGTTATACAATCAAAAGTTAAAGGATAAGAAAAATCCACTCTTCTTTCAGACATATAGTTGTACACCGTCAATATTTGGCCTTGATAAATATTTGTTTTGTTCAGTTAACAACGATAATGAATAGTTCCATACTTGGAATTCATAATTAAAGCGATAAAAAACCGTTTACATAGACATTTTTCATTTGTTTGATGTTATTTATATTTCATTTTTAAAAACTCCCCTATTCAGTGTTTGTTCCAGCACTGAGACACATGGCTTGGCTGAAATTCAGAATTCTCTAAAAGGATTGTGCTTTTTAATTACGATACAGTCGTATATAGACTTAAATTATTTTTCAATTTCCGGAGATGGAGTCTGGTTACAATATCACTCCAAAATAACATACATTGAGAAACACCAGTAATGTTTGTTAAATATTTAAAATACACCATACACCATACTCAATTTAAATATCGTAAAAGACACAGCTATAAACCAAACAAAATTTGACTCTGCTCTTAAATTCACATTTTTTTTGAAATTTATTGGTCTAACTGTGAACATGTTTGTTTCTTTTTAGAGATAATGAAGACCATTTATCAGTTGTTTCTCAAAGTATTTTTTATTATTTGTTTTGAACGACATTTTACCACAGTGTGAGTATAATTTTTATCATAAAAAAAAACTACTAATTTCTAAATGGAGTTGAATTATTTAAGTTCAATTTAATAATAAATATATTGACTTTTGGAAGCTAAGAAAAAAAATATTATTTAATATCGGGATGAGGAGGCTTTTCGTCAAAAATTTCGTCTTTTGATGCTGTTTCCTTGATGTATTGGTGATCATAATTTATTCATGACCAATATATAAATAATTGTTTCTTAGTTTATAAATAGTTTCACTTGTTTAGGTGGTCAATTGGCTTGCAGAGTATTTCCAATAAGCAAAGCGCAGGGCTTCTGTTTGGTCAAAGTGATCCAATATGTTATACATACACAGATTTGACTTTACCCCAGCGTCAAATCTGCCAAAGTGATCAAAAGTTAATGGCAAGTGTGATTGATGGTGTTACATTAGGAAAAGACGAGTGTAAAAGGTTGTTTAAAAATAACCGTTGGAACTGCGCTGACATTAACCAAGGCGCAACGGCCCTAGGTCACATGCGAAAAGCTGGTAAATTAACTTATTTGTCGCCCTTGTATAATGCATTCAAATATATAGTTTGAACATATTTTTTTATTTGGGAGTTGAGTATTTTTATTTCAGCTTTTTTCGTTTTATTTTTTAGCAACAAAAGAAGTTGCTTTTCATAGTGCTATTATTGCAGCTGGTATTGTTCATACTGTGGCAAGAAATTGCATGAGAGGAGATCTCTCAAGTTGTAAATGCAGTCGAGCAAGTCGGCCCCAAAGTTTACTTGCCAATTATCAATGGGGAGGATGTGGAGATAATATTCAGTATGGAGATAAATTTACCAAGAATTTTTTCCGTGATAACCGACTTCTTACTATTAATGGAAGTAGCGAAAGCAAGTTGGCTGCAAAGCTTCTCATGGACGATCATAATATTGAAGTGGGAAGATTGGTACGAGTTTTTAAACTATATCCTTAAAAAATTACAATTTTCTTCATCATTTACAAAACTATCAAATTATAAAAACGGCTTTGGAATTCAACGAAATTTAATGAATCTCAACTCAATGATTACTTTGTTGTTGTTTTTACAGGCCGTGGTTAACAACAAAAAGATCGTTTGTAAATGCATCGGTGCAACTTTTCAATGTCCTGTAAAAACTTGTTGGTACCAAGTTCAAGATTTTAAGCTCACTGGTCGAATTTTAAAAAAGAAATATCCCAAGGCAAAGAAAGCTACACTTTCAAGAAAGAATAACGGGAAAAAAGTGACTTTAAGAATAAAACAAAACGATTTAACAAGTCACAAACTTGACCTAGTTTTCACGGAAGATTCGCCATCGTACTGCAGCTCAAGAATGAACATCAACACAATGGGAACAGTCGGTCGAACTTGTGACCCAAACGGAAATGGTCCTGGTAGTTGCGACCGTTTGTGTTGCGGTAGAGGACACAATACTGAAAGTCGAGTTATCAAAAAAACATGTCATTGTAAGTTTACTTTTTGCTGTGAGGTAAAATGTCAAGTATGTAAAAAACGAATGAGGGTAACGGTTTGTCGTTGATAAACAACATCCAACGATAAATAATATTGTCATTGGGTGTTCTAGTACGTGTTATATATATATATTATATGTACTTCTATTTGGATTATGGAATTAATTTCAACTTTTGAAAAGAGAGCATCGTCGTCCTAAACGATAAAATCGTAAACAAACGAAATATTGTCAAATATTGATATATTTATGTATATTATGCTATTAGTTATCGAAATTTGCTAATTGCAAATTTTTCAATGTCAATTTTTATAAACACTGGCGATCTGTAACACTATGGAAAAAGCATAACTTTATAAATTATGCATTATATATACATTGAAGATGTAGTAATTATTCATCTTGAAAATATTCAGTAAAATTAAATGCAAAATCAGAACTTTTTTAATAATACAATGACTGTATTTAAAAATATAACATGATAGAATACAAAAAACCAATGGAAATATTTCAAAACACTTTTAAATAAAACGATCGACTCTTGTCGTAATAGCTATACTCTTGTCCAAATTTTCTTGGTTTATTTGTACTTCAGGTATTGTAAGTTGTTATTTTATACAAAAAAGTGTTTTATTAATACTATTAGCGATATGAGTAGAAGATTATGCGAGCCAGTGACAATGATTGCCATCAAAAATTTCTTCGAAACAATATTCTTGCTTGTGGTTTGTGAGAAAGAAACACAATCTACTTAAAAATTACTTCTCAGACAGAACAAATAAAGATATAACCGTTAAAACGTTAGCATTGCTTATATATATTAGAGCTTTTGTTTCCTTCATTGACTGAATGGCAAGTTAACTAGCGACACTGACATAAAAATCTCTTGAGATCAAATACTCTGTACTATTCAGTTGAGGGAGAGCTGAGTTTGAAGTTTACTTGAAATAGCGTAGCTGCAAGTACTCGAAGCACGTTTGGAAAGTACTTTAAATTTTCAAATAACGTGTTACTATTTTTGCACTAATTTTTTGTATTAAAAATTGATCAAGAAGAAGAATGCACACTGTTCAGAGATAACAAATAAAAACATCGATATATATGAAATATAATAATATCGTTGTCATGTTTGAACTGACACATACACTTGAAAAATGGTTGTCTTGAATGAACGAGAAAAACATCAAATAAATTAATTTTTTTAACCCAACTGTATTTTGTATTTTGCATAAAAATACTGATGTCAAACATTCAGTAGGTCCCAATTAAGAGAATATCAGCGGTCAAATTTTAAAATACTTTTTATCTCTGTTTCCAGATTCGACTGCATAATTTGCTTTACACCAGAAATCATAACATGACTTTTCAACAATGGTATTGAGTAAAATCTAGTGAGGCATTTGTTTAGATATTACTGTACCATTTCAAACGCTACAAAATAATGTATTAAAATCAATAAAATGGTCTGTACAATCATTCGATGGTCTACGGTAAATATACTGTCTGTGTAGGTTTTGTGATGACTGATTATACTAAACAAGTTAGTAGTGACTTATCCAAGGTAGGCCAAAATAAATTATATAGAGGATTAGACAATTATAATTATTCAAAAATTCAAAATATTTTAAACAATGCTGTTGGCTTAGAAATTTCTAAAGAAATTTTAGTTGAAACAATAGGATTTTCTCTAAAGTATTTTTCAATTGTAAACCATGGATCCGCTGCTACTAAGCATTAAGAACAATTAATGTTCCGTTAAATTTATATATTTTTTTATAATATATGGTTCTTATCAAAGACTCTGCATGCATGAAGTATCTGGAAATTGAAAAACAAGGCTGAAAAGATCTCACAAACACAAGTAGCGTAGCATACAGTTAAACTTGTTATTTTTCTAACGAAAGCAACTTGCCATGGGATGAGTCATCAAAAGGAAGAAATAGTGACGAATTTTGTGACTTGAATCTTATAGCTACTAGAGTCTGTTGGTAAGTTGATTGTCCCAACAAAATGATTTTATAGTAATATAGCAAAGAATCTTGTACAGGTATTTTAAGTATTTTTTTAATACCTATAATATCTTGGCTGTTTTGGAACAGTAAATTCATCGTTCGTTTTACATTTTGCTTCTGCTGGAGATTAAATAACCACATATGTGTCTGTTAAAAAGCTTATATAAAATATATTTTATTTTACGATTAATATCTGCAATGTTTTCAATGCTATTTATCTTCAATCGCTCTTTGCCGCTACACTGCTTATGCAGTTGATTCTGATTATATCAGACATTTAATAGATAAATTACTTATCATTTTTTTACAAATACTTTTATTTACAAACTGTAATTTCACGTTTTTTCCGACAGGTTTCACATTTTACTTTACAACACCAGTAAAATTGACATTTACATTGTGTTTTGTATTCACAATCTTATTGTATCCTCTTCCACAACATAATTCTTTACAACCATTTGAAGCGTTCGATAAATGATCGCAAATTCTGCCTTTAGTACCAGCAACTCCTTTACCTACAAGTGGATCACAATAAGTTGGCGATTTGTCTACAAAGACCAGTTCTTTTTTTGGTGGCTTCGCAAAGTTGGTTCCCGGAAGAATTAAGGCTGTAGGCACTTTTCCTTCTCTTGTGTCAGTGCAGACTATTTCAACATGAATTGCACTGTCATATTTTGCCTTGAGAAATCGACTAACTCTTTTAAATGTCGATGGTAATGCAAACCAACATGTTTTTGAAGTACAAGCTCCACTAATACCATAACACTTACACCTTTCACTGGCACTTTCCTGAACTGCCTAAAATTAAGATACACAACATTTAAGAAATAAAAGATGTTTACTGTGTTTGCGCAGACTTATGCAAACCGAGGAGACCTTTGGGAGAACTCGAGAGCAGATCAGTCATCAGTGCGAGCCTGAGACCAAAGGTGAGGGTTGCACATGCTCAAAAAATGTATTCATGATCGATTTGCAAATATCTCTTTGACTGATTGATTGTTTTGATTGATTTGATTGGTTGAGCTAAGATGTGTCTTGCACAGGCTAATGCAAACACGACTCTAGACCAATCACTGCATGCACTTCATTGTGTTTATTTTATAAGTATATAAATATGTATATGATAAAGATAACGAGATAAAAAATCTATGAAATTTATATCAGTGACAGTGACGCTAATGATACTTCAAGGAATAGACAAAAAGTTTTCGTAGATTATAATTGTGCTCGATGGTAACAAGTATATAGAGTAAAACAGAGAATTGATTTTTATGGTGCCATTGTCATGCACGCTCACAAAGTCCCTGGAAACATATGATGTTTACCATCACAGGCTTTTGACGAAAGTCTCATGCACTCATGGTGCTCAATTAAGGCTTCATGGTGCGTTGACGCACGATTCCTAGTACTTTTTATCTTCAAATAAAAACAGTCTGCTCTGATTTAACTTTATTATCGCAATGTGTCGTCCCATTCAGCTAGTCCTTGTCATACAGCTGGAATAAACATTTGAAAATAAAAATGTCTGGGAAAATAGATGCATGTTGCCAAGGAATGTGGAAACACTGATGTGTTGGAAAATATGAATTCAAAGTAACAATTTTGATTTCTTTCTATTTTTTTTAAGTCAGTGGGACCAGCAAATGCTCGTTACAATATGTCGGTATTATAAGCTTATCGCCAAAGCAATCAATGTTTAAACATGTCAGGAATCAGGAGTGGCATAAATGGCCAATATTTCACATAGTACCTGATTATTTGTCACGAAACTTAAAAAAATTAGAAATTGCTAGGAATGCCAGGAAACTTTTACACATCAAGAGCTTTTACACAAAAAAAACAATCGCATGTCTTTATCAAAGTTTTTTACAAGGGCCCCACAATTCGCTTCTCTTTTAATCATTGAGTCGTAATTTTTTGTTGCTTTCATCTTAATTATTTACAATAGTTATGCACTAACAAAGATTGAAAAATAGGCACAAAATATACTAAAGAACGAAGTGTATGAACTTAACGTTGAACTCAAAGTTCAATTGACAACATGAAACATTTAATCTTTGATTAAATACACATGTCAAGTTTTCAATGAGGCGCACATTATTTTGCTAACAATATTTTCCTGTCGGCAAGAAGCGTATAAAGCCTTTAAGGCTTACTGAGTCAATAGTTAACAATCTTTATCATTTTCTGTCACCCTAACTTTTTGTTTTTATAGCAAGTCTTATAAGCTTCCAATGAATATTGTCGTATTTCCAACAGATGTTTGTTATTGAAACAAGAAAAATATCTGATATAGTCATTCATATCTCGAGTTAAAAACTTTCATTGACGCCAGTTATGATTATTTAACTGTGAATTCATCATTGGATTTGTCGGTCAATCGGAATAGTTTATGTAATTAAGATTTGATAAGCGGCAAGTCAATGATTTTCTAATTAATCAAACTGTTGCAATTAAGCTTCGGACTAATAGACGGAGTACATATGCTTACCAAACGTCCTGTTTCTCTGTTTAGGCGCATTTGTAGTTCGTGTGTTCTATTAAATGAGCCGCGAAATCCATTAAGAAAAGTTTTCGAGATGTCCATACCATGTCCAATGTTACTGTGACATCCTTGGTCTAACCAAGAACGTCGTAGGCTTGATCGATTTCGGACACATTGACAAGTCGAGATATTTCTTCTTGCACAAGCAACTGAAACAGCATGTGTGACTCCAGCGGCCACAATGGCGGTCACAAACGCTGCCTCTTTTGTTCCCTCTATAACGCATAGAAATATATGAATAAATCACTTATAAAAAATATAGAAATTGTTTTAACATGGAAACAGTATAGCAATAAGGTAGTAGAAAAGTAATCTTTATAGTTACTTAATCAGACACGTGTGTGTGATGTTTTTCTAAAGTGAAGTGAAATCATGAGTATTATAACGACGAGAAAAATACTTTTTGACGGAAATGGGATTATATTGAGTTTAAGTTTTTCCTGTGACTTAAGTAATCAAAGTAGAACATAAATATTTTCATAGGAATTGGTTATAAAATCGATAAATGGTTACATATACTTTGAACACTTCGTATGTTTGAAGTTAATGTACTAAATATCTATTGAGTTGTCTAAAAATGAATTTAATTTCGAAAAAGAATCAGTGTCATTACTCTAAAAATCAGGTTATCTTTCTTTCTTTATTATGTCTTATCATGCTATTAATTTAAATGGCTGAGTGTTGTATTAAATACAGAATTATATTGATGATATTTTGAATTGGTAGTTAAAGCGTGGGACTTTCATATTTGTTTTAATGTTACAAAATGATCACTCATATTGATTAAGAGAATGTATAATGGATAACTGACATGTCTCTATGATGTATATTGATGTTAAAAACGAAGTCACTATGCGCTTATAAAAGAACTACTTGAGTGGTTTCTAATAAAACACATTAATAGCCAATAGTGAAGCCAATAGTGAAGTGTTGTTAACAAGATTAGACTTATAATATAGCAAAAGTAACCAATGTATGAAAAACTTACGAATAGCTCTGTTTTGTCCAAAACTTGCTAAGCCTGAATCTGGATATGTTAATGTACAGTTCCATCTTTGGTTCTTGAACTGTTCTTCACATTCCCGTAGACCATTTTCGATTCCGGAAGAAATCATCGCCGTCTCTTGTGGGTATTTCATGCAGAAATTGGTTTGCTCAGGAGTAAAATCCGAGAACAAGCTACATATAAGCTGTGCGCTAAAAGTTGGCGATGGTCTATCGACGCTACAAGTTTCAAAAATAATAAAACATAATACTTTGATGAAAAATAATAACACATCGTAAAATTAAAAAAGATAAACTTAATACAAAAAAGACATACAACATATTCGATTTTGCTTCTAATCCCACACAAAGAGCGATGAAAGCAATAATTAAAATGAACATTACTGATGTGCTCGCTTTACTTTACGACTCCTGTGTATATTGTCGTTGCTTGACGTAATGAATATTTTATACTTTATTATTTTGTAACAATGTCACTAGCTCAATGCCGCCTTCTTCTATGTCCAATTCAATTAACAAAGTTTTCAATTTTCTTTTTGTTTATTCGCGAATCTGATTGGCTCAATCGTATTTAAATCACCTTTTTGCGTATGGTGAATAAGAACTCCCCCATGCTAGGCAAGCGACAATAATGCAACTTCTGGCTGATTCATACACAGTTTCCTGACTCAATTGAAAAACATGTTGTTTGATGATGTGGTTGAAATGCTTTAGAAAACCTCTTCCTTTTCTTGTAACTTATTTTCCTTATTTATGCTATTACCGTAACAACAATAAATAAGGAACTCTAACAAACATTCTTCCTTTTCTTAATCTGCTGTTACTGGTCAAATTAAAGCTACATCGTCCTGTCCTATTTTTCATGTAAATATTTTTCCCTTATGTTACGTCAGTTTGATGTTTGTATAATCCAGTGTCTGTATTTACAAAGAAACATCCACAATAAACAGAACCTTCTTACATAAATAGCTATAATGATTACTTAAACAAATTGTTACCACTATCCACGTTTTGACTTATTTATTCACAATCTTTTCATCTAAAACGTGTTGTCAGGGCAGTGCGGAAAGTAGAAATGTGTAGTAAAGAAAAGTGCAAACGAAAACCTTATTTTGTGATAGCTACGATTGTCTAAATGAATAATACAGACAATAACGCATAAACGCAGGAAAAACCGGCTGTAAGAATTTGATTTTATGAACGAATAACGAGTTTTAATAAATTTTGAAAAGTGTGCACAAAAAAATTTGATAAAGTTATATGTGTTAAGAAACTTAGCTAATTTAAAAAATATAAATAATGAAATTCAGTTGAGTCTTGATGAAAATAAATGCTGTTTCTTTTATGTTCTTAGCTACTTAAATATAAAATCTAAATTTTGAAGCACCATTAGCGAATTTAAGGAAAATCACAAAATATGTTTATACTTTGCTTTCTTTCTCAGTCTAAGAAAATGAATGATAGTGAAATGTTTATCACGGGATCTTGTTTTTTTCTAAAGTCATTGTGTATTTCCTGTAGATTTAGGTGTGTTCTAAAGTTCAAATGCTAACTTGTTCTCGTGCATAGAGTGTAAGTTGATATGTGCAAACACACACACACGTAAAATAAACAAAACTTCCACATATATATATATAAATATAGTCTTTAATTTACCGGATTTTAGCGTTGTTTAAGCTCTCAACTCAACATAAATAGAACAATATATTTACCTAAAGTTATTACTTGCTACTGTTGTAACTATGGCGCTTTTCACTTGGCTTTCTCTTCTAAAATAGAAACGAAACACTACTTGATAGGTTTCAATCACGACGATGATACACTAATTAGTGCATTTTAAATGTTATAGAATAATCTTTTATGAAGAAAGAGAATGATAAAAATTAGTGGAAATATTTTTTGTCAATGGTCCATCATCACGCAGTTTGCTTCTTCATTGCTATGAATTATCTGTAATTGTCGTTTAAAGAACAAACCATTGCATTTGTGATAGTACCAGTAATATGAAGCGACACAGTTAATTTGTACGGTTAGTGGAAGACTATACAACCGCATATAATATTTATGGCTCAAAGTACCACGTGGCGATTTTTGTATGAGCAATTTCCCTTTCGACTAGCGGAAATTCGTAATCCAATTGTTATATTTTTTGCAAAAGAGGAAAGACAAAAAAAACACATGAAAAACAAGTGCGTGAAACTTGTCAATACTTTTTGAATCGTCAGTATCTCGTTACAGTAGGTAAAACTGTAAAAATTTTATTGTTTTGAAATTTTATATGGCTTCATTAACAATGACAACAAGTCCTCAAAAAGTTATATCTATATTAAATGCATAGTACACACGTTTTGATGCTGTATCTTTGTTTATTTAACAGATTCATTTATGCTGTAAAAATGCCATTTATAGTTTTATTATCTTATCACTAGTTCAACTTCAACATGAAAAAGTCTTTTGAATCGGTTACACGTGACTTATTTGATACGTCTTTTATTCATTACTGGGTATAGAAGTATATGATTTACCGGTGTTGATGCGTTCCATCGACCGGTGTTCAAACTTATATACATTTTGCTGAAAAGGTGATTTTATCGATGCATCTGAAATCTGTCTTCTATTGCAATGAATTAGATACAAATAAATCGACTTGACAGAAACTGTTATTTTAGCTACTGTTCTGTACTAAAATATTAGCTCTTCAATATGAAATCAACGCAGACTCACGCAGTCTATATCAGTTTCCATGATAAAAATACTCCAGAGAAGACATTATACAGAATTTTTAGGGGGCATTGAGGATAAGGGTATTTGTTAAACGGAAACATTTTGTATTACTATTCAGTTTTATTGCCACAATCCAAGTGGTGAATATAATATATAATATTTTTGATAATAGGCCGAAGGAGAGGTCAAAACAACAAGATAATCCAACAAAAATATTCTTAGAACAACATACTTTCAGAAATAACCAAAAAGACTATTTCTAAAAAGCAAGAGACAAGAACTGATGGAATATCTCAATGGAATTATTGATCTTTATTTCAGGACAAAATAATAAGGGTAAATGAGCTAAGGGTTGTTATTATCTTATAATTAATAGATACATAAAAAACATCGAAGACGACAAAATATCACCAGATCCTGACAATTCTCATTTCTAGATTCTCGCGGATATTTTTATAGAGATTTGTCTGTAATACGTAGACAAGTTAAGACCCACCCACTGAGTGATTATGTTTGCTCTATTACTTGAAGACACAAAACTGGCATGAAGAAACCTCACTGTGTATTTGTAGATGTTGCCAAAGGAGTGAAATAATTGACTTAAATATGATATAATCTTCTTACATTTGTAAGTTTGCGAGAAAAATTATACATAAAACAATTGTTCTGATATTTTTATGTATTAAGCTGTTAAGTACATCTTTTCATCACTTTATGAAAACAATAAGTTTGCCTTTCCAATTTCTTATGTACATTGCATTTTATTTTTATGTGTGTGTCAGTTTAATGTTTGCAAGATTAACATTTACATTCAATGGCTTTTTACTTCAAACGAGAGGTGTAATATATTTTAGCTGTTAATTGTTAATGAACATTACATGTTGATATTACTTTACTTGAAGAAATATTGTTAAGTGATAGAACAGTTCATGACTCCTAGTCTCATTTTCCTGCAAAGTTATGAGAATTTTTCAAACAAAGATTACACCTAAATAGCCTAAAGCAAAATTATAACATTAAACAACCTCAAAGTATCAAACTGATTGCTTCCTACTTCCATTAGCATGGGTAAAGAAACTAAAGATTTTTATCAATTCTAACATACGAATGAAATAATCTTGTTGGCAAACCAGTTCTTTCTCGACAAATTAAAGAAGTGAAAAATTGTACATTAGCATAAAATGCGCACGTTTCTTCGTTACGTTTATAGTATGTATAACATTTTGTGGATCTTAGCAAATAAATCTGGAACACCAATCGAATCAATTATAATGAAAATGTACACGACTTACCGGGCTAAGAATATCATTAAAATCACCATCCAATGTCGAACTAACATTTTTCCCCCTGTTTCTATCGTTAATGATTTCATATTAAAAATCAGTGAATATTTTCTCATTAAATTGTCAAGCTAAGCAGAAAAACACCCTGGTTTCTTTTCTTTTAATTAAAGATGATAAATGACGTTCCCTGGTCAGCAACCCTCTGTTAATCTGTTCCACACATGTTTAAAACGTTTTTATAGTCGCTGGAAACTTCCGTTAAAAAACAAGAAATTTTCTTTCATAATCAACACCATATGAAAAAAATGCTTAAAGACTCAGACTATTCAATTGAAAAGATTTTGTCCTTTAAATCTTGCTTTGAAACCTTAGCAAACGGGTCTTTAAAGTTCAACAGTTCTCCAAGTTAAGAAAAATTAAGATCTATTTTTATATTTTTGACATTCTTCCGATTCATATTACAAAAATCTTCAGCTAAAAATCCGAACAGAACACATTTTTCATAAGAAATTCATAAAAATTCCTAGAGAAATTTTTGATGAAACAAAATCACTCGACACTTTGAGAAATTTTTTTATAAGAGAAGCAAAGAAGCATCCATATATTTCTGCTACATATTTTTTTCAACATGGGTTGATCTATACAAAACATTAGAAGATACATCAATATCATAAAAACGTGTTTTACGTAAAATGAAATGTCAACTATACATCTATTATACTCAGAGTTATGGAATTAAAAAGCAGAACCTCAACTTCACAGTTCAATTGTGTTATTTATTTTTTATACTAAACAACTAAAGTATAAACTGATTTTTGTAAGATACTTTGTGGGAAAATTCAAAGAAATGGGTGTAATGTTTTCACTCTGAATCTGAAGGGCCATGTTATTATGTGAAACATATTTATCTAACTGTACTGTCGATAAAAACCATTCTTTATTTTATAATTATTCACAATCTCAACCATGTTTATTTACACCAAAACATCATGTTGTCATTTCATAGACTAATTTTTACGTAAATTTGTTTTTGAGCAAAATGAAATAATTGAGGAACGCGAACAGAAAACATATGAGTCTATGATCAATGACTCCGACATAAATTGAACAATTCATGTCTCATTTCATAAGGTTGGTTGCACATCAGTTATATGTTATATCAAATACTTTTCTCCATTCAAACGTTACATATCATTTATCGCTTTTCAATCTCATAAGAATCAAAGGTATGGAAGATGCCAACATGACGATAGATTTTTCAACTTATTTTACCAGTATCGTCATATATTCAGACATTAAATGGGACAGATGACAATTAAAAGGTGTAGGTTTATTTTATTTTCTGACATTTTGATGATGATATTTCCATTCTAGGTCTAACATCTGAGTTATAGGACAACCAACTCAAATGCACTAATGTTACGAGATGAAAATGCTCTCAACAGACTGTAATAGCTATAAAGCATAACGAATTTTGAGAGAAAACTTTTTATTTCTGAATTTTTTTAAATGTATTTGAAATTGGGCTATTGAAAAAACTTAATAATCCATGATCAAATACGTTTACTGTTTGTAATTAATTGACATGTAAAGCTTGCCTATAAAGATTGGTTTTCATCTCTGTCATTTCAACCATGCATCAAATTTGCAAAACATGTCCCTGCTATCTACGCTTACGTCACAATTGGTGGGAACTCGACTTTCAATTCGACGTCCGTCGACGTTTACGCACGTCAAAAGATAACCGCAAGGCAAAAAGTAGAGACGAAAAAACCTTTTTATCGTTCTTCAATTCCGGTTCTTTTCATACAACAAAAACAATGCAGCACAGGGACGGCGCGACGAAATAGAACTTGGGGGGGGGGGCTATGACTTACCCTTTTCCAGCCGACAATTTCAAAAGAAACATATCTTATATATGTTATAAATATTCTTTCTTTTATTCTTTGAACTTATCGGCTGGAAAAGGATTTTGGACAAATCTCCAAAAGAACGACCCATCTACCCACAAGCTTGCCATTCAACATCAGCGATCTTTACGACGACTTATTAAGCTTGAACTTGACCTTGCATTTCTTTGTAAATGTAAGAATACAAACGTTTATCCTTAACTTGTCCAATGGAAAAATATTAAGCAACTGAAAAGAAAGAACAAACAACGTAGATTCCACCGAGAGTAACACCTCCTTTCATCTCGTTTCTTTCTTTTCATTCCTTACGTCATTTCCTTGTAACAACTATTTAACATCACACAAGCTTGTAAATAATCACTTAGCTTGATAATGACTTTGAAATAAAGTCGAAATATTGCTTTAAATCTTGTCTCTTGCTTTTATATCTCGAATCATGAGTTTACAAGATTGTGTTTTTAGGAGTGTGTTTTTGCTACGACTTATATTCACTAAATTTAGTACGTCTTGATGTGCCTCAAGTTGAACTAAAATTTATAAATGTTAGCAAAAACTTTGTATTAGGGAAAAGTGGGGAGGTCACCCCACCCCCTTCGGCACTGTGCCCGAGCAAATTTCAGCAGTAAAACAGTATGAAAATATATTGCATTGACCTTGAGTTTTTGTTAGCATTGAAAGGAAGAATAGATATGAAACTGTGTAGACCATCAACTCAATTAAAACTGAAATCTGGACGCATTATCGCTATTATATAATTTTGTGATAACTTCATATTTATAATATATATATGATATATTGAGTGGACAGTAATCCGATAGTTAGTAACAAATTTAACCAATAAAACGCAGGCAATGCCATCACGTGTTTCTTTACCACATGTGAAATGCATTAGAACGATTACAAAGAGAGTCGCGAAAATGGAATGGAAGAAGGTTTCTCGTGCTGTGATTTGCGACAAAAGAGAAAGAAATAGGACGTCTATAAACAGCTTGTTTCCCGAGATCTTGACCATTATATTTCGCTACTTGGATTTACGTGATAAAGGGCGCGTTTCTCAAGTCTGTCAAAAATGGCGTGTCGCTGCTTATGCGAAATGTGTGTGGAGATCAATCGAAGCAAGACTTCATTTTCGACCCTCCACACAGCAATTATTTCCATCTTTAGTTGCCCGAGGGATTCGTAAAATACAAGTTCTAAGTTTGAAAGATGATCTGAAACATTTAGTTCATAATATGAATAACATTGAATGCTTAAACTTGAAGGGATGTTATAATGTTACAGATGGTTGTATAAGCGAGGCTTTTGTGACGACCATGTCAACTTTGACAGTTCTCAATGTTAGTCTTTGTAAGCAAGTGACCGATGTCAGTGTCGAAATAATTTCTCGTTTCATCAGCAACCTTGAAGTACTAGATCTTGGTGGTTGTTGTAACATTACAAATGACGCTTTAAGGTTTTGCGCTGAAGGACTGATGTGTCTGAAAAATCTTAATATTCGTAGTTGCCGACATGTTTCCGATCTTGGTATCGCTCACATTTCTGGTTTAACGGAGTCTGTTGCGGGAAATATGGATCTTAATAACCTTTCACTTCAAGATTGTCAGAAAATTACAGATGTTGCTTTAAGTAATATTGCAAGAGGTTTACAAAAGTTGGAGGTTTTAAATCTGAGTTTTGTTGTGGTGTTCGTGATATTGGTCTTGCCCATTTGGCGTCACTCAAATGTTTGAAGAAGATTAATCTCAGATCTTGTGATAATATTGGTGATGAAGGTGTATCAACTCTAGCGTATGGTTGCTCATTTTTAACAAGTCTTGATGTCAGCTTCTGTGACAGAATTAGTGATGATTCATTGATACACATTGCTCATAGTCTTTATAACTTGAAGCATTTAGAGCTTGGATCATGTTGTATAACAGATGAAGGGCTACATGCTATTGCTAGGAATTTACAAGATATTCGTGTCTTGAATCTTGGCCAATGCATTAATGTTACTGACACAGGCTTATCATACATTGCAGAGAACCTTCGTAATGTTACAAGTATTGATTTATATGGTTGCACCAAAGTGACCAAAACTGGTCTCAATCAAATTGTTCAAATGCCAGAACTATGTGTATTAAATCTTGGCCTTTGGCAAAGGTAGTTCATTGCACTATTTTGAAAAGAGTTTATGTGTATTAAGGCATATATATGTTTACAAAACATTGTGCAATAGTATTTTTATTGACACTCAAATATTATGCATCTTTCTTATGCAATACAAATATGTTCATTCATAAAAACTCTATTTATTGTTTGTTCTATAAAGGAATAGCTAACAGTCTGAAACTAGAATGGTTGCACAAAGAGATTAATAAAGTCAGTGTCAATAAATTTGAGTTTTTTAGTTTGGTGTATTTAATCTTATCTTATGGGAAAGATAGTTCTTTGCAAGATTATAAAAAGTGCCAATGTATCAATTGATTTTTCTTTTACGTATACAATGAATGAAGCTTTGAACATTAATTTATTACCTTTGAAAAACTGTGCATTTTTTTAGGAAATAACCTGAAGTTAAAATTAACTATAGATAGCGTTCTGATTCTTTGTATGCAAAAATTCATGGAATTGTTACCATGAAAATGAAAAATTATACATTTGTACCGATGAAATTCAGTTTATTTTTATGGATGTGTATATAACAAATGAAAAGAAAAATGTCAAATGACAATGAAACAACAGCAGTAACATTTTCACCCATTAAGCAAGGGGGGTAGGTTTAGGGGTCGGATTGTTAGGTTAGAAAAGGGGAGTCAAGCAATATTTGTTTGAAATTTGGATAAAGTGGTGAACACTGCTACCTCTTTTTGTTAAAAATATTAGCCAGTATACCCATGAGAATGTGTGTACTTAAGTATTTTTGCATGACTGCATGATACAAATAACCATGAGACTTTGCTTAGACATGATTGCTCTTTGCATGTGCAAATGGTGATCAAAAATAACAGTTTTGATAGTTTTTCTGGCCATAAAATAAGTTTTGTAAAAATATTATTAAATATTAATGTCACAATTGATTTTACCAGGCACACCGGGAAACTAAGGATTACAATAGGATAAATACGTATGTCAGAGCATAACTATGGATTTCGATTAATCTTACGTCATGATAAATAGGAACATTGATACTTGAACTAGGTAGAAACCTAGAAACCATACACCACCAGATAATCAAAATTAAAACTGCCAAAAGGCACGATTCTTTTTCAACTCAAAGCTTTGACAATTGACATGGCTTCATCATTGTCTTACGTTAATGTTGAGCAGCAAATTTTACATGTAATTGCAGCCAACATGGCTGAGGAAGCCAAAGAGCTGTTGATCAAGTATTGTTGCAGGCAATCGCTCGGCATTCAAGGGAAAGAGGCATGTTGTTATGTTTTGAACTTAGCTATCAAGTGGATTACCTGTGAATCAGACGCTAGCAACGTGAAGCTGTTAGTTGATAGTGGTCGGACTTTGTTGAAAATTTGGTGTGAAAACAAAAGCAAAGCATTGGTAACGTATTTTCGTGAATCTGTTCTTCTTAAATTACTCGAAAGTCGTCATAATCGTATTATTGATGTTTTGAAATGCGTGTTACCTTGTTTGAAAGAGCATTCAGAAATATACTGTAAGTTGTGCGAAATTGTTTCACGGGAAGTCACAACTTTAATCGCTCAGGATGATATCATCTTTTGTGGCAGTTGGTCATTGTTTTTAGCACAATATTCGGAATGCCTACCTTGTGAAAATAGTGAATTATCAAGACTAAATGTTTTTTTGATTCAATGTTTGGGTAAAACACAAATTCCCAACACAACTAAAGATGAGCAGATTAAGTTTTTTGGCATGGTGCAAAATGTTTGTGAATTGTTAAATTTAATATGGCAAAAGGGCGCATCTCAAAATTTTATTGAAATCTCTTTGAGAGAGGTGTTTGAAATATTATCAAATCCAAGTTATAAAAATGGTGTTGCTCTGTCAAACTTGACAAATTATGTCCCAGATGATGTCATTAATTCTATGATAAATGCCATCATTTCAACAAATATTGCAAATGACACTCTATTTTCTGGCCTATCAAAATCATGCAATGGTTGGTGTGGCCAAGAAAAACTCAAGTTTCGTCATGGATTTTGACCTTCTTTAAATGTTTACGAATGGCTGGCAAAAAGGAGCTGTTATGTCGTCTTATTCGTGCCCAAATTTTGAAGGTTAAGTGAATTTAATAAAAAGTTCTGATCAGTTTTTTACTGTTATTGAATTTGTTTTTTAATTTGTTTAAGTAATTATTGTTTTTCTAATCTTCTGTGCTAGGTTTTTTGTCGTGTTTACTTGCCTGTTATTCGTGAGAACAATTTCATTGTGCTTGGAAACATGCTTATTAATTGCTTGGATTCTTCTGACGTATTTCACTTGGTGAGATTTGTAAAGCAGTTCTTGTTTTCTATGATTGATTCAACAGGGATCATGGAGAAGGGGATGGAGGGGATGTAGCCCACCCCAATAGTGTTGTCTCCATTTTGCCTCCAAATCCCCTACTTGAACCCAACTGAAGGTGTCAACTGCCCCCCAACTAAAAGATTTGCCATCCCTATGCAAAGAAGTTATGATTTATTAATTTTTGGATTCTATAGATTGTTCCACACATACCTAATCTTGTTGATCGCTTAGAAAGGAAAACAATGATAACTCTCAATATTATATAAAGGCTTTGGGTGAATTGGTGTACACTCTGATGTACAGATTTCCAGATGAATTGGGTATCACATACAAGCCACTTTTGGCAGCTTTTGAGGTGAAATGAATAAAATTTTATCATTTAAGACTTACAACATGTAGCAAATTCTGATAGAGAATGTACTTTTACATTTAAAGAGAAATTGGCTAGATGTAGGACACGTGTAAAAGCTAGGAGTAAGATGTACTGCAACAAAATTTTCAGCAGTAGGAAACTAAACTTTGACATTACAGTTGCTATAGTTGGTTAACTTATCAATGTATTAATCGTTAAGGCTGTTTTTTACCTGATTGGTGCATTTTTGATCTGTGATATTGAACGGTAGAAAACTGTTTTCCTTTATACATTCATTTGTTGGTGTGATTTTCACATCAAAAGATATAGTTTATTTTTGCTGAAATTTTTGCAGGTATTTCAGATATATTGGTCAATTAGTACAGACTTAAATTGGAAATTTTAATTTTGTTTGGAAGTGTTTAGTAAGATTTCAATTGGGAACAGTCATCACGGTTAATAAATAATAATTTTTTTTGTTTGTTTCAAAGAACATAAACATGAGCATTTGTTGCTTAGAAAAATATGCATTGATATTGCCAAGGTCTTCTTTAAGTATGTGAATCAATTGTGTTATTTAATAAATGTCATTTGCAATTCAAGAGTTTGGCATTCTAAAACTTTCAAAAATAAAAAAATTGTTTTTTTATGTTACTGAACTTTTGCATGTACATGTTTATAGGATATTCCAAAGCCAACTGTACAAATGATGAAAAAATGGATTAATTCAGTTGATGGTGGTTGTACAAGTACACAACCTGTAAAACCTTTTGTTTTCACAAAGGAAATGTTGCGTGCCTTAATCAAACAGAAAACTGGTTTGCTGAACTTGGGGAACACCTGTTATGTGAACAGTATTTTACAATGTTTCTTTATGTTGGAGATGTAAGTTAACAGTATTTTACAATGTTTCTTTATGTTAGAGATGTAAGTTAACAGTATTTTACAATGTTTCTTTATGTTGGAGATGTAAGTTAACAGTATTTTACAATGTTTCTTTATGTTAGAGATGTAAGTTAACAGTATTTTACAATGTTTCTTTATGTTAGAGATGTAAGTTAACTGTATTTTACAATGTTTCTTTATGTTAGAGATGTAAGTTAACAGTATTTTACAATGTTTCTTTATGTTAGAGATGTAAGTTAACCGTATTTTACAATGTTTCTTTATGTTGAGATGTAAGTTAACAGTATTTTACAATGTTTCTTATGTTAGAGATGTAAGTTAACAGTATTTTACAATGTTTCTTTATGTCAGAGATGTAAGTTAACAGTATTTTACAATGTTTCTTTATGTTAGAGATGTAAGTTAACAGTATTTTACAATGTTTCTTTATGTTAGAGATGTAAGTTAACAGTATTTTACAATGTTTCTTTATGTTAGAGATGTAAGTTAACAGTATTTTACAATGTTTCTTGTCAGAGATGTAAGTTAACAGTATTTTACAATGTTTCTTTGTCAGAGATGTAAGTTAACAGTATTTTACAATGTTTCTTTATGTCAGAGATGTAAGTTAACAGTATTTTACAATGTTTCTTTATGTTAGAGATGTAAGTTAACAGTATTTTACAATGTTTCTTTATGTCAGAGATGTAAGTTAACAGTATTTTACAATGTTTCTTTATGTTAGAGATGTAAGTTAACAGTATTTTACAATGTTTCTTTATGTTAGAGATGTAAGTTAACAGTATTTTACAATGTTTCTTTATGTCAGAGATGTAAGTTAACAGTATTTTACAATGTTTCTTTATGTTAGAGATGTAAGTTAACAGTATTTTACAATGTTTCTTTATGTTAGAGATGTAAGTTAACAGTATTTTACAATGTTTCTTTATGTCAGAGATGTAAGTTAACAGTATTTTACAATGTTTCTTTATGTCAGAGATGTAAGTTAACAGTATTTTACAATGTTTCTTTATGTTAGAGATGTAAGTTAACAGTATTTTACAATGTTTCTTTATGTCAGAGATGTAAGTTAACAGTATTTTACAATGTTTCTTTATGTCAGAGATGTAAGTTAACAGTATTTTACAATGTTTCTTTATGTCAGAGATGTAAGTTAACAGTATTTTACAATGTTTCTTTATGTCAGAGATGTAAGTTAACAGTATTTTACAATGTTTCTTTATGTCAGAGATGTAAGTTAACAGTATTTTACAATGTTTCTTTATGTCAGAGATGTAAGTTAACAGTATTTTACAATGTTTCTTTATGTCAGAGATGTAAGTTAACAGTATTTTACAATGTTTCTTTATGTCAGAGATGTAAGTTAACAGTATTTTACAATGTTTCTTTATGTCAGAGATGTAAGTTAACAGTATTTTACAATGTTTCTTTATGTCAGAGATGTAAGTTAACAGTATTTTACAATGTTTCTTTATGTTAGAGATGTAAGTTAACAGTATTTTACAATGTTTCTTTATGTCAGAGATGTAAGTTAACAGTATTTTACAATGTTTCTTTATGTTAGAGATGTAAGTTAACAGTATTTTACAATGTTTCTTTATGTTAGAGATGTAAGTTAACAGTATTTTACAATGTTTCTTTATGTTGAGATGTAAGTTAACAGTATTTTACAATGTTTCTTTATGTCAGAGATGTAAGTTAACAGTATTTTACAATGTTTCTTTATGTTAGAGATGTAAGTTAACAGTATTTTACAATGTTTCTTTATGTTAGAGATGTAAGTTAACAGTATTTTACAATGTTTCTTTATGTTAGAGATGTAAGTTAACAGTATTTTACAATGTTTCTTTATGTTAGAGATGTAAGTTAACAGTATTTTACAATGTTTCTTTATGTCAGAGATGTAAGTTAACAGTATTTTACAATGTTTCTTTATGTTAGAGATGTAAGTTAACAGTATTTTACAATGTTTCTTTATGTTAGAGATGTAAGTTAACAGTATTTTACAATGTTTCTTTATGTTGAGATGTAAGTTAACTGTATTTTACAATGTTTCTTTATGTCAGAGATGTAAGTTAACAGTATTTTACAATGTTTCTTTATGTCAGAGATGTAAGTTAACAGTATTTTACAATGTTTCTTTATGTCAGAGATGTAAGTTAACAGTATTTTACAATGTTTCTTTATGTCAGAGATGTAAGTTAACAGTATTTTACAATGTTTCTTTATGTTAGAGATGTAAGTTAACAGTATTTTACAATGTTTCTTTATGTTAGAGATGTAAGTTAACAGTATTTTACAATGTTTCTTTATGTTAGAGATGTAAGTTAACAGTATTTTACAATGTTTCTTTATGTCAGAGATGTAAGTTAACAGTATTTTACAATGTTTCTTTGTCAGAGATGTAAGTTAACAGTATTTTACAATGTTTCTTTATGTTAGAGATGTAAGTTAACAGTATTTTACAATGTTTCTTTATGTCAGAGATGTAAGTTAACAGTATTTTACAATGTTTGTTAGAGATGTAAGTTAACAGTATTTTACAATGTTTCTTTATGTCAGAGATGTAAGTTAACAGTATTTTACAATGTTTCTTTATGTTGAGATGTAAGTTAACTGTATTTTACAATGTTTCTTTATGTCAGAGATGTAAGTTAACAGTATTTTACAATGTTTCTTTATGTCAGAGATGTAAGTTAACAGTATTTTACAATGTTTCTTTATGTTAGAGATGTAAGTTAACAGTATTTTACAATGTTTCTTTATGTTAGAGATGTAAGTTAACAGTATTTTACAATGTTTCTTTATGTCAGAGATGTAAGTTAACAGTATTTTACAATGTTTCTTTATGTTAGAGATGTAAGTTAACAGTATTTTACAATGTTTCTTTATGTTAGAGATGTAAGTTAACAGTATTTTACAATGTTTCTTTATGTTAGAGATGTAAGTTAACAGTATTTTACAATGTTTCTTTATGTCAGAGATGTAAGTTAACAGTATTTTACAATGTTTTTTATGTTAGAGATGTAAGTTAACAGTATTTTACAATGTTTCTTTATGTTAGAGATGTAAGTTAACAGTATTTTACAATGTTTCTTTATGTTAGAGATGTAAGTTAACAGTATTTTACAATGTTTCTTTATGTTAGAGATGTAAGTTAACAGTATTTTACAATGTTTCTTTATGTTAGAGATGTAAGTTAACAGTATTTTACAATGTTTTTTATGTTAGAGATGTAAGTTAACAGTATTTTACAATGTTTCTTTATGTCAGAGATGTAAGTTAACAGTATTTTACAATGTTTTTTATGTTAGAGATGTAAGTTAACAGTATTTTACAATGTTTCTTTATGTTAGAGATGTAAGTTAACAGTATTTTACAATGTTTCTTTATGTTAGAGATGTAAGTTAACAGTATTTTACAATGTTTCTTTATGTCAGAGATGTAAGTTAACAGTATTTTACAATGTTTCTTTATAGAGATGTAAGTTAACAGTATTTTACAATGTTTCTTTATGTCAGAGATGTAAGTTAACAGTATTTTACAATGTTTCTTTATGTCAGAGATGTAAGTTAACAGTATTTTACAATGTTTCTTTATGTTAGAGATGTAAGTTAACAGTATTTTACAATGTTTCTTTATGTTAGCTGAGATGTAATTTAAGAATTTTTTATTCTGTATTTACAATTAATGTATCTGAAATGTTAAAGAATCCTGCAGTATTATGTGATGAATGCGCTATAGTTGCTATTAAACTTTATTTTCATTATTATTGTTAGTATTTTTATTTTTTTATCATTTCTATTATTATCATGATTATTATTTTCATTATCATCAGCATTTTTTCTGAACTCGTTATTTTAGATTTCGAAATGCTGTCTTCTCAAAATCAGTGTCCATCTTAAGACATCCTGTAATGTACAGTTTACAAGATGTTTTCACTTTTCTGCTTTTGTCAAAGGTAATTTTAAATTAATTTTTTCAACTTAATGTCTGCAAATACGACCAACTTGATTGTCATTCAGGAATAGTCACTAGTTAAGCCATGTCTATAAAGGTCGTTAGTGAAGAGTTTCTGTACTTGGGTTTAGATCACAACGTCAATGGGGGCGTACTAACTTAGATCTTTGATCAGAGAAATTGTTTACATTTTTATTGAAGTTGAAATCATTGTGTTAAACATTAGGTATAACTGTGGTATCCCAAACTTTAAGATTGGTTGTCTTTTTTTACCCTTTCATAATTAATTTACATTGATTTTGTCATATCTACTATAACTACATATAAAATAAAGCGCAATCCGAAAAAGGACGTCTTGTAAACTTAGATTCAAGTTATCAAAAAAAGACAATTAGAAGTGTAATATTTTGGTTCTATTGCGTATGAATGAAAACGAGCCTCCATGTAAAATTGTGTTGTATAAAATAAGATTCAATAATATGATTCATAATTCTATGGTAATTAAAAAAAAACTGGGTTAAAATATAGAAGTCTCTACCACCATATAGCATGGGTTTTGGACCTTTTGGTTTACGGAATCCTATATTATTTTGGATTTTTTTACGTAGAATGAATCATGTTAAGAAAACATATTTCTTTGTGTTTTTAAATTTTGATACAGCGTAACGCCATTGCTCCAGAAAATTTCTTACGGCATTCGCGTCCACCATGGTTTCCATTGAGAACACAACAAGACTGTTGTGAATTTGTTCATTATTTAATGGATAAACTGGAGGAAGAAGACCGATGTTTGTTTCAAGATGATAGCGAAGCGAGTCAACCAAGTACAAACATTGTGGAAGAATATTTCAAAGGCGTTCTTTCTGTTACATATAAATGTTTGAATTGTGGAAATGAATCGATACATAAGGAAGATTTTACTGATATTTTACTGGCGTTTCCTGAAGTACAAGACCTTAATTCTGGAGACATATCTACTGATGATGAAAATAGTTTGAAGGGTGGTGATAAGACTCCAAGCTTTCATGAAGAAAGTCTGTGTAATACTGATATAAAACAGACATCCTATCCAACCTCTGGTATTCAAACATCAACAAAGACAACAACAATGAACGAGTTAAAGACTGGAAGATATGTTATCGAAAAGCGATCGGTATTCACCATTCAGGAAATGTTGGATTATTTTACGAAACCAGAGAAATTGATAGGAAATAATCAATATTATTGTGATCTTTGTAACGCTAATGTGAATGGAGAACGTCATGTGTCTATCAACAAGTTGCCCTGTTTCCTCATGTTTTCTTTAAAGCGCTTCAGCTTTGATGTTGTAAGTCAAACCAAACCAAAACTTTTACACGTTGTAAACTATCCTGAAGAGCTTTATTTCCATAGTTCTGATTATGGCATGGACTTGTTGTCAGAGATGGATACAAGCATAACTGAAGATGTGAGCATGATAAATGATGAAAAGGATGATATAGCACAACAATATAAACTGTGCTCTGTAGTTTTTCATTCAGGTCATACTTGTGAAGCAGGTCATTATTACAGTTATGCTTTGGACAAAATGAACAAACAGTGGTATAGTTTTAATGATGAGTCTACAAACAAATCGTCTTATGAACATTTCATGGAAAAGGAAAAAAGTAGTTTGACAGATACAACTTACATTCTCATTTACATGAAGTATGGCAAAGGTCAATCTTCCAATGCAAGCGACCCGCCATCAGATATTGTTCAAAAAGTTGAACAAGATAATCAAAAATTTTTCAAGGTAGTGTTACTTGGTGATTTTCACATATATTTACACTGTACCTTTAGCCAAATACCTTTAAAACATAATGAAATTATTGTTGGTTGCACACTGTCAAAATGCTCCTTGAAGATTGTGCCAACTTAAAGACAGTAGGGTTATTTTAATGCAATTTTTTGTGTCATTTAATGGAATCCTTGAAATTATACATGAAATTTACCTAAAAATGTAATTGTTTTGTTTTAGGAAATTTCTCATCAATCATTTGATCAGATATCAATCAAAAGTGGTAATAATAAAGATAATGATTCTCCTCCTCCACCCCCGGGGAGCTGCGGTTCAAATGGCACAGATTTTACAGTTTCCGGTAACAGGTTTATTTTCTAGAAATGTAAACAATGAACAAGTTGTTGAAACTTATTGACCACTAAAGTTTTATTACATTTAAAACTTACAACACCAAGACATAAAGTTGACCAACTAATGTCATTGTGGGATGAAATCTTGTAGTGGAAGCAAACAATTGTAAAACTATGACATAACAATTTTTTTTACCATGGTGTAAAGCAAATTTAATATGGACAAATTTTCCATGTAATAATTTTGCATGTTGGATAAACATTAAATTATCATATAATAAATTGAAAAATATAGTAAAATTTGTTTCCTTTGTTAAAGGCTTACAATTGCTGCATCATATTAGTATTAATTGTACAACTTAAGACATTGCTTTCTTGATTCTTTGGAGTTCCACGTAATTTTGTATCACGCGACATTCCTGTTTTAATTTCATCATCTGTCAAGCTTTTTCATTTGCCAAAGTCCATCATTTAAATAATGAATATTTTCTACTCCAATGCCTTTATTGACAGATAAGCTAAAAATGAAATGTTCTCTTAGCTGAAGTGAAAAATACACATTTATAGATGCAATCATTTGTGAGGTGAAGTTAAAATCAACATTAATTCATCTTTGAAGTGACGTGCTTACATTTCTTCAGAGGATAATGTCATTTTCCCAATAGCGATAGCATGAATTTTCCCTTCAGCATGAATAGCCTAATATTATGATGAAAATATTTACGATCAATAACAAATTTGACCTTCCATGCCATTAAAACAAGCAATATGAATTCCATGTATGTGCCTGTGTACCATCAGCATTTTCATGTAAAATCCTTAACTAAAATTTGTTTTATGAAGTAGACATATTTACTAACATAACCAACATTGCTTATTTAGTCCTGTTATGTTAATTTTCTTAGTTCACTCACTGTGAAAATAATATATTTCTAAAGAAATGAATGATAGTGATGTGAAACATAGCAGAACCAATACTTGCAGGCTAGTTATGCCATTGGATATACATTGAATGTGAACAAGTCGTAATTAATCATTGGTGAACAATTTGACATTAAACATACAATTATGGAGTTTTTCTCTGCTTCAATTAATTCAGCTCCAGGTGATGTCAAACCAGGACACATCACATTTGCTCCACTAAGAATAAACTTTATAGCACCTTTGTCAACCTGTTGATGAGGGAGCAGAAATGGATCTAAGAGATAAAATATTTGCAAACAGCAATAACAAATCAACATGTGTATTCAATAAATTTTGTACATTGTCAAAACAAATGATTGTGTTCTCACTCACACTGATGTAAAAGTCGTAAAGTTGGGTAATATGGACTGTCTCTTTGTTTAAAAAACAACAATTCAGAATTGAGGGATATTATTTCTATGTGATCATGGCTAAAATTGTAAAAAAGAAAAGTTATTCGAATATAATGTCAAGGGTTCTTTTCAATGATTAAAAATGCAACAATTTTTAGTACCACTTGATCAATACCATGGACTCTTTTTTTGGACAAATTTCATCAATATAATCTTTAATACATGGATATTGCTGAATTAATTTAGCTCGAATACCACGCTGCACGGACGATTTCAGTTGTGTTACTCCAGAAATACTTTCATTTGCCTGAAATCTAAATAGACAAAAAGCCACATAAAGGCTTTGTCATAGCAGAGTGGAGGCGTGGAGGGCCTTTTACACATGTAAAACTTTTAGGAATCCCTAAATTTTTTCTCAAGAAGTAAATACAATGAGAACCTACTTTTTAAACATATTAATACCGTAGTACAGTCTTGGTAAACAATAATTTTTGGAAGAAATTATTTGACTTTGGTCTGCTCGGATGAAGAGATTAAATGTTGGCGTTTGTATATTTATATTTGTACAACATAAAGTATCGTAAATTTCAAAATGGTTTCCACTCGTCAAGACCATTCGGCAAAATATTCTACAGGTGAAACGGTTTTGTGTTATGAACCAGACGAGAGCAAAGCTAAAGTTCTCTATGAATCAAAGGTATATTTTGCTTTCATCACATATTTTCTGTTTTTGTGTTGTCGTAAAGGAAGAATAAGATTTGTAAACATTGTTTAATGTATAGTATCAACTATTGAGTACTTTATATATAGTTTGTAAATTATTTTCGGGGGTAATGTCGGCTAGTCCTTCTTGGGAAAGTATGCCTTATACGCACTAGATATTTTCTTTTCACGATAACGACAATGCCACTTGTGTGTGAGCAAATCTAGTAGTAGAAAAAATTGCATGGACTTGGCTACCCACATTTTTTCAAGATGAATTTTTAATCAAGTATTTATGAAGAAGTTTATACCGTGAGCCAAGTTTAAGTTATTCAATGGAAGAAAGCATACAAATGACTATCATTTATATCAACAAGATTTTAGAAGTGGATTTTACTAAAGATGATAAAGGGAAGAGGGTTCCAGAGTATTTTGTTCATTTCAGTGGATGGAACAAAAGGTAGGGATTCCTAAAGTATTTTTCTGTCAAAGTTTCAAATTTCAGTTGTTAAGAAGGAAAGTTCACAATTTTTTATCCAAATCACTATTTCCTAATTGAGTGAAATTGGTTGATTTTACAGTTGGGATCGTTGGGTTATGGAAGACCAAATCCTTCCTAGTACAGATTTCAATCGTCAAAAAATGAAAAGGCTGCATGAGGAAGCTATCAGTCGGTAATTAATAGTCTCAACTTTTCTAGTTTCATTGATGTGAAAATATTCATATGTATGTTTGAATAAACTTTTAATTTTTACTTAGTGATCACCAATTTAATCATGAAAATTATTTTTATAGTTTAAAAAGCAAACGAAAACGTAAAATGCTAGGAGCTGTATTGAAACATAGTTTGCAATCAAATAATTTCAATGAATCTTCATCATTCTCGCAGGTCAGAGAAAATTTATTGTCAAATAAACTACTTCAAATGAATTGTCAATCTCATTTGTTTCGTGAATCTTTCTTATAGTCTACAAGTACACCATCTCCTTTGAACAGTTTGTCTACAGCAAGCATTGAAATTGAAATCCCATCTGCTATCAAACTAAAACTAGAAGATAATTGCTATTTAATACGACGGAAGAAAAAGGTATTTTGTAAAGAAAAACCAAGCTACAGTATGTACCAAACCATTTTCTAAGCAGATGTTTAATAGTGCTCAGTTATAAGTTTGCCTTAAATTTTTGCTCTTTCAGTTTTTAAAATTGGCAAAAAATTCTCAAGCGTTTTGTCAATAGAAAAGTGAGAATGTGTCTCAGTTTAAGAAAATTCTCACCCCTCAGTATCATGATGAAATTATAAAAAGTTTTATACATTTTCAGCTTGTTGGTCTCACCCCTCAGCATCATGATGAAATTATAAAAAGTTTTATACATTTTCAGCTTGTTGGTCTCCCCCCTCAGAATCATGATGAAATTATAAAAAGTTTTATACATTTTCAGCTTGTTGGTCTCACCCCTCAGAATCATGATGAAATTATAAAACGTTTTATGCAGCTTGTTGGTCTCACCCTCAGAATCATGATGAAATTATAAAAGTTTTATACATTTTCAGCTTGTTGGTCTCACCCTCAGAATCATGATGAAATTATAAAAAGTTTTATACATTTTCAGCTTGTTGGTCTCACCCCTCAGAATCATGATGAAATTATAAAAAGTTTTATGCATATTCAGCTTGTTGGTCTCACCCCTCAGAATCATGATGAAATTATAAAAAGTTTTATACATTTTCAGCTTGTTGGTCTCACCACTCAGAATCATGATGAAATTATAAAAAGTTTTATACATTTTCAGCTTGTTGGTCTCACCCCTCAGTATCATGATGAAATTATAAAAAGTTTTATACATTTTCAGCTTGTTGGTCTACCACGCAGTCCTAATGTTCTTGACATTCTTAAGGATTATATAAATCATGTGACTTTGCGAGAAAGTCAACAACAAACAACTGATGCCCTTTCAAGGTGCTTTAATAAATATTTCATTTCTATTTTCTTTACATTCTATTGTTGATGAGCTTTGCCCATTATTACACATAACTAGGTACTTAAGACTTTTAAAGATACCATTAATTATGAGATGTTTTTTGAAATTTTGGGACCTTTTGGTTTTGGGAACTTAGTGTCAATTATGGGTCCTTTCACACCTTTGATTGTAGTTGTAAGACCTTTAATTGTTGGACTTTTGATTTTAGTTGTAAGACCTTTAATTGTTGGACTTTTGATTGTAGTTGTAAGACCTTTAATTGTTGGACTTTTGATTGTAGTTGTAAGACCTTTAATTGTTGGACCTTTGATTGTAGTTGTAAGACCTTTAATTGTTGTACTTTTGATTGTAGTTGTAAGACCTTTAATTGTTGGACTTTTGATTGTAGTTGTAAGACCTTTAATTGTTGTACTTTTGATTGTAGTTGTAAGACTTTAATTGTTGTACTTTTGATTTTAGTTGTAAGACCTTTAATTGTTGGACTTTTGATTGTAGTTGTAAGACTTTAATTGTTGTACTTTTGATTGTAGTTGTAAGACCTTTAATTGTTGAAGTTTTGATTGTAGTTGTAAGACCTTTAATTGTTGAAGTTTTGATTGTAGTTGTAAGACCTTTAATTGTTGGACCTTTGATTGTAGAATCTTTGATTTTGGGATTTTTGATTGTAAGACATCTAATGACCACTCTTGTTAACTGATGTCATTGTTTGGTTCTAGAACTGCATGATCGTATGCTATTTCTTATTTAGCATAAAGATTGTAAAGGAAGTGATGGATGGTGTTCGTGTTTACTTTGATTTCACACTTTCTTCGCTTCTTTTATACAATATTGAGAGAGACCAACATGAAAAAATCATGAGTGGACCTCAAGCAAGACAGGAAAATAACATAAAGAAAAAGCCTCATTTTGAAAATGTTAAGAAACATGAAAGCAAAGAACTAAAAGGTGTCAAAACAGAAATAAAAGCAAAACATCATGAAGAAAAATACCGTAGACAAAGTAACCATAAAGTGAAATGTTGATTTTTGCAAAATTTTATTTGGAGTTTTTCTTGCTTTTAAATTTGAAAGAAGAAGCATCATTGCCATCAAAAAACAAACAGATTTATTGTCAAATGAAACATTTGCCTATATCAATAAAATATTTAATATTTCTAACCATAGATGATGAATCAAATAATCGAATATTAAGACGACGATCAAAGCGCCAAAGTGTCAATGCATCAACGACATCATCAGTCTCCTTAGACATTTCAAAAAATGTTAATAGTAACATGATACAGGACACAGTACATGGGAATGAGGGAAAATGTAAAACAAAGAAAGGAACTAAAAGAGTGAGTCAGCTTATTTTGTTTAGTTATATACCAGATAATGTTATGATCAAAGATTCTGTTTGATTCAGGAGCTATACATTCTTCAGTTAAGATAAAATACAGAACTATTTATTTATATTGGGTTATTCAATACACTTAAACACAAGAAATTTTTGTGCTCCATTTAACACTAATCACACACTTACTTTTGCTTAATTGTTCAGTATTTTGGTATTTTGTATGTACCTTTCCTGCACCTTCTCTACCAAAGGCTAAGAGGAGACACTCCCCTCCTGCATTCCCTTTACCAAAAGCTAAGAGAAGACATACCTATCCTGCATAGGAGCACTTTAATAAAATGATTATTGGATAAAAGATTGCCTTTTTGTTAAATATGATGTTTAGAAACGATCTTCTCAATGTTTACCTATGAAGAATGATGTCAACAATGTCATGGAAAGTGACGAGACGCCATCGCCAATTAGTCCATCTCAAGTTTATGGTGTTGAACATCTTATCAGATTATTCGGTAGGACTGCATTGTTTAATTATAGTAGTAACGATTTGTTTAAGGTTGGCAAGCTTCCTGGGTTTTGAAACCAATGTATTTTAGAGAAATATTTCGTTTGTTTTTTGTGATTTTATTTGTACAAACGGACTCTGCCAAGGTACTTGTTATGCCTTGTAAATCTCTGCATGGAAATGCATTAATTTTGTTGAGACTCAAAGCAATAGAAACAACTAAATAATTCAGAATTACTTCTCATTTGTAGTAAAACTTCCCAGCTTACTTACAAGAACAACCATCGAAGAAAAGAAGTTAACTTTGTTAATGCATCATTTGAAAGATTTTTTAAGGTCTGTTCTTTAGCTACTATGATTGTTGTGGGAGTGTTGCTTCTTCCGTCACAGTTACATAAACTCGTTTCCAGTTGCTTTGCACTCTATTCAACCAGCAATTTAAGGGTTAATGTAAATTATGAAGCATCGAGCCATTTGCACGCAATAATTTAGTATGTTTTTTATTTTATTTGTTGCAACGACTTTAGCCACAGTGTTTGGTCACTGATGATGACTAAATTATAAATATATATATCGCAAGTATAGTTCTTGCTTTGACTGGAGTATTTTTTAACATTGTTCTTTATATGAAGTGAAATATTTTTATATTTTTTAATAGTTACTTATCTACACGAATAAACACCTTGACGTCAGAGGATGTTTACGAAGACAATGCTGTTTTTTGACTTCTTGCAAAAATTAGTAATTCTAAATGCACATCAAATATCCTGAAGACCTTTCTTATTTAAAACCTTTTTTCCAGCGAGGGAATCTTCTTCCCTCTTGTTTTCAAAGGTATGATGTAAATAGTATAGGTAGGTTCGCTATGATGATGACGCCAGAATATACACCTCTTATTATTTATTGTAAAATGTTGGATATTTTGTAATATTACGAAAAATATTTTACTAAAGCGCTGGAAGTAGCATTCTGCAGAGAGTTGACATTAAAAGGCGGATGCCCCCCCGCCATTTGTGCAATTTTTGTCCAACCCATTCCAGTTGGTCTATGAACGTCGATGATTAAAACTTCCACGGTCTATACCGACTTATAGTAAGACAATGAAAGCAGATAATTTGTCATGAAGCCCACGGATGCTTTGCTCATCATACATGAAAGTTGACTAAAAAAGTAACTAAAAATCCTGTTATCGGTTCATGCCTCCCGATACCCTTAGAATTCAAGGGCACTAAACCAGGCGTTGCTTTAGATGACGGTAGATGACAGTATATATGATTAAAGATGATTATAGATGACAAAAGATGACAATAGATGACTGTAGATGATGGTAGAAGACTATAGATGACATTCAATGACGATAGATGACAGTAGAAGACTATAGATGACAGTAGAAGACTATAGATGACAGTAGAAGACTATAGATGACAGTAGAAGACTATAGATGACAGTAGACTATAGATGACAGTAGAAGACTATAGATGACAAGATGATGACAGATGACGATAGATGACAGTAAGACTAGATGACAGATGACGATAGATGACAGTAGATATAGATGACAGTATATAGATGACAGTAGATGATAGTAGATGACAATGAGATAGATGACAGTAGATGATGACGGTAGATGATGACAGTAGATGAGCAGATGACGATAGATAGATGACGGTAGATTACATAGTCATGATAGTAGATGACAATAGATGATGGTAGATGTCAGGAAATGAAAGTGGATGAAGGTAAAAAGATGACAATAGATGATGGTAGAAGACTGTAGTTGACTGTAGATGATGGTGGGTAGTTGACAGTGAGGTTGCAGTTGATGGTTGTATATAAAGGAGGTTGCTGAAGATAAAAAGTTTATATATCTTGTTTGAAGTAATAACCAATAGCTGCTCAACCATTCTGCATCGTTTTTTAGTCTTATTTTTTTGGGCCCTGTTTAGGGCGCTCTCCAAAATAAGTCCTTTTTTATTAACTTCTGCTATGGTGTATTCTCATTCAAAAACTGTTGGCATGAGTTACCTTGACTCCTATTCAACAGCAATAAATCAAAAGTTCAATTTGTGTCATATGAGAGGCACCGAGACAATCAATTACTCGCCACGCAAGAAGTCCATTTCGTAAAGTTATACAAAAGTATTCAAAGATTTTTGAAACTGCTAATGGCACTTAAACAGAAAACAAGCAATCACTAATGGACAATCGTCTGCTTTGTGAAGATAATCTATAATTGACACAGACATGTGGTGTGATAATAAAAGTATGACGTAAATGATGTTATAGTGACGTAAATATTGAATATTAAAGTGTCTTGTAGGATTCGTCAATAATTTCATGTGTGATATGCTACCATCGTTGATTCCCTCTCAAATTTATTTTGGATTAAATTTAACGAGTCAACTTTCATGTATTGATCACCTTTTTAACTATGACACGTTCATTCCATGTAAGTCTGTGTGCATGTATTCAACACAAATCTTATCGGAATTGAATAATTCAATCCGCTCATCTATAATAAACAAAGTAAATTAACGAATGCAATGCGTGGCTTTTTGATGACATCACAGTTGTTTTAGTATTTCTTTCCCATCAAGAGTTTTTCATCGCTTGAACCACTGTAACTCATGTAATTCCAACTATTGTCCACATGGCTTCGTCTGTTAACTTGAAAGCCTTCGTTGTGGTTTTTAAGTTTAGAATCCAAAGTAAGAAGCTCTTCCGTTACTTCTTCATCGCTCGTGGTGAAATATTGCTCGGGATCTTCAACAAGGCAACATTTTCTTGCCACAGATAATTCGGATTGTTTGGGTCGTGTGCGATGGTCTTTGATGTGAGCGTAATTTGCTGTTAGCGTCAACAACATGTTTACCTGAAAAAAAGATGATGAAATCCTGTTAAAAATAAATTGTTCAATTTCAGATTTCATCTTTAAAAGATTGCAACATGGCAATAATTTTGCAATCAAGTGCAGCTAGATGTAACTGAGATCTTACACCTAAGTCTGATAATATTGTAATATTGTTCAACTTACAACGCCAAAGACAACAAATAATGTTCCAACGAAACAGAACAAGAAATAAGGGGTAGCATTGCTTATCTAAAAGAGCAAGCACATATTACGATTATATTTCTTTGAATTAACTATAAATAATTCTTTTTTAAGAATTTTAAACAACATTTATTTCTAGTTGTAATAATTCTAACAGGTTGAGTGACAATAAACATTGAAATAGAGATTAACTCTTATGATTCATTTTTAATCATTAAATTCGATTGTTATAAAAATAGCTCTAAAACGCACTGCAATGCAAAACGCTTTTAACTCTTCTCCACAAATTTCTTCCGTTCCAAAGACATCATCAAGAGCTAGAAAATAAAGATATCTTTCTTTAATTTTATTTGGTTAGTCTTAATATCAGATCTCTTAGAAAAATCACGTACCATAAGCTGTAAAGTTTATACAAGTGTTACCCACTTCTTCTGTAATTTGAACTTTGCAAACACCAAAGAATATGGACATGAAAACGACTGGGATGATGAAGACTGGGATGAGAAAGGTCCATATTATCCACATTAGGTAATGCCAGCAGATAACCTAAACGAATTATTTGATGTGTGATAAGGATAAGTTATCTTGATTTGCAATTTGCGAGATAAGTACAAGATGTTTAAAAATAATCAGTGGATGCTATTTTGAGACGTGAAACATTTTGAAAATATGATTGCAAACGTCTAAGTTTCAACTTTCGAGAGTTCATTTTTTATTTGAGTGAATGTTTACCAAGATAGTGCAGCATCGTCCAGTAAAACGGGCTTTCCGTGACCCACAGATATTGAACCTTGTACGACCTGTTGCTAAGCAACCAATAAGAAGTCCAAAACCGGACAAGACTCCCATGGCAATTCCAAAGTACATTGCAAATTTAGACGCCATATCTCTGTAAGAAGGTATACAAGTATTGTTAAATCTCTTGTACATCTGCAAACCTTCAAAAAATGACGTTTTACTAATTACAGTAGTGAATAAAGCTAAATAAATGACTTCAAAATAACCGTTTTTGGACATAAACGTCATAAGTCATTGGGATGTTGATGTGTAATATGTTAAATCATTTGGATTTTCGTACATACAGGGCATCCATTTTCAACCAAGTGTTGAGATGTTTAAAACCTTTGACCAGTCCAAAACTGAAAAGGAAAAATCCAATGCCAACAATAACAGCGGCAATGAACGAAGCACATGGTATTCGCGATAGACAAATGCAGAACATTTTCCAACAGGAAGAGCAACATGCTAAAAGCAAAAAACACTTATCAATGTGACTATACGATTTTATAAAAATGGTGGTTTTAAAACAATCTTGGTTTTTGCAAAAATTATTTTTCCATTTTAGCAGCAAAATCGACAGTGGCGAAAATAACGAAAGAAGTGAAAATCAAAATCTGATTTCATAAAAAATTATCATTTCTCATGTCACAGGTCTTGAGTAAAAGTAGGCCATGTGGCCCGTTAAAATAAACCATGCATTTAGATTTTTTAATGACATAGGATATTCAAAATACATTCTAGGACATGCGATGATTGAAAATTCCTCTCTAGCAGTGACCACGTGTCGTGACACAATTTGTTAACAAAGCATGCTGGGAATTCTCGCTGAGTTGATGAAATATAAATTGCTACAAATGTGTACATTTTACGACAGGCCCATGCAACTCTTATTAATCATTTATATTTTGAAAAACAACCAGCTAACTTATGCTTCATTTGAATGCGCTAATGGAGTTATTTTAATAAAACACATTAAAAAAACCCTTTTTACATAAGCAACAAATATGATGTGCAAGACGCTGGTAAATTCTTATTATTTTCTGAAAACGCTTATTACAAAGGCACAAAGCATGTAATAGCATTTTTAATCAAGAAAACCTAGTAATTTTTTAAAATTATTGTCAGCCGACATTATCATATCAGTTTTGTGTTTCATTGCAACCAACATGAATCTCTTGCATTATATAAACATTATATCATGATTGCTACAGGTTTGTTTCTTGTAAACTGCGCAATATGGAATTAATGATTCTATGTCATTTTATGGAAGAGCTGAAGTTAGTCAATTGTAATTATAAGCTGCACTCGAGTTTTTTTTGTTGATACGCTCGAGAAAAGTTTTAATCAGTTTTTACAGATGTTAACCAGTTAATGATGATTTTTGGCCAAAGCAAAAGTGCTTTAAGTTTCAATAAGTTCAATTTTTCTAATTACTTAAAAACTATTTTCATTTTTTTATTCTTAATTGCTGCCGACGGTGGCTATACAATCTTTATACTTTTTATTTCGAGTGTTTTTTTTATTTGTTCACTTTTGCTTTGAAAAATCTTCTTCTTGAAGATCGTAGTAACGTAGTTTTATGATTATAAAAAGTGCCAGTAGCAGCGAGGAAAATTGCCTAAAGGTCTGAAGAGTTCGTTATCACAGGCTGGACAAAACAGGATTTCCTGGATTACAGATATTTATTTACCCTAATCCTTTATCTTTATAAGTTTGTTATTTTAGAGAGCGAATTTCGATGAATTTAGAAAGTGTTTTAATATTATTTAGTCTAAACGAACAGATCTTGTTTAGCAAACGAACCTTTACATTTTCGACATTTGACAACTTGCTGCCTTGTAGCTCCAGCTTTAATCATCCCTTTCACGACATATTTTTCACAAATTCCCATTTTTTTTCATAAGATAATCAAAATTTTCAGCTTTGTAAAACGTAACCTAACGTCCTCTCGTCATAAATACAATGCATTATAGATGCTTAAAAAAATATGGAGCGCAATATGCGAGTACCAGCGTACCTGTCAACGAAAAGCCCCATGATGCTTTTGAGTCGTCATTAAAATTTGAAAGTTCTCTTCATTCACGTTTCGTTAAAAGAATTTTTTCAAGAAAATATGTGTACTTATTACTTCTTCACCTTATTTTTAACAAAGTAAATAGAATTAGTACCGGTGTTCCAGGAAATTTGTCTCCCAACCCCTCCCCCCCAGGCCACTGCCGCCTCTTCGGAAATTTGGCCCCCCTCGGCCCTCACAAACTTTAACTTTTATCTCGAAAATGGTGCAACTTTTTCCAAAGCCAAGACAACAGGCAATTTAAGATGTCACAAGTTATGTAGATCTATATACATTTACTCACATAATATCAAACCAGACAACATAACTATTAGAGATGGCATCATACTTTGGTGAACATGTTAAAACGCAACTTTTTATAAGAATTATGTATGTACTTGTGGAACTTTTTAAAAACTGGAGCCAACTCTGTTCAAAATCAAGAGTTTATTTTAAGAGGTTGTGTTATATATCTCAAGCACTTCTCATGATTCGACCGATTAAAAATTGAGCTTGTGCTCCTAAATTAAACATTGCACTTAGCAGGATATTAAGATTGTCTCTTTCAATATTTTTGGACTAGCTTGTTCTTTCTTTATCAAAATAATTCAAGGCAATTTGTCGAACTAGTTTTTGCTGATTAGTATTTGTCAAGTTCTTTGTTGGGAGGTGGCTGTAGCGCTACCGATGGCTTAGCCCACTGATAGTATAGCCCACGACGGGGATTGGAGACAAATATCTCTCGTTATGACGTCATGAGGAATATGACCTCTAATGAGCAAGAACGAAGAACGGCGAAGTGCCGATAATAATGGCTGCAGAATAATATGGAATTTTGTTTATTCTATCATTTCTATAAATTTGTGTCATGATTCTTGGTTATATGAAATGTTTCACGGTCGAAAGACGTATTATGTTTACTGTGGAACACATTTAAAGGTAAAAAATAACAAATTTCAGCGATATTTGCAAAATCTCATGATCGACTATTTATCCTCAATTTCAGCTGCTTTTATTCAAATCAATCTTCATATTTTTGAAATTTTACATCGATTGTGGTATTTCAACTTGCCTCTAAAGTATCAAATGAGATTTCACGAATGGGAACATTGTTAAACGAAAATCACTAACCTCTTCTACGCTTTATTGACAAGGTAGCGCTGTTTACATTTTTTTTAAGTTTATGTGCTAGGGCAATGTAATATTTGATGTGCTTTTTATAATATATACATTGTTGATGCCTCAGGGTAAATATGATCGAGCATTGACTGGTCTGCTGCAAACGATACAAAACTACTTTTAGTTGTGATGTGCTTTCTCAAATCAAATAAATTCAATTGTAAGTTGTTAACATCATGAAGTAAATGAAGTTTATTGCTAGAAGGGCACACAGCTGTTGGTTTTATGTGTTTATATACATACTGAGTATGTATATACACACAAGAATACACTGATGTACTTACTAAGCCATCATTCAACTGATCATACTTCATTTTATTTTGTTGTATTACATTGGCATGTACAGTATTAATGGTAGCTTGGTTAACTGTTTACACTTGTTGTGTAAAAACCGGAGTGTATCATTTAAGTTAAAAATGTATGATTTTCATTTTACAAATGAATACTTGGCTTTTTTTAAAATGTATACACTTAGCAGTAAATGAATAGCTGACTTAACTACACTTACTAAATTAATATAAATCATTATCCATTAATGTAAACAGGTTAAGTTCATGAACAGAATCGTAGGTTTTATGCTAGCATTGATTTGAATAAACAAAGTTACCCATATGTGCTTGGTGGCTGAAAGTTTTGTAAAGATAGGCAATATTTTCATCTTTTTTCTTGCTTTTTTTCACATATTGTACATAAAAGACATGTACTGTACATTGTTCACTTTTTTGCATTTCTTACAGTAATTTCTTACAATACTAGAGAGTCCTATCTGCACTATAAATTGAATAATTTAACCAACAAAATATGCATTTCAGTCAAGGAGAAAAATTTGTATTTATTTGTTCCTTTTGTTACCTATATTTAAGTATTTTGGGGGTGAAGGACATATTGTTTAACAATAATTGTCATTATTTTTAAAAATGTCTGTAGTTACACCATTTTCAGTTTGATTCAAACTGCTAAAAATGTTATATAACAATGTACAATTTTTCATTTTTTTTGTTGAATCTTTGACGATGTAATGGTGCATTGTTAAATTAGTTTTTTTATAAAGTTGTTTGATTTCTAGGCAGGCAATGATTGTTACATAGACAGTTCTGTAATAATGCATATGATGGTAAAAAGCAAAAATGCTTTTTTATCTAAAAATTTTTGCCTCGTATTTGATTCATCTTACCTTCCTCATGGATTAAAAAATAATAAGCAATTTTTCAATCTGTGCCTCAGTGGAACCAAAGATTTTCTCAAGAATATGATGAAAGTTTTAATTATTTTTTTCAAACTGAATAGCATCTGTTTTCATTTAAAAACAATTAGGTGGCAGGGGGGTTCGGCTGGGGGTTTGAAAACACCTTTGACCTTCACTGTGTGTGTGAAGAAGACAAAATATTTTATATGTTTTCTTCACTTATCATGTTTTATAACATCTTAAATGCATTACAAAGATACCATTTGCTTTTTTGCATGTCACTCTTGTTTTTTAAATAAAGTATTTTATTTACTAGGATGGAAATATGTATTGTATTTCTTAAAACTTCAATTCCAGTGCTACATGAAAGTGGCTGTTTTCATCTTAGCTTTATAATACACATTTGATAATTTCTTGGTTTGTAATGAGTATAAATTATTGTGTTTTGGCATTTGAGATATTTTTTAAAGAAAACCTGTTACAAACAAGCATCAAATCATCTTCAGCATAGATGAATTAATTATTTACAGTTTGAATATTGATGCTATAAATAATTAATTTGTTTGCATTTAGCTATACAATACAATATTAAAATATGATTGCTTATAAATGTTCATCTTAAATGCTTGATGCAATGATTAAAACAGCAAAACTCTATTATTCATTTCTTTAGAAATCTATTGTTCTCATAATGAGTAAACACAGAAAAATTAGCAGAGCATGACTAAATAAGCAGGCTGGCAATGAGAAAAATACCAGCACAATGTACATCTAATGTTAGTGTGTTACTACAATTGTACTTTAACCTTTTATGTCAACTTCAATCGTTATCATTTCATGATTCAGGTGCATAGATTACCAGTGGAAAAGCTAACTGTTTTTTCAGTCAGTCCTGCAATCCAGGATTTCATTGTTAATCCACTGCAAAAACAATAAATTGAAATGAATAAATACATATGATTCTCTGCATCAACATATTATGATCAAAATATGTAGCAAGCTATGTACTTTGATGAAAATCATCAAACAATGAAGGATTTTTTTATAGAATTCATATGAAGTTGCATGTTGCAATATCACATGATAAAACTGTTTACTAAATATTTATATTGTTACTTTAAAAGTGTTGATGATGACATATATTGCAACACCTGTGTATAATTTGAACTAGAGAAGATTATGACGTTTCTTAATGTTATTGTCAAAACAATAATCCATTTGCTTGAATTTGTTTATACTTTATTATGTCATGATTTTTCATTTGTCCTCGTTGTAATGTACTATCTCTGATGTTAATACATAAACACGCTTTCAAAGCAATTGAATTTTTCTTGCAAACTTTGTAACTGCAATGTGCTTGAATTCCGCATTTAATTAAAGGGATCGCAAAGTTTTACTATTTTTCACCGCAAGGTTCACACTGGTAAATACACATCATTAAAATAAGTGCTTGCCCTTTATCATCGCACCACTAAAATAATGTTGGTATAAAAGTTGTGCTGTTTAAAATTTCGGCTACTGTGTTGTATATTAGTCATCATTATGGCTTTGTAAGCAACGCGAGCACGTTTCACGTATCATATGTCGTTTTATTTTCACATTCTGCCATTTTGTTGGAGATAGGAAAATGCAAGTTTTTTATGCTTCCCCCTTTCTTTTCCTTGCGCACGGTGTAAAAGATGTCGTGAAAATGACACACGAGCGCTTGCAGAAATTTTTTAGCACATTCATCCATAAAGTGCGGCTAAACTAGTTCACATTTTTTCAATTTAAAATGTTGAATATTGATTAATAGTAAAGTTTTCTTGTTATTTTTTCATCTTTTATTTTCTGACTTTAAGCAGTTTAATTGCATGTTATGGCTGACAAAAATTTTCTGTAATAACATATTCACAATTATCCTAGTTATTTTCGTAATACTTTTTGGTTTGGATGAGATGTAGACACGACGTGGCCTTTAATTTTTCGTGTTTTGTCAATTTTGAACACTTGCGAACCTGCAAAAGATTTTTCATATCACAAGAAACAGAGTTTACAGTGAAAATGCAGCCAAAGATACATGAACAATCCTTTTTGTCTATCGTCTGAGAAACGTGGTCAAGGGAATAAACAGTATTTAATGACATTATGTAATATAAATACTGATGCAATAAATGCTGCTAATTTGGAGATTAAATGATAGATTAAAAATTGATCGGAATAAGCGTTTTGCGTATTGCTTTTGAGTACATACACAAACGATTTGCGTGCCGTAGCAAAAGTAATGATTCTAAAAAATTTCAAATGTGTTTTATTCCTTTAATAGAAACTTTTCTCCCCCCCCTGACATAAAAATATATTGATTTTTAAAGTGAAACTATTAACTCAATGAAAAATTTATCAATTTACAATATTTCAATATTTTATTTAATTACCTGGGGCCAGTTGCACGAAGCTTGGATAGCGAAAATTTTCAAACTTGTAAAAAAGGTGTTTATATTTTTCTTACGACAAAGAAATTTCGTAATGTTTAAAACAATTTTTTATTTCAGTGATTGCTCAGTTCGAATCTTATATTTCTTGCTTGTTAAAAGGTTTTATAAAAGCTTGAAAAATATTGCTATCCATTGGATAACGCTATCCTCCAGGCTTTGTGCAACTGGCCCCTGTTGTCTAATTGGGCATATTCACAAAATTAATTTATCAAATGTTTTTTGTTGTTGTTTTGTAGTTTTTATTAAGTTCATTATCGTTGAATAGTTTTGAAATTTTCACGGTAAACAAAACCGTTAGACATTGTTTTATAAAAACAGCGAATGACTCTGTCAGTAGTTTAATTGTTGTTGCATAACTGATCTAGATAGACGAAGTCGAAATGGGAAAAATCGACGATCAAGAAAAATGTGAAAGAGGAAGCAAATCTAACTTAAACAGGTATTTTCTATCAAGTTATTTTATAACGATATATCTACATTTTTTTCAAGGCGTATATTAAACACAAAACTTACCTATCTATTGACTATGTAACATGGTTTGTTCTGGTAGAGAAAGTCGAAACAAAAGTGAAAAAGATCGTCGTGATAAAGTTAATGCTTTCATCAATGAACTTGCCAACTTAGTTCCTGGCTGTGTTCCTCAATCGAAAAAACTCGATAAAGCTACCATATTGAAAAATACCGTGGATTTTATGAAAGTTCATAATGGTATTTATCCTGTATAGTTACTATTCATACTTCAATGCGATGTCCTGAGTGACATCTTTACGTGTTTGTTCCTAGATTTAACTGTTGCTATCACACGAAAAGACGCAACCTCCTGTCTTAACAGTAATGAAATTGGACAGTTAATGCTCGAGGTATGCTTAAAATTCACTTTTCGTTTTCTTTCAATTTTAATATAAAATTTATTTTATCGATTGGTATCCTGATAATATTATGAAATGAAATAACGATGGGAAAAAAATATTTAAAAATATGTTTTTTGCTAAGTAGCTACTTAGCCAATACCTATTTATCTCTCAAACTATCATTATGTTCTTTAATGACATCTTACTCATGGACACAGTTGCTGGTTTAAATCAATCAGCATTTTTTTGTTGTGTCGTTGAGTTGTTGTATTTTAGGTTTAATACCATCATTATCATGCAGATTTTGATCTTTTTTAGGGATACAATTCATTTCTTTTTGTTATCTCCTCGTCTGGACATTTTAAATTTATCTCTGAGAGTATTTATGATTTGCTTGGTTACGTCAAGGTAATCAACGTCGAGTTTATTTCATTATTTATAAATTGAAACGCGTGGAGCTTGTCTACTGTCCTTATTCAGGTCTTTTCTTGTCGGAGATACTTTGTTTTGCTTGTTTTCATGACTGTTTCATGAGTGACTTTTGTAGTCATCCTTTTTTTTTAATATATCTTTAGGATGATCTTTTTGAGAAGAACATATTTGATTACGTTTACCCTGAGGATAAACTTGTTTTGTTGAATCAAGTGTCGCAAGACAAAATAGGTAAATTTCCACTTTTACATTTTCCTTTTCATTTTTCTATTTGTGGTGTTTCCACTTGTCATGTTATCATTCGTCATGATTTCATTTGTCACGTTATCACATATCATGGAGATGTTTTTATCACTTTGTGTTAGTTCAAAAAATAGCGCTCAATCAAGGAAACAAATCTCTGTAATGTTAACAAGACATCAGTTAATATTATTGATCATCAGTCAATGTTATTGATCATCAGTTAATATTATTGATCATCAGTTAATATTATTGATCATCAGTCAATGTTATTGATCATCAGTTAATATTATTGATCATCAGTCATTGCTATTCATCAATTAACCCATGTCTTTGAGTTTAGACCATTGCCCATCGACCAACACTGTAGATTAATCATAGCAATCTAAATTTGCTAAATTTTCTTTTCATAAATGCTGATATAATTTGGAAAGACAGTTTGTGTTTTAGCTATGAACGTGAGACCGTTTCGTTGTCATGTTTTCAGGTATGACAAGAAATTCAGGGATGTCGTCATTTAAAATCCGCTTCAAAGCAAATGTACACGGCAAACCTTGTTATGAAGTTTTACGTTGCTGTGGTAATTTTCGTCTGCTTGACAAAGGTATGAAAGAAATGAAAGTTTTTTCATGTATGGATAATACGTAATGACGAAAACATTCATTGAACAATGAAATAATCAAAGGACTGCTTAAAGAAAGCAAGAACGGACTTTTAATCATCATAATTCTACAAAAATGAAATGAAAACGTTTAAAATTATATGTATACAGAAATTTTATTCAATTGCATGAATAGTATTGACAGAGGATGTTTCAAATGTAAAAATCTTTAAAATTTTTTATGTAGCTATGACATGCTTGAACTCAAACTTTGTACTAAGACCAAGAAACTGTCGTGTATAATTCTTTCTTCGTCGTTTTTTACACACTATCGTCAGTATAAATTTTTATCATCTACTCATCGTTCTATTCAGATACAAAACCACTTGTTGAGGAAAACTGTCTTTCAACCATAAACGAAGCATGTTTTGTTGTCTTGGCGAAGCTTATTGAAACTAACTGCTATCGCGATGTAAGCAACTGGTTGAACATTGATGTTGAATTTGCATCGAGACAGAGTTTAGATGGAAAATTTCTTTATCTTGATCCCAGGTAAGATTTAAGATCCCAGGTAACATTTAATTCCTCCGTACAAGATTTAATATAGTAGAAATTTATAATTGTACATTGTTTGATTTTAAGGTGCATTCCTATCACTGGTTTACCCATACGAAATTCTTGGCTCTCTTTTACGAGTTTGTTCATTTTGATGATCTAGAAAATATCAGCACAAGTTTTGAAGCTCGTAAGTTCACCTATATCATTCACAAAAATGATGTTCGCGCTATTTGTTTAGAAATAAGTTATGTAACACGATGTGTTTCTATACTTTATAATCTTTTACCGCGTGTAGATTGATTCATTCGTAATTTTATATCATTACAATATGAGTGATACTAACTTGGCGTTAATATCTTCTTTAGTCCATCATAATAAAAACTTGCCTGAGAACTCTTCAATTTCTGCTTGAGAAATTTTAAGACTTTTCCATAGACATTATTTAATTGTAAGTAAAACGTGTGTTTGTAGTTTTTGAGGATGGCGAAGGAGAGACTGAGGAATATCGTCTTCTTACGAAAGGAAATCAGTGGATTGTTGTTAAAACAACCAGTTATATCTCTTATAATCACTGGAACTCCAAGCCAGAGTTTATTTGCAGCACACATCAGCTGATCCGGTAAATTCTTCAAAATTGATATAAGTTTTGCTTAGAAACACAAAATCACAGATATTTAACAATGCGCCATTTTACCCCCAAGTCTTCATTAATGAATTATAACAACCAATGATTTTTATATTGAGAAAAAATGTTGAGATAATTACAATCCTGTCTGCATTCATTGATCTGAGTTTTAAGGCATCTTTTTGTGCATGGTCAACTCTGTTTACACTTTGGTTTTGAAAATTTGAGAAAAATAACTTTAGATCGCGCACGGCCTGGTTACGTATTCTGGAAATTTTACAGTTTATCCATCCTTATTTTTTCAAGGAAACCTTCCAAATATGATGTTCGTGGAAGACGCACTGACGACGTTGTTAATGATTTAAATAGTGGCAGCACTTGGAAGATAGAGCGATGCGATAATGGCTATGAAAATGACGTTTTTTCTCCAGAAACTTCAACGTAGGTTTTTATCGTATTATTATAAACTTTTTATGTGTTCATGTTAAATGCGTGGATTAAAAAATAACCTACTTACCTTGTTTTAGTTGGATGTTTTGAAATTTAAATAGACTTTGATGGTGTAATCCATTTTAATGAAATAAACACTTGTAATTTGTCCTAGATTTGTTATCCCTGCAATCACAATTTTAACAATTTATTTTCATTTTTCTTGGGTTTTTCATACAAGTCACAGACAATGTTCGACTGTTTTTTATTTTATAATTTGCATCTCATTTTGGCTGTTTCCTTCATATTTATCTCAATGTAACCTGTGTGAAGAGTAAAAATCAAGAAAGCCAGATTGGTCGTACACTTGAGCCAGTAATCGTAGCGTATGGTCATTTTAAAAAAGTCTGTTATTTCCTGGGTTTATGATCAACGTTCGTTTGAAAGTTGACTGTTAGCCAAATTAACCTAAACATTTTCAAGAAGTCATGACATTGTTATGACTTACTCGGTGATCTTTTGACGTTTACGAAACTTCATTATCAACTATTATACATCACAACAGTCTTGTTTAAGAAACAAAATACGTATAGATGATATGAACTGCGTAAACATAGAAAATCTCCTAGATGTATAAGTGAAATAGCATTTTCTCGTTAACGAGAATTTTGATCATATTAACAGGTTTGCTCTGGTTTGATAACTCTGCTAAACTTGCTAATGTTCGGCTACTTGAAATTGTATTATTTTTTTAGGCCCGAATTTACCAACAGTCCAAAAAAGTGCGCGATAAATCAAGGTGTTTTGGATACAGATAACAATTCTCAAACTACTAAAGCCCAAGGTACTTTACTCTTCCCTGAGCAGCAAACCACGTCATTAATGAGAGGAAATAATGATGTTAACAATGCAAATGTTTTATTGTCATCGAATTATTCATCAGGAGGGTGTATCAACTATCGGAAATCAGAAAGACCCGCTATGAATAACAATTTCTGCAATATAAACAACTTTGGTGAAGTATTGTATAATCCGTGTGAAACAGAAAAGTACTGGGGACGACTGAACAGCTCTAAAATGAATCACAATTCATCAAGTCAATCACTGCATAATAATAATGAACAATGTATGCCAACAAGCTTTTCAAATTATTCGTTAGAAATACCATCCAAAGTGATACCGCAATTAACTTCTGATACTCCTCAAAGTATTCAAATATCCCCTCATGCTCCTCCAAGTATTCAAATATCCCCTCATGCTCCTCCAAGTATTCAAATATCTCCTCATACTCCTCCAAGTATTCAAATATCTCCTCAATCTTATCCGCCACATTCCTCTGTAAACATGGAAATAACGAATCGATCTGTTGAACGAAGTAATGTGTCTTCGACATCTGGTACGAACAACAATACTAAATTCCCTGTCTCAACTTCACCATCGGTGTTTATGGAAAACCGAAACCAAAATCTCCATCGTCACTTGACTTTACAGCCCCACAACTAAAATGAACTTTGTGTGTTCACCATTATCCTCTAATGGACCTATTCATTTACCTAGCAAATGTGAAAATCTATTGGCACAAACCAATCACCAACATCGTCTCAACGAAGGATTTTCCCAGACTATACTGCCCAATATCCTCCACAATCCCCACAAATATCCGATCAATATACTCAACCACAATATGTCCCTCCTTCCATCTCTCACAATTCATCATTATCGTCATCGTTATCAACAGGTTTCACAGCAACTTCAAGAGTTCATCACACGACTACTGGTCCTCTTACCCATAATCCAACAATGGCAACTGCTTTATCTTTGTCTCATCAAACGATTTCAAATTTCCCTCGATCTAATTACGATAATGTTGAAAGACCTCAATTGCCTGTTACTAGCCAAGGATATTTTCATCCATTATCCCAAACGTCCCAACATATCCCCCCGTCATCTTCACAATGTCTATTCAACGAGAAAAGTAAAGGAAGGACAGTACGGCGTTCATTGAGTAACAGTTCTCTCATATTTCCTGTGCCTTCAGAAGGCACAACAAGTGCATGTCGTCAAGTAGAATTAAGGAAACCCTCGGACGCTTCTCTACAGTTTTATGGAGAGGGATCTGATATTAGTGGTAATTCCTTATTACCATTTGAGCGACGTTCTTCCACGAATCAAACAACGCAACAATATGCTCGTCCTAACAATGTTACACCTTTATTTTCTGCATTAAATGTTCCACAGCCTCAATTGAATAGTCCTGCTTCCGATGAAAGAGAGAGCTTCAGCAATCAGCATATAAATATTGGACGTAACAATCAACCATCTTGTGTATCAGGTGAGCCATGCTTTGTTTGGTTAGACTTTGGTTCGCATTAACTACCAATGATATAAGTATAAATATTGTCGTCAAAAAATAAACAGAGTATTTAATGTTTGTATTTGGCGTAAGCATGACATTGTATTGTTAGCGAAGCAGGATTCTTCTGATGACTTAAAGTTGATCGCTCATTTCCCCCTTTTTCCATTTTACAGCTCAAGGTCAATCATTGTCAAGTTCGGAAGAGTCTTTTACGGTAAACTAGAATGTATTTTTCTGTAGATTTTCTTTCCATGTTTACATTAATCTGTGATACATTTCTTTACCTTAGCCTTCTTCGGCAAAAAGTTTGGCGTACATAAAAGCTCAAAAAATACTTCAAAGTCAGCTACTTGACAAACAAAATCATCTTCAGCAAATTATTGTCAATCAAAAAGCTCAACTTAATCGAATTCAAGAGCAAATCATTGTTAACGCTCAAGCCCAGTTTTCGTTACATGATATAGGTGACTTGGAGTCATCAAAACAACTGCAACAACGAATACATAGTCTGGAGACCGAACGCCAAAAACACGAAGAGAAACATAAGGAATTACAGATTTTATTTCAACAAAAGTTTCAAGAAGTTTCTCCTTTAGATCAATATGACACAAACGAAGCTCTGGAGGACACATCAAAACACATCCCAGCATCAGATGTCGATTTGTCTCGTACATCACGTGATGTTCAGAAATGTGATAATTTTCTCGTGCAAACATTCCCCAATGCAAGCACAGCTCCAAAAACATTTGAGTACAAGAGATATCCATCTCAACAAAGTTCATCATCCGCTCAAGATATCGAAGATGATTTGTTTAGTGGAGTTGTAGCAACTGAGAAAGCAAAACAACATTTTACTCATTTTTATTCACCGATAATGCAGACATTTAATTCTTCATACAAGATTGCGGCTTCACAAGAAACTATGAATCACACGAAAGTTATAGACAGTCAAAATATTGGCACTTTTTCTACGGTTAACCCAACAAACAATCATGGCAAAGATTATTTCTCGCAATTTAGTACAAGTGAACTCGAGTCTTTTCTATCCAGTTCGACATATCCTGCTAAGTCATTAGCACAAAATGCAGACAGAAGTGAGTCAAATGCTGTTAACGAAAAATCATCAACCACTCCATCTACATATGATTCACTGTTGTTGCAACAAAAACGATTGTTGGAAATGCAGGAGGTTAGTACAAAGTTAAATCTTACTGTTATAAAATGTTACTACATGCATTGTAACGAAATGAATTCAAATTTTGCTTATTTTCAATGAAATATAGTTTTTTAAACCCAGTTACTGTATTTCCTATAAGATACTCGCCCTTAAACACCTCCATAAGGTAAATGGCTTCCTCCATTAAGTTCTATATTAAATTTCTTCGTATATTTTGTGAAGTATGACGCTCTATCCTCCTTGGTGGCGGTAAAATCACCTTCTCGTCAAACTGTTGTTTTTTTTTGAACAGCTCTCCTCAATCTTTATAATTTTTTTTGCGATATCGATAATACTTGATTTTTGTTACTTGCTCAAGTACTTTATAAGTTGTGATCAAACATTGAAATCGTCATAATTATCATGTGACGTTTATTTCACCTTATACTGTACGCTCATGACGTTTCTAATTAGTTCTTGCTACAAAAATATTACTTGTATCTACAGGAGCAACGTCGACAGCTTCTAAAACGACAGCAAGAACAATTTTTGCGTTTGAAACTTCAGCAACAACAACAACAGCAAATGTTGGTTGATTTACAGCATAGTGATAAAGATGAGATTAACGATCCTCAACCATCAAGTCAAAATATTTCTGAAGGTAAACAAAAATCTTCTTATCCACAATATTTTTAAAATATTTGCTTCGTTTATACGTAAACCGATGTATATATTTTCTCTCGTTAAGGTGGCATCGCGGCTGATGACTCTAGTTGTGTAATTACAAATGAACTTAACGAAGATGACCTTAATGTTTTAAATATGCTTCTTGCCGAGGAAGCTGGCACAGAAATGTGGACGGAGGAGTCTATATTTCAGAAAGGGCCATCATCAAGTAGCTCTTAGTTATTGCGATGTTCATCTTATAACTGGTCGTTTTTCATCTCGTTGTAAATTATGCCTTTGGATTTTATGGAATTACCTCTTAAGTGGCATCATACGAAAGGGAGAACTCTTGAAACTGTCGTTGTAAAGAACACGCTTTTCTTAGTTCTTTCAGGCAAATGCCTATTGGAAATACTTCGACAATCTTGCGTAATGTGCAAAAACAATAAATCCAAGTGAATAAAGTTTACAAGATCCAAACGTATCATCGATGACAGTAAGCCGGTATGATGTCCTTCTAATGGTATGGAAAAAAGTGTTTGCTTCGTGGCAATTTTACTTTTTTTATCGTACTGATCCAGGGAACTGTTAATTTTGATAAAGACATGATTTTCTGTTGCTTATTTACGGTTATACTTGGTGTAACATGCAACATTGTGTATAAAGTCGCTGCAGACGCTGGCGTTCTGAATGAGGGCGATTTACAAACAGTAGCTGTCAGCACTTAGCAGTGAAAAAATTAAATGTTGCTTTGAAACATCAATTTTAACTTCAATTTGAGGGATGGATTACAATTGACTTACTCCAATCGATGTTTCACGAAACACCCAATTCCCAACGGTTTATTTTGAAGTTGAGCATATATTGCTTAAGTTGATAACTAACACTTCAAATAAAAATAATTTGGAAGAAGTCGCCACGTTTGATAATTTTTTGGATAAAAATCTGCGAATGATTGTATGTTTATTTTATGGTAGTTAAACATATTTTATAAATAACAGAAACATTCTATATAATTATGTAAATACGTGTATGTAGACAGAACTGATACGAAAAGAAGACATTTTTTTAGAACGATGCACCAATGAAAAGTGAAATAAAATATATTTGCGAAACTGAAGATATTTGATATTATTTCATAATAAACCGCTCTTGTAAAAGGTAGATTAATTTCTTGAATCTTGAGCTGACCTTAATGCGTTTTATTTTGACAGTTGGCGTAAATAAAGTCCTGCCGTCAGCGATTGTCGTTCAGTGGCATTGATATATCTTGAATCCAGCAGTTGAACATTTTGTCACTTTCTTTTCCTTCAATGATTAATCGCACTATCGCAGAGGAGATACATTTTCATACGTGTTTAAAAAAACACTTGACGATAGAAAAAGTTAATTCGTGCACCAAATTATTTTTAAATTTCAACTTTTGGGAAAGGTAAAATCAGAACTGTCCCGAGTGAAGTTATGACGTTTAGTATACTGTTGAAAATTGCCTTAATTTTTTTCGAAAAGCAAATAATGAATGACTAAGCACAATATATGATTAAAAATTGAAACACAAGAAATAGGAAGTACCAAGTGACCACTCGTGGTAATCAACAATTGTATTAAAATGTATAAATGGTAAAGTATGTCAAACTTTCTGTACCTAAATTATATAGATCATCGACTTTGGTTATCATGTTTTCATTTTCCATAGTCAGAGAGTAGCCATGTGAGCCAAGCCATTATTTGCCAATTATTCCTTTTCCTCCAGAAAAGACACGATTTTCTTCGACAAAAGACAAGTACACCTTGTAGATTCTTTTTTCCTGCAGTGCTGTCATATGACAATTTAAGGAAATGCGTAAGGTCCAGTGGTTATTAATTTGTAATTAATTAGCATAGTTTATCATATACATCCGTTGTAAAAGGTGGTCAGCTTTTGTCTAAAATACCGATTCAAGATGTTGTCACATATTTTCCTTGGAGTGCTTTTATTCTTTACTGGTATGTGTTGGATATAACAAGTCACTATATGGCAAACATATGTATTGTTACGAAGATATTAAACATATTTCTAAAGTCGAGATACGTTCTTCACATTTCAATTTTAATCTGCGAATATTACGTTGTGTTATTTTATTGTACGCTTTAAGGTTTGCGACGTGTTTCTCTTTATGAAAAGAGTTAATGATCATAATGTCGCCGAATTTCCAACAACTTTGTTTGCTGTTGTTGTACAAGAATAATAATATGTCTACAAACAAAGTGAACAAAGAATACGTAGATTTGAAGGCTCGTTTATCGCCTTTATAGGATTATTTAGCCAACATTTATTTGTCTTATGTAAACTCTTTTATCTGGTCAAGAATTTTTAACCCAAGAGCAGCGTATGCTGTTGCCAATGCGCCGAAAGTCGAAAATGCTGTCATATTGTTAGTTTGTAATTTTGGTATTGGTACCACAGTCTAAAATCGAAGTATATAATAGGAGCTGCGGTGCGGCCAGCTGCCCTGCCGTCACAGTATAGGGTGTGGAACTGGGGACTAACTAACCGACTGAGCAACAATGGCAGCAATAAACAGACTGATCTCGGGTTACCGTCAGAATGCAGCAATCAAATGGATTGAATAGTGAATACTTGCTCCGATGTCAGATTTCGTCAAAAATCAAAACGTCTGATAAAACTTCATAACGTGGAAGTAAATTATGTATACATAGAAAAACGGGATTTTATTGAATTTCTGTAACGTTGTCAATCTTTCCTTCCATCTATTGAGATTTTATGTAAATTTATGTGTTTGTTGCGTCTTTTGACTCCCCTCGCAAACATAGACTTCACTACGTACGCTCCTGATAAAATATAATTGTTGTTTATCTTGGGGTTCTATTCTACACTAAAGAATTATAATAACCGCTATGCAATATGCATTGGTCTCGAGTACGCAGTAATGTGACGTCAGTCGAAAAAATAGAGCTACAGATGACGCAAGACGCTATTTTGGGAGGCATGTATCGCAGTAGCTTTATAAAAAGTTAACAAACCAGCTTTATAATGATGAAAAACCATAGAAAGACAACACAACTCCATTTTCATTACACTTTACGTACCTATTTTTACTGACATGAACTCTCAACGAGTTTAACATAATTACTGCCAATGATATTTGTAGTTTTCTTCCATCTTCAATTTTCTGTTGTTACTTTAATATTATACATTGCGTTGTATAAAAACATTGGAGGTAACTGTGTTGTGTTACAACCAAAGTGTACAGAAAGTGGAAAGGTGGAAATTTCTGGAAACATATAGTTAATAGTTTGATTGTGATCAGAAAATTGAGTGGCGAAATTTAGCGTCATAAGTACTTCATAGAGAATATTTAATCACATATGTATTTTTTTATAGGTCAGACAGTCGCAAAAACGCTTGAAACGCCTGCCGACATTGTTATGTTTGATGTTGTTGATCTCTCAGGCTTAAAACCTACAAATGGCTCACCTTTTGGCGGTCAAAACGCATACGATTTTCCTTCAAATGCTTCTGATTTGGTTGCACCTTCAAATGTTTCTAGTTCTTTCGTCAACAATTCAATTTTACTGAGGGAATTTACTGTAAAGGCTAATCTTCGTGTAGCCGATGGCGAAAATGGTGGAACTATTGTATTTTTATCAAATCCTGATCGTCCTAACCGTGCGGGCTTTGCCGTTACATACAAGTACATAGAGACTTAAATTTTTCTGAGTTTAGTTTTTCTCGAAGAAATTTTCATTTGAATTTAATATATTTACTCTTCGTTGTTTCACAATTCAAATTAACTGCTTTTAAAAAGCATTTTAGAACATTTTCACATTTACATAATTAAATTTTTTTCACAACACTACTACTATGAAATAGGTTATCGAATATTTTCTTTCTCATTTTTTAGTTGGAATAATAACGTACCACAAGTTGGCGTATCTTTCTTCATAAGAGGCATTCAGGAATCATCGCTTTGTGTATTTGGCCGAAATATACCTAAGAATGAATGGGTACATTTGGAGGTTCGAATGTATATGGATGAACGTTTAGCAAGGTGTAGAATTGAAGTTCCAAGTGGTAAAAAGTACTATCGTTATACTGGAATTGCCAACCAAGATAGACCCATAGATGCATTTCATCCAAACGGTGATTTGAGATTGGCACAACAGTATCTGAGTGGAGATGAAAACGTTTTTTTCATCCGTGAACGATTCGTGGTTAGTTCTGTTTTATCGTTGTATTCAGCTGTATTTTATTTTATGATAATTTTATTTAATCATTTTTTCACAGGGAAAGTTGCAAGATGTGATCATAAGTTTTGGTCAACCCAATTGCACGTATATAAGTAAGTGTTTTGGGATACCAATGGATGGTTTATCGAGTGAAGTTTAGTTTTGAAAATATAATTGGCCACGTGATTGACCACGTGATTGAACCAAGTGGATTATGAAATGATAAAGTTCTTCTATTTCTAGTTGAAGAAAATATCGCAAAGTCGACACCAGCTCCTGTAACATGTCCAACAAACAATGTAAGTCTTGTTTACAGAGCTACGCCCCGAGTTTGAGTTTCTTAAATGCGTTTCCGCTAAAATAGATTCATCAAACTTGCAATAATTTGGTTTTAAAAATGGTCGGTTTTATATAACTAACTTTTGTAAATGAAATTGAAAAAATTTGCACACTAGCCAAACTTTCAAAAAAGAAAATTGTCAGCATTGTAGCCTTGACATCGAAACGTTAGTCAACATCAACACCATATATTGATACTCTCGGATTTAAACCATTTAGACCCCGTTCACACGTACCGTACCGGTATCGTGTAAACGTAGTGTCAACTTAATATAAATAATTGTCGCGCTGATGATGGCGGGACTTATTCAGTTAAAGAAGAATTTGATGCTCATGAAGAAATCATTAAGAAAATGTTGCAGTATATTTCATACTACATCTAAATTGTTAAATGTTGATTGTCCTGTTTAGGACAGTCCTGAAAATGATAATAAATGTCAGCTTATCATGAAACATGCTTTCCATAGCAAAATTATGAAGAAGAATCTTTTGATGATATGTAAAACATCTTATTCAGCATGTAAAACATAATGACGACATATTATATTTACCATCACTATTTTTGTAACCGTTGACTGAAACAAAAGTAAACGTTTATAACATTCAAATACAGCAACATCCGTGGATTTGAAATTTCTCCAAAATCTTGCTGTGATGAAATTTTTACCAACATTGTGAGTTTTTTTCACAAGTGTTTTTTTTTCTTCATATACTTTAAAAACATCTTACATAGCATGTTGTTGCTTGTTAAGGGCGAAAAAGTGCAATTGACGAAATAGTTTCTCTTAATAGGTTCCAAAAGATGATGATTGTGTTGATGCTAATGGCAACCAACGTAATAATACGGAAAAATGGCAAGAAGGAATGTTAACTGATTGTAGTTGTGATGTAAGTTTTGTATTTTATATTAGATGTTACAAATTGAAACCGTTCTCAATTTAGATAGTTGTGTTTTCAGAAAGGAGAATATATTGCGTCAAATCCGTTCAAAGTTGTACCATGAAAGGAAAACGGCATAAAGATGGTGATAAATGGGATGATCTTGACAATTGCAATTTTTGTGAATGTAAGGTATGACGTATATAGCAGTAAAAGTGTCTGAGGATGGTTCTTGTTCATTGTGTCGGCTAAGACAAGTACATTAATTGTGTCCCAATGGAATTCATTTATATATTGGACAAAGTTTGCCTTCATCACGATCGTTGTCAATCCATGTTTTTTATGATGTGTAGTTCTTTATTAAACTTTAAATCTTTTCTGTAGGATGGTACAGTGATGTGTTCAGGTACGATAAGAACTTTAAAAAATAATGACTGCGAGTGGAAATGTGGTGATAATACGTCAGGTGGATGTCCTCGTGCAAAGCGTAACGGATGTTTCTGTCCAAATAAAAGAATGTTTTCAAATGGAAGATGTATTTATCCCATAGCCTGTCCATGCAAGATAAATGGGAGAGAATTTACGGTTTGTCTTCCAAATATTTATTTTGCCGTATAAAATAATCTTTTTCACTTACCACAAATAACCATCTGCATTGAAATGAGGTGATGTTAAAATATTTTAAACGAATGTCTTTTGAACAGTTGTTTTGTAAGATCATTTCGTCTGCATGTACTAATATATTTTGCAAAAATCACGTATATTAAAGAAATCAACGTTCATTAATTGATACCAGCATCTATACTTCGTCCAATTTTATGATTATTATGACTTCTTTCGCAGGGAGCCGTACGATCTGGATGTTCATTATTGAATTGTCAAAATGGAATTTCATCTGAAATCCAAGGAGTTTTTTGTTAAAGTGGTTTCGAATGTTCTTTGTTTTATTTTTTTGTGTGTTTGGGTTAAGTATGAATAAAAAAAACACGCTACATTTACAAACAACTTACTGAAGTAAAAATAATGGGAAAACTAGTATATCAATAGAAATATGAAAACGGTTTTTACTGTGTTTTTTCATGCAACTTGAGATAGGGTATAATACTCTGTTATTGCTATTTCTGTTTCCGAGCTTAATTTGGCGGAAGAATCTATCTTTCTCCCCATGAATTGAGGAAAAATTGAAAAGCTGTTTTTCAAAGATGTTTTGCAAGCAAATAAAATTGTAGAAAAGTCAAAGAAAAAGGTTTTTCGCTAGCTGTGAGCAGCAGACAAAAATTAACCCTGAATCTAAATAAAATATCCAAAGAGAAGCAATATGTTAGTTGAATGGAAAGGTTCTTACAAATAGATAATGAACCAACCCTTTCGATAAACTCTTAAAGTATCAAACGTTTTTCGTCTGCCAAAACTGTTCAAATTAAATAGTGGGTGAAAATATTACATGGAAAAATCACATTGGAAATGTTACTAAAAAGGCTTCAAAAAGAATAGGAATTTGAGTCGATCTAAGGATCTTCTTTATCAAAATTCGCTTAAAACTATTTATCGTGCTTTTATTTCACCTTATTGTTGTGTTGTTTTACTCTGATCATTGTGATCTGGTATTTGGAATAAGTGTTTATCAAATATCATTGTCTAAACAGTTATAGATACACGGTTATGACGTCATTTGCGATAAGAACTAACAAAGTGGCCACGAGGCGCCGAGGCGAGTAAACATTTTTTCTTATCACAAAGGACGTCCTACCCGTGTGTCTCACTGAACAGACAACGGTTAAATCTAATCTATTTGTTTTGTATAATAAAATCGAAAAAAATTCCCATTTTTAATTAGCAAGTAAGTTGGTTTTGTTTTCCCCAACCATTGGAAAATGAAAAAAGTCAAGATTTCGCAGTTATCGTACGTTCATGACCTGTAGGACTGAAGAAATACTATTGGCTACCTTAAGTCACGTGCTAGAATGTGATTGCCAGCAGAATTAACTAGCAATGACTGATCAAATTTGTTGAAATGTGTTATTGAAAACGCGCGAAAATGACAAAGCTAAAAGCAATTGGAACACACAAGGTTAAAATATGACTCATGTTTTTCAAGCTTTCGAACTTCAAGGAGATTTGACCAAAGCGTGCACAAACGCTAAGCATCCAAATCGGATTATTTTGCGTTTTTAAAACCTCATCAATTATTCATATTTGGATTAATTTAAGCTCAAATTTACGCATAATTTATGAGGATATTTAATTTGTAATTTGAAAGCGAAGTGTTCGCGTACACATAAGCGAAATTCCCGAAAACTTTGTTAGCTTGAACAACATGTGTCATATTTTGACCCTATGTGTTCCAATTTCTTTTTAGCTGCATCATTTTCATGCGCAGTCTATCCTCATGTATATGTTGCGTACTTATGTTTTTTTAACCATGTAAGCATTTTGCTTTTTTATTCTTGATTTATAATTTTGATTCATAACTTTCGAGAGTTGTTTCAGTTTCATTATTGCCAACTTTTAAAAAGGATATTTTTTAATATTGTCGAAATATGCTGAAAAGTTCACACGTTGATAACTTGGAAAACATCATTGGATCTTCATTTGTAAATAAGCAGTTATATTGTAATGCAATGTCTCAAAAGGGATTGCAAATCGGTAAATACTTCGTGCGTTTTATTTGTTTTGCAAAGTGTTGTCTCACTCACTCCACTTGAAAATTTTCACTAGCCACTCAACTGCTACTGCCATGTATGATGACAAGGAGTGGGCACTTTTCTACGTGTGGGATACTTTGTGTATGTGTGATTATTTAATTTGGAAATGCATTTATAAAGTTGGCAAGTTCTAAACTGCCTAAAGTGACGTGATTGTCTTGTTATTAGATTATAAACCATTGTAGTTATTGGTCGTTATAGAGTTTTGGTGATTTTGTCAATTTTCTCAATAGAGTGCACCTCTCGTCTCCGTATCTCATTTTACATAACGCCGTGTTATTTTGTGTTGGAATTAAACGGAAACAATTATCGCTCAAGCAGTACAAACGTTTTTATGACAAATAAAGTATTAGTTTGTACACTATTACTCTACTATACGATTTCAAATGAATTCGATGAAATAAAGATATTGTTCCAGGTCATTCTTGGCGAGATTTGTGCTGCTCTTCGTGTTTCTTTTGTGATTGATTTTATTAAATGCCATCAAGCTGATTGCTTTGATAGTACACGATCACGTACCGTACTAAATGAACTATATGTCGAGAATTACACGTCGAATCAGCTGACTGGGTGTTATGATAAATCAACCAAGATACCATCGTTTCTTCAAACAAAATTGTAAGTGTGGCATGACAAGAATTGGAAATACGTAAGATAGTCTCACTAAAGTTTCACTAAACTGACTAAAGTGTCGTCGTTTAATACAAAAATGAACGTTATGCACATTTACAATCAATCACTACACTTGTGTGATGCGTCTTCGTTACAGACAAATGATAAATGGTTTGTTTATATGTACCCGTTATTGATTGCTTCATCAGTGTTCATTCTCAGTATTCTCAGTAACAAACTGGCTGGAAATATGACAACTACTACGAAAAATGTGGATATTTTCAAAAGGCGAAATAAGTTTGTTGAAGAGATAGAGAAAATTAAACGTTGGGGAAATTCGTTAAAGCCAAACGTTATCTACAAACAGGATTGGAAGCTTGACTGGACGTCAAATATACGGCTAGGTATCGACAATAATGTGGAAGCTTTTCTACTGTATTCATTCATTATAAAAGACACAAATAAAGACTCTAACCGGTCTTCCTACAGATCAATATTACTCTCGTATGGATGGCTAAATTCCTGTTCAAGAAGCGACAAAATCTGACGTTTAGTTGATTTATCTATAATAGACTAAAACCACAATTACTGGGACACGTTTTGGATATATTTATGAAACAGTGGTTGACCTTTTTGATTCTTAATTAACGATATATTAAAAGACATCAGCATAAAACAAAAGCGCGTTTATGACAAACTGTGTTTAAACAATAAGTTATTTATATTTACGCAGATGGAACGACCACTAACTTTTATTGACATAGTTCATTGTTTGTGAATCGATTAATATTTCATTCATTTGAGAGAACGTTATAATGTCATTATAACGTTCTACGATGGGTATAATTCTTCTTGAAAGTTAGGAATATTTAGCGACATATGTGGTTTTATTCACAATAATTTCACTGCAAAAACTTTAGAAATCAGCTACTTATGTCGAATGACTTGAAAGTAATTCTACGTCAAAATTTTATTCATCAGTCATCTGGCCCATCACCATTTTCCTTCATTATTCTTGCCCATTATGTATGTAATATAATATTTGGTTTTGTTAAACAAGGTAGCATTGCTAGGAAAACGTTCGAAGGTCAACTTTTATTTAAGATGACGTTTTTCTATTCTTGTTTTTTAAGCCTCCAATGTATACATGGAATAATCTAATTATACGATTATACTATAAACATTATAGTAACTAAATGAAAACTTTTTTAAAGCTTTGAATCATTTTAAGCAATTTTCACGCGCATTATAAATATGACTAAAAAGGTCATCTATTCCTGAATGCTTCAGTAGATAAATAATAATATTCACTGAACTTGTTAAAAATTTGTTTATTGATCTTGTTTCAGTCTTACACAGAGAATAAGAATGACAAAATACTTCTACCTTCGTGTCTGTCTTTGTGTCTATACCTTTCTGTCTATCTTTTGTTTACTTTTTTATATATCTTTTTTTCTAACTTTAAATCAATCTTCATGTCTATCTTTTTGTCTATTTTGTGTCTACCTTTATTCATATATATCCTTTTGCCTACTTTTTGGTTTATTTTTTGTGTACATAATTTTTCAATAGTTCACCTTTATGTTTACCTTTTTGTCTACATCTGTCACTAACTCAAGTTTTACCAATTCAACCTTTGGAAGCCATATCTATGTGTGTTTGCTATAACTTACAAAATAGAACTAATTGGCC